CGCGCCGGGTGTTGTGTCTTGTTTGCTTTGGACACCATCTCACGCGTCGGTTGCGCGTCGGCTAACACCTCCCGAACTTCTTCCTTTCCCTACTTTGCAGCGACACAGGGCAATCCCAACCTCCACCACCCATATAGCCTTTCCGCTGCTTCCTACTTTCTTTCCCTCTACCACCATCCTATCCTCCCGGTGAGTATTCTCATGCTTTACCTGGTTCTTTCTGACGACGGTTCTCTAGTCTTCTCGAGACACATCAGTAACTCACCGTGAGTTGCCCTATACCGAAAGGACCATGGCCCGCAAGCGAAAGAAGTCAAACCCAGATGCTGCAGACACATCGGACGGCCGCGATGGCCTTCCACTGGCAGGGCCCTCGCCTCCTGAGCCTATTCATGCTTCCGGCTCGAGCAGAACTCTCCGTCCTCGGAAGCCCTCCCGGCCAAGCTCTCATATGCCGGTATCTCTCCCTCGACAGCCTGCGCCTGTAGAAGATCGTCTCCCTGAGCCCCACGTGAAACGCGCTCGTCTCGGTGCTCACGACGCAATGCTTGTGCTCTCCTCGGAGACTGCCCAGTCGGGCTCTGTTGTAGCAGCCGAGTCTTTGACCAACCCGCAGCCCAGCGCAAGGTCTTCTCGTATTGCCACCCAAAATCTCGATCTAGCTCGTTCTCCTGATCATGGGCTCGCTTCGGCTCGGATACAGATTGCTGGTGATAGGCTCCTGTCTACTGAGCTGGACTTCGGGTCGAATCGACCTCACCCTGATGTTGACCATAACATACGAAGGCTCCCCATACCGGCCAATAAATTCGGAATCGTTGAAACAACACTTGAACGCCCTGCTCGCTCTCCTTCAGTAGATCCTGGCCAATCTTCTCAGCTCACCTCGAGTTCTACGCCAACGTTCCCTCCTCACGCTGTTCTGCTGAGCACCACTGCTGAAGCACCATCTACTCCCCCAAGCGTCACTCCGTGGGAAGCCTTGTCCCCTTCCCAAAAAACACAGCACGAAATTCGGTGTCAAGAGTTATTGACTGCTGCAGAACAGAGGGATGATGCCCCACTTTTGCATTGGACGCACCTTCATAATTTTTGGTCAGCTTGGGGCCTGCGTCACACCGCAAGCGAAACAGATGCAAATAGATTTTTCTCCTCGCACCCAGAGATTGGACCATTAACAGAGGCTTTCCGGTGTGAACTGGCTGGCTCTCGATCCCCTTCCGAGTTGGCTCGATATTTCTATCAGCTCATCCATCATGGCAAGTTCTTTAAGTTTTCTGCAATTACACCATAGTATTAAATTGAACCACAGAAGTGTGGCTGAATTCACCTGTTGTACCAACGACGCAAACCCGTTGTACGTTGGATTCCTCACTAATTTTCCAAGAGAAACTGACGCTATTTCCCTCAGCTTCTACTCCCCCACGTGAATTGGCACCTCCTCCCAAAAACAGTGAGTTATACTGTCTCTGTGCCATATGACATCGATTCTAACCTCATTCTCAGCTACGCCACAGAAAGAGGTGTACCCAGTCGTAATGAACTGGCTCAAAAATATTTTAGAGGTTGAGTTTAAACCCTTGTTCGATTCGCTTCGTGGAGGCAACCGCATCTCCCAACGCTTTGGAGTCGACAATGGCCGTTTGACGACCCTGACCCTGGATGATTTTGACTCCCCCCCCGCAGCGCTTTCAGCGCAAGTCAAGCGTGTTGCTGTTTATCACCAGAACACGTACGTTGCCTCTGATTGAGATCATTTGACGTTTACTTACGCTACAGTGCTAGGATTCTGACTGGAAACCAGGGGCAAGGCAAGAGCCGAACTTGCACACAACATGCTGCAGAGACAGGTGGCTTCCTATTTGCCCTTTTTCACAAAGAGGAGGGCCTACGCAAAACGTTCCCCAACGGCTCCGCGGTTTACGGCTCCCAGGACCTTCAGCTAGCAATAACGGAGATCCTGGAAAACAAGTCCAAATTCAGCGACATAGCCGAAGATCCCCAGCAAATAGAGGACAACAGGGAGGCGGTCGAACATATGGCCTTAACAGTGGCCTGTAGTCGAGTCTTCGTCTTCAATGCCTTCCTTAGGTGTAAGCCGGACGACATATCGCTGGAGGACTGGCTGCATGACTGGACCGCGTTTCAAGTGGCCTCTGTGTTGTGCAACCCGGACGATGCTGGACCTCTCGAGGACATCTTCGTGCGCGTTTCCGCACTGCTTCGAAAAGCGTCTACGGAAGTACTTCTCAGACTCATCGATTTTTTCTGGCATCAAATTACATCGAAATGCCCAAGGTTCTTGGATTTTTTCCCTCTGTTGCTGGACGAGGCTAGCTTTGGCCTACTTCTATGGAATCTCTCTCACTTCCGCTGTCGTGATCTCCCCGATGAACCTTGCTCAGTTCTGACAGAGATATATCTTGTCTGGATGAAGTTGGGCATCTTCACCAGCAGCGTCTTCTCTAGTCAAAGCGGCGTATCGGCGGACACCATGAGGCGCGCCCTTGAGCCTACTGCGACCCTCTCTGGCTGGAAAACAATCGAGGTTTCCATCGAAGGTGGCTTTCGCAACTCGGAGGATCACCGAGAATTCTTACGGAACAAGCTTCAAGGCTGGGCTGACGAAAACGGTATCTCGAAAAAGGCTTTCGAAAGTTTTATGACACGCGCAGTGACGTGGCTTCGTGGTCGGTATGTGCCATTCCAGTCTTCCATACCTCCTGAAAATATCACTCATAGCCGTCTCTTTCGCCTTCAGCTATGAGCTTACGGTGTGGCTCATCGAGCTCATACTGGAGACGAAGACAAGATCTCCACAACGCCTTCTCAGTCGTCTCGTCCTCTTCTGGACCAGAGGTTGGACTGCTACGGATGGTGGACATTTCGAGTCCGCTGAACCTGAGCTTGAGGATAACATCGAGCAGATTATGGAACGGGTAGTAGTGCATCGCATTGACTGGGCTGCTTTCGATAGCTGCACCAACGGTGAGTGATGATTTAGCCTTATCCAGCGTCATGGGAATAGTACGCTGATCGGACCCGCATTTTCAGCTGTTAAACAAGCTGTCTATAACATCACCTTGCACCAAATGGTGGGCGGATTTGGAACTTCGATCACCAAAGAAATAGGCAAAATCATTGAATCTATCCTCGGAAAGCTCATCTACGATGACGGTGACGATACCGATACAGGAATCGCAAGGTTCGACGAACCGTTGGTGTCTTCTGCGGTGAGGGCCCATTGCAGGGAGGCTCTGCTCGACCATATGTCATCTCACTGGTCGGCATTGGACGATCCCGTCTCGAAAGGCTTCGCTTTCGAACGCCAAATCCCAATGGTCATCGTAGATGTGATGGGGGACTTCGCACCATTGGAGGATCTTCTCGAAATTGCCGAGGACTCGAAGTTCGCACACCTAGCAAAACGTGAATTCCGTCTGGTCAGTGTTCGCATGGAGCGTGGTGAGTATGTAGCGTCGGCGGTCTCGGCGACATCGGGCCCTTGCCCCCAGCTCGCCTACCAGACAGAGACGGCCATTGATTACCTAAATTACGTCAAGACTCCCGGGGGCGCGGCAATCATCTATCCTGACAAGCTTGAAGGTCCCGACTTGCACAACGAGATACAGGATAAGAATACAGGGAAGATAGTCGATGTCGTGACACAGGCCAAGCTCAGCGTGAGTTCCGATGGGGTGAGGAATGACGTGTGCAGAAAAGGCGTCGAGAGCCTTGAACCTAGTCGCTTCCACCAGCGATATGACAAGAAGGTGCGTGCTCATTCTATTGCTGCTCTTCGATATTTTGCACCTGCTAATCTCATATACGTCTTTCGTTTGGTTTGTATCTCAGGAGGAGGCGTGGGTTCATACGACCCAATACGGCCCGGACATTCAGAAGCAATGGAAAAATATGAGAAAGGCGCGGTACCCAGGGTATACACCACCTAAGCTGTCAAAAGCAAAAATGGCTGCTGAGCTCAGGAAGATTCCCGACATGATTCCTGTTCTTGCCATCGCGGGGGTGCCGAAGTCGAACTTTTTCAAGGAGCACAAGGATGTCGCGCTGATGAAGCTCCACCACTTCCCGCGACTCTTCGGTAAGACCTGGCCTACTGCTCTCAAGAGGAGCCGGCCTCAGCCTCCGATGCCGAGGTGATCGTGGTCTGCTTTCATTCATTGTTGTCTTATCTATCTCGAAATGTGTTTATGTATTCGGTCCTCTGGGCCTCTTCTCGCGACCTATCCCTTGTGTACTCGTACTCCTACATCCTATGCATTATGCCTCTGTATGTTGCTTTCCGGAAATTTCTCAATATATCACCGATATTTCTATGCTGTCTTGTCATATTAGCCGGGCGATCTAGCCGTGTGGCGACCTGTGTGCTCGATTGTCGGGAAAGGTTGCACAGCTTCTTAAACAGGGTCCGAATTAGGGCTAATATCAGGGGATGGATAATTTCAATGCTCGACCATTGCCAGGTTCCTTGTAAGGAAGCCTGGTTAAGGTCTTTGGGAGGAGGACATCGACGAACTACTTTCCCCCAAAAGCTATTATGTCTGGCAACTTTGTTTTGGTGGAGAGACGACACGGGAGCGCAGTATGGTTTTTCGCACAGCACATAACTGATCAAGAGCCGCGATGAACATGGACTCGGAGGTCACTTGGATTCAGTGTGTCAAGCGTAAGGCAAAGTCTGCGACAGCCATACGAACTATCGAGGGGATGGATACCTCAATGGACGAATCCCGTGCTTGACCAAGCAAAATGTCGAGCATAACGCCTCTGACGAAGAATATTCATAGCTGCGAAGCGACCGAAGAGGCTTCGTAGGCCTGAAGCGCGCGTTGTAGTGAGATAAAAGCACCACATTGATGTAAATGAATTTGCGGGAAATGGATTCGCACAGGGTAAAAAGCAACGGCAGCAGAACCAAGATATTATCTGATCCGTATTGCGTGTGTCAACACTCCTTGTCGTGTCATGCTGACCGTCACAGTACAGAGACCGTGGGCACGGACACGGTGAACAAATCAAACAGAGTAAGAGTACAAGAATACGTTGACTCGATAAATCTCGAAGCCACAAGAGGTGGTATACCGCGAAACAAACCGCGAAGTGAGCGGATCGAAGTCAAACAAGCACCTTCCTCAGCTGCCACACCCTCGCCGGCAACAGCGTGACCGGACACCTACCGCTTTTCTCGACCTCCTCATACGCGCACCTATAGCAGAACACATACCCGCTCGGCAATGCCGTGGCATTCTTGATCCCTTCCCCGCAAATTGGGCATTTGCCGTACTTCCGTCCGTCGAGTTTCAGTCCTTGTGGATGCGGTCGAAGGAGGGCGGGTGGCGGGATGGATGGACCGAGCGGAGAAGATGAGAGCGTGAGCGAGCGGGCGGGGGATGAGGGAGAATACCACCATTCGAGGAATTTGATGAAGAAGATTGTGGTGGGAAGGAGAAGCTTGAGGGAATCGAGGAGGAAGCGAGGAGAGTTGCGAAATATGTGGCGTAATGTGTCGAAGGGAGATTTCGGAGGAGTTGTGGCCGAGGATCTTTGAGCGGCGAGGGACTCCGCGCGCTATACGATAACGAAGAATAAGACCAATGATGAGACGAAGAATGTATTGGATGTAGACTTACATAGTCGTCGATGCCTAGTCGACGTAGGTCGACACCTATCCAGGATAACCACGGTCGGTAATATGGTGTCTTTTCGAACAAATATGCGACGTTGTAAATGAGAAGCCAGTGTTCGAAGCCCATGTTCAGCCATGGGTAAAGCTTCTTGTATAGTCTCCTCCATCGGCCTCGCCAGGTCTAACAGAAGCTCAACAGGTCAGTCTCTCGTTCAAAAAGCTTCAACGATTGACCTGCGACAAGTACATACCTCTTCTGTCAATGCACGAATTTGCCTTCCTCCCGCATCATCGATGAGATCTGAGTCGATCCCTCCGCCAAGGTCCTCGAAGTAATCCTGCGCTTTGGCACGAATGTATGGCAGGCCTACCTATACATTCTTGACTGCTTCGTCGATGTCGTACCATACTGAAAGATACAGAGAGACTTACGAGTAGGAGTAGAGAGCACCATACCTCCCTTCTTCGTAGGTTCTCCTCGGGAAATATACCACCTACAGCTGCTTTAGCTCGTTCGGTCTCAAACAAAGGTCGGCGCCGGCGTTTGAGGCCATAAAAGTTCTCGGAGAAGGAGGCATCTACATTGATGTAAGTAATCACAACTCAAACAAAGAAGCTATACCAGACGAACTATGTTGCCTGAGATAATGCCGTTCCACGAACAGCATGATCAATGCGTAGAACTCTTCATGTCGATTGACTATCCGGAGTAGATATCTCGGATACCTTTGCGCAAAAACCTATCCAACAACACAAACAGTCACTTCAGCCTTATAATATAATCAAAATACAAGCAAGGCATACAGAAAGGACATATTTGAGTGCAGGTTGGAGCAGGTCGCGTAGCTGTTCCTGAGCAATGAGCTCGAAAAGTGACGGCTTGAGGGGGTTTTCGCCCCCAACGATGTCGTTGAAAAACTCCATGTTGTGGGTCAAGGCGCTCCCGGCAAGTGGTTCAAAGCTCGAACCTGATTGAATGCGAGGATAGTCCTAGGAGTACTGAAGCAGAGAGATGGAGGAGAGTGGAGGAGGTCCCAGGTGAGAGCTGATTTCAGGTGGAAGTTCCTGGTGGCGCGCCGCGGAACCGGCACCACAACAAGTTATCACGTGATACGGGGAAATTGTTCGTTTTGTGCCACACATGTGGCAGAATCCGCCAATGACTCCCGAGTCCCATCCATCTCGAAGACAACCACAAAACGGACTTCAAATGAATGTTGTTTGTGTACACCTCTTGTGCCCCTAGGAGGGAAGGCTGAGGAATGAGGCTCGGGCAAAGGAATTGTGGTCGAATTGCAATTTCCGGAAGCACTTCAAAAGCGCGCCTAACGCGACGTAATTCGAACTTCAACCGTCAACCCGTCCTCCGAGTCGTACGAATCAATAATCTTCTTCCTTTCAACCATTGCGGCCACATATACACGCCCAAAAGACACACTGCGCTTCAGTCAAACTGATCCAACCATCGAAAATTTGCACTCAACTCGCAAACCCTGGAGTAACAAGTATGAGCTCAGTTCGAGAGCACACATACCGTGACAGCTACGACAGCGTCAGCATGCCGCCGGGCCCATTGCCTCCAATCGAGCTCGAACTGTGCGTTGTGTTTTTCTTCCTGTCCACCCGTAGTATATTACCTTTGTTCGGTGTATCATCGAGGACCGGATTTGCTTCCGTGTACCAGTATGCCCACGGTTGAAGCGTCAGACGCTGCCTGCTCGTTTCCTCATGGCCAGGGCACATTCCCGAGATTAGATGGCCCAATGGCCGTCATGATGTCTCGCGCATATCCTTAAAGACTGATGTCGTGGAGTTCTTGTCGAGACATCTCATCCACTTGTGTTCTCTGCACATAAATCACCTTCGCTTTGAACTACCCCACACTACGCCACCCCTGCTCTTACTTTCGTTCTTTCTGTTGGTCTGATTGACTGAAATTCTTGCTGTTCTTCAATTTTTTGAAAACTCTCAGTGCTTCTGATTCGGCTCCCATGTATCATCGTGTCCACAGACCCATGCCTCCAACTGATGCACAGCTCGCAACAACAGCACTCGACGAGGAAGCGGCGTATCGCTTTCCTTCATTCTCCGCAAAGTAAATTATTCACTGCCTACAGTCATTCGACCCGCCCCTCACCTTTCCTTCCTTTTGCTTGTTCGACGCTCCTTTCACATGTATCCACATGCACGCACAATCTAGCGACGCCGTGACCCTCGGTCTCTCCCTCCGCAAACGTTTTCGCGGTTCCTCACGCCATCAAAAACTAGGCAAAGGCCTTCTCATCACCATCCAAACCATAGTCGGCCACACCCTCTTCTCGTGCACCGTAGGCGACCTCGGTGCGTCGGCCGGTCTCGGATATCAGGACGTGAGTTTGGATAGCTGGCAGGTGTTGGAGGGGATGGTAGCAGTGGTTCGGAGGACGGGACATTCGAGTTTCTATGTGGAGAAGGGGATGGGGGCGATGGGGAAGACGCCGAAGCAGATGGGGGTGGGGAGTGAGTTTAGGGTGCATGGGGGTGGTGAGTGGTTTGGTTTCTTCGCGTTTGAGACCAGCGTTGTGGTAGCGGGTGGCGTGTGGCGTGTGGTTTGTGGCGTTTGGTTGGTTTCGAATGCTGATATATGGTTTTTTCTCGAAGCATTTCCTGTATGGCTGGATGTAAGTTTTCATTTCATGTGCTTGTTTGCCTTCGAGATTGAAAACCCATCGAGAACGCGCCATGTTGTCCTATAGCGGTAGTCGCCTGTTATTCAGGCTCGAGTACGGACGATCATCACGTACGTCCATCGAATTTTCATATTATCTCAACTCCACGGCTAATACATCCATGTTCGTTCCCCTCTCCTGGACAGCTGGTCGTAACATCATGTCGAGACTACCTGCACAAGATGGCCGACAAAGCGGGACCGCCACCACGATCTACGAGAATGCCCTCACCCGGCCTTCCACCGCCAGACAACAGCTCGGTATGTACGTCTCCTGTGGACGCTATCTCCTCTACGCAGACTTATATTAATTATGTTGATCCCTGACGTGCATAGGAATGGATATCAACTTCGGCCGCAGGTAAACTGTACAGACCACGAGGTTTCGAAGAAGACGATCGCGAGCTTCACGACGAGCATGAACACATGCACTGAGCCTTGTTCTGATAGAGATCCTTCAGCTTCGACAGTAGTGATTAGGAGTATAGGATTCGATTGAGGGCCTACGTATAGTACAGGGTGTGTAAGTAAGAGCGGGGATTGAAGGGGTTGAGTCAATATACGAGCCTTCGAAATGAGGAAGGGGAGGCGAAGGCGAAGGCGAACGTAGGAGCTAGGTAGGAAGGCGGACGACATAAAACAGAAAAAGAAACATAGGAGATATGGCATGCGGTATGGGGACAATGGCGGCCATGTCGTATCACAAACCAATGGCTCCTCCTCAGAACCAAGTTACAAGGGAGCGTGGCATTTCAAATAGAATGAGAGTCACCCTCGCTATCTTCGGCTGATTTGTGATGCTTCAAGACACGAATGGTTTCTTTGGATGTCAGAGAAGAATGAGTAGCACGACGTCAGCGTTGCGTGGATGCACATCAAGAGGTGGACGTACCATGACGGAGGAAGATAGAGCGCTGTCCCTGGGGTGTGCTGGGATCAGCACCAGCGTCCGGCTCGCGAATCTCAAAGTTGGCCTCGACGTAGACGTGAGAACCCTTTTTGAGAGTGCGGAGGTACTGGTTCGACGTTGGGCTGAAAGAGAGGATAGAGTGCCATGTCGTCTTGCCATTTTCTCGGGCTATGAGCCATAAGTGCAAACATATCAGTTATTTGTTCAGAGCGCGACAAAGTCACGGTATGGACGCACTGCCATCAGCACTAGGAGGGGGAGGGGTGGCTTGGGTGGCTACCACGTATCTACGGTGTTAAACCGACGTTAGAATGATGTTTGTAGGGTTTGTAGAAGTTGACGGTCCGTACGATACGTATTCCCTATCCGTCTTCGTGGTGCGAACTTCAGGATCTCTGCCCAAACGCCCGATGAGAGTTAGTTTTGCCATATCTGCAGCGCGAGAGCTGGTTGTAGAGAAAGCCTGGACGTATTTCTCAGTCAGTCAAGGTTGGGAGCTATTCACAATGATCAAAAACACATACGCGTGCAGACGCGCGCGTTGAAGCAGCAGAACGGATGGCTGAGAACATGGTGGCCAGAGAGAGATAAAGACAAGGTATAAGGAGAGGTAAGGAGGACAAATTCACGAGCCGAACGCGGTGGAGACAAGTGATGTTTGTCACAACGTGACTAAAAGTGACCCTTTGTGACAGTGTTCATCTGGGGCTTCCAAATCAGGGGCTGTGACTCTCAGTGAAGAGCCTGCCATCTCCCTCGAGGCCGGAACGTGCATCTTACCGCTCGTCAGCGCACTGTATATTACCTCTTTGCTTTGAATCCACGAATCACAACATGTCTAGACATAGGTTCATACGCAATATGGATCTTGAGGGTCAGTTGTGCATCCGCGACAATATGCCGTGGCATTCGCGACGAGGCTAATTGTTGTGCTCTTCGCAGACGAGCAGGACGATGGGGCCCTTTCTGACGGTGGCGGGGGAGACGATTTGACGCCGGAGCAGTCAGGTTAGTATGCCTTTGTGTGTATTTTTGTTGGCTTGATGTATTGAAGCTCTCACATAGAGAAACTTGAAGCGGGATTGGAACACATTCGAGCCATCATAGGTCCAGAGGAACGGTCAGGCTTCACTGATTCTTTCATCGAGGATACTTTGTGGGATACCTATTTCGATGTGGAGAACAGTGTGAAGTACATTTTAGGTAAGTTGATCTTGAATATCTTATGGTCGGAGAAGCAGCGTGCTCATTACCCCGCGTTAGAGGTACACGAGAAAAGGATGGCGGTCAAGGAACGTAAAGGTGAGCGGTTGGATCCACACTTTCTTCTTAATTGTTATTCTCTTTCCTCGGACATCTTTTCTCGTTGTCGATATTCCTACTGTACCCGTTTATCTTTTTCTTTGCTGTTTGCCTCTTGTCTTTTCTTGCCGCGAGGGGCGCTGTCACCCCCTCAGTTTAAACATCTGTCTGGCAATTACGAGAGAGAGAAGGTGCATTTCCCCTCGCTTGACGTCTCCGGATCCCGTCCCCGCCCTCCAATCCCCATGGTGGTGATCGTCGAAGTTGACTGTTTTCGGAATGCTGCAGAAGAACGCGCCAGACTTGGGCTCTCCGCGGACTCCTTCGACGAGGACGAGGTTGCCACTGGCATCGCCTACGCTGCTCGGCTAGCAGCCGACGCCTACAACTTTGGTGGCCAAAATTCTTATCCCAACAACATCCCGCTCATCGCTCTGGCTCAACCGAATGGACCGGAATATCTAGAGCAGGAGGGTTCCTTCATCGACGACGCCGCGACTTCGAAACGACCTCTAAGCAGGATCACGGAGAAGACTGAGATCTCGGACATATCATACGCGAGGCCTATGGCGCAGGAAACGGCTTATAATCAGGCGTCATTGAGAAGTTCAACTTCAACCTCATCATACGGAGAGGTTATCGGTCAGTGGCATGCGCCTTCCTGCCTCGCTCCGCTTATTGATTAGATCTTATTGTTTTCAGAGTCGAAGCTAGGTAGGGGCCCCCCTAGGATGTCATTCGAGTCGACTGCTACCATTCCCGATCCGAACGATATCCCCCCGTCACCTTCACCGTCTGCGTGGCAACCACTTCCTAATCAGACTCCGAGCGCACCCTCTGCCGTCTCCTCTGGCTCTCGAACACCTGATACCATACCTGCTCGTCCACCCAGCGTGCCTTTGCCTCCACTCGACTTGATTCCTGACATGCCCGACAATCAGTCTAGAACGACTCGCGTACGAAGTCCTGAACACCATAATGCAATACCCGTTCAGGTCTTCCGGAATGGGTCTTCCAAACGAGTGCTGAGTCCGAAGCGAGCTCTCAGTCCACCTGTCGACGTCGACAAGCCATTACCGCCACCGCCCCCACCATCCGAACCTCGCTATTCGGTAGCTCAATCCATCGCCACCACTGCACCCACGGAGCCCCAGCAGAAGAAACCGTCCAAGTTATCTACCCTTGCGACTTCGAGAGCTGCAAGTTCGAGATACAGCACGGCCACGAGGAGTTCCAGGCAGAGCGCCACTAGCGTCGGTGGGACATCCATATTGACATATCCTGCCCTCAGGCCTTCGAATGAGTCGATTATGTCGATGATCTCCGAGGAAGCTCCTTCGGAATCGGCCTCATCCACTGACACCATCGTTCGTCGTGCTATCCAGACCGCTTTGGACCAAGAGGCCGAGGATCGTAATGGGCACAATCGAGCCATAGAGCATGAACAGCAACCCAAGCAACCCACGGGGTCTCCCTCCAAACTCTCTTCCTCGACAAGCTCGCAGTCTACCGTTCGTCCTACTTCGTCGCCTGCATCTCCCTCGAAATTGCAAGCTCGTGCGGTGGCTTCCTCTGTAGCGTCCTCTGAGGCACCCAAATCAACGCAGAAGTCGACTCAGCCGTCGAAACTTGCCATGTACGCCCAATCCAAGGCTAAGCCCTATGTGCCGAAGCCGAAAGCCCCACCTCGCCCTTCATCGCCCAATACACTCTTGCACAGCACGACAACCGAATACTTAACTCCGATAGCGAACGGACCCACTGCGACGACAGCCATCACCACGTCCTATCAAACTCTCAATCACCTCATGTCGCCTGCTAAATCTGTACTACCTCCCTCTTTCCCTCCTCACGACTACAAACCTACCCCTGGTCTTGCGAGTAGTCACACTGAAAAGAAGACGAGCTCTGGCGAGCCCAAACAGTCAAAATTGGCTATGAAGGCGAAGAAGTCACATGCGAAACCTGAGGTCAAGGCTAATGATGCAGAGGAAGCAATGGAGGATGAGAAGGCGTGGCTACCGGTCCCGACTATATTCTTGCCGGAAGCAAGTCGCTCCTGTGCGTCGCCCTCAACGTTTGCTTCACTCCTCGTCGACGACAACCCTCTGACATCTACCACTCATTCCACTTATCATCCTCAAGTCAAGAAACATAGAAAAGGAGAGAAAGAAAAGTCGTCTGAGGATAGGGATAGGGATAAGGGTGCTTCCAGGGAGCATCGCCACCACCGAACGGGCAGTCGGAGTAGAAGTCGGTCCAGAACGCGACATACATCAGAGGATGGGACGGAGAGGACCAAGTCAGTTCGCAGACATAAGTCCACGAAACACTCAGTACCAGCGCCGCCTGCACCTACGGCCAATTCGGGAACCAAAGGAGCGCCGTTCGCTTTCGATTCGCCGAGTCCGGACGATATCGTGTTCAACGCGAGGAAGGGAACTTCGCTCGCGAGATCACAGTCCACGGCGTCGACCATCCTTCCACCTTCAACGGTTCCATCGAGGGGCCCTTCTTCGGTTGCGTCTACTGCGAAACGCTCTCGTGCCTAAAGACATCCACATTCACATATTCACAAGATCGCAACCATCATTACCTGCATCATTACCTTCGTCATATCATCATTTCCTGCCACCACAACGTTTTCTCCCGTTCCATTGTTCTATCGTTTATCAACTTTCGGACTTCTACCCTTGTCTTCATATTCCGAACTGAACTGTGCATTGTTGACTTTCTTGTTGTTCCATTGGATGTACTGACTAGACCCACCTGTTTGTTGTGCCAACAATAATGATTCTAACGACTTCTCTCCTCGTTTCCACCACTTTTTCACACAGCCGCCAAAGAACGCGAGAAAACGCAGAAGCTGGCAGCGCAGAAGAAGGTCGCCGAGGCTGCTTCGGCCGCTACCTCCCGCGCCACATCACCTGTTCCTGGCTCCGGCTCACCTTCCAAGAATGCTCATAAAGGAGGTAAAAAGGCTGCGGGTTCTGGACATACGGGAACGGGGACGCCCCTGAAGAAAGGTAATGTCGTGGAACAGAAGGATTTGGATATGCAGGGTCTGAACTTGGGAGAGAAGGATGAAGAGGGTGTAGTCGACGAGCCACCACCGAAGATGTCGATTGCAAGGGAGAAAATCATAGAAGAGGCAAAGAAAGCTTTGGAGGAAGAGCAGAAGGGTGGGAAGAAGGGTGTCAGTCTCGTCGTTATTGGTAAGTTTTTTTTTTCGCTTCAGTTGGTTTTTCTTTCGATCTGGGTTGGGCTAACATTTAATGTTCATCAACAGGACACGTGGACGCTGGAAAGTCGACGTTGATGGGCAGGTTGCTGTATGAACTGGGAAGAGTAGATGAGAAGAGAAAGACGGCGAATGAGAGGGCGAGTAGTAAGATTGGTAAGGGGAGTTTCAGTTGGGCTTGGGAGCTGGATGGAACGACAGAGGAGCGTGAGCGGTGAGTCTCAATCTTTACCAATGCCAACCTTCTCAGACCCAGCTCATGGGCGAACACAGAGGAATCACGATGGATGTCGCCCTCCAAACTCTCGAGACACCACATCGCCACATCACAATCCTTGACGCCCCAGGCCACAAAGATTTCATCCCTAACATGATCTCTGGTGCATCACAGGCGGATTGTGCGCTTCTTGTCGTGGACGCTTCCACAGGGGAGTTCGAAGCTGGATTTGAGAGGGGTGGACAGACACGAGAGCATCTAGTGCTTGTGAGAAGTCTCGGTGTGGCACAGGTCGTTGTGGCGGTTAACAAACTCGACCAGGTACAATTTACCCTAAAATTTTACTCACGTCACTTCTGACTATTTTTTAGGTTGGTTGGGCAAGTGATCGCTATGAGGACGTCTGCTCTCAACTCAAACCTTTCCTGCTCCAATCTGGATTCCATCCATCGAAGACACGTTTCGTACCGGTGGGCGCTATGGCTGGTATCAACCTCCTAGATCGCGAAGGCGACGAAGCAAAAAACCTACGAGCATGGTATAGCGGTCCAGCATTGGTCGATCTGCTCGGTGATCTTCTCTTGTTTATCCACGCATTCCCATCCACCTAATGCAGCATTATGTGCGCTCGTAGACGTCCTCCAACCTCCAACGCGCGACATCACCGCGCCACTCCGTTTCCCTGTCTCGAATGTGTTCAAAGGTCAAGGCTCCGGCACAGGTGTCTCTGGCCGGTTATGCGGCGGTATAGTCCAGGTTGGAGAAAAACTTCGTATCCTACCAGGCGATGAGACCGCCATCGTCAAATGTGAGCCCTTCAGCCTTCTCCCCGATAAATCGGCATTGATCTCTATGTTCTTGCCATAGCGATCGAAACTGAGTCAGAGAGCCTCCCATGGGCCGCAGCTGGGACGAACGCAACGCTATATCTCACCGCGGTAGATCCTATCCACCTCAATATCGGCAGCGTGCTGTGTCCCACGACAGATCTGATTCCTATGGCTGCATCATTTACGGCGAGGATCATCGTGTTCGACATCCAGGTCCCTATCCTTGCCGGTTCATCTGTGAGTTCATATATAGCCGTCCATGTACTATCACAAGGTTGTTGATTCATTCGTATTCGACTCATGTTTCGTGCGATTGCCACTACTTACCTTACTAGGTCGAATTATTCCACCACTCACGAGACGTGCCCGCTTCAATCTCGAAGCTCAACGCCACACTAGACCGTGCCTCAGGGAACACGCTCAAGAAGAACCCTCGGTACGCACCACTACATCACTTTCACCCCCCACCCCCATTCTTCTTTCCCTTTTCTTGCCTCTATGACAGGTAAACAAACGCTGACCACCTTCGTTACTCGTCCCAGTGTCTTAACGAAAGGCACCTCGGCCGAAGTCCAGATCAACATCCGACCCGCATCCCTCTCAGGCCCGAACTCTCGCGCTCAACCTATCCCTCTAGAGCCGTTCTCCGTCAATAAAGAGATGGGCCGGATCCTCATTCGGAGAGGGGGAGAGACCATCGGCGCTGGTACGCTTTCGTTCCTTCCCTCCTTGCCTTTTCCTTCCGTTTTGACCTCATCTCGTACCTGTCTCGTGTGGCGGTCGGACTGGCGACTACGTTACTTTCAGGCATCGTCTTGGACATCCTTAATTGAAAGCTGAAGGAGTCAGTCGTCGGCAAAGGCACAATCACACGCATACACACACATAGTACACGCCGCAAACACGAACGGGCGAAGTGAAAACCAGAATGTATCGATAGAAGGTTCGCTCTAGGGCAGACAGACGCGGCCCTGATCTCCCCGTCACATACAGTTAAGTTACCGTATGTACGATATGTAAACTCAGTATCCGGTATCCATTATCAAAAGCCATGTATCCAGCCAAGAAGAGACGTAGTCGAAGAAATGAGGAGGAAGACCAGGACATATTTTGTATACGCGCCCAAGGACGTGAAGGAGTTGGGGGAGAACACGAACACCAAAGCATCGAAGCTGGAGCTTGAAGAGACGACCAAGTTCTGCAGACAAGAGGAAGCCAAGACAACAAATCGACCGGGGCCCCTTGAAAGGAAGGCGCTCGAAAGACTATAATGACATGCGCATGCACTGTATTGTCCGTGCATAAGTAATACTGCATGTCGTATGGGGAAGCGAGGCAAAGATATGGATATGGGGATATGAGGACGTTGCAACAGACATGAAAGGGTGATCGTAAGGGACATAGAGGAACTCGTAGCTCGTGACGATATGTTATGGATGATGGGTGGGTGGGAGGCATGTGGGTGTGAGTGTGAGTGCGGTGCAGGAGAAAGAGGGAAGAGAGAGATAGAGATAGAGAGAGGGAGGGAGAGGTATCCGAGTGACTACGGGCTAGACTAGACAGAAACAGAGACAGACAGACAAAATATGCAGATGGTACACAGAACACAGAACATCGATAACTCTAACATAAATAGAGAGGGGGGAAGCAATATAAGAGCGCGGGAAATAGAGGGAAGAGGCGAGGAGTGAGAGATGCAGAAGATATGATTCCACAAGGAGACAAAGAAAATATATGAGGAAAACAACAGAGACCACCGAACCGAAGAAGTAGAAGAGTATGCATACTTGTGTCGCGTTGTTCGGAACCCGGGCGAGAACGAAGAAAAGCTTCAACCAAGGACAAAGGAAGGACCGAAAACACGGCAGTTCACGAACACGAGGACCGCCTCGTAAAATTCGAGCTCGCTCACTTCTTCAAAGGCGAGCTCCCTTTCTCTCCCTTCTCCTTCTCGTTCCCGAAGAGGCCCTTGATCTTGCCAAAGACACTGCTCTTACGCTTCACGCGCACGCTCGGGAACCGCTCAGGACTGTCACCACCACTTTTAGTGCTGCTCTCGCTGGGGAACGCCAAGCTCTGGCGCCACTTCTTCTTCGTCGTCCCGCCCGGAGAGCTGGTGGTAGTACTCCTTTCACTAGCAGGCGCAGGTGACGACCGGCCATTCTTGGTGGGCGTAACGGGTACGGGTACAGGCGCAGACGTGCCGTTCGCAGAACCATTGACTGGAGCAGCTGGGGCTGGGGTCGACTCTGCTGCTGGAGGTGGAGGTGTCGATGGCGCTACCGTCTCGGGTGCAGTGGTAGTCTCAGCTACCGTTTCATTTCCGGAGACCTCGGCCACGGGAACGACTTCTTTACCTTCACCAACGACGGGCGGAGCAGCCAACACCTCCGGGGCCTCCACCTTCTTCTCGCCTTCCACCACCTCGACGGCCTCGACGGGCACCTCCGCTGCGGCGGTGGCGACGGCATCCTCCGTCACCGGCTTGACCTCGACGTCCTTCGGCTCACCTTCAGGCTGCGCTGCGAGAACAGGTGGCGCGACTTCTGTGGCGGTCGATTCGGCTGGGATGGCTGGGACTTGGACGACTGGAGGTTCAGCAGCAGCTGTGGGAACGGCTGCGACGTCGGCTTCGGAGGCCTCTTTAGTGGGTTCGGTCTCTTCTGGAGCGATGGCAGTGTGTGTGGATGGACCCTCCTCTGCGTCGGGAGGTGGAGCGGAAGTGATGGCGCTCCCGGGGATAATTTCTGGCTCAGGGACAGAAGCAGTAGCAAGGGGGAGAATGGGGATAGGCACAGCGGGCGCGGTGCTCGCCTCGACCTATCAAAACGTACAAAGGCGCTCATCATCAACATACAATTCGCAAAGAAAGGTGAGCGTAAAATCCAACCTCGATATCCTCGACCTCGGCCTCCCTGCTCTCTACCTCCGTAGCACTAGGAGCAACTTGCGCAACACTCTCCTGCACCTTCTCCGCGACCGGCGCGGCAGTCTCCTCAACCTCCGCAACGACCGGCGCTGCCGTCTCCTTCGCCTTCTCTACAACAGGCTCAGCGGCCGACACGGTCGGAGAGATCGCATCCTTAACCTCCTGGATAAAGCTGCGTGGCTCGGCCTCAACGGCGGGCGTGGGCGCATCGTACGCCTCGTCAATTTGGTTCGCGAAAGCGACGGCTGGAGCGACGATGGCCTCATGCAGCTGGCCTGCGATTGAAGACACTGTACCTCCGATCAGTCCCACGAACGAGAGTCGTGTCTCGACCTCCTTACCAGTGCCCGTACCAGCGGCGTCAGACTCTGCCGCTTTCGCAGTCGGAGTCGCTTGAGGCTCCGGTTCTGGGACGTCGACTGTTGGTGGTTCTTCGACGACCGCTGGCGGTTCTGGTCGTGATGGTGCAGTGTAGACGTTGTTGACGAAGCCTCCGTGGTCAGTCTCTGTTGGCTCGCGGTCGGAAGTAACCCAGTGGCCGTCGACGATGAATTTGTAGGTGATCTTATCTTGCCATGGGATGCGAACAGGGGCTTCGAAGCCATTCGCGGTACGAGTGAGATTGACAGAGGAAGACCACTGCCAGGTAATAAATAGAGGATTAGGACCAGCCGGTGGTGATACAGATGAACGTTGCGAGGAAGATGAAGAGGGAGAAGGAGCCGGTTCAGGCGGTGGGGCGGGTTTAGGGGCCCATCGAGAGATGAAAGATGGTAGACGAAGAGCAAGGCCGGCCGTGATGGACGGCATGGTAGGAGTACAGAGATGGATACAAAGAGCGAAAGAAGGGGGTGCGGTGTGGATAACTCGCCTGGTCGAAAGAGCCTGTTACAATAACATGGTGGGCATCTGAATAAGGCCTATATAACGCAGTCAGTATGAAGACCATGCAGAACGGGCGTGGGCAGGCTGTGGTCGGCATGGACGCACCATCTGAGGACAACCTGATGGAGCTCGTCTGATGCCGACATGGTGAAGAGCAGGCTGGAGCGAGGAAAGGTAGATATCGGGGGCGTGGACGTGGGGTCGTAAGCTTGCAGAAGACGCAAGGCAGAAACGTGGGCGGGAGTGGATGCCGGGCACGCTGTACTGAACGCGTCAGCTAGCTTGTGATAACGAGGACGACGCTCTGCTCACCGTTTTATACAGCTAGGAGAGGGTGTTGGGCGTCGTCGACGGCGGTGAGGAACTGGCGCGCAAGGCGGGGTAAGCAAGCGAACCTAGGAACGCGCTTTGCCTTGACGTAACCAATGCTTCCTTTCCGCACGATCTGCTCCTCATTTGCCACATTCCGGTCATATTCGGCCCATATCCATCTTATGCTCTCCCCCAAATGTTCCACGGTTGCAGGACGTATGGTTGATATGAGCACAGGCATGCACCGTTGCTTGAAGGATGTATGGAAAACTGAGGCCTGAGGTACCAACGAAACGAGAGCAACATGGAAGAAATACGCTACAGTCAATTACCCCGTGGTGGGCCAGTACCCCGTAATGGGTCACCTTCCAAATGCGGGCGCTCGACACCTCATATGGTGGAGTTGTGCTCCCATTCGAAGCTTTGGAGCATGATATCATAGCATTTTTGGCCTTTCGATGCCAGCCCTCACCGTAAACAGTAGGTGACCCATTACGGGGTACTGGCCCACCACGGGGTAATTGACTGTAGTGTGCCAAAAAGCAGTCGGAGCTTGAGCTTAAGCAGAGAATAGAGTTGAACATGGAAAAGCCAATGAAAGATAGAGAGAACAAGCAGGTTTGACATCCAGCCATATACCAGCCATCAAACGGCCGGAGGCTAATCATTTGCTTGTGATAGAAGTGAATCCTCGCGACAGGTTGTCCGTGTATGCTCCACGAGGTGAGTCTGCTCAAGCAGCGCGACTGGCCAGCTTTGCTTTGACTACTGCTATACTTATGGGACCCAAGTCGAAAACTTCGGCGCTCAACGCAAAGCCAAGACACTTCTTCAAGACTAGAACTCTGATCAGCTTCCTTGTATACCTGGTTTTGGTCATCTTGCGAAGCACCTTCGAGAGACCCTTCTGCTTCAACGCAAGAGATATCCAACGTTACTGGACGTTTTACACCTAGGATACGCAGTCGTGCTTGATGGGTACATACGCTCAACGTATATCACTTGTGAGTAACACTTCACGGCACAGGGCCACTTATGATCAACGTGCAGAAAAGTGCAAGGTAAAAAAAATTAGAAATGGGTCTTCGGAGGAGTGTGGGTATCGTGGCCCCTCCCATGGATTGTGGCGTCAAATTTGAGAGAGGCCGTCGGAGTGCTTTACCCCGAACATCATGTAATTATCGAGAAACATTCTTCTTCTTCTTCCTTGGCTTCGGATGCGCAACAACTAGAAACTTCACGCAAGCTCGTTTGACTGCGTCCTTCTGCAAAACCGAGGCAAGACGGATATGATAATGGACTATGCGTAGAGAATCCCCGATTGTGAGTACAGATGCTTCGTCGGACTAGGAACCAATGTATTCATCCTTTGGCTCCAATTTGATTTTGTGGATACAAACTGCAATGTAGTATCGGCCTTATTCGCTCCTTTAATCCGCTGGGACGTCTTCGACTTGGGCCAACTTTACCGAACCTGAAGTTTACCGCATTCTACGATCGCAGAGCGTGTGGAGGACAAACTGGCTTCTTACCTGACATGCTTCTCTGGTTCTTGATCACTCTAATGGCTCTGGTTGAATAGGAAAGTGATGCTCACTGCCACCACTGCGCATTGGGATCAGGGAACCAAAGTTGTCTCATTTGTCGTCTTGTCCAGGTCCAATGCTACCGTAACTTCCTTCTTCCTGTAATGGTACGCGTCGACGATCTATACCGGCCATCAAAAGGCCAAAGCCTAGTGTTTACGAAAGGGTCCAAGACGAGTAATGTTCTCACCACCACTGTACCCTCGCAACAAATTGCACTCCTATGTTCACGTACTGTACCCGAAGTTGCGTCCATTAGGTGAGTTTTCTTAACACCGACCACCAATTGGTGCACCTCGCGCTGACGACTACTGTATGGGGCGAAGAAGTCGACAGCTTTGACGTTCAACGTAAAGCCAGGAAACTTCTCGAGGACGATGATCGTTCAACTTCGAAACCCTTACGCTTCGAATGCAACATATCCCCTTTTTCGATAAGTTGTGGATCCTGTATCCCGAGTGGTGCGAGAAACAGCGGACGGTTTCGAGCGACGACGGGCACAGCAACGTTCCGAGTGAGCGCCTGAATTCGCTTCTTTTACTTTCTGCCTGTCTATAAAAGCCCCCGGACGAACCCTGGCCTCCAGAAACAACTCAATCCAGCTATCTCTCGTCTCGCTCCTCCCCCAGTCTTTGAGCTATCAAGTGCACCTCTCTTTGTGCAACATTCCTCCACTTCCTCTTGCCTTCCATCCTCGAACTATGCAAACCCGCGTCGCCCTCATCACTGGTGCTGCTCAAGGCATCGGAAAATCCATAGCTCTCCGTCTCGCCGCCGATGGCCTCGACATCGCCGTCAATGACATTCCTTGCAAACATGACCTTCTCCTTGCTTTGCAGGCCGAAATCCTCAAACAACACCCTGACCAGAGATGTCTCGTTTTGACCGGTGACGTGACCGTAGAGGACGACGTGAAGAGAACGGTTGAAGAGACAGTGGAGAAGTTGGGTGGATTGGACGTGGTAAGCTAGGTCTCCCTCGAGTCTCGTCCACGGTCGTTCTTCTGTTGCTATTCGCAAACCCTCCGGAAACACCGCAGAGTTGCACATATGCTTTATGCCTCACCTCGAGGCTTAGGCTATCTTGCTTCTAGATAACCTTTCTGGCTTCTGGCGCCCCCTGTCTATTTCTGCCCTGTCTATTTCGGTGCCGCTGACCCACATTCTCTCACTTCTGGCCTCCCGTGCAGATGGTGGCCAATGCCGGCATACTGATGATGAACTCTTTTTTGGACAGTACGTCACCATCTACCCGTTCCCCGTCCCGCATTTTTTTTCTGTTCTGTGAAAGACATGTTCACTGATCGGTCTTTCTTGCCCTTCTGTGACCTTTTGGTGTTCGTGATCGGACGCGCTGTGATCTTGGTGTTATAGTCTCCGTCGATGATGTGGACAAAATCTTTGCGGTCAATTTCCGTGGTATCTTCCTCTGTGCGTTCACCCTTCGTCTTCCCTATCATCTCCGTCGTGAATGACTGACATTTTTTCCGTCAATTCTACTCGGCGCAGGCTATCAATATGCTGCGAAACAGATGATCAAGCAAGGCCGAGGCGGGAAGATCATCGGCGCTTCGTCAAGAGCAGGCAAACGCGGTCGTTCTGGCGCGAGTACTTACAGCGCAACTAAATTCGCCGTCAGAGGATTCACGCAAGCTGTCGGTGCGTGCATACTAATTCTCTATCTCTCACTCCTATATCTGAGCTTTGAATGTTTGAACGCCGGCATACAGCGGGAGAGCTTGGACCGCATGGGATCCAAGTAAACGCCTACGCACCTGTGAGTTTTCGTCTCTTCTCTTCCGAGAAGTGTAATCGTGATCATAGCTGAGAACATTCTTCATTCTACAGGGTGTGATCATGACAGACATGAGTGAGCATTGGCGCTGCCGAACTGAGTTTCCTGTGCTCAACTTTTTGTATATCATACAGTCCGAGCGGCCGCGGAAGAACGAACGCCAGACGCACAAGCTTTCCTGAAAGCGGTCCGTATCCCTCTATTTTCCGCTCTTCTCGTACCTTGTAAAGATGAGTCTCATGCCAATGATCATTCTAAATAAATCGGATACGGATACACAGGAAAGTAACAACGCAGCACTCAAGAGGATCGGAGAACCAGAGGACGTAGCTTCCGTCGTGTCTTTCCTCGCGTCGAAGAACTCGGATTATATGACTGGTGAGTCTATCTTTTTGTTCAACCGGCATGCCTGTGCTTGTGCGCTTATTACTGTGCTATTCTTAGGCCAAACTGTGCGTATCTTCTACTGCCTTTTATCTGACCTTACTAGGCACAACGGATCTCTGATTTTCTAAACTGGATTTCTCACTCTAGCTCACCATTGATGGAGGACGACACTTTGATTAACGTGGTGCTTCTCTCAGCCATGATGCATGATGTTTGATGCTCGATGCCTGATATGTCTTTGCTTTTGTCTCATCCCTGTACATTTCCGTGCAGTTGCTTTCTGTCTAGTAGAGCCGAATGATACCCATGATACTATGCACTCGTATATCGCGAATTTTCGAATTACTGGGTGTATGACATCTCGATATCAACACTGTCTTGGTCTTATAATCAGTATATGGCGATGAAGAACACTGAGAGTGTGCTGCACCAGCAGCGTACAATATATAACTGGCAACACATTCGCACTGTGGCTTTTGGCGTAACACAGCCTTGAAAGCCCGGGCCGTGTCTGTCCCGAGTTACCTGTTTTACCATATATAGCCTGTCTGAGCTTGGACAGCTGGCAGTGGTGCTTCGCAAGTCTTAGTAAATAATCTTGCGCTCGTCGGGTTATGCACGATTGCTATGGCACACAGCGTCAAGAGCCACATTTCTCTTTCTTCCTGATCAGCCTTCAACTGAGGTGCAGAATCACACCATTAACGGAGCCGACGAATTGTTTGCGAGAGTCAGATCAGACTGAACATGGATACAACGGCTATGGCACGCTGTATCCGAAATGGTTTGCATAATCACTACTACATCGTACATAGTGGGTAGTGGCTTGGCATATTGGGAAAGCTCGAACTATTCAATCAACGAAACGGCGGCCCTATCGCGTAATGGTAAGTCTCCGATTTAGCTGGTCGTAACAGCTCAGTGCTCATGCATACCTCGTAATTCCCCATCTTCTTTGACTGCCTTTGTTGGGGTTCAGCGGCGGGGCGGTGGTTGATAACTATCGGACCAACGGCACGCTACACTGCCGCAGTCTGACACCCTGTGTCTATATGGAGTGCCGTCCTTCCTGTAACCAGTCGCCCAGGTGCACTGGTCGACCGGCTGGGACTGTATCGCACCATGACACGCGCATGGAGCAGTGGAGGGCTGGGAGGGGTTTGAAGATAAGGCCATGGTCTGACATAGAAGAACTGAGCATAAAACACAGCGGGAAGGTTGGAAGTCTCGCTTACCTGTGTTTCGAGGAAGGCGGGGTTGAGTACACTGCAGCTGATCCCCGGAGTCCTTATATACTTTTTTGGAGCCTCTAATCCTGCTAAATTTTATTGAGACGCGAGATTACGTAGAGGCTTCTACTATGCTGCGCCACCCTTCCTCGTTCAGGTTGAAAGGAGTTAATCCTTGCGTGCCGTAAATCCCTAGGACACCTCTCCTAGCTTCAGGACAATTTCCGGGATCGCGAGGAAAGATGGGCGCTGACGTGTAAAGACCCGCCAATAAAGGTTTTGAACACATACAATCGAAGTTGCAATCGAGCATAACCATGTAATTCTTCGTGGGCGACAATAAAATATCAGAGTATGATGCCTGTATGACTTGAAAACATACGTGCATGGTAGTTAGAGCTTTTGTAGAGCGTCGATCTTAGACATTGCCATTGGTTGGTTTGAAGCGCTCAGTGGTGGATCTGAATGCACTTGCAACAAAAAAATCCGTAACTGTTGTATGCCAAGCGATGATAAGAAGTTCTGACTGCGCCCATGACTTTATTGTTTATCGGCACTGTTAGATTATGGCTCGGTGCCGTGTATGCGAGCCTGAGGTATTTGGGTGGCGGCGTGGCCGTTTGAGGGATACTTCAAAGCGTATCAGACGCAGAAGAAGGAAATTTTAAAGAAGTATCTTATCTGATGGTTCACATCAGAGTCAGATTTATGACTAAAGGAGCAGTGGGGCCCGTCAAACGATCGATATACTATCAAGTATTAGCAGTCGAAGATACTGGCTTCGAGCACATAGATTCTGTCTCATGCTCAAATGGTTAAGTTAAGCCGATGAACCGCACTGATCAGTGATTCTTGAGGTAGATATATTAGTGAGGGTCAATATAAATACCAGCACAAGGAACGAAGAATCACAATGCCAACACCGTCCGCTTCGGACTAGTCAACTGGTACAAAAGGGACGCAGGCAGCAGCCGCGTCACTCCCCAAGGACTTTGAAGTCATTGACACGGGGGCGAATGTCTCAAAGGCCTTGCAAAAGCCAAGAGAAAAAGAAGACTCGAGTAGAGACAGTGACTGAATGTACGACTAGAGCGGTGTAGTAGTGGATACTTACAGGGCGAGTGTCCAGCAAAGCGCTAATACTTAGAGATTTTGCGCCACCCGGAATCTGCCGAAAACGCTCAGATTCTCCAGAACGCGGAATGCGTGCACAAGGAGGCACAAGGCGACAATAGAGCGTATCCGCGAAGAATTTTTTGAACTCGCTAAAGCCCAACGGGACTCGGGGATTGGTCCGATCACCGTGTTAAAGTCGCTGCAGACTGGCGTCTTGCCTCTGGCAAGTCTGATAGGGCTTTCCCAGATTCTGGGTGGCGAAAACTCTCTGATCTAATCAAGCGCTGGTGATTTGGGAGCGGACTACAAAATCCAGGCGCTCTGTCCCACGGTTCCACAACCTCGACGTGCATCTCTGACTCTGAGGAAGTTTGGACACCTACGCTAGAGGTGAGTACTAATACTAGAGTGTATTTTCGACAGCAGGTATATCTATCTTTTGTTTTTATGACACTGCTTTCAGAAACCGTCAACAGATCAGAAATGACGTCCGGAGACAACGAAGGCCCCTTAGGCACCCAACACCTTCGTCTCACCCATAAGCAGCAAGCCTGGGATGTGGACATGGAGAATTTTGCGTTTTGGTCTCTTGTTTGGACTGATGGCGAAGATCACTGGCACTACAGATATCCATCCCGCCGCCTCCCCGAAGACACGTCCGTCCTTATACCGCATGCTGTCAAAATACCCCAATCCTACTACCGGGTTCCGATCTCTGCCGGCATCGCACTTACGCCCACGCCACTTCCGGTACCAGAAGACAGCTTCATCAAGACTTATAACCTTATAGAATATGATCCAGAGACGTCGTCTCAGAGCAGCGCGCTTGCAGATCTGTTGCTTCAAGAGGCTCAGGTCTGTGAGATCCTCGCAAAACATCCACATCGTCATGTCTGCGAGTATCGTGGTTATGTCCAAAAGAATGGGATGATCACGGGCCTGTGCTTCAAGCAATACGGAAAGAACCTATATGAGGCTCTGAGAGATGGAGATGTCATCGATCATAGGAAAATCCTTGATGGGGTGAAAAGCGGTTTGGAGCATCTTCACGCCCTCGGACTCGTCCATGTGGGTATCACGTTTACTTCTTCTCCTTTTTTCTTTTCTTTTTTTTTTCGGACGAACACAATGATCAGAATCTAACGAGGCTTGAACATCTACAGGGAGACATCAACCCCGCCAATATACTCTTAGATTCGACCTCTGCGCCGATCATCATTGACTTTGATTCTTGTTGTCGACAAGGCGAGCGCATCGTCGGCAAAGGCGGTACGTTCGAGTGGTCGAATGATGCAGAAACCGCGGAGGTAGAGAATGACTTCTACGGCCTTGAGAAGATTGCGGATTGGCTGCTCAAAAGGGGTGGGGAGGACCATGACTCCGAATGTTGACAAAGTTCTTCGCCGCGATCGCAGGTAAATATTGTCGCGTTTATTGTCTACCTGAGCCCCATTCTCGTTGCTGTTGCCTATACTGAAACAATGACTTATTGTTATAGGCGCATGCAATACATCGATGCTGCCAACGTGGGCAGAGGGGCGTGGAAGGTGACGAATCGAGTTAGACAAAGGCGTTCAGCTTCTGCTGGAATTGAGAATGTACCCTACGAGCTGCAAAAAATGAGAATGGCTTACCGACGTTACTCCACTTAAAGGACGTTATTGTGCCACATAGTTCAATTAAAAGCACGAGGTTTAGATGAACCGTAAAGATCAGTATCCTTTATGGACAAAGAGACGAGGTAGACAGATACCTGGCCATATTACCTTGTACCATAGTGCAGAACGATAGTCAGAGCTACTTTCTTCGGACCACGGACGGTCCTGCATAGCAGCAGCGTGGTCGAGTGGTCGAATAGTGCACTGCACCTCTCAGGTGTGAACATACCATTCGAAGTCGACTGGTAGGCAATGATCCATGCAGTCGTTCGAGCAGATGAGAGACGACTAGGTCAGATGAAGAAAGACGAGGCGTGAACATTGTAGGCCCCTGGTTACCCTAGGACCACGCGAGAATCCAGTTCTGTAGGCGCTCAAGGGATGGGAAACACCGAAGCATTGACCATACGGCTATGTTGTACGAGGTTGTACGCCGTCGACTTCATCGTGAACAACGAAGGACCGGACGCCACGAAGCTCGCAAAGAAGAGTCACGACGACGCCTGGCGATATCACGCGGTCAGGCCCGAACAGAGCGTCGGATGGAGGAGGGGAAACCCCTACCATATTCGCGGTTCGTGAGCTCGAACTGCTGCTGCTTTTCTCATGGACATACACATGAAAGTGCTAATAGACAAGCATGGGGGATGCAGTAGCTGTAGAATATATGCACAGTAGGTGGTAAGTCACAAGTTCGTCATGCTGCCACTCCGATTGACCCCATGCTGCGTAGTTGAGACAAATGGAGAGCAACTGTTGCAGCTGTTTCCTACTGCACTTATACCCATCACACCGTCAAGGCCTGACAGACCACTTGTGCGGAACTTACCCTTTGTCTGTCACCGGGCCCACATTCCATAGTCTGCGTGGATACCATGAAAGTCCGTTAGGCAAGCAGACCTCTGAGTTCAGGTATATGCGTTGACGAATACAGGTATACGATGAGCACAAAAGGCTAGTCCAGTCTCGAAACATGGAATGTGAGAGCACGAGTACAGAGACTGGACGAGCCTAGTCCAATTCTGGACAGAACGAACAGAGCAGAAGCGTTCCGTTATCCTGCTGCGAGTGAGCCGTGAGTAATGAAGAGCTTCGATATAGAGTTGACGACGAGTAAACTGTGGGGACAGACGTCGTGTGGACGATTTGAGGCAAGAATAGTGCAGATGCAGAAGAGTACCTGTGATGGTGGGATGTCGTGGACGACGAGATTGGAACAGAGCGTTTCACCGGGATCGCGTTACGGTCCGAACTGGGTAAAGGGCTACAATACTGCATGCACAGGGTATAAGGATCTCCGCCATAGGGTTAGGCGGACAATTTTGACGCGAACTACAGGTACTGCAAGCCTTACTAGGGGTGTAGTTATGCCGTTAGATACAAGCCATGCAACCAGGGCAGCCAGTGAAGTTTTGTGAAGTTCGAGATGAATCTCGCCCGGCGAGTCCTTCACCCAGCTCAATCGAAACCCGAAGCATTTCTTGAGCAGAAAAGATGCAGTAACGATGAGGCTACCTCTATGAACCTGGCCCATGTGTTTTGAATATTTCAATATGCATCTTGAGGAGGAAAACGGGAAGACATCGCGCGAGGATGGTGGAAAAGGGTGAAGGATTTCGCAAAGTGGCCCACGGCGCAAACCGGTATGGTCGGGGATGGCCGGGAAAGCTGATGAAGGCCGGACCGGAGAAAAGATCTTCGATTACATCAGCACGTTATATCCCCGGCCTTTGCTTCTTCTTCTCTTCCGCCATTTAGCTGCCTGCCTCCGCTCGCACCCCCACCTGAGCCACTCCTCTTTCCCCGCACCCCGCCCGTACTTTCCACAACAATAACATGAGTTTTTCCGTCGACGATCTCGTCTCGTCCTTCAATGCAGCGCACGTCGGTCAAGAGGCAAGAGACTTAGCTGCTCTTCAGGTATGTTTCTCCGCATTTTCGATATGTAGGCAGTGCCTGATCTACTCCTTTGGCCCCACACTCCTTTCTCCCTCACCAGGCTCAGCTTGCACAGACATTGCTTTGGCAAATGCCAGCACAGTCTTCAAGTGCTCAGAATATCCCTCGCACGCGCAAGAACAGCGTCGCCCAACCATGTACCACTCCGGCTGCTCGTACGCCCTCGACGGGCTTCTTTTGGGACTCGGATGACAAGCGACGTCGGAGTTCTAGCGTTGCGAGCCGACGCTCGGAGTCGGATAGTGCTATGGAATTCCGGGAGGAGGATATGGAGATGGACGATGAGCGGATGGTGGAAAATCTACTGCTGTCCTCCCCCACATCACCTCAGTCGGCCTCCCGAACGTTCTCTCAGTACATGGCGCCCGCACCGCCCCATCGACCGCAGCACCGCACGTCAGCAACATTCACCTCACCATCGTCGCCTTACGAACCCTCATCCCACTCTCAGTCATCATCACTCTTCACCACAACCGACCCATTCTATCTCGCCACTGTACAGCATCAGCATCAGCACGCCGCACCGTCTTTCTTTGCGCAAGCCGCACGACCTGGCCACAATTCTCCTTTCATGCCCAAACCCCCTGTCCAAACCCAGTCTTCCATATCCGTTCACGGCATGTCAATGGACGTTGACTCGAGACCGATGCTCGTTTCGCCTGCAGGTCCCGGCATGGGCATGTACAACGACTAAATGAAGGCTGCATCGCCCTAGAGCCTGAGCTTAGCTGTGCCTCTTTTTCGTATTGTCGGCAGGACACCATTCTTCATGCATGCATACCCATCTCATCCCCTCTCCGTCCTCGTCTGCTTTTTGTCTCGGTGTAAATAGGACAGCGCACTGCTGTTTCACGACCATCGCTGTTCCGTTCAGGAGTCGATCAGGGTGACGTACGGACCTGTACATCCGCGTCCGGTATTGACCGGCCCGGTACTGGTGCCTCTTACCCCGCATTCTGTCCAGTTCCGGATTCGCACGCCCCACTCCCCACTCCCCGCTCATGCCGCATCTGTCGCGCGCTTTGACCATACACAAGTCATCAAAGACTTCGATGTTCAGCGCTCAGCCAGCACCATACATACTGTACATTCGGTATCATCTTGCAATATTTCCGAGCCCAATCTTCCTTACACTGTTGCAGTATAGCCCCTGTAGAGTGTTTCATCTCTTAGACCGAATTTCCTACGTTTCGTCTACTATCTGTCTTGTGTATTGTACGATTCCTTTATCTCATACTCCCATACGATCTCCACGGTCTCGTCGTAGATCTCCCAGTATCTATCTCTCGCTCATGGATTGCCTTTTGGCTCTTTCCGGTTACGACCTCTCCCCACTCTTCCTTCTACATTCACGCGTAATTCTCAGTTATCCATCTTTATGTATGTTGTTCTGCTCCTTGCACTCCCGTTCTTGACCGCGTATCTAGTGCCGCGCATGCTGTACTGGTAATTCACCAGGAGCAGTGACCAGTACTTACGCTTCTGACTATAGACAGCGGGTACTCTTCGACTGCTTCCTGTTTGCAAAGACAGTTTTTGTATCTGTTGGACTTTGGTTCACGCTTCGAGTTCCTTCTGTATGAGCTATATGTTTCACGTAACCACAATGACTCTGTCTGTTGTGCTTTCGAGCTAGTGCTGTTTTGTCGACGAGCCTTCCGAAGACGAGATATCTCCCAGGCAATGCTTACCCTTCGCTTTTTGCCGATCCGCTGTAGGCTTCGAAAAACTTCAGAAGTCACGCTACTGATTTTGGTATCACCGCAGGCCTTTCAAAACTGAGGTTTCTAATACACGGGAGTTTGAAAATAGCGAGGGAACCCTGCGAGTCCGGCGTCTCTCGCCACCTCATTCTTGCCATGTGTGGCACTAGGAAGGCCGTGAGAACCCGCGAGATGAGCCCGGCAAGGCCCGTAGTTACCGTAACGGGAGAACAAAAGAACACCACGTGGTCTCTCTAAGACGAACTAGTTTCTTGTCAATGACCCTTTCACATCGTTCACCGTCATACTTACTCGCATTCTCCTCTGCTTTGCTTAGCTAAACGCTGCACACTAGACTATGACGTTGAAGCGACGTCGCTCTTCAAACTCAGACTCCGACCCTGCATCAGAACTCGACTCTCGCGAGGAACTACTCTCGAAAACACCTCGTTGTGCTCGTTTTGCTAATCCACACTCACACAAAACATTCATTCGCTCGTTTTTCGATTGTTCTTGGGAAACTTTGGGGGCAAAACGCAAAACTCAGCTCAGAGAGCACTACCAAGACATCTTCAATCGAGTTTGGGACGGAGACGAAATTGCCTTTCAATGGGACACATGGGCTAACCTTTTTGGTGCTTTGGGACTCATGGCTGTCGATATGGATCAACTCCGCGAACTCGTTGTTGGGAGACACGAGGACCTGTACGCCATCATAAATCGCGCTCACCGAACCCACAACTTTTACGACCTCTGTCACCATCGTAGGTCACACTTTTTCCTGCCATACACGAGCGCTCTCATATATCAAGGGTTCATTTTAGGCTTATTTTTCAACGAATTAAATGCTGGGATTGATGGTGCCCTGCTCGACTTGGGGCCCTTCTTTCAAACGATCCGTAATGGTGGGCTCCCCTCCTACCAAATCGACTGTGACGCATGGCGTACTGCGTGTCCTTTCGGTCTCGTTTCCGTTGGGCGTCCCTCCCAGCCTTTGACGCACCGTATCAAGACTATGACATTTGAAGAAGTGCAGTAAGCATCTTTCTCCCTCTCATCCTTGGCAAGTGAAACTTATCTCTCTGAATCGCCAGCCTGATCAGAAAATGGCATCCATCACCACAGACACCAAGTCTTCTAAAGAGTCTTGCACAGAACTGGGGGTTTTACTTCGCGTTCTCTCCCAACAAAATTGCCGAGGAATCAAGAGAGTTTCATCTATCTCAAGACCTCGTTCTCGTAACCCAACAACTCAGTCGTGCAGCCGACATGGCCCATTTCGATGCAACCCCACAAGCCATCCAAACAGCAGCTCAATGTTGCTTCTACGCTCTCTATCTCACACGTATCATCGTCCTTTCCTCTTTCCTCGACTCTCTCCCTCGGAGCATGTCAGCCGAAGAAGCTCGCCAGCAGTGGGCAGTCTTCCAGTATAACCCGCCCTCGAAGGATGGCAACGACGTCTTCGCCATTGTTTATCGAGCCGTCGCGGACGGCTCCCTCGACGACATACGGCGAAGTGTGGACGCTCGTTTCAGCGCATTGTGCGCCCGGAACAAAGAATTCTTTCCACAAGATCAGGGCAAAGTACTCCCTTTCGAGATTGTCATCAACGAGACCGAAGATTTTGTCGTGCAACCTCCCGCGAGCGGACGCCAACCGGCTTGTTCTCGCTTTGGCGTCCAGACGCTCTTTTGGGGGTTCGACAGAGCTTCTTGAGACCTGCATCGTCGTGCGTATATATTACTCTACGCTTTGTTGGTGGTACTCATTTTTCTACTAGCCCCACCGAACCTGACAGCTTTCTGCCTGATATCTATTACTCAATATACCTCTTTCCACACCGCGTCCAATTTTACGACGAAGATTCCAGAGTAAACAACGATTTCGAAGGATCGTCTACGTGCCCCCTAACCCACCCAATCACTGTCTACACATCCTATGACGCAGCGCTGTACTACCTCTTGCTCTGTCGTAATTGATTCTTCGACGACCCTTCCACATCTTCTGACCAAACTAGTGTGCCTTTGTCGGGTGAATCCATGGGGGTCAGGAGTGGGTGCCGGAGGTCAGTGGCTCGAGAGTAACTCTACGTCGGGGCTTCACAGCATCCGATTATTTTCGGTGGATGTGCCAAATTACCTTCAGTTGCCCCATGGCTGAGTTGGTCACAGCGTCCGACTGTTATCTGAGAGTCTCTGATAGCTTACAATGCATCGGAAGGTCGTGAGTTCAAACCTCACTGGGGCAGATATCCAGCCACAGGCAAGTTTTTGGTCTCGCTCCTTGTATTCTCCTTCCGGACGACGTTTCTAGCATCATTATGTATATATTGACGGACTCCCCGCCTTGGCTGTACGTGATACAATTGTTTCGCTTCATGGTGACTGTGACTGGCCTGGTGGATTATGAACATAGCTTATTCAAAAGTGGAGAAAGAGGATAACAAAAGACTGAAACAACAACCCATAGCTTCAACGACTGGAGCAGAGAACTGAGGAGACGGATGGATATCGGATGCGGTACGCGTGCTGGCAGGGGGAGAGGTAGATGGAGCCCAGGACGATGGACGGGGTTGGGTGAACAGTGATGGGCGAGAACCGGGTGAGTGATGCGTGGCAAGGAAGTTAGGCATCGTTGGAGGACGTGCAAGGCTGCAGTATGAGCCCTGGGTATGAAGGAAGACCAAGGTGTGATGTGAGAGTGCGACGAAACTGAGGGCAAGGTAAAAGAGAAAGATCCGGATTGTCCGAGTGCACTAAAAGAGGTCCTCGAGTGTCATTTGCTTGACGATATCCTGTCAGCACAAAGATGAAAGCGTCAGCCAAGGATGTTACGAGTGAGCCGAAAATGTGTTGGGCAAAGCAGGGGATAGGATAGGGTAAAAGTACGATACGCACGGTATTGTTCACCATGTTCGTGAACTCTTCGAAGGAAAGCTTGCCGTCACCATCCTTATCCGCCTCCATGATCGTCTTGTCCACAATCTCTTGCAGTTGTGAGTCCTATGTGTACAAGAAGATTGCGAAAGATATCCCAATAGGAAATCAGAATCGTGAGATCAATCAAGTGACGTTTGCCATGAATAATGATTGTACCTTCAGGTTATTCCCCACCATCATCTTCAACACCAAGAACAGCTCTCCGTTCGAGATATAGTTATCCCGGTCCATGTCGTACACTTTGAATGCGACTACGACAAGTATTGGGTCAATTTCACAATATAACACACGAGGACCCCAGGTGCCACAACCACGAAGTCCGAGGGTCAAAAGAGAATGGGGGAGAGGTAAACAGGATAACGCACATCGGAGCTTCTCTTCCCGCCCTCCTCGGCTACTAAATGCACTCAGCCCACCCACGAACTCCTGGAAATCGACAGTTCCACCACCACTAGAGCCGCAATCCAACCGCCGGATGCGCCATCACGTTCGAGCGTCACCAGGAAAATGCAATGGAAATAATCAGCCGTGTTCATGAGGATCAAAGTGAAAAGGGAACAACGGACTCTTCATCGAAGATGGCGATCATGCGCGACGCTAATGGGTTGTTAGCGATCTGCGGGATCTGCAAGAACTCGTCACGATCTATTGAGCCAGAGCCGTCACTGTAGCCAGTAAATGTAGCGCAGGAATTGAAACACCAGAAGAAACCGTAAGTGATATGTTCGCAGAGACCAGGATATCATCGTAGGGAGATAGGTTGGGTGGCGAGACGCTACGGCGCTTCAGCGTACCTGTCCAGCTTCATGAACCGCTTCTTCAGTCGCTCCAGTTCGCTGGCATTAACTAAAAAGATATTAGCATGAGCTGAAGGACACTAAAGATATTTCGACGCACAATTCGACCGCTTCTCCATATCCTCCATGAATTGAGATGCTGACGTCCGCCCAGCCAAGTCAATCGAACAGCTCTACTGCAAGCAATAAGGAACAAGAGCGAGATACGGACGTGATTGGCCCATGTTTGATGCTGATGCTGGTGTTCAGAGCGTTGACTTATTGGGAAAATACGACTCCGTGAGGATGTGGTCAAAGCGGGAAGATGGAGGGGGGCGCGGCGAAGGGGAACGCGTGAGGTAAAGTGGCCCGTGAGAGAATTAGTTCCGAGCAGCCGGCGGTGATGGCCACATCCAACTGCCAACCGCAGCTTTTACTAAATTTGTTCTTGGCTTTATTCTCGCCGCATCATCTCAGTCGTATGTTGGCACGACGCGCCATAACAGTTCGAAATATCTCTGCTAAGTGCTCTCGATGTTTATCTAGTAACCTCGCTACGTATCACTTCGCAGAACCGTGCAAACCTGCCACATCTCACGTACTGCCTGCTCAAGCTCCGAGGTTTTCGAGTCTACAGTCCACGAATGGTTCTAGCGCGAGACACCCTAATCATGACTTCCCACATAATAATCTAGTCTTATCTAATGCCCAGAGAAGAACCATATATGCTCTCTCAACTCCTCCAGGAAAAGCCGGTGTCGCAGTCATACGCATCTCAGGCCCAGATGCCTTGCAAGTGTGGCACTGCATGGTCCGAACTAGCTCACGAGCTCGTCGGGCTGAGCACCAGAAATATCATCCTACTGAGCGAGTCTCAAATATAATCGATTCCGATCCCCACTTGCCTATACCATGGAAGCTTGAACGATGCCACATCGTTGACTCTGAGAGCGGTGAACTTCTCGATGACGGCCTAGTTGTGTTTTTCCGCGGTAGGTGGTTCAACATGCTTTTGTTCTTCCTTTCTTGGGCTAGTACTCATCTTGGTCGTTTTTCAGGACCTAAGTCTTTCACTACAGAAGACGTCCTTGAATTACACATACACTCCGGCCGTGCCATCATCTCTTCGATTCTTTCCTCTCTCTCGCACATATCTCTCCTCCGCCCAGCCCAACCCGGAGAGTTCACCCGTCGCGCTTTCGAAGGCGGAAGACTCGATCTGACGCAGGTAGAGGGCCTCAAAGACCTTATCGATGCAGAGACCGAGGTTCAGCGGAAGACAGCACTAGGAGTTGCGGGGGTGGGTAAGAGCCTCTGCATATGTTAGGCACGCACGAATTGTTGTTGATATAGGGTTCCTGTGAATTGCTGTACAGGGATCTGCAAAGGTCGTATTTGACGGACTCAGAAAGGAAATCATCAAGTGTCTTGCACTGGTCGAAGCTCTCATCGATTTCGGCGAGGGAGAGGATATCGAGGATGGTGTCTATCTGCAAGGTTTGTAATGTCACTCCAGGGCCCTTGACCGACATCGTTGACAATTACGATTTCCTACAGCCAGGTCGTTAGGTCAAACACTCAGAGACAAGATCCAGCGTATTATCTCTGATAATCGACGTGGGGAAATCCTCAGATCTGGCATCCGCCTTGCTATCTTTGGTCCTCCTAACGCAGGAAAATCATCACTGCTCAACTTCTTGGGTAAACCGTCTTTACGTCCCTTCTCCGGTTACAAGCGTCTTCATACTAACGAACAACTTCTCACAGCTCAGCGAGAGGCGGCGATTGTCACTCACATACCGGGGACAACTCGCGATGTGCTCGAGTTATCACTCGACATCGGAGGTCTGCCTGTTATCGTTGCAGATACAGCCGGCATGCGAAAGACGGAAGACATCGTCGAAGCTATCGGAGTAAAGAGAGCTGAGGAGACGTTCGTGCCACTCTTGGAATCCGTGCTGTGCTCATCAAAACCTTTCACTAACGGTGCCAATGCCTTTCGGTCACTCGTAGGCTTCAAACTTCCGATATCTCCATCCTTGTGCTCTCCCTTCCTGACGCTCTATCGCCTTCATCTGCGCATCAGTCTTCTGATGAGATTCGCGTCACCATTCCATCAGCACTTCGACACCTCATAACACCGCAGACTTTCATCTTGCTGAACAAAGCCGATCTCCTACCCTTAGAGTCCGCACCATTACCATCTGCACCTCAACAATCACCAACATTCAAATCATCGGCACCTCGAATTATGATAGACGGTTGGGAACAAAATACGGTCTGGTCTGTCAGCCTTACATCGGCACTTGGTACACAGGAGTTTATGGACGGATTCGCTCATGCTCTCAGACAACGGTTCGAATTCTTGCCTTCCGTTGGATCTCATATCATCTAACCAATCAGTTTATGTCAGATATGACCTTCTGCAAGCGGAGAATGCCACTGGAATGACTGATTTGCCCGTGAGCACGCATCCGCGACACAAAGCCCACCTCGAAGACGCTCTCAGATTCCTAGACGCTTTTCTCAACACGCGTAAGTCTCGACTTCCTTCGTCTCACCTCTAAGCAGCCAGACCTGATATCGTCAATCTAGCGCCGGAGATGCAGGACGTCGTACTTGCGGCAGAAGAATTGCGGTACGCTGCCGACGCGGTGGGCAAGATCTCCGGGGTGATTGGAGTGGAAGACGTATTGGACGTAGTGTTTAGAGATTTCTGTATTGGGAAGTGACAATTCAGAGGCAGTCGGATGCTGTGATTCGAGAAACTTTCGAAACACTCAGGGGTTTGTAGATCGATAAATAAATCGTCATGAAACCCATCACAGTAACAGAAGTACCAGTAAATGGAAACGTGCATCGTCATCCATTCATTACCATAATAAATACATCCCACACATCTAACCCATCCTCAACCTTCTCCCCACCACATTCCAGCCACGCAACGCTACTCAAACCTGCGGTGTCCCCGGATGCGCCACGCTCATCTGCGCATTATGGGGCCCAGGTGAACCCTGCGGCACGGAGCTATAAGGGGTGCCAGCGGGAGCATTAGGGTTATAAGGCGGGTACACATGTTGGCCGCCAGGTGCCTCTTTCGTGCCCGCGGGACCTGTACCTGCACCATATGACAGGAAGGAGGCGTCGGAGAGGGTGGATGTCCAGGTGCGGTTACCGCGCGAGTGGCCGATGAAGGCGAAGACGATGAGGGTGACGGAATAGCCCATGACTGGTGTTGGAGGAACGTCGGGACAGGTGAGAGTTCCTTTCGGGGACTGAGAAGGGAGGAAAGGGAAGGGACGTACGGAGGATCCAGGTTAGGAAACCGAATGCCTCCACAGCTTTGAATTCATTACATGCCTGGCTGACGATAGCTGTAGTGGAGGGTCAATACACGATCAATCGGGGAATGCACAGAGTGGTACGCACGAGTGAAGTCGCCACATGAATAGCCCGCGAATACCTGACTATCGGTCCAGGCAGCATATGCTGCCGTCGCGAGCCAGAGGATCCAGAGGAAGCCTGTGGATAGGAAATCATCAGTACGGTTTCTGAGTTGCAGATGGAAGGAAAGCCGTACTCAACACGCCGACCTCGACGATGATCATCGAGGTGAAAGCACCCTTCCTCAAGAAATCGATGACGAGCCTACGAACAAGCGCGTTAGAATAGTCTCTAGTTAAGACCTCGTCGAAAGAGTGCGGGGAACTCACATGGGCGTGATGAAGAGGAGCGAGAGGACGGCGGTGGCGACGGCCAATGCCGTGAAGATGTAGTAGCTATCGTAGTACTCTTCGGTGAGAGAGAGCACGTCGGCAGCGATACCCATCACGATTATGGAGAAGAGGATGGTCACACCTATACACTTCGGAGGAACAATCGATGGTCAGCACTCTGCATACACTTTCCAAACAATATTTATGACTCACCGAACGTGATGAGACGAGCAAGAGCAAAGAGACCCATGGCTGATGAACTTCACAGAGAACAGAAAATGCTTCGTATGGACGTGACGGGGATTTCAGAACAGGTCGTGTCACTGGAGGGAACTGCGAGTCAACGGCTAAGTCGTGTATGAGCGAGCTCGATCTGGGTCTGGAGAGAAACAGAGGACGAGTCGGGACTGAGAGGACCCCGTCCTCCATGCTAGGGGCTCTCTTTTAAATAGACACACGAAAAGTCCGCACAACACCCGCTGTGAGGAGACCATCACGTCAAGCGACCCGGGCATGTCATATCGTCAGATTCAGCCTGGCACGGAACAAGCGCACCAAGAGCATGAGAGATGAAATCAAGGATGCGGTCGTCGGCCACTAAGATTGCAAGACGAGACCTTCCCGAGATGGTGATACCTGCACAAGGCAGAATGAATGAGGCAAAATCAGTTAATGCGTTTTCGCGGATCGGGACCGATTGCGAAACAAGGACGATGCACGGAACATGATGCGTACCTTCATAAAGGCTGCCTCGATTTCTATGTGCAAGATAGGCCACAGGAGCATCATCCGGACTGTCCAGAAACTAGCCATCGAGACTGACTTCGTCAAGTCGAGCAACAGACAGAGTAGCGAGCACACTAATTACCATAATACAGAAAGTACCTTCGTACAGCTGGGAACCAAAGGACAATATAGCATGGTACTAAGACCTGGCCTGACTGACCTGCCACCGTTGCTCGTCCTCGTTGCTCACAGCTTTACCGCTATTCACGCCAAAGAAGGATAAATCGACGAACTTATCCATCACACAACATTGCAACAAGCGCCCATGCGAAGACAGGATTTTGACAGTTCATCAAATACCTTTGATCATGCTCAGGCTTCTTGACCTGAGACATCCTGAGACTCGCCCTTGGCGATAAACCGGGATGTCATCCCGACGGTGGCATCATTCAGCGAGACGAATCATCTTGGAGGGACAAAGCAGGTGTGAGACGAGGCGAGGGAGAGAAAGAGAGACGATGTTGGCTTGTCTACTTATTGAAGGACGATTGAAGGACGAGAAGAGGTAAGAAACTTAAAAGGCGACGGAACAAGACAGTTTTTCCCACACAAATGAGACGAACCTGAGGTGCGTGGCCCGTGGGGAAAATCTCCGTTATTTAGCGCCAAGCCTCGGGACCACATACGCTGCAAATCAATATCAAACCTGTCAATTGACGCGCCGAGGGTGTAAAAAAAGACTTGTGGACTGATTGACTGCTCGGAACGGATGAACGGAAAACTTGGCTCCGTGCAGAAATTCATCGTGGTTTGCAGCCCCCAAGACCAAGTTCAACGACGCTCTTGGCTTTGCGGTGAGGTCATGACGGTAGGCAGCGGCAAGGCAGCGGTCAGGGGGGACAACCATCTAGCAGCGCCTTCTGTCTGCTGCAAAACACGGACGATGACATTCGACGGTATCTTTGATACAGTGGACGTAGACCCGAGTTCGTCGATTTTTTTCTTGCCGATGAGGCTGCTCGACTGAGAAGGGAAAGTCATCAATAGTAAGCTGGCCTTTTCAAAGCAATGGTACGGTCGCAGGCTGTGAGCTTCGCGCAAGTACATCAGATAAGACAGTTGGCTGGATGAGAATGGATGTCAGATAGGCTGAGAGGCAGTATCAGTCGTTCCTGTGGCACCGAGTATTAAGACCTGCTTGATGAGCGGGTATAGCGCGTAGATCATGGTCAGTAGTTCATAGCCCAAGCGACTTGAACTTGGATAATGGTGCCTGAAAGTAGATAAAAAAAGGCTCAAAGACGCGTATTGACTATGAACGTGTGTACGATCATCGATCTGAACTTGTTGAGCATGCCTAGCCTCGTCCATTGCTGTAATGAGCTCGAGGCTGAGCGTCGTCTCGGGACTCGGACCTTTTTGGTGAGGTATCCATCGTACATTCAACTAAACATCTACCCCCGCTTCAATTTCTTCGGATCCTACACACATCCAGTCAAGCCAACATCAGTTATCCGAAAGCAAAGAGGTCAAGGGCCTGGGCAGGACTCACATTCCCTACATCCCCCATCTCCACATCTCCTTCATGATCATAGACTCTCTTCCTCCCCGACGGGCTCAAACTCCCCATAACATCGTCCTCCTCGCCCTCCATTTGGATATCGTCTTCGGACGATGAGCCAGCGGGAATGGCAGGAGCGGACCAGAGGTGGATTTGGGCGTCTTCGCCGCCCGTGAGGAGGACGTTGTGCTATAATTTGGTAGATGTGGATTTATTTGGACATGAGATAATGAGAAGAGGGTAGAGAAGGAGGGAAACGTACCCGTTCATCCCATAACATCGACCTGACAACGCCACTGTGGCCCGTTGACCATACACGCTCGAGTGCCCATGGGGCCTCCCGATCTTCGTAGTCTGCATTGCGGATGAGTGCGATATCACCTCTAAACCGCGCACAGAAGTCAGTCAGAATAGCTAGTCCGTGTGACGGAGAGTAGGCGCAAGAACATACTCGTTCGATCCTACGAAGACGCCCAATCCGCTGGTATCGGACATGTGGCAACCAACGAGATAGTCCGTTACCCAGGTATTTTGAGCCGTATGGACCGAAGGGCTGCGAATATCGAAGTCCTGTCTTTGTCTAACTGCTCACATTTACATCAGCCCCGGACATACTCACCAAAAAGAAAAAAAGAGTGAAGTGCAACTAGAGCGTACCTCATGCGTCCACGTACTAAACGTCTCCATATCGCTCGCCGCCCACACGTACCTCGATCGTCCACGATTTTGGTGAAACCAGCCTACTTGGGATATACTGCATCCCCAGTTACTGACTTGAATGACGGCTTCGTCTTCATCTTCTTCGTCTGCGTTTGATAAGCTGATGAGACCGTCGGAGGACGCGGAGAGGAGGGTTCTTGGGTGGGATGGCGCGGGCGAAGACGTAGACGTAGACGAGGACGGATGGATGAACAGTGGAGGGCTGTTATGTCATCGGAGTGGGTCGAGGCGTGGGTGCGGAGGGGTGCGACGGGATTTCGTGGATCCCTGCGAAACAAACCATGTAGTTGAGGAGTTGTCTATGTTTTGAGCGAAACGGGTAGAACCTATGTTTTTTTTTGACGCGACGCGCGAACGGCGAAGTGCGCGCGAATTCGAAAGGGGAAGTGCCTGTTTTGGATCTGGATATTTTTAGGAACTCACGGGCGGGCCGAGAGCGTGCCAACTGCCAAGGCGTGCCGCCAGAGCGATAAATCAGCTTTCACCAGGGACCTCCTCCATCTCCCTGCTGCAGTACTCCTAGGAATATCCTCGCATTTAATCAGGTTCAAGCTTTGAACGACTTGCTGGGAGCGTCTTGACCCACAGTACGGAGTTTTTCAGCGACATCGGTGGGGGCGAAAACCCCCCTCAAGCCGTCACGTTTCGAGCTCATTGCTTAGGAACAGCTACGCGACCTGCTCTAACCTGCACTCAAATATGTCCTTTCTGTATGCCTTGCTCGCATTTTGATGATATTATAATGTTGAAGTGACTGTTTATTTTGTTGGATAGGTTTTTGCGTAAAGCTATCCGAGATATCTACTCCGGATAGTCAACCGACATGAAGAGTTCTACGCGTTGATCATGCTGTTCGTGGAACGGCATTATCTCAGGCAACATAGTTCGTCTGGTATAGCTTCTTTGTTTAAGTTGTGATTGCTCAGTGCTCACATCAATGTAGATGCCTCCTTCTCCGAGAACTTTTATGGCCTCAAACGCCGGCGCCGACCTTTGTTTGAGACCGAACGAACTAAAACAGCTGTAAGTGGGGTCTTTCCAGGGGAGAACCTACGAACAAGGGAGGTATGGCGCTCTCTACTCCTACTTGTAAGTCCCTGTGTATCTTTCAGTATGGTGCGACATCGACGAAGCAGTCAAGAACGTGTAGGTAGGCCTGCCATACATTCGTGCCAAAGCGCAGGATTACTTCGAGGACCTTGGCGGAGGGATTGACTCAGATCTCATCGATGATGCGGGAGGACGGCAAATTCGTGCACTGATAGAAGAGGTATGTACCTATCGAAGGTCAACCACAGAACCTTCTCTGAATGAGGAACTGAGCTATTGAGCTACTGTTAGACCTGGCGAGGACGATGGAGAAGACTATACAAGAAGCTTTACCCATGGCTGAACATGGGCTTCGAACACTGGCTTCTCGTTTACAACGTCGCATATTTATTCGAAAAGACGCCATATTACCGACTGTGGTTATCCTGGATAGGCGTCGACCTCCGTCGACTCGGCATCGACGACTACGTAAGTCTACATCCAAGACATTCTTCGTCGCACTCATAGTCTTATCCTTCGCTTGACGTATAGCGCGCGGAGTCCCTCGCCGCTCAAAGGTCCTCGGCCACAACTCCTCCTCCTAAATCTCACCTCGACACTTTACGCCACATCTTTCGTAACTCTCCTCGATTCCTCCTCGATTACCTCAAGCTCCTCCTTCCCACCACAATCTTCTTCATCAAATTCCTCGAATGGTGGTATTCTCCCTCCTCCCCCGCCCGCTCCCTCATCCCCCGCCCGCTCGCTCACGCTCTCATCTTCTCCGCTCGGTCCATTCATCCCGCCACCCGCCCTCCTTCGACCGCATCCACAAGGACTGAAACTCGACGGACGAAAGTACGGCAAATGCCCAATTTGCGGGGAAGGGATCAAGAATGCCACGGCATTGCCGAGCGGGTATGTGTTCTGCTATAGGTGCGCGTATGAGGAGGTCGAGAAAAGCGGTAGATGTCCGGTCACGCTGTTGCCGGCGAGGGTGTGGCAGCTGAGGAAGGTGCTTGTTTGACTTCGATCCGCTCACTTCGCGGTTTGTTTCGCGGTATACCACCTCTTGTGGCTTCGAGATTTATCGAGTCAACGTATTCTTGTACTCTTACTCTGTTTGATTTGTTCACCGTGTCCGTGCCCACGGTCTCTGTTCTCGCGAGTCTTCGGTAAGACCTGGCCTACTGCTCTCAAGAAGAGCCGGCCTCAGCCTCCGATGCCCAGGCTATCATGAAACTTGGTCTGCTTTCTGGTATTCATTGTTGTCTTATCTCTCTCGAAATGTGTTTATGTATTCGGTCCTCTAGGCCTCTTCTCCCGACGTGTCCCTTATGTATTCCTTCTCCTAGATCCTATGCATTATGCCTCTGTATGTTGCTTTCCGGAAATTTCTCAATATATCACCGATATTTCTATGCTGTCTTGTCATATTAGCCGGGCGATCTAGCCGTGTGGCGACCTGTGTGCTCGATTGTCGGGAAAGGTTGCACAGCTTCTTAAACGGGTCCGAATTAGGGCTAATATCAGGGGATGGATAATTTCAATGCTCGACCATTGCCAGGTTCCTTGTAAGGAAGCCTGGTTAAGGTCTTTGGGAGGAGGACATCGACGAACTACTTTCCCCCAAAAGCTATTATGTCTGGCAACTTTGTTTTGGTGGAGAGACGACACGGGAGCGCAGTATGGTTTTTCGCACAGCACATAACTGATCAAGAGCCGCGATGAACATGGACTCGGAGGTCACTTGGATTCAGTGTGTCAAGCGTAAGACAAAGTCTGCGACAGCCATACGAACTATCGAGGGGATGGATACCTCAATGGACGAGTCCCGTGCTTGACCAAGCAAAATATCGAGCATAACGCCTCTGACGAAGAATATTCATAGCTGCGAAGCGACCGAAGAGGCTTCGTAGGCCTGAAGCGCGCGTTGTAGTGAGATAAAAGCACCACATTGATGTAAATGAATTTGCGGGAAATGCACAGGGTAAAAAGCAACGGCAGCAGAACCAAGATATTATCTGATCTGTATTGCGTGTGTCAACACTCCTCCTTGTCGTGTCATGCTGACCGTCACAGTAATGGTGGAGCTTCATCAGCGCGACATCCTTGTGCTCCTTGAGTAAGTTCGGCTTCGGCGTCCCCGCGATGGCAAGAACAGGAATCATGTCGGGAACCTTCTTGAGCTCAGCAGCCATTTTTGCTTTTGACATCTTAGCTGGTGTATACCCTGGGCACCGTGCCTTTCTCATTTTTTTCCATTGCTTCTGAATGTCCTGGCCGTATTGGGTCGTATGAACCCACGCCTCCTCCTGAGATACAAACCAAACGAAAGACATATACGAGGTTAGCAGATGCAAAATATCGAAGAGCAGCAATAGAATGAGTAAGCACCTTCTTGTCATATCGCTGGTGGAAGCGACTAGGTTCAAGGCTCTCGACGCCTTTTCTACACACGTCGCCCCTCACCCCATCGGGGCTCACGCTGAGCTTGGCCTGTGTGACGAGATCAACTATCTTCCCTGTATTCTTATCCTGTATCGCGTTGTGCACGTCGGGACCTTCAAGCTTGTCAGGATAAATGATTGCTGCGCCCCCGGGAGTCTTGACGTAATTTAGGTAATCAATGGCCGTCTCTGTCTTGTAGGCGAGCTGGGGGCAAGGGCCCGATGTCGCCGAGACTGCCGACGCTACATACTTGCCAAGGTCCATGCGAACACTGACCAGACGGAATTCACGTTTTGCTAGGTGTGCGAACTTCGAGTCCTCGGCAATTTCGAGAAGATCCTCCAATGGTGCAAAGTCCCCCAGCACATCCACGATGACCATTGGGATTTGGCGTTCGAAAGCTAAGCCTCTCGAGACGGGGTCGTCCAATGCCGACCAGTGTGATGACATATGGTCGAGCAGAGCCTGCCTGCAATGGATCCTCACCGCAGAAGACACCAACGGTTCGTCGAACCTTGCGATTCCTGTATCGGCATCGTCACCGTCATCGTAGATGAGCTTTCCTAAGATAGATTCGATAATTTTGCCTATTTCTTTGGTGACCGAAGTTCCAAATCCGCCCACCGTTTGGTGCAAGGTGATGGTATAGACAGCTTGCTTAACAGCTAGAAAATGCGGGTCCGATCAGCGTACTATTCCCATGACACTGGATAATGCTAAGGCATCACTCACCGTCGGAGCAGCTATCGAAAGCATCCCAGTCAATGCGATGCACTACTACCCGTTCCATGATCTGCTCGACGTTATCCTCAAGCTCGGGTTCAGCGGACTCGAAATGTTCAGCATCCGTAGCAGTCCAACCTCTGGTCCAGAAGATGACGAGACGACTAAAAAGGCGATGAGGAGATCTCGTCCTCGTCTCGAGTATGAGCTCGATGAGCCACACTGTAAAGTCATAGCTGAAGGCGAAAGAAACGGCTGTGAGTGATATTTTCAGGAGGTATGGAAGACTGGAATGGCACATACCGACCACGAAGCCAAGTCACTGCCCGTGTCAGAAAACTTTCGAAAGACTTTTTCGAGATACCGTTTTCGTCAACCCAGCCTTGAAGCTTGTTCCGTAAGAATTCCCGGTGTTCCTCCGAGTTACGAAAGCCACCTTCGATGGAAACCTCGACTGTTTTCCAGCCAAAGAGGGTCGCAGTAGGTTCGAGAGCGCGCCTCATGGTGTCCGCCGATACGCCGCTCTGACTAGAGAAGACGCTGCTAGTGAAAATGCCCAACTTCATCCAGACAAGGAATATCTCAGTCAGAACTGAGCAAGGTTTGTCGGGGAGATCACGACAGCGGAAGTGAGAGGTGTTCCATAGAAGTAGGCCAAAGCTAGCCTCGTCCAGCAACAGAGGAAAAAATTTCAAGAACCTTGGGCATTTCGATGTAATTTGATGCCAGAAAAAACGAATGAGTCGGTGAAGTACTTCCGTAGACGCTTTTCGAAGCAGTGCGGAAACGCGCACGAAGATGTCCTTGAGGGGCCCAGCACGATCCGGGTCACATAACTCAGAGGCCACTTCAAACGCGGTCCAGTCATGCAGCCAGTCCTCCAGCGATATGTCGTCCGGCCTACAGTCAAGAAAGGCATTGAAGACGAAGACTCGACTACAGGCTAATGTTAAGGCGATATGTTCCACCGCCTCCCTGTTGTCCTCTATTTGCTGGGGATCTTCGGCTATATCGCTAAATTTGGACTTGTTTTTCAGGATTTCCGTTATTGCTAACTGAAGGTCCTGGGAGCCGTAAATCGCGGAGCCGTTGGGGAATGTTTTGCGTAGGCCCCCCTCTTCCCGGAAAAGGGCGAATAGGAAGCCACCTGTCTCCGCAGCATGCTGTATGCAAGTTTTGCTCTTGCCTTGCCCCTGGTTTCCAGTCAGAATCCTAGCACTGTGGCGTAAGTAAACGTCAAATGATCTCAATCAGGGGCAACGTACGTGTTCTGGTGATAAACAGCAACACGCTTGACTTGCGCTGAAAGCTCTGCAGGGGGGGAGTCAAAATCATCCAGGGTCAGAGACGTCACGCGGCCATTGTCGACTCCAAAGCGTTGGGAGATGCGGTTGCCTCCACGAAGCGAATCGAACAAGGGTTTAAACTCAACCTCTAAAATGATTTTGAGCCACTTCATGACTACTGGGTACGCCTCCTTCTGTGGCGTAGCTGAGAATGAGGTTAGAATCAATGTCATACGGCAAAGAGACAGTATAACTCACTATTTTTGGCGAGAGGCACCAATTTGGATGGGGGAGTAGAAGCTGGAGGAAATAGTGTCAGTTTCACACAGCAAAGCAGCGAAGAATTTGACGTACGATAGGTTCGTGTCGGCGGTACAATAGGCCGATTCAGCCACACTTCTGCAGTTCAAATCAATGAGAGTATCATTAAAGTGAATGTAACGAACTTGCCGTGGTGAGTGAGCTGATAGAAATATCGCGCCAACTCGGGTGGGGAGCGAGAGCCACCTAGTTCATGCCGAAATGCATCGGTCAACTTTCCAAGATCTGGGTGCGAATGGAGAAGTTGAAGTGCGTGTCGTTCGTTTGTTGTATAGTGTAAAGCCCAAGCTGAGAAAAAATGGTGATAGTTTGCCCATTGCAAACGAAAGTCAGGATCTCTCGATTCTGAAGCAGTCAATAACTCTTGACACCGGGTTTCATGCTGCGTTTTTTGGGAAGGGGACAAGGCTTCCCACGGAGTGACGCTTGGGGAAGTAGATGGTGCTTCTGCAGTGGGGCCCGGCGTAACAGTGTGAGGAGGGAACATTGACGTAGAACTCGAGCGGAGCTGAGAAGATTGGCCGGGATTGGGTGAAGGAGAGCGAGCAGAATGTTCGAGCGTAGCTTCAACGAGTTCGAAATTATTGGCCGGTATGGGGAGCCTTAGTATGTTATGGTCAACATCAGGGTGAGGTCGATTCGACCCGGAGTTCAGCTCAGTAGACAGGAGCCTATCACCGGCAATCTGTTCCCGAGTCAAAGCGAGCCCATGATCGGGAGAGTGAACTAGAGCGAGATTTTGGGTGCCAATACGTGAAGACCTTGCACTAGGCTGCAAATTAGTCAAAGATTGGGCTGCTACAACAGAGCCCGACTGGGCAGTCTCCGAGGAGAGCACAAGCAGCTTCCTGAGGTTGGGCTTCGTGGGAGGGATTGGGACTGGGACTGGATTAGGAGCTAGGATGGAAACGGTACTTGCTGCGATGCTCCTTCTGACGCGTTCTCTTGTATTCCTCAGCGAATAACGGTTCTGGCTGGTTGTCGCAGGCCTTGTCGAGGAACAAGTCTGACGTTTCGGCGGTGGGGAGGTTAGATGGCGCTGGTGATGCCGCTTTGCTTTTGGTTCAACTTCAGAAACATCAGCGTCCACAGCGGTGCGCTGACGCTTCCTGAGGTTGGGCTTCGTAGGAGGGATTGGGATTGGGACTGGATTGGGAGCTGGGATGGGAACGGTACTTGCTGCGATGGTTCTTCTGGTGCGCTCTATGGTATTCCTTAGCGAGTAACGGTTCTGGCTGGTTGTAGGCCTTGTCGAGAAACGAGTCTGACGTTTCGGCGGTGGGGATGTTAGATGGCGTTGGTGGTGACGCTTTGCTGGCGGTTCTGCTGGGATGTTGACGTCGACATTGTCGCGTCGACGTTTCCCTAACATACAGTTCTGGATCGGCCGGAGCGCATACATGGCGAGGGTATTGGATTGTGCAATCCTCAAAGGAGGTATGTCGCGGAACGCACAAGTCGCAAGTCGTGGATGAAAGGAGCGAGCGCGGCCCGGCATGGCCCGGCGCGCCGGGTGTTGTGTCTTGTTTGCTTTGGACACCATCTCACGCGTCGGTTGCGCGTCGGCTAACACCTCCCGAACTTCTTCCTTTCCCTACTTTGCAGCGACACAGGGCAATCCCAACCTCCACCACCCATATAGCCTTTCCGCTGCTTCCTACTTTCTTTCCCTCTACCACCATCCTATCCTCCCGGTGAGTATTCTCATGCTTTACCTGGTTCTTTCTGACGACGGTTCTCTAGTCTTCTCGAGACACATCAGTAACTCACCGTGAGTTGCCCTATACCGAAAGGACCATGGCCCGCAAGCGAAAGAAGTCAAACCCAGATGCTGCAGACACATCGGACGGCCGCGATGGCCTTCCACTGGCAGGGCCCTCGCCTCCTGAGCCTATTCATGCTTCCGGCTCGAGCAGAACTCTCCGTCCTCGGAAGCCCTCCCGGCCAAGCCCTCATATACCGGTGTCTCTCCCTCGACAGCGTGTGCCTGTAGAAGATCGTCTCCCTGAGCCCCACGTAAAGCGCGCTCGTCTCGGTGCTCACGACAAAAGTCAGCGCACCGCTGTGGACGCTGATGTTTCCGAAGTTGAACCCAAGGCAAAGCGGCATCACCAACGGCATCTGACCTCTCGACCGACGAAGCGCATAGCCCGTAACTCGACAAAGCCAGCTGTTCCCATCCAGACCCGTTACTCGCTCAGGATGACCCCAGATCGGATCCGTAGAAGCCTTGCAACATCGAGGCCCTCAGTTTTCGTCGAGCCCACCGCCTCTGTTCCCGTCCAACATCCAATCCCTGCTCGCAGTCCAACCCCTACCGCGGCTCTCATCCTAGCTAGCGCTCAGGCTCCACCAGCTGTCGTCTCCACGCCACCTTCTGACCCAGTCGCTGCACGTTCAATCCTGGCCTACACACGTTCTCGCATTCAAGCACATCCAGTCCCCATCCGGATCACGCAGATTCTCAACCCTACTCCGGCTCCTATCTCAGCTCCTACTTCATCACCTAGTATCCCGATCTGTCCCTCAATACCTATCCCCTCTCGTCCTCCATTTGACATATCGATCCCGATCACAACATACGTACCCACGCATCTCGCTTGGAATGAACTTCCCGAATCCGAGCAAGCCCGTTTGTCTGCTCAGTACGACGATACAATCAATCGAGTGTGGACGGTATACCGCCTCTTCCGTGGGGCTGGTTTCGATAACTACGCTCGAGCACTGGGGTTAGCGGCCTGTGATGTACCCGACGGTAGAGTGAAGGGGATTACGCTGAGGACATACCCAGAGCTTGCAGACATCATGATCAAATTTCGCGTAGATCACAACCTCTATGAGTTTTGTCATCATCGTGAGTGCAGCCCCCCTATCAGTACTATTCACAAGACTTATCAAAGAATGCTAGCTGCATTCCAAAATGTGTTAGATGCACCAATCGACGAAGCCATGTCCAAAGTAGAATCCCTGTTCACCCCGTCATCAATTCTGCATCCTTCGTCTCACCGACCGCCAATCTCACTGATTCCCACCGGTTCACTCGCTATTGATTCCCTTGCGCATCCTTACTTCTGGGACCGCGATCGCGTACGGCGTAGCTTTGTGGAACGAAGGTGCGCAACGTTGACTCCTATCCATCGTCCAATCATCTCATTCACTCGTGATCATTTACAAGACCTCAGAATGATGTGGCTCCCCTTCCGCGGACTCCAGAGCTCGTGCTCGGGATCAGCGCATACTGGGGTCTATACTTCGCATATTCGCCAAACAAGACAGCAGAGGAAGCTCGTAAGAGCAAGCTTTCCCAGGATTTGATCCTGGCGATTGAAGACCTTTCTACCGTTGTGGACGCTGCGTCTCACAGCCCTGAAGCCACATCGTGCCGCGCCGCTATGGCCGAACGCTGCTTCTATGCTCTCTACTTAAGTCGCGTTGTCGTTCTCTCAAGGTTCTTGGATTGTCTCCCTCGAGATTTACATGTGCGGTACGCGCGTGCGGAATGGGCTTCATTTCAGCATAGCCCGCCATGCACTATAGAGGGCGATGACATATTCTCAGTAGTTTATCGGCACATAATGAGGGCCCAATGTTCCACTGTCGATTTGAAGCGGACGGCTGAAGCTCGCTTTGACTCCCTGCATTGGAAGAATCAACAACACTTTGATGACGAATACGGCACCCTACCATTCTATATTGTGGTCGATGAGATTGAAGCAGCCGTTCCTCAAACCATATCGAGTGGTCGCCGTCCGGCCTGCTCTCGTCTTGGCATCAACACACTGTTCTATGGATTTGATCAACCTCCGTGATGTTCTTCGTACGTGCACTCTTTCTTCTGCCTTGTTTCACGTTTCCTTACATACTCTTCTACAGAAACTTACGGACGTTATGCATCAACACCAGTTACACGGCCATATCCTGGCACAGTCCATCTACAGCAATCGGCCAGTGTCCGAGTCCACCGAGTCCAGCATCTTGGCTTCCATCAACACACTGTTCTATGGATTTAAATGACCTCCGTGAGGTTCTTCGTACGTGCACGCCGTCTTCCTTCCGCCTTGTTTTGCATCCCTCACACTTTGTTCTACAGAAACTTACGGACGCGATGTATCGGTACCAGCTACATGACCATATCCTGGCACAGTCCATCTACAGCGATCGGCTAGTGTCCAGCGTGCTGGTTTTCATCACCTATGGTTCATGTACCTGTACTCGTGCATCTTATACGTTTTCCCCGTCTTCATCCGCAGCCTCTCGTTTTCGTGCTGATAACAGCTCCATGACCATGTCCTGGCATAGTCCATCTACAGCGATCGGCTAGTGTCCAGCGTGGTCCTTTGCATTACTTGTGGTCCATGCACGTTCCCTCATCTTCGAACCGTTGTTTTTGTTGTCCCCTTTGCATCATTTGTGCTCCCTTGCCTTTGATATCGTCTCGTGGTTTCTATTTTCCTTCGTGGCGGTGATTTTAGCTACATAACCATGTCTTGGCTCAGTCCATCTACAGAGATCGGCTAGTGTCCAGCGCGGTTCAACAACCCTGCGGTTACAAGTAGTTTGATTCCGTCTTTCTCTGTTTCTCGACCGTTTGATCTCCCTCTTTTTCGCTTTCATTTATGTCTCGCGGATTGTGCCTGTATCTTGCTTCGTGTTCATGTATTTTGTTCCTGCAGCTCTGCTTCATGATGTTGTTGTTCGTTCGTTTACGTCTCGCGGATTGTGCCTGTAACTTCTTTTCTGTTCATGTATTTTGTACCCGCAATCCTGTTTCGTGATGTCGTTAATCTTTCGTTTATGTCTCGCGGACTGTGTCTGTATCTCGCTTTGTGTTCATGTATTCCATTCCCGCGATTTTGCCTCTCGATGTCGTTGATCTTTCCTTTGGTCTGTCTTTTGTGTGCAACATGAGCAAGCACACATCGTTCGCGCGTCTTCCGACGTTCGCTGTGTTCAGATTCGTCAGAAGCTGCCACCCCGTAGCTCTTCGTTCACTCCAGGACAATAGAACGCCTCAGAATATCAACGACACTGTAATGATTGCAGGAAGGCCCAGCAACAGACGGCACTGAACTCAAGACAACGCAGTTGCGAGCATTAGAGTCGTCGTAACTGACGACAGGCCTTCGATCGAGTCGCATCAGTCGAACCGAACGGACGACAGCGAGTCAAGAGCCCCCGGAGTTATTCACCCGCGACTCTCACTTAGACTAAGTAAGTATGGTGTTCGCTCTGTTCGAGGCTCCAAGATCGCCTTCTTTCTGCTCGCCCGCTCGTAAAACGAAAACTGTGATGATAGACTGAGTACTGACGGGATGTGCGAACGTAACAGTAAGTGAATCAAGCCTCCAGGCGGAAATGCATCGTGGCACCGTCGACCTATCGTGGGGAAGGGAGGGCCAACTCGATGTGGACGTTTACCAAGAACGAATGTATTAGAAATCAAAAGCCGGGCGTCAACTGAGTACTCGGAGGTATACTTCGTGGACGGTAAAGTGAAGCAGGCACAAAGACCGATGATCATTCAAGATAGATTTTACAACGTGCAGTTAGGGGTTTTCATAGCTGAGAAAAGATTAAAAGATGTAATAGTTGAACCCATCGCGCAGAGATCTATTCGCACCGAAAGCAAGTTGTCAGTGACACGGCAACACACAGAAGGAACGCCGCCAAAGACTCACCTCTGCATAATCAAGAGATCGTACGAGAAATGCACGATGCGATGGTCCTCGATCTCCCATGCCACCCCGAGACACGGACCTCCAGCCACTCGTCGATCCTTGTTTTTCTCCGGGGTGCCGACACGCCCAACCCGCGCGTTTATACATATTCGAAAGGTTCATCTCCTTCCGTTTATCGACCGCCAATTCGTCTCGGAACATTCGGTCGTGCGCAGCGCGGAGGGCGTCAGCTTGACGATCTCGCCGTTGTACGCCCTCACGCCCTCGAAGAGCTCCTCGGTGGGCATTAAGGTGCAGTAGTAGTACGCGACTGGGAGGATGATCAGGACGGATTGTTTCTCCGCGACGTTGGCGGCCCGGAAGAGTTCTACCTTGTATGAGTCTGAATGGGTGTCTAAGTACGGGCTTGTAGTCCTCGAGTTTCGATGGGAAGCGGGAGGCGAGTCGGTGGATGGCATCATGGCAGATGATGTCGATCGTGTATTTGTCGGACCCGTCGAGTAGCTGTGGGGAATCGTGTAATTACGACGGGGATGACCGCACTTCGGAGAAATAAGGAAGTGTGCGTACCAGAGAGATGATCTGTATCTCGACCTCATGAGACTCGTATGTACCTGGAGGACAACAAGGGCCGACGACATGGACAAGACCCCAATCAATTCGCGCGCGAGAGAAAGCAGAGTCGACTCAGTTCTTGTTAAGCAAAGCCTTTAACATATACAACATCTCCGCCGACCACTCCTCCAAACGCACAACCTCACACCCTTCCACGCGCTCCTTCGTATTCGACGAAAACAACACATGATTGGGCACCTTGTGTCGCTTGGAGGGCCGTGCATTGTTATTGTAGTCCACCACCACAGATTTTGCCGCGTCATCTAAATAACGAGGCCTGGGTCCGGCTGTTTTCGTTCTTGAGTCCGTCGCAGTTGGGCCTGTTACTTGCTCTTTTCCTTTTCCTTTGCTCTTGTCGAGAGGAGGAAGGTGTACTTCTTTCGCATTTCCGTTTCACTTGTCGAGAGGACGACAGAATAGAAATGCATTCCCGTCCGTCCTCGTCTGTGTCGATTCCCATGCCAAGCAGGTCCGAGATGCTATTCAGAGTGAAGACCACTGCAGAGTCAGAAACAGATGGCATGTCGACGGTCAGTACGAAGTGCGATGATCAAGTGTCAAGTGTTAGACTAGAGATTTAGGTCGACGAGAGCAAGAAGTAGGAAGAGGGGCCAGTGAAGAGAGAAGGGGTCGAAGCATAGGCCAGAGCGCAGATGAAGAACATAATGGACGACCGCGACGCGTTCAGGTTGCAGTCTGTGCCACGCGGAGCCACAGGTCGCGTCAAGAAAATATTTGCCAAAACGTGAGATTCAGAGCGCAGTACTATTTTGTCGCTCCATATCATTATTATATGCTAACCAATACCCTGCGAATATTATGAAGAAAGTGAACAGAAGAATAATATTTTCTAGGATTTACAGTGTTTTACTCAAGTGACCGTACGGTTGCGCGGAGTCCGAAGTCCGGCTGTGTCCAAGCCTGCGCCACAGTGGGCATCTGCATTTAAATCGACGGAGGGCAGAGTCGATGGGTCTTAAAAACTGTCAGTTGACGCGCCGAGGGTGTAAAAAAAGACTTGTGGACTGATTGAATGCTCGGAACGGAATATGAACGGAAAACTTGGCTCCGTGCAGAAATTCACCGTGGTTTGCAGCCCCCAAGATCAAGTTCAACGACGCTCTTGGCAGTTTTGCTGTGAGGTCATGACGGTAAGCAGCGGTCAGGGGGGACAACCATCTAGCAGCGCCTCCTGTCTGCTGCAAAACACGGACGGTGACATTCGACGATATCTTTGATACAGTGGACGTAGACCTAAGTTCGTCGAATTTTTTTCCTGCCGTTGAGGCTGCTCGACTGAGAAGGGAAAGTCATTAATAGTAAGCTGGCCTGATCTTGAAAGCAATGCTACGGTCGCAGGCTGTGAGCTTCGAGCAAGTACATCAGATAAGACAGTTGGCTGGATGAGGATGAGGATGAGGATGAGGATGAGGATGAGGATGAGGATGAGGATGAGGATGAGGATGAGGATGAGGATGAGGATGAGGATGAGGATGAGGATGAGGATGGATGTCAGATAGGCTGAGAGGCAGTACGAGTCGTTCCTGTGGCACCGAGTATTAAGACCTGCTTGATGAGCGGGTATAGAGCGTAGATCATGGTCAGTAGTTCATAGCCCAAGCGACTTGAACTTGAATAATGGTGCCTGAAAGTAGATAAAAAAAGGCTCAAAGACGCGTATTGACTATGAACGCGTGTACGTTCATCGATCTGAACTTGTTAAGCATGCCTAGCCTCGTCCATTGTTGTAATGAGCTCGAGGCTGAGCGTCGTCTCGGGACTCGGGACCTTTTTGGTGAGGATTGCATCGTAAGTACATTCAACTGAAGATCTACCCCCGCTTCAATTTCTTCGGATCCTACACACATCCAGTCAAGAGAAAATAGGTGAGGTGGAGACCAACAATCACTGATGATGAGCTATCCAAGAGAAAAGAGGTCAAGGGCCTGGGCAGGACTCACATTGCCTACATCCCCCATCTCCACATCGCCTTCATGATCATAGACTCTCTTCCTCCCCGACGGGCTCAAACTCCCCATCCCACCGTCCTCTTCGCCTTCCATCTTGATGTCGTCTCCGGATGATGAGCCAGCGGGAATGGCAGGAGCGGACCAGAGGTGGATTTGGGCGTCTTCGCCGCCCGAGAGGAGGACGTTGTGCTATCGTTTAGTAAACGCGAATAAGATTAGATTGATCCGGACGTGAAAAGATACGAAGAGGAGGGTGGAAGAGAGCACCTACCCGTTCATCCCACAACATCGACCTGACGACGCCACTGTGGCCCGTTGACCATATACGCTCGAGTGCCCATGAGGCCTCCCGATCTTCGTAGTCTGCATTACGGATGAGTGCGATATCGCCTCTAAACCGCGCACAGAAGTCAGTCAGAATGGCTAGTCCGTATGATGGAGAGTAGGCGCAAGAACATACTCGTTCGATCCTACGAAGACGCCCAATCCGCTGCTATCGGACATGTGGCAACCAACGAGATAATCCGTTACCCAGGTATTTTGAGCAGTATGGACCGAAGGGCTGCGAATATCGAGGTCCTGTCTTTGGTCTAACTGCTCACATTCACATCAGCCCCGAATATACCCACCAGATGAAGATGAAGTGCAACTAGAGCGTACCTCATGTGTCCACGTACTAACCGTCTCCATATCGCTCGCCGCCCACACGCATCTCGATCGTCCACGATTTTGGTGAAACCAGCCTACTTGGGATATACTGCATCCCCAGTTACTGACTTGAATGACGGCTTCGTCTTCGTCTTCTTCGTCTGCGTTGGATATGCTGATGAGACCGTCGGAGGACGCGGAGAGGAGGGTTCTTTGGTGGGATAGCGCGGGCGAAGACGTAGACGAGGACGAGGACTGACGGAGGAAGTGGAGGGCTGTTATGTCGTCGGAGTGGGTCGAGGCGTGGGTGCGGAGGGGTGCGACGGGATTTCGTGGATCCCTGCGAAGCAAACCATATACATAAGGCTTTGAGAAGGTAAAAGAGGGATTTGTTGGTTCTTTACCAGTACAAGATCAAAGCTTCATCGCTCTGCATGCCCGTTCCTGCCGCCACAGTCATACCATCGGGCGAAACATCTGCGCATAGCAAAGCGCGGGGTCTTCCTGCGAGGCGCACTGTGTAGGAACAGCACAGATACAGCCAGATTTATTCTTTGAGTGGTCAAAACGAGGTATACTCGAAAATGTAATGCGGAAGCTGTACATACTTTGTACAGCTACCGAGCCTGCCCTATCATCCCATACTTTGATGGTACCGTCTTTTCCAGAAGAGACCAGGGAGCGCTGATTCGTGCCAACGATGGCATCGACAGCACGCAGAGAAGTAGTTCCCCCTTCATGGCCATATAGAGATTGAGCCGGACGGAGAGAATGACTGTCGAAAAGATATATTTCATTCGACGGTGCCGAAGCGGAAGCGGCATAACGAGATGGGAGAGCGGCTAGGGAGAGGACATAGGCGTCAGAGGGAAGACGCGTAGATCTGAGTGGATTTGAGGTGTTCGTGAACGATGCCGACTGTGCGAGGGACATGTCTATGTTTTTGAACGAAATGGGTATGTCGGTATGTTTTTTTTGACGCGACGCGCGAACGGCGAAGTGCGCGGGAAAGAAAGAGTGCCTGTTTTGGATCTGGATCTTTTTAGGAACTCACAGCCGGGCCGAGAGCGTGCCAAGGCGCTGCCGCCATAGCGATCGGATTTCCAGTGGTCTCTGAGCTGAGCGGGGCGGACGGCTCGCATCCTCTCTCTCTCGCTCTCCATCATCCATTCCAACCGTCGTCGCGCTTGATTGTCCGCGACCGGTCTTCGTGCAGCTCTCATTCGTACACCCACGTTCTTTACCCACTCTCTTTTACCGGCCCACAAAGGCTTGTAGGCTTGTTAGAAAAACTAAGCGCATTTTTCCCCGTCGACGCCCTTCGTACGAACACCATGGCCCCCTCAGGTCAGTCAATATTTCAGTAAAATGGGTGAGCAAATAACTAATGAATATATGGATCACAGCTCGCCGCCACCGTCTGCCTCAGCACCCGCGCGACTACGTCCTTGTTCCCGCGCCGCTTGGTATGTTCAGTGCACCCCCATCGACCCTGTCCGCAGTCTTACCGTCGCTACTTCCAACAAACAGATCTCTCACTCGCGACCATGAGCGAGAAATCGCCACTTCCCGCCATCGTCGTCACGCCTTCTTCACCCTCGAGCTCAGGCGATTTCTCCATCGCCTTCCTCGCCCCCGCTCCCAAACCCTCCCTCTTCCAGCGCCTAACCTCTTCGCTTAGCTCTCCCACCAGTCCGACCTATCCGAACAGCCCCATAGCGCTCACCCTTTCTGATACCGACTCGGAAGCCGGCACACCGCCCCCATCCTCATCCGCCTTCCACATTCCTTCACAGTCCCCATCCTATTCGTCACTCTCGAATAAGTTGCAGCTCAAAGCACGCACCTCGTTCCTCCTGCTGTTGCTCTTCTTCATCCTCGCGTGCCATCTGCTCACTCATAGACTCGCGACGCGTATACCACATCTGGAGTTTGGGAACGTGAGGGATTTGACGCTTAATCCTGGCACGGAGTCGGCGACGAATGGGGTGGGCAGTTGGTGGGATTGGAACACCGTTTGGGGAGAGGATGCGGAAGCGGATGTGGATACGAGGGAGTTTGTGATCAGGGAAGGAGGGTCCGAGGTGGAGTTCCCGTTGGAGGCTGAAGAGGCTGAGTTTCCGCTGGAAGCTGAGCAGATCGGGACGGAGAATGCAGTATAGTTCGCTGGGGTGTGAAGGACATGATGTGGGATGTGGACACTGGCTTGAGGGAGAGAATTTATGTGGATACAGTTGTGGTTTTGGTGGACTTGCTGAACCGATTTTCGTTCGACGTGGTCAACGTAAGGCGCACTCTCGAGCAGGTCCCGTTCGCTTGATGATGCAGACTACGACCCCTCGGCTCGCCGTCCGTCGACTCCTTGGACATTTACACGGTACGCAGGTCGCCGATCCTGGCGCACGACGCTATACGCCCTTCAATTCATTCTTCTTCCTGCCGTCTACATACATACGCACTATTTATCACCTTCAACCCCTTCGAACTCACCGTTCTTGGTTTTGAACATACATCCATATCTACGCTTCGGGTTTTAGGTTTCCTTTCGGGTGACCACACACGCACACCATATCACACTGTCTGTGAGTGCAACCCCCTCTTTTTACTCTTCATCGGTATCGGTTGGAACCTCTTTTGAATCAAATTTTCTGGCTGGGAAAACGTCCTCTTTTACTTACTTACTCGCTACCCTTTTTTCTTTTCTCTTCTTCCCATGTTGCGTTCTCTCCATCCATCAACTATCGATTATCAATTTTATCAACCGTTTCAACCCCTTGATACCCAGCTTCAGCTGTACATATCTTTATCCCATTTTACCCACCCACCCATTGTTACCTGCGCTTTAGATAAAGCTGAGCATGGCATAGCGTAGCATAGCGTTACGCGTCACGGTGACGAGCGAGTCTTTCTACATATACAAGTATAGCTGGTATTTTTGCAGTGATGTCCGTGTTGTGCGTGTGAGGCGGACGGGCGACATCATCATCGATATCGCGTAGGGCGAGCGATATTGCGCTGGCAGGGTCCCGGGGCTACCAGTGCTCGATGCGTTACGCTGAACAAATGCAGGCGTCCTGAACGATCCAGGGGAATTCACAGACCTGATCCCATTTGGAGTCTGAATGAGAGGCAGGGAAAATTGGATCTTGATTCTTGAAAGCTAGAGAGAGTTGCAAGAGAGTTGATGTTACATATATACGACGGCATGCGAAGAGGCCTTCCAGTTGGCTCGTTGACAGGGGCGCGGAAGTTTATCACATGTGAGTGGATAATAAACAGGCGCTCGACGACGATACCTTGACGATAGGTAACTTACCTCTATGACCCACACCTCTGATTCCTTTACTTACACGGAATAAAGAAAAGAAGGCTCTGTTTTGGAATCAAAAACCTGCGTTGCCTTTTCGGCTTGTTTAATGTGAATCACAGCCACATGGATTTGTTTTTGTTGCAGGAAACCCAACGTTCTCGCCGCGTCTTGAAGTGGCCAACGGCTGGTTCGATCTCACGACCTCTCGGAGGAGGAATTGTTATTGAGGAATACCAACCGTTAGACCACTGCGGCATTGATAGGACTGGGCGTACCAGTAATATATACGACTCTTTCACTCCGATTTACACACATCTCTCGCTTGCTTTCGTCGCGAAACTAATTACTTTGCTTGACAATAAATCGATCATCGAGGAAGGACGAAGAATGCAACTGAAGAACGCGATATAACGGAGTGAAGGGGTCGTATGTATTTTTAGTACGTTCAGATCCATCAATGCCGCAGTGGTCTAACGGTCTGTAAGTATCGTTAGAATTATCCTCGCCACGAGAGGTGGCCGGTTCGAGCCAGCCTTGGGCCACTTGCGCGCGAGAAGCTTGGGTTTCCTGCAATCGAAAAGAAATCCATGTGGCTGTGATTCACATGAAGCCGAAAGGCAGCGCAGGTTTTTGACTCCAAACCTGAGCCCCTTTTTCTTCTTCTTGAATAGCCCTCTAGGCACAACAGGCGAAATACACACACAAATATCATACCAGAGGCGTCTGAATCATACAACGAGGAATTGAATCTGGACTAAGACGGTGGGCGACGTGCGAAACTTACTGAAAGTAATCGCGAACGCTCTCCATTCTGCGATGTCCGTGCCCGACACGCTGGTGGATGAACTTGAGTAAGGGCCTCCTAACCAATTGCCAGTGGCACTTCGATACTGCTGGGTGCAGTCAGCTGAAAGGATGAATCAAGGCGGATGCTCAGCACCATCGTGATACAGATACTGTACATATTTTGCGTCGAACTTCGAGCACGAACACAAGACCCGAACCGAGCGAGAAAGTGAATGAACGAATGAATAAAAGAACGAATGAGAGCAAGGCCAGCTCGGAGGAGTCCGTGTAATGAATAAGTCAGCGAACGAAAATGTATGTGCACTCTAAGTGAAAAGCAAAAGAAAAAAAAAGGTCCGAGCGTGTATAGTTTCAAACTTCTACAGGCCTCACTGCCACTACCCCTCCCTAGACACCAAGTACTTCCCGAGACAGCAAAGACGATCCGAGAGAGAGTACGCAAGAGCTCGACGCTCGAGTCAACCGGTGTCGAATGCCTAACCTGAGCCTCTCTTCCCGTGAGTGTCGATGTTCCCTGATTCCCCAAGCCTGAATCACTGGAGCGGTCCGCGTGACGGGCAAACACATACTCACACTGTCTGTCATGACGAGTACCCGGCTTCTTCATCGCGACGGCCGTGGCTTTCCCATGGCGCGATAATCGACACACGGCGTCCGTCGAAACTCGGCACAGTTGGAAGCTCCTTCTCATGGCCACCGGTGGATAACTCAGATGCCGTGTAAGTGTGGGTCCTGTTCGACATCTGATAGTGTTACGTACATTAGTCTCCATTTAGGATTCGACAAAAGAAAAAAGTGGGTAGGCGAACTGCGACGAACCGGTGATGGTAACCCTACTGCGGGTGGAGGGCGTTTCACAGGACTCACCAAGGTGTTGCTGAAGCGGCGTGAGTCGGAGGCTACATTCCAAGGGTTTGTGGAGCGGGATAGGGATATCGAGGTGCTGTTTCGGGGTCGGTTTGCGTAGTCATGGAGGTCTAGGACTGGGTGACAGATGTCGATCATTGATCCACAGATCGGTCGTCCATCAGTAGCTACAACGAACGGAACAAGGCAGCAACTCAAAGAGAAACTCACTGATTCGAGCACTCATCATGCTAGTCAGCGCAATACCAAGGGGGGCGAGGACAGTCGAGTCAGAGTTGTTATAGTAGGCGAAGAAGATGAGGTTGAGAACGTTGGAGACGGTTGTGATTATGAAGTAGGCGAGGGAGGAGCTCCAGAGGACCTGGTTGAATTCGGCTTGGGTGCCACCATTGGCCTCATTGCCCCGTTTACCAGCGCGGGAGTTGAAGTTGGCAACGAGGCGCTGGTAGGTGACGATGATGATAATGATGTCGAATATGGTTCCACTCTAGGTTGATTCACGGACATAGTTTCACGAACGCGGTCCCAGTGAACGAGCGGGCAGGGGCCAAGAGTGATGAGAGAGTTGTGTTGTCTGTGGAACAGACAAGACATACCATGTAATAAACCCAGCCAATGTTCACCTTCTTACTATACTGAATCAAACAGTTCCCTGACGACCCAGCCTTGAACTTCCGAAAAGCGAACAACTGCGCAAATATCTCCACGGCGGAAACAATAAACGCCAGTAAGGAAAGAGATACTGTCGGTAGTCTTTCCTTGTTCCAGATCGCGGAAGTGCGAACGACGAAGATGATATGACTGGCCCAGGACGCGACACATTGCACGATGGGCATGACGTGGTAGTAGCGCTCGCAGGATTCCTGGGTGAAGTTATGGCCGAAAAATCCGAAGAGGTTCAAACAGATCGCTGCGAGGCCGATGTACTGTGCATAGGTAGGTAGGTCAGGTATAGGGGTTATTGAGAGTGTTTTTGAGGGAGGGGCCGCACCCGAGTCATGATCAAGAGGATGCATGCGGTACTGGGTTTGTACCAGCATCGCTGCTTTCTGTCTGTGTGGTTTGACTCTTAGAAACGAAAGATGGAAAGGCACAAGGATGGGGCCTACAAAGCCGGATCTCTGCTGGCAGCGTGACAATCCAGTCGTAGACGAAGAACGACAGAGCGACCTAATCCGGGAACGTCTGAGCATGCAGTTGGACAAATTTGGCTCGGTGGATGATGACACGTACGATCCGGAAGTATTTGGTAGCATCATTCCACGCTGTCATTGTTGATACAGACGGTGAGGACGTTTCCAGACAGTCAAAGTACAATCGCGCTCGAAGCCAGCTTCTTCAGTTCAAGAAAGAAGAGAGGACCATGCCAGTGGAAAAGGAAAGGAAAGGAACGGAAAGAAATGAGAAATGACTTAGCTACGGGTTGGGTGGTCATGTCGTATTAACACCGCGGGCAGCTCTCACGGGCATGTCGTCAGGAACAAGGAAACGAACTACAGAGTCGCCACACCGCCACACGGCGAAGTGGGGCTCCTCGGCCGGCCAATTGCTTTCTGACTTCCAAAAATAGCAAGAAGCCGGCGGCCCAATGCGGCTCGTAGCAGCCTTTCTCCCTCCTCTCTTACACTCCCACACATTTCCATTCCGTCTCTCTCTTGGCCTCAAACCTGTATACAATTATCGTACAATCCTACCGTCTGCACATATTAACAACCAAGGTTTCTGAGCGCCTGAGAAAATGGCGTTCCTATTCTTCGCCAGACTGGCTATTCTCAGTGCGTTACCACCTCTCTCGCCAAGATGGCCAAGTCTGCCATGATTGACTGACGCTTAACTCTCATTTCTCTCATCCTCTGCGCTCACATCTGCTCATGCGATTGTATCAACGTCATTAAAACTCACACCAATCGAATGGGCTGGTCCGAAACACACAGGCTTCTCCGTCCTCTTGTCGCTAACGGTGCTGGCGCTGAGCCTCGACTTGATCTATGTACACCAAAAAATGAACCAATACGGGGACAATTACGGGGACGCTGGTTCGTCAGGGATGAGTGGAAGTAATGGAGGAGGGGACGATGGCCCGGATAGGTCGAGTGCGTTGTGTGCGGCGGTCGCGATTTTGAGCGTTGCGGCGACTTTGCCTATGTGAGTAATTACTGTTCAACCTTTATCACCTTTTCTGGAATATAGCCGGAATGATGGAGGGCAAGCTGGGCCATGCGCACCTTGAGGATCGATTCAATCGACGGTGGACGGAAAGAGGCAGCGCTTTGAAAGGAAGCGAAGAGAAGACGGAGAATCTGCGCTGGTGCTGACTTGTGTTTGGTTACGAACAATAGGTTGATCGTGGATCTATTGAAACGCAAGTCATTCATCTCTATGGTCGTCGTCGAAGCTAGCTGTCTCTGTGAGCTCATCCCTCTTTGCTGTCCTCGCTCCACTTCTAAGACATTTTTGCCCCTCCTGTCTTCAGGCGTGCTCTGGATACTCTGGCTTGCTTGCGGGGCATTCACAATTGTAGACAACGATTCACATTTATTAAGTGCTTTGGATTGCGACGATATTCCCAGTAAGTACTTCTACTGCTTGTGGGGCGTCGTCGTCGATCTCAACGTTGTTGTGATAACCCAGGCGCATCGAGATGCTACGAGGCCAAGTTCATCGAGGTGTTTGCGTTAATTAATTGGATAACACGTACGCCCTCACATTCCTTTTCAGCTCGAATCACGGCCTGACATCTGTTCATCCTGCGCTCTCGCCAGTAATGATCTACGCCAACACCCTCTTCACTCTCGGCGTCATCGGCCACATGCGGAAACAGCCACTCTGGTTCTCCGTCGTCCGAGAAGCACCGATGCTCTCACCTGCAGAAGAACGTTCACCAGAATCGATCAAGCTTCTCAGTTCTGCCAGTAGCTTCTCGACAGACGACGAGCCGACCTACAACAATCACAGTCATCCTCACACTCATGTACATGGTCCTTCGAGCTATGCCGTGCAGACTCAGCAGGCGATACTACCTGGGGGAGGAACACCGTCTATGATCACGAGAGGGTTCGCTGGGAGGACGAATAGGAGGATGACGGGGTCGACGCTGCCGCCGACGTATGTCGAGGAATGTTGATCTCGCTTGTTCTTCTTTCATCACCCTATCTATCCGTTTCTCTTCTGTTCCATATGCCTCTGTTCTGCTTGTTAGTCGCTCGCCCCTAGAGTATGACCCTCCTCTGTATTCGCTCCTTCGTGCCGCTGTCTCTCACACTCGCTCTCACCCTCGGTCATTTACTGGAACACATGTACGATTTTCGTTGTCGCTATCACCATCGCTGTGAATTTTCGCATCGTTTATTATATCGTATCGCCTTCATCCTTCCCAAATCTATTATCCTACTTACTCCTTCTCTATGTTCCCCGCCTTCCTGCGTTCTTTGCTTGGTGTCACTCTGTATCAGTATTCCCCTTTCAGCCATTGTGCATACTCACTCTCATTGCTCCGGATTCTCTCTACTCCTGTTTGGTCTCTTTTCTTTTCGGGCTGTCGTGGTTTGGCAATATGGACAGAAGTACATAGTACGTTAGTAATAGGTTCTGTATATAGCGTTGTTTTTTTGTCAGAGTACATCACCGAATCGAATGGATCTTGTGTGTACGCTGGACACTCTTACTGACTGTTCGAGCGTCATTATGGTTCAGATCGAATTACTCGGGGAACAAGCTATACTTTACACAATGATCAGGGGGTTGCTACCGTCACTTTCTCTCCTGCATCGCTATGCACCCGGTAGAGTACGCCCAGAAAGACATATTCGGGATCCTTCGCAGTCCTTTTAAATTACGAGATCCTCTATTAGACTCAGGGTTGGAATGTGAGACAACCCGAGGTGGCATTATAGGTTCAATCGTGCGACAACTTTTCTGGTGAGGCCTAACGGGAGGTCAACACGATCGACCCTCGCCTTTCGCGGCGTCACAACTTCGCATCTTCCAGCGGACGTTGACCGGGCTGGAAGCTGGAGGGAGATGTCTGCTTGGACACACGACGATTGTGACCTCCAGTGCACCGTCGACCGGATTTTGTGGCAGAAGGCCGTTAACATCAACAAAACATAGCAAGTCGGTTAGTTCTTCTTCACACACTCCCGGAACAGATCGTTTCTAAGCGTCGATGAACAAAGGACCTTCAGGTGCAGCAGGAACTACAAGAAAAACCGTGTTCTTTCTCCTTGAAGGTTGAGTTTGAGTTTGTATTTCGAAGTGAGACGATGTCGCAAACGTGCTTGCGCCACAACGATTCACACAGTGACACAGGTGACACCAGCAGTGATACTTGGGCCACCTTATCCAGCATTTCCCTCCGTTCCCTGACAAACCTCAATCTGCTTTGGCTGGGCCTCCTCTAGCGAACAGCTTTACTCTCTCGGTCGACGCGAATAAATACTACTGAAACGTCACAACTCACGCCCTGATCCGTCTTCCTCTTGCCATCACCCGGCGTGATCCATATATCCCTTCTCCCCAAAACATCTATATGTCGAGGACATAGTTCCCCCAAAGTTCTCGAGTTACCTAGCTACGTGTACGCGTACGAACTATGGACGCCATAGACAACCTTTTTAACGCGATTGCGACGCCGCTTGGGGCGTCGGCTTCGCAGCTCAAGGTGTGTTGCATTCTTCTGGTCTTATTCTTTCCGGCGTTTTGACCGACTTGACCATTTTTGTGCACTTCGTCGTACTTGGATTTGTTGCGGACGCGAATGCTATGGTTCACGTTGACCTTGTGGTGGTCGATACTAGCTTATAACATGCCTTCTCGTCTCCTACCCACTTGGCAGCGTCTTCATCCGCATCCCTTCCTCTCAGCCAGCCTACAAACACCTCTTCAACATATCCATAGCCCTGTTTTACCTGGTGCCTATGCTCAATATGTTCTGGGGTCTGGTGCAGTTGAGCGCGGATGTGCTGGTGACGTGGATCGTAGCGGACAGGATGAAGGGGCAGGGGACGAAGATGCCATGGGTTGTGTTCTGGTGAGTATTCATGGGCTCAACGCGGTTGTCACTACCGATACTGGGCTGCGGGTGATGTTGACGGGCTCTGTGATTCTTACAGGCTCATGATGGGACATTTGACGATCAAGTGAGTGTTTCATTTTTCTTTTCGCGCGTCGGAAAAGCAGAAGGAATTAATGGGAATGAGAACAGCCATGTCATTCGAGCGATTTACGACTTAGGTTACGAGACGATAGAGATCACGGGGCCGCAGATGGTGCTCGTTATGAAGCTCACGACGTTTGCGTGGAATGTTTACGATGGACAACGGCCTGTTGAGGTAGCGTTCGTTTTTTTATTTGCGCAACCTGATCATCGTTTTCTAACATGTCGTGACAACTGTAAAGGATCTGGACAAATGGCAGCTCGAGAAACGAGTGACCAAATTCCCTTCACTCATAGAATTTTTTGGATATGCGTACGTCTCCCATGCCTTTGCGAAACACCGCATCCTCGAATGCATCTGATCAAGTTACGCCACACCTTCCCAGATTCTACTTCCCCGGCATCCTTGTAGGTCCCTACCTCGAATACAACGCCTACATCTCCCTCGTCGACGAGTCACTATTTAAAATCACCCAAGCCGAGCCAACGCCCACAGACGACGCCACCGAACGTAAACACAAGCGCAAAGTGCCCAAGGGTCGCAAACGCGTGGCGTACCGCAAGGGGCTGTATGGGTTGCTGTACTTGGGCTTGTTCCTTGTGTTTTGGCCAAAATTCAACTTTGGTCTGGCCATTACGGATTGGTTCTTGGAGCAGAACCTGATTGTTAGGTCTGTCTTTGTCATCTCGCCCCTCTGGGCCACTGCCTTCGGCCTGTCGAGCTTTATTCCCGAACTGACCCTGGCTGCATCATGTTCTACCAGGATCCTCTTCTTCCAAATCTGCGGTTTCTTCGAACGCGTGAAGTACTACGGCATCTGGACGCTCACCGAAGGCGCGAGCATCCTCACCGGCCTCGGCTTCACAGGCTACGACGCCTCCGGTCGCTCGACCTGGAACGGTGCCGCCAACGTGAACGTCTGGCTGATCGAGTTTGCGCCCAACTTCAAGGTCCTTCTCGACTCATGGAACATGAAGACGAACGTGTGGTTGAGGGAGTGTGTGTACAAGAGGGTGACGCCGAAGGGGACGAAGCCAGGGTTCAAGAGTAGTATGATCACGTTCGGAACGAGCGCGTTTTGGGTGGGTATTTTCCTTGTTATTATTTTTCTTGCCTTGTCGGAAGTCGGGAGCCAAACGTACTGATTCGTTGATTGATCTTTCGTAGCATGGCATTGCGACTGGATACTACCTCACATTCGCCTTTGGAGGCTTTGTCCAAACGGCGGGCCGTCTCTGCCGTGCCAGCATCAGACCTCTTCTCCTCCCAGCCGCGGCCCCTTCGTCTGCTCCCAAAATCTCTCAGGACTCCAAGACTTCACTTAAACCCGAAGCTATCACCGTCAAGACGAACGGCACCACGAACACCACAACCACCCTTCAAGCCAAACTAACACTCCCTGCACCTGTCTCCACCACTCAATCGGCACTCAAACAGATCTACGACTATCTCGGCATCCTCTCCTCTATCCTTCTCGTAAACTACACCGCCGCGCCCTTCATGCTCCTCTCCTTCAGCTCTTCCATCGAATGCTGGCGCCGCTTAGGATGGTACGGCCACTGGATGATCGCCCTCTCTATGACGTTCTTCTACTCTGGGGGGACGAAGTGGCTCAAGGGCGTGCAGAAGAAACGAGTGCAGAGTTTGGAGATCGCGGTGGAAGGGTCTAATACGCCTGCTGGTCTTTCGAGGGCGAGCAGCTTTGACGTGCTTTATATGCCGCCGGTGGATTCTGCGGCGAGGGAGGTCGAGAAAAGGATGCCACACTGAGCTAGTGGGAGGTACTGAGGGACGTGGTCAACGCGCTGTGAAGAATCTGCTGAAGGGATGCTGTGGACCTACATAGTTTCTATACCGAATACCTTACAGCCTTATATCTGAGAGCGGCGAGTTTTCGGGCTGCATTGAGTCCATTTACCTTGCGGGAGGACTGAAGTGCATACTCAGAATCCTGATATGTTGAGTGATGCAGTGGCATAACTCACACACGAGGGCAGCGAGACTCGAGCGGTTTTATGGGTCGGTCAAGGGGCATGTCAATGTCAGCATGAGGCGGTGTAATGCATACAATTGGTAGACTCATGGAAGTGAGAGATAGAATAAAAGACAGCAAAAGCCCATGTAACACATAGCGACAACCACGACAAGACAGACCCCTCTCCCCAGCCATCCGCCCTCGCCCCGGACTCGACGTCAACGTCGATTTTAGGTCGTTTAGACCTTGAAGCCACGAGACTTTCGGCGACCGCGACCACGCTCGAACTAAAGCAATCGTCGGTAAGACATCGAAAACTACAGGAAGCATACAGTAACGCACCTTCCGACCCTTGGAGATGGTGTAGGGCTTTTTGTTCTTGTGGGGGCCCATACCGAAGTGCTTAACGGACTCACGGGCGGTCCTCTTTCCGCGAAGAAGGACCGTGTTGGAGCCGGTGGGCGAGCGCATGGCGAGCTGGTCGAGGGTGATGGCCTCACCACCAGCAGCAAGGATACGCTCCTTAGCGGCCTGGGTGAAGCGGAGGGCGGCAATGGAAAGCTTGGGGACCTGGGTGACACGGACGTCGTCTGTTACAGTTCCAACTTGGATGATAACTTTCGATGAGAGGTCGTCCACGCTGGAGGTCTCCTTGATTATGCGGGAGAGAGACAGCGGGGGGCGGTTGGTCTTGGAGAGGAAGAGACGGTGGAGGATGACCTATATTTTCCAAAATGCAGACGCGCAGAGTAAGTCAAATAGCTCTTGTAATTTCCCGTGTAAAGCAACGAGACCTTGTTGAATTTAGCGTCGGTACGGCGAGCAAGGAAACGGTACAACTGGCATAAAGCATGAGTTCAGAAGTTCATGTGAATATATCTAAACGAAGACATACCTTGACGAGCAAGAGGAGGTAGGGGTCCTCGCTCTTGGGGGCGGTCCTCTGGCCCTTCTTGACGTGGTGCTTGACGATATCGATACCCTATCCATTGCGAGGAATGTCAGAAACAGCGGCGCCGACACCGACGACAGCGAGCTCACCATCTTGTCCTTGCCGAAAGCCTTGTCTTGTTTGCTGTTGTTGGTACCTCTGAACGGGAGGCTGATGAACTGTACAGTAGCTTACATAATGCAGTCGGGGCTCGAAATTGAGGCATCTCCGACTGAAATTTGCCCGGTCTTCAGGCCACGCGCACGGCGCGCCTGCTCCATACCCCAGAGCCCACCATGGTGCGTACGCGTCTCTTTGACGTCTTCGTCGACAGCGAGCAAGGGTACTGATCCATCGTACAGTATAGCGACTCTGCACCAGCTCCCGCCGTCGACCCTTACTCGGACGCGTACAACCAGCCCCCGGCAGCGGCGCCCATGGACGCAGACCCCCCCGTCAAACGAGAGCGCTCTCGTTCTCGCAGTCCTCGCAGCGACCGTTTCCGTAGCCCTCCACCCTTCCGTCGAAGGTCTCCCGCCCCAAGGAGGCCGTCTCATGCACCCATTGTAAGCTATATTTCTTCTCTTCGTTGCCGCATCAACAGTTGACCCGAGTTGGCGCGTCAGGCTCCGAACCCGTCCAACGTACTGGGCATTTTCGGTCTCAGCATCCGCACCACCGAGCGCGACCTCGACGATGAGTTCTCTCGCTTCGGACGCGTTGAAAAGGTCACCATCGTGTATGACCAGAGGGTACGTCGTGTTACCCTCGTGTACCTTGCGTCATCACTCACCGCTATTCCAGTCTGACCGCTCCCGTGGCTTCGGGTTCATCAAAATGAGCACCGTCGCCGAAGCCGAAAAGTGTATCCAGGAATTAAACGGCGTCGTAAGAGCATTTTCTCGACGCCTGCTAGACGCCTCGCTCATCTTGCCACAGGACTTGAACGGTCGTCGTATCCGTGTTGACTTCTCTGTCACCGACCGCCCTCACGCGCCGACTCCCGGAGAATACATGGGACATCGCCGCACCCCTCGCGACTCATACCACGGCAGGGACAGAGATCCCCGCGACAGGGACCGTGACTATGGCCGGCGTGGATCTGACCGTGATAGAGACCGTGACCCTTACGGACGTGATAGCAGGGATTGGCGCGATCGCCGCAGCCCTCCTCCTTCTCGTGGTGGTCGCTACTCTCCCGAGTATAGAAGGCGTCGCAGCTACTCCAGAAGTCCTCCTCGAGGCAGCAGCCCTACTCGTGCTCGCGACTACGATGCGCCTGCCACGAACGGAGATTCTTCTCGGTGGTAAGGCTGCTGCTATTGCTCTGTTGGCGCCCTCGTCTCGGATCTCGTCAGTAGTAGGACAAGGCTGGCGATCAAGGCGAAGGTGAAGACTTATGAAGGACAAGTCACCGAAGTTTTGTCAAGAGAATGAAGAGTGTCGTTTGGTCGTCATTTTGGACTTCTCAAGTCATCAAGTTCTCTAGCCCCTACGATAGCGCCCCCAAGTTTTCAAGTCTCAAGTGTTACTCCCTTCCAATATGCTCTCCTCTTTCTTGTAATATTCCTTCCCTTTGGCTACCGTCGTTCATACGTTCCAAGTACAAGCCTTCAATACCTTTCCGGTGGCAGTATCGACCATGGCCCGTCGTCGGTTCCGCCGCCTACATACAAGCGTGAATAAGTCAAACCCTGTTGGCAAGAAATGTGTATGCCCCGTATGTCCTTTCACGTACCGTTTCTACTAATCGCCTCGCGTTGGCCGTCAAGTGGGAGTCATGGGGCATGTATCGCCTGGACGGAAACCTCATGTCGATGCATATTAACTCGCTATATTCATTTCCGGCGGTAATCATGTACGGCTCGTGCTTTTCTTGTATTGGGTGCGTATGGCGCATGGTGGCGACGGATGTGTATATATTGTCGTATTCCACAACAGCCTGTAATATATACGTTGGCATCTTGTTTTCCAATGTCGCCTGCTGTTTAGCTCAAGCTCCACCGTGAATCTTCCCAAACGAGAACTCTGGGTGAACTCTATAGTGGAGCTTGGGGGAGATTGATGGCATGCGAGTTGCTGCTGCTTTGTAGTGTTGGGCGATTGTTGAGCGTAATTAGACAGTTATCTTCAAAGCGAAGCTTGTCACGTCGAAGACGAACGCGGAGTTCGAAAATTCGAAATATTCTGTGGAACCGGCACCCAGGCTCATCGTGACACTCGTTCGCAGAAAGATGCAAGAGATCTTGTAACAGAGTATCTGAGTTCTATTCTTCACGGCGGTGTCTGACTCAAGTCTCGAAACTAAATCCTGAAGGACTATTACATTTGACTCGAGAGCCTCCAACGGGTATGAGCACAACGCTATATTTGTACAGGGTTGTAGTACCGTTTTTTCTACTCCCTGATGGCGTCGTATGAGGCAGCCTGTGAGTCAAAAGAAAGGGAGGGCGGGTTCGAAATGATAGCGACCGCCAGCGCAAGCCCGAGAAGTGTGGACCGAAAACCCGGGAATGAATGTATGTAGAAAAGAATGTGAAGCCCAGCACAAGTGATGGGCCAGAAGTGGCCCAAGGAACAACTATCAGAATGGCCTATCTGTTGTAACGAATTTAGTAAGATCCAGCCTTGATCTAGAGACAAAGAACAAGTCAGGATTCACTACGGTGAGAGTCACTGGAAAAGGGGCATAGGCGTACCGTGGCATCATCAGCATCCACGCTCGAGCTCTTGCCACCAGTGATGGACAGCTTGCTGAAATCCCAGTTGCCTGAGCAGTTGCCGCAGTCTACGACGAGGCGCTTGCCGCTGGAGCCAACGGAGACTGAAGTTGTGCTCCCGGTGAAATTTACGTCGCTGAGGATCGGAGACAGGTATGAGCTCGGAAACGAAAACAACAAGGGGTTCATCATGCAAGGCTCACGAGATCGACGACTTGGTTCCCGGAGTTCCGGCTGAATAACGTGGTTCCAGTCAGCATTCGTACAAGTGTATAGCTGACAGTTCTCACCATCATCTGGGTAGCTCTGCGAGATGAGCACACCATACTTGTCGATCCCAGAGAGAGTATTGCTGAAGAGACAAAAGGAGCACATTAGCTGTCGTATCATAGCCGTGATTTTAGGGCCATGACATACCCGGAGTATGTGACGTCGGAAACGGAGCCGGTAGCAGTGCTATGTGCAATATCCCTGGTGAGCTTTACGATCTCAAGATTGGAAGAGGCATATACACATACGCTTTGACCTTGATTCTAATACCATACATGGAGGCTGTCACGGTGTTATCAGAGATAGTAACCCCGGAGACTGTCTTCGCGTCGGAGATAGAGCCTATGCTGATGCCATGCCTAAGGATGTGTGTCTCAGCAATGAAATCGTTCGATGCACTAGGAGTGAAAACGCACCCCCCACTGCACGTATTTCCCTTGAACACGATGTTACTTCCTGAATTGATAGCAATGCTGAGCCGGGACGCATTAGCCGCAGAGACACAGACGAAGTGAAATGTGATTCGGGGTGACTCACCAATCATCCTGGTTCTTCACAACGGAGTATTGGATGGTGACATCGGAGGCACTGACGTCGAACCCATCTGTGTTATGTCCCTTGTCACCAGAGTCGCCTGCAGAGTTATCGACGGTTGCCTTGTTTATGACAGTAGTACCGCTGGTTCCTGCCGCCTTCCATCAATACAAGGGAGACAAAGTCAAGGCGATGATACTCACCGACGGAGACAGCCTGAGCGGGAGAGTTCAGGACGTAGAGCTGGTTGAAAGTGCCGTAGCCCTTAACCCTGCAGTGACGGCAATCAGAATGGAGTTGATGCTGGAGAGAACTACTCTGAGCCTACTTCACGAAGGGATGCTGCTCAGAAGGTATCAGTCAGTCCCCAGGAAATATATCGCCCTCACAGAGGACTCACAGGCTTGTCGACACCACCATTGGTACCCTCACCATCCCAATAAGCTGACAGTAAACTTCAACATGGGGAGAGTTCCGTGAAGCGATTGAGCAGGAACTTACCGGCGCCGTTGCCATTTACCTTGTACCCATTGCCATTAAATGTCACGCTATCCGTGTCAAGCTGTTGAAGACCGTGAGTTGGAGTGAAAACAGAGGACTTTGGAAGAGGATTTGCTTACCGTGAAGAGAGGACCATCAGCTGAGAAAGACGGATGGTGTGCGTTGACCCATGACAGTGGCGTAAATATGAGACAGTTGGTATTCAGTTACAAGCATGAGGAGTAAGAACCTTACAGGTAGTCTTAGAGAAAGTAATGTCACCCTCCATGTTAATTGTAGCGCCTTTCTTGGCCTGGGGAAAAGTTAGGTGCGGAGAACAACCAGCGAGAGATCTGCGTCAACGCACGGCGATGGTTACAGTGTCTGAGGAGTGACAACGTCATAAGCTCATGAATGATCAGTGACATCAAGAAAATAATATACGCACTTCCAGACGGGACAGTAAAGGCTTTAATGGTGACAGTGCTGCACGAAGAAACAGAGGATGCGCTTGAGACGCTATCAACAGTGCAAGTAGCCCGCTTAGCAGCGTCGCTCGCGGGCACTGCCGACGCCACACCAGCTAAAGCAACGATAATGAATGCGCAGAGGAACTGCATAATTGTGGATAGAAAGAACGACAGGGAGAGACGAAAATAGTCAAGGATCGGATAGGGGAAAATCTCCAGCTTCCTTAGACGAGACTTTATATTATACAGGTTGATGGACCGAGTCTAGTCGCTGGCAGCCTATGTTATGTCGGGGACCCGCTTGCCAATGGCCGGTTTCTACGGTGTCTGTAGGTCGTTCGAGTAGAACGATCTCGAGTATCACCATGCTGTCAGGCCACAAGGAGTCGCCTGGCATGCATCGGAATGCTGCAGAATCGCAGCGGGTAATGAATTAATACTTTACATCATCCGTGTGCCAAGCCTCGAAGAAGTAGTAGGATCGAGATGGAACTGACCTTTGGCTGGGTCGTCCGCGAGGATCAGAAGAGGTACTCAAAGATCCGCACAATGAACATCTTCCGATGTATGTAGCGTGGGAGCCTTAGCGTAAGCCAAATGTTCTGAGGAGCGGAGAGGCCGCCCCGGATGAAAGTCAGGAGAGCAGGTGAAGCATACTTACGCTGGCCGTTAGTCCTCCATTCCCACTCTCAGAACAACGTTCATACATGAAGGTATCTTGAACGAGTACTAGTGAGAGGCAGCTTCGACAGAAACACTTTGACGGGAGGAACGAGCGACTCCGTCGACGAAATCATCCGTCAGGTCCTGTCGAAACCGGGTTGCCCTCCAAGCTCGGTGAATTGCATAGCAACCGACTGCACCCATGCGTCGTTTGGCAAGATCGACGGCCTATGTAACAACCGAATTGTCCGCGAAAACGGGAGCATTTGTGTAGTGTTCGTCGGTGCCTGACAAAAACATACTCATTCAGTGGTATCTCCGCCACGCTCCGACTTCGACCTGCGTGCGAAATCGAGCTCAGTTTACTTAACAAGACACTCAACGCAAAGACCTGATAATGCATGGAGGAGCAGACCACCACAATGGTCTTTGATATTACTAGCCCGAGCTTTCGATGCGAAGCAAAGACGTTCTGTATACACATTGCACGCCCTACAGGAATAGAAATAATAGGAGTTAGCGACGAGCAAAGACGCCAAGGTGACGACCTATACCACCACGCGACCATCTCCCGAAAGTCCATACACGCAAACACGACGACCTCGCCGAATATCAGCCTAAATGCCCCTGTCTACCATCTGTCTCCCTCTTCCGCCCCTCCCACTAATCCCTGCAGAACTAGCCCCTATCAGCGCTCGCCCCAGACCCGTCAACGCCACCAACACTTCTCTCCGTCTGACGCCACTTCTGCGCCACCCGACCCTCACCACCCACAAGACAAACAAGACAAAGGAGACATCCAAGAACAACCTTCGTAGGATGATCATCGCCGGGCTCCGTCTATCCGAGTGTGCGAGGAAGGAGCCTAAGTATCGTAGGAGGGACTGAAACCGCGACAATGCTCGGATGAGGTAGGTCCACAGACCCATATCATCCAAATTCCAAACAAGTGCATCTCGTGGTGCGTCGTAAGGGCTACGTCGACCTGCAGGCCAAGTGGGTGAAACGGATGGACGAGCAAGGTTTGAGGAGGATGGGTGTATACCCCATACGTGTGAGCCTTGGGACTCAAGGACCTCGAGGCGTTCGGTCAAGGCCGCGAGGTGGGCTTGTACGTTCTCGATGGCACGTTCGATGACAGGCCGCGAGGATGCAGGACGTGAGGGAATATGGGAGGGGAACGGGTGTTGTCGTGTCCCAAAAGGAGTTGATGCCGATCTTGAGCCAGGATATGGATGGGTTTGCTCTGAAGGCATCATTTCTCGTGAAGGTGGTGGCATGTTATGGTACATTCGAGGGACATATGGGTATTGCGGTGGTGATGCTGAGGTCAAAGAAGCGGAAGATGGATCGGCGAATGCGGATGGTATTTCGAAGCCTGGATGGGGCTGGGGGGAAGGAATACGAGGTTCTGGAAATGCCGACATCATGAGTGAGCCGGCCATGGGTGTGCGATATCGGTGAGAGGACAATGAGGATTGGGGTCTGTTAGCATGACTTTGTTGATCGCGTGGTAATGGCGGTGGCGCTTCTTCTTCGTCGGACGACCCTTCCTCAGAGGTTGATTCTTCGACGTGTGCTGAACGATGTGCTAGTTGTTGAGCGGACGCTGACATGGCTGCCTCAGGTTGTGGTGGTTGGATATGAGCAGAAGAGCGCCCTAAGCCTCGTTGCACAGGCGCGTCGTCAGATCCCGAGGAGTCCGAATTTCGGGAGTGGGAGAGCGAGCCTGTTTGTTTCATGTAAACTCAGTCGTAAGAAGCGAGAGCTGTCAATGTGACATACGGCTCATCATGATATTCGACGGATCACCAGCAAAAGACTCCAGCTCCTGGACCAAATCCCTTGCCACCGTCTTGTCAGAGTACTTGCGCAGAACCTGAGCCACTATAAGCACATAGCTCGGCGAATTGATGGGCATAAGACTCACCTTCAGCAATGCATCTACATAAAGCCATTTCGCCTCGTATGACTCAACATCTTTGTGTTTCGCCCATGCATCCCTTGAATTTGCAGAACCAACATGTGCGTTTCCAGAGGACCGTGTTAGCACGTGATAAAGGCCATCAATGCAGGATTGAGCAAGAAACATACCACTTTGCCCTATCTAGCATTTCCCATATTGGTGGCCGTGCCCCCTGGACGTTACCAACAGTCGCTGTTTACAGGAAGACAGGAGCAGCTTCAGGATTTGGTCGAAAGATCGCAAGGTGAGGGATCGAAAGCACCTTGCTTGTACAGACTAAATAATACAATCGGCATCAAGTGTATACCCAGAGACACCCAGACGACTACCGACGAACCTGTACATTGTCAACTTCTCCTCATACCCCGTTTGTATCGGGCCTGTCTTAGGCAAGCTCTGAATGATTTCGACGGCTCGGTCGAACTGGGCGTCGATCAGCTCGTGTGAGTCCATTATGTGCGTAAGCGTTCGGGCAGAAAGTCGTTATATAAGTTAGGATAGAACAATAAGGTTGAGAGTATGAGGTGGAGGAATCGTTGCAAGACGCAGAATAAGCCGTGATAAGTAAAGAAGCAGCTGGCAGCTGGTTCAGTGCAGTGAACGTGAAATCAGCTTCCGCCCAGCCGTTTTCGCATGTAAACCTTCGGGCCGGCACCCGGCCAGTACCATAATCGGAAATTTCGCGTTCTTGGCACGGCGCGTCTACTTCGCGTCGAAAGTTGAGCACACATTGTACGATGTATGTGGCGGTGATGAGACGGCGAGGAAAGCGATAATAAGATAGACAGAGATAACGGAACGCAAAGAATTATCATGGTGACGGTGGTAGTGATGATCCCAAGCTCTTCGCTTCTGCTGCTACCTTCGGTGGTGTCGATTTCCCCTCCACCCATGTATACTTTAACGATCCCCGAATCCTCTCGTCTTTGCCCTTCGTCACATTCTGACCTACATGCAAGGGACAGATAAGTATCATATCGTATGTATACACCAGCTGAAAGGAGTACGCACCTTTCCAAAACAACTGCCCCCAAGCCTTCCCATGCTTGCCCTCCAACTTGAATTTCGCCCTCGTGACAAGCCAATAGCTTCCTTCAATCCCCTTCGGGCCCCATCTACACTGTGTAACCCGACGTCCGACTCCACCATCAGGATGACGCGAGAGCACTTCGTAGAGGTTTCCCGGGCGAGATGTGTCGAGGCTGGACGGGAGTTCTCTGGGGAGGAGTTTGCGAAGGGCACCGGCAACGGCGTCAGGATTTGGTGGTTTCATGGTTTGTTTTAGGAATGGTCGAGTTGGAGTTATGACCTTGCGGGAAACATTCCCGACGAGACTAGACATGGTAAGGGCTCGAAAGATAGATGGAGCGGTTGGGTTGGTCGTGATGTTCGATTGAGCCTCAAAGGCGAAGTCGAGAGGGAAGCAATATTCAGACTCCGCTAGGCTGAGTGGCCAGTGGCCCAAATTGCGCGTCCTTCACCCTTTTGTCAAAGGTAAGCTTGCGAATGACGGCTGCCACGTACAGTACAGATGTGTAACAGTCTTCCTGCCCATCTGAACTCAAAGATAGGTTTTCAAAGCAAAGGAGCTCAACTGAGCAGTGGAAAAGATTATGCGAAGTATTCAGTAACAACAATCTAAAGCAAAGAGCTACGCAGTCTCCACATCAGGAGGGATAAATTGGTTCGGCCCAGGCTCCAATACCAACTTCCTCAACCTCTCCGTATCCCTCCTCTGTTTCCTAATCTTCCTAAGCTTCTTCCTACCCATCCTCCAGGTGTCCCTCCACCTCAGCTTCTTCAGCTGTTTCTCGGTCTCTCTCATCCGTTCGTTCCACTTGAATATCCCGTCCACCCTCGCCTCTTTCACCGATCTGCCACCCAAATTCTTGACTTCGGCATCAATGTACTCCTGCATGGCAGCACGCCTGCTAGTGCGACGGGCTTGCCAACGTGCCTGTTTCTTGGCACGAGAGTGGCGGTTCGAAAGTTCTTTGTTGAGATGGGTTTCGACGGGGGCGGTTGGATCATACGGCTGAGCTTTAGGATTGAACAGAGATGCGATGTAGGGCTTCTCGAATGAGTAGTCGGGCCATTCGGCTGATTCATTTAGTTCGGGTAGTGGAGCAGGCTGATACGTGATCTCCAGAACATCCTCCGCCAGGGTGTCGTATGCAGAAGCTGAAATAGACAGAACGTAACATGAGCGGGGCAAGTTCATCGCAGGATGGCTAGACATAAAAGCAATAAACTGTGGATGGCGTACGTTCTGTCTTTGAAGGCGCTGACTCTCTAGGCCAAGGGATGTTCATACGGGATTCAGTCTTCTTGCGTCCCGGGATTGGAGGCTCTGTCGCCGCAGCGAACCTCTCCCAGTCGAAGCGACCCTCCTCCTTATTCCATACTGGTGCTGAGGTACCCAGGCGTTTCGCAAAGACACTAATAAATGAGGCCTAAGTGAGAATGAAATGGTAGTAGACCGAAAGATGAGAACCTACGGGACAGTGCGTGGTTTATCTGAGTCGCGAGCTGGAGGAAACTCGCGTTCGCCAAGGAAGAGTTGGAGCTTAGAATAATGCACCTGTTCGTATTCTTCCTGATTTTGTCGACCCTGCATCCCGGAACAGCCCATCCACCACACCATCCAACAAGGACATTATGTCCAGTGATAAAGCCAAAAGAATGTGAGAATCCCCTGCTACAATATAACAGTAGGCAAAAAGCCAAACACGCACCTTCAAGTAAACCATGTTCGTCAACTTGTTGATCTGCGCAACCTCCAGAATCTCATTTATTCGACTATTCCTGATCTTGACCTGATCTCCGGGAACAATATTCCACCATTTTATGCGGTCCTTTGGCCTCGTAACATTTTGGAGTGCACCTGGGACTTTCCTCCGGTCTGACCAGTGCTTAGGTAGAGGCTCGAGGTGTCTGAGTTCTTTCGTCCAGGGTGAAGCCGTGGCGGCACGACGGGCCTGGGGAAGAGTCCATCGCGCAGGCATAACCAGACGAGTAAACCCACGTCGCTGAGAGACCAGAAAGAGGTAAAGAGAGAGAGAGGAGTCGGACGTTGGCCAACGCACATCGGAAATGTTTGGCGAAGTCGCGACGCGCAGATATTCGCTTACGTCATCTATTATCGGAATCTGTCGGGTCATCTGAGAATTCCAAAATCTGAGTAGGTTGAACATATTCACTGTGACCCTAGAACGATCATAAAGCGCAACAATTTCCTCTTCTCCGTCGGAATATAAAATACTGTTAACGCTCATCTAGTCGTTTCAATTCGTCGAGATAAATACAAAATATTATGTCGTAACAACTCCATATCGACCATATAGACACACATGACATGGCAGTACAGTGGTATCGATATGCTGAGAAAGATCGTATTGACATGCCCAAGGACCTTGGGTGCAATAGTTAAGATCCCACAGCAATTGCTTTAGAGGGATGTACTGGACCGCCGGTCCAGGCAACAGAGGTAGAACTTGGTTCCTCTGACTCTAAAGACTAGAGAGACAAAACGCGTGAAAATGTGCAACACACCGAACGAGCGAGTAGACATACCTCCAACATCATGGTCACAGTTCCATCAACCTCTGCAAGTGGGATTCCACAGCCTACTGCAATTAACCTCCTGTAGTCGTTCATACGTCCGCCCGTTCCCGCCGTGGCCTGGAACGCCACGAGCTCGTTAAACATCTCCTTTCTCTTCTTCCTATGCCGTCCTATATCTTCCCTCGAGGCCTTGCATGCAGCCTTCACGGCCTCCGGATCCGACGGTATCTCGGCGTATAACGATAGCAAGTCGTTCACCTCCTCCTGAATGGGCGCTTTCCTCTTTCCCAACCTGCTCTCCCCAATCCCGTCTACACTTCCATTCATACCGATAGGCTCCATATGGTCATCAGCAGTATACACCTGCGATCCTGGAACCAACGCAAGTTCGCCTCCTGCGTTATTCCTGATCACTTTCTCCCGCGCCTCTTCGTCCTTCACCCACTTCTCCCAGCCCAGTCGATATCTCTTCCCCATCTTTGCACTCAACTCTTCCTCCAGCTTACTCAAAGTCTGCGTCGCCTCCTGTATACCTTGTGCCTGCACCTTCAGCTGCCCAACCGACCTTTGGCTATCCAGAATCTCCGCTTGAATATTACTCAACAACGCATGGGCCTGGTTCAAATCGCGCTCCTTATCCCGAAGCTCTTGGTCGAACGAGGCCGCCAAACTGTCCAGCATGCTCGTCATGTCATTAATGCTGCGCGTGCTCGCTTTCTGCGCGGCGACGGAATAGTGCAGAGGTGGCTTGTCGCCATGGGAAGGGGCAAACGAGTAGTTTTGTGGCGGGAGCGGTAGGGGTGGGTACGCGGCTTGTTGCGCGCGGAAGGACATAGCGAGGGCTCGTGAAGGTATGACGGGCGACGCACGGAACTGTTCGTCTTCAAGGATGTAGTCCTCCGTACTCTTACCGTCTCGGTTCTGGATCTTCGGGTCGGCGCCATGGTCGATGAGGATTTTGACCAATCGTTTACTTCTACACCGGGCGGCCATAGTGAGCGCCGTCTCGCCGTCTTCGTCCTGAAAATTGATGATATCCGCCAGTTCGCGAGGGAAATCTGAGAGTCGGCCGAGGACAGTCTCCATATAGTATCGTGCCGCGTGGGTTTTGTTTTTCGACATCGCGACGTCTACGATATGGTGGAACACTGTTCGATTCGCGTTGTCGATATTGAGCGTCGATCTGTGGAGGTGTTCGTATAGTTCGGGGAACTTCCGTACGTCGTAGTTGTTCGCGAACATGACACTGCGCATGAGGGCCGTCTGTCCTGCCTTGTTCACTTTGAAAATGTCGGCACCGGCGGTGAGAAGAAGTTTGACAATCCTGATACGACCCATGGCGCAGGCCCAGTGGAGCGCGGTGTGGCCGTCATCGTCAATGGCCATGTTCGGATCGAGATCTGGCGGTGGGTTGACAAGGATTTCAGGTATCTTATTCTGGTCAGAGATGAAGTATTCCAGGATTTGGTCGCCATAAGATCTCGTGTCTACCCCGTTTGAGTAAGGAGCCTCGCCGTCCGATTCATCGTCGTGGAATCGTCTTGAACGCCGTCTACGACCACCCGCAGGACTCGGAGACCATTCTTCTCCAGCACCGTTATATCCTCCATGACTTGCATGTTCAGCGTCGGACGCGCTGCCTAAGGGCGAAGGCGTTCTTGAGCTCGAAGAAGCCTCAGATGGTGAAGGTGTCATGGAGCCATCGTCGGACCCGCGTGTTGAAACAATATCGGCAATCGAATCGACCTCGACGTCCACGGGTTTATGAACCTCGGTTCCTGTGCGACGAACAGGCCGGCCGGTGTTGTTGTTCGCTAGGTGTTTGGGGGCTAGTGGCGGACTCTTGGCAGCGGGTTGGAATTCAATGATGGGTCGAAGAATATGATCGCAGTTATACTGCTTTGCGAGTTGCAGTCCTCGTTCAAGAGGGATCCATGTCCCTACGCAATGCAACATCGGGTCAGTCGACACATCGGGACATAGTCTTCACGCTGACTCCTGAGATGAGGCGCAAAGCATAGCGTGAACTCACCTTGATACTTCCCGTATCCACCCTGCACCTTCTCGTGCTCACCCTTCTGCACCTCCCTTTCTAGCACTCGCGTACGCTGCGGTTTGTCGAATCCAGCGACTTTCAGAATTTGAGTCGCGTTCAGCCACGAGTCGGCTCGACGGCGCATTACAGCGACGCCCTTACACATCCTACGCGTGAAAAGAACGTGAATCGACGCTCCAGACATTCAGAAAGCAATACGAACATTTCGTAGACTGGTATCCCACTATACGTGGCCTATATGATGAGGAAGAATGGTTTCAGAAGATGATCCTGCTAGTGGTTCGCAGCCGACTGACCTTGAAGATCTGATAGGCGTCTGAAGGCATGATCGTCGACGGTGCCTAGGGCAAGACGATGCACGATGCGGAGTGTCTACGTATACGCTGGCAAGAATGGAGGCGCAGAGGCGTGAGGAGATAGACGATACAAGGGGAAATGTATCCTGAACAGATCCGGCCCCACGCGTGTTGTGGTGTCGCGACGCACCTGACGCGACGCGCCTCGGACCACGCGTCCGAATTCAACTTCGAGCATTGTTCACCTCATCCGCCTTTCATTTGTTTTCCCAATTTACGCAACAGGACACTACAGAATGTGCTGGTATCATTGTCTCGGACGACTTGCAGACTTGTCTCCCAGACAATAGAGAGTCAAAGCGCTTGGCTATGACTGATGGAAGTGTTTCACAACGCGCAGACGGCGCTACAGACACACACGACAAAGGGAAGTCCACCAACTCGAAAAACGCGCAGACGACAGGGCTATGACATGACTACATCATCAAATCATCGTCCTCCATCCACAGCTTCATCCTCCACCCATCCTCATCCTCATCCGGGTCCTCAGTCGCCCACGTCGTTTCCTCATCATCGTCGCCGTTGGTCGGGCCTCGTTGATTCTCTTGTTGTGCACCAGTGTCTACACCGGATAGGATGTCTATCTCCTCTTCCTCAGCTTTCATCTTTCGAAGTGCGATTTCGCTCTCGTCCTCCTATATTCGTCAAGCAGCATGAGTTGAGCTCTAAGACAATGGGAAAGTGTCAAGAAAGAGACTGACGATATCGAACTCATCTTCACGTTCCTCGTATTCCACATTCTCATCCACTTCTTCAAACCCACCGGCGAAAGCTCCCCAACGCTCAGGTGTTGGACAATGCCATATTAGAACGTTACCCTCTTTTGTCGTCGAACATATTGAAGGTTTTGTAGGATGCCACTGCAGTACATAAGAGCGAGGTGCAATTAGCGACGAGGTATCGGCGATATAAAAGATTGTCGTCTTACATGTACGTGAACCAAGGGCTCTCGCCCACCGTCTAGCGTACTCGCAAACTGACCATCATTGGAGATGTCCCAAATATATATCTTGTGAGTCGCGGGATCCGCCGCACCTACAGCATCACGATTAATCTAGATGCTCGAAGTTTCATGAGAGGACTACGAACCTCCAGCAAGCCACTCTCCATCCGGACTGAAGGACATTGCATGCCATGCAGCCCTGCTAATCGGATCATTGAAGCGATGTGTCGGTTCGAGTTCCACTTCTATGTATTCCCGAGCATCATTAGGTGGCGGGTAGGTGGGTAGGTTGAATTGTCGTAGTGTCCGGTCGGAAGAGTTCGTGACGAGTCGTCTAACATGAAAGGTGAAACTATTGAGAATGACCATGCTGAATGAAGGAATGATTGTGCCATACCGACCGGATTTTGCGAAATCCAAACCTCGCATGATACCCGCGCCTGATACTTTATGTCGGGCGACCATCTAGGAACGGGACGCAACAGGTAAGAGGGGATACACGACGTTCGCGTTTTTCACCAAAAAGTAAACAATGGGACATACAGATTTCGTTCGTGTATTGAATACAAGAATGTGGCCCAAGGAAGTCCCCACGAATATGTGCTTTCCAGTCGGGTCAAATCGAGCCACCGTCATGTCAGATCTTCACGAAATCACACCAATCAGCCATAAGTGAATGGCTCCATAAGGATAGAGACGTACCTGGGGGCAGACATCTGCGCTTCCTCATCACTCTCATCCTGCACCTCAAACAGTTCTACCCTCCCTCGGTGCTGCTTCCTCAGGTCTACGAGATACGCCTCGCCCGTACTCAATAGAGCCAAGATGATTTGACTTCATTCAAGCTTCGGTCATCATGAACATGCATTATTTCGAGAGCAACGCACCTATTCTTTGGATGAAAGCTGGCCGACGTAACGGGTGCATCGAACCGAATCGTCGCTTTCCTCTGCGGCGGATCTATCTCCGACGCCAAATCCCACACAATCACATTCCAATCCTTCGAGCCCGTCAACACAAACCTCGAATGCCGCGACCAACTATCGAAATTGATCAAACGCACCACGTAAACACAAAGGCAGAGGCAGAGAAACCCGGACAAGAGCAGACAAGGGTGAGTAACGGCTCACTCACTCGAAAGAGACGCAAATGAACACACGTACTCACTCGACACTAGTCACGCCCTTGACGTGTCCTTCCAACCAGCGCACTGCTGCATGTGTCTGCAGATCCCATATGACTGCTGAACCGTCGTTTCGAGCTGTGGCAACGTATTGGCCTGAGGGATCGAAGCGTGCTTGGAGGGCCTGGGATGGGAGAGATGTCTGGACGGCGGTGGGGTAGGTGATATTGAAAGGGTCTAAGTGTAAAGATATTGTGAGGCTTATTACACATAGATTATCATGATTCCCATGCGTACTGAGAAGTGATGCGTTCATTTCGCGCGGGTGTGTCGAGAATGAAAGTTGAAGCCACGATACTCTGCGTCGCGCCGCGTTTGAGTGTTAACAAGGACCAACCTCAAGGTGATATCAAGATGGTACTGTGTGGGGCAAGCTGAGGTCTACTGAGTCGGGGCGATGGAAGGCAGTCAACCTTCGATGGTGATGGTTCAGTGTCAAGAGGTGCCAATTCGCAACTGTGGCACAAGCGTCGATCGAGGACACTGTGGCGTTGCGCCACACCATTTGTTTGTGGTGGGTTGCAGAGCAATTTGAAAGTAATAACTTGAAACGCGATCCTTATGGTGATAGGAATATGTCACTGTGGAGCAAGTATGGCGATAATAGTATGTACATAAGGAAGTGAGTGTCACGGTAGTGTGCACGTGGGGAACATCGACAAGATGGTTGTTCATGTACTTATGACAGTACTGAGTACCTACTACTACCTCAATAAATTGTCAATGAAAGTTACAGGTAGGAAGCTAATTGGGGCCTGTGACGATTCGGGAAACCATCCATCGAAACGAAAATGTAGGGGAAAAAACAGGGAAATTGCAGGAAAACGGAAACAAAATTGAAGAAAACCAATGGGAAAATGAAGACACATCCACTGATGACCCTGTGCCCTGGGTGCATTAGTAGCATAGCAAGGCCAAGGGTTTATTCTTTTGCGAGAGTCCTGCACGTATTTCATTCACAAAAGGGCCAGCTACAAGACATAAACAGTCAGGATCGAGAAAGGATTGAAGGATTCCTGCGTGCGAACTATCCCTTCTGATGAACTTACCTCAGGACATCTCGACCCGGTGGCTGCTCAAGCGGTCGCAGTGAGCTCTCCATCGGTATCATCATCGGCGGCCTACTCCTGGTCATGGAAACCATGCCCTTGAGCCTCGTCACCTTCTTCTCCATCTTCCTCTTCGTCAGACTGGTCGCCTTTTTCTCCACCTTCCTCATCGTCAAACTGGTCGCTCTCTTCGGTATCGAGGCCGCCATCCGTACTCTCAGTTGCATCAGCATCAGTGCCGTCGTAGGAGCCGGTATTATCAGTCGTGTAGCCGGCGTAAACCGAGGAATATTCGAACTCCTCATCATAATCATCTGAGGACTCTAAATCGGGGGTCACGGAGCCTGACCAAGGGGCTATACAGCTTGTCGTTAGACGACCACTTCCAATAGAGATACAACCAAGGAGAAAACATACAACGAAGCGTGTGTATACTTCGACCATATCCTCGACCCTGAGAAAGATGCACTGGAGCTCGCTGCAGGAGTAAAAGCGCCTCTGCGGCGGTGATCTCCGCAGATACTTGCTTCAAATCCAGTAGTGTTCTTGCGGCCTTCAAGTCAGCATCTGTTATGGCCGTGGGGACGTAGCTTCTAATTCCAGGGAAAAGATGATAGTCAGCATGGATACGAACCGGGCCGCAAGGCCTGCATAAAGCGCTCTTTGAGAATATCACTTACAAAATTGGAGTTCCAGCATCGCGCTGACGATCGCCGTGGTTTGGGGAGATAGAACGTGCCTGTGAACATCAAAGCTAGTGAGTCCTCAGGGAAAGTTCCAGGATATAGATGGAGAACTGACAGAGCGGGACACCGAATGGTCAGCTCGAAAACGTACAGTGGGCGGTGATGATGGATGGGTGTGGATGGACGAGGATGGAGTGGACACAGTGATCTGAGCTCCGTTCTCGTCCACTGAACTGTAATCCCTGCCACCAAGAGGTTGCGATGCAGCGTTGGTGACCTTCCTCTTGTGAGAGGAGTGACCCTCAGAGTCTATTCCCTTGGCGGATTCTCGAGCGGCGGCCAATTTCCTAGCCTTGAGTTCATTTCTCTGCTTTAAATATGCCCTAGGGGACATATTGATGGCAACGAGAGGCATCTTAAGATACAGATGTTGGAGGGTTCACAAGCCAGGCAGGGGAGAGGGCGAGATGATGGAAGTCCGAGCACAGAAACCAGAAGGACGAGGGTGTCGAAATCCAACCAGCCTTTATAGGCTGATCGGATTACAATGGAGTCGCCAAAAGCGTTACCTGCAGCCACGTGGTCCCATTCCGGTGTCCGTCAGATTAACACCAGGTGGTGCTTATCGCGTAAGTATCAGATAACTTCTAATATTAGCCCCTTATCAACTGTCTTTATCTGATCTTTTGTCTCCCATTCAAGGCCATTTTCTTGTATATGCCAGGAGCACCTGCAATATAATCACGATCGCTGAGCGATGTCTGGATGGGAGGTAAGTACGTCGCGGTAAGTGCTTCTCCAAAACGTGATGAATGCTCTTTCATTGTACTCCTGTGCGGCTGACTCGACCACGATATCATAGGCTGAGAGTGATCGTGAAGGTGCATGTTTAGTTCAAGTACTGCGATGAGATGGAAGCGATGAAAACGTCACGCTTGACGAAGATTGTTGGGAACGAGTTGGCAGTGGCCAGAAGATGAGCCACCCAGTGGAGTATCTTAAGGTACTCACTGAGTGTTTAAGAGTACTTGGCCTGACAAGAAGTGAAAACCCGCCGTGGCGGTCGTTAGGAAGTTGCGATCCAATTGCGATCCATAAATTGGTACGACGGGTTCTAGGTGTACCGATGCTCTGGGTTGTCGGAAGTTTGTTCATCTCCAGCGAGCGGCCTTTTTCTGCAGAGCCTGGATAGTAAAGGCTTGTTTCGAGTGGGATGTAGCATAGCTCCAGAGAGCATGAGAACCTCGAGCAGAGCAATCAAAAGAATAAAAGAAGTACAAGAGCTACGTAGCTTCAGACATATTACCGCTTGCCCTTCTTCCTGCTCGGCCTCGCATTCTTCGCTTTCCTCTGGTCTGACATCTTCCTGTCTCTCCGGATCTGCTCCACCGACTTGAGCTCATTCTTGACTCTACCCATCGACTTCCCCCCATACCGACCACCAGTCGGTTTACCTCCCTTTCCTTTACCCCTACCTCCAGCCCCCTCTCCCTCGGTCGGTCCCGCAGCCTCTGCACCCTTCTTGATTTGCCTGACCTTCCTCTCATAGCCCTTGTGAAGCTTGTCTAGAGGCTTTGCTTGAGTGACCTGTTGATGCTTGAACCTCTTTCCTCCCTTCCCTGCCGGACCTGCACCGGTGAACCTCGAATCCTCCATTTCCCCGACCTTGGGCAAACTGAACTTGCTCTTCGCCTTCCACTCGTCGAAGCGTCCGCTGCGATACGTGGCTGGCAACTTGGTTCCGCTCTCGGTTCTGACCATTTTGACGTTGTCGGCGCCAGCTCCGTCGCCTTTGACGAACTTCTTCTTTTTCTTATCCCAAGTCGTTTGGGAGTAGGCACGTTTTTGAGCAGCTACACCTTCGTCGGTGGTTAGATCGAAAGTGGCGTTGCGCGCCTGCTCAGCGAATGTGGCATTATCGCGTAGAGAGTACCTATGGTAACGAGTCATGAGTATGAGGATGCCAGGACACGGAGAAGATTAATAATGGACATACCCTTTCTCTGTGTCGGCATCTTTTTGGTAATGCGACATGTAGAATTCCTCGTCGCGATAGCCATCTTTTCGCTTTTTCGTTGTGGTGTCGAAGACAGCCTATGAGTGAGGTGTATCAGTAAGTATCCGTATGAAGTCCTGTCAAAGAGATAAGTACCCACCGCAATATCTGCCTCGTCCGCCATCTCTAATCCCTCTACTTCCCCTCCGCCTTCGATCCCATCCTCTTCGTCGGAGTCGTCCTCAACTATAGCTGACGCTGACGTGGATGCCATGGCTGCTCTCTCGACCGCCTTGGACAGTGCCTTCCTCCTATCCTTCATCAGAGCCGCATTTCCCGTCTTCCCTCGCGTTCCAATCTCCAGAGCGGTCTCCGCAGGCCGGAATGAGTTGACCGTCCTCAACAGCAACCTCCTCTTCTCCTCTGCCTCCCTCTGTTCTTCCCTCCTCTTCACATCCTCTTGTCCTCCCGTGGCCGCGCCGATCCCCTTCAACCTCAGAACAGGATGTGAGCCTCCCTCTGCACCAGCCCCAATGAGGCCCCAAGCCCCCGGCTTCTTCATCATATCCTTCGCCCTCTTATAACTCGCCTGACTCGCCTTACCCTTACTCCTCTCATACATCCCTTGACCCTTCCTCATGACATCCCTCAATACAGGAAGCGAATGGTTCGCCTCGTCCAACGAGCGAATGTACTCCACCTCCTCGTCCATCTTCTCCCTAGTGAACGTGCCCAGCATCAACGACTCCGTATATAAGCTCTCGCCCTTCCCCTGCTCCTCTGACGCAGTGGCCTCGCTCTTGATTGGCCTCCCGAGAAAGAGCTGAAGATCGAGCAAATAAGGCAACTCAACGGGACTGACGAAACTCCAAGCCCATCCCTGTCTTCCAGCTCTGGCCGTCCTTCCTACACGATGCACGAATACCCTCGCACCCTGCGGGAAGTCGTAATTCACCACGTTCTCAAGAACTGGGATATCGATACCACGAGCAGCAACATCTGTCACGACGAGGACATTGGTCACTCCTCGACGGAAGAAGTCCATCTGTTGCGTGCGAGCGGCTTGATCCAACGACCCGTAGATGTGCGAAACGGAGTAGCCGGCGGTGATCAGCAGGTTGGTGAGGTACTCGACATGATGTTTGGTGGCGGCGAAGACGAGGGTCTGATGAGGTGCTGTGAGCTGAGGCCCACCACTCTTTCCTTTCCCTTTCCCCTTCTTCTGCTTCTCTCCATCTTCTTCCGCCTTGTCGGGATTATTCTGTCCTAGAGGGACGCAGATAACGTCCCGCAACAACGCGAGCAATGAGGCGTCTTTCTCCGTCTGCTTGACTGAAAAGAACGCCATTCTCAAATCGGAACTGATCTTGCTCTCCGCATCCAATCGGACGAGCTTCGGATTGTCGAGGCCTGCTTTCGCGAAGTCGACGAGACTTTTGGGGAGTGTGGCGGAGAAGAGAAGGGTTTGACGGGTTGGAGGGAGACGACTGACGATTTCGGTGAGAGCGGTCTCGAACCCCATTTCGAAAAGACGGTCGGCTTCGTCGAAGACTACGTATTGGACGGACCGGAGGTCAAGATTCATTTCGACGATGAGATGGAGGAGACGACCGGGTGTGGCGATGATGCTGTTTGTGTGGTCATGTCAATTATATCTCAGTACGTTGTGCGGATGAAAAGGAGAAGATGTGCTCACACGTCAGGGTTACTTGAGATCATCTCAAACTGCTCGTCCAAACCCTCTCCACCCACAATCAGCCCCCACCTCAATGCTTGTCCTCTCTTCCCATCCTCTGCATCATCATTGTCTTTATCACCAGCGTGTCCTCCATCTCCCTCTCTCCACCCTCTCGCGAGTTCCTTCCCGACCTTCATGACCTGCAACGCCAGTTCACGAGCTGGCAGCATGATAAGGGCACGAGCACCAAACGAAGTAGCATGTCGTCCGCCTAATCGTTGAATGAGAGGCACGAGGAACGCGAGCGATTTCCCAGAACCTGTTCGTGCCATGCCTACAAGATCTCTTGGAGGATTAGACAGAAGGACGGGGATTGATTGTCGTTGGATAGGTGTAGGGGTCCGGAAACCCTGGAGGGTGAGTGAACGGAGGAGCCACGGATGTAAACCTACAAGTCTCTCAAGATGTAAGACTTGCAATATCAACATGAAAAATGTGGTACGCACCCATGCTCTGGAAACTACCACCTCCAATCTCCCCCTTCACAAGCTTATTCTTGCCCTTCGTCTTCTTCATAACCTCCGTTCCCTCTTTCACATCCCTCTTCGTCATAGAATCCCTGATAATATCTTGCAGAACGTCGTCGTCATCTCCGCCATCGTCAGCTATAGCAGATGCACCTGCTCTGGGTTTTTGTTTCGCAGAAGTTTTCCGTTTCTTGTTCCCGGCCAGAGCAGTAGAAATATCGACCGAGTCTTCAGAGCCAGAAAAGTCCGAGTCGTCTTGTGGGACGACAGAGAAGTCTGATGATGGTTCCTCTTCTTCGTGAGCTGGAGCGCGTTTCCGTTTGTGAATGGCCATAGTAGGGAGAAACACCCAGTGGTGAGGTAGGTGTAGAGGAGGTATGAACACAAGGGCAGTAATTTCGAGCGGGTGGCAAAAACACTCGGCTCCGACAAAGCGGCGCTGTGGCGGGCAGAAGCCGACGGATGCGGCCCCTGGACGTTGTTCGGCAGTGACTCAGATTGACAGTCGAACACTAAGTTTTCAGGTTCAAGCTTTACCAATAGGTCTCCACTACAGTGTCTGGCTTCGCAAATGATTACTGTCCAAGAGATGCATTATTCAAAATACAGTATTGTGTTCATTCTATCGCTTCACGAGCGTCCACTGCCCCAATAAATCATGACTTGCACTGAGTGCCAGTGTCCCCGCACATTGAAACACCCTGTCGACTTCTGCAACGTAGAGCACTTCTGTCAACAAGTCTGACTCCCACTCGACCTCGAACAGTTCTCCACCCATAATTTATACCCATACCGCACGTTGAAACCGCTCACACCGTGAACGGATTGCACCTGCAAACCGCTGCTCTAACCCCGAAGCTCATCACGCTTCCCAACACCAGTCCCCCAACCAAACAGAAGCTTGTCACTGTCGCCGCGATGTCCACTTCTTCCTTTCTTCCCTTGAGCCGTTTGTTATGCTCGACGGATGGTGCGGACATCATGCACATCGAGGAGACGTAGCCGTTAGAGGCGCCGAAGAGGAGGAGGAGGAACATGAAGAGAGCGTCAGAGGTTATTAGCGGTGTTGAAGAGGGGTCGAGAGGGTCGAGAGGTGCGCGTGACAAGAGGGAGGAGGAGGATGGTGAAGGGCGTTGAATATTGCAGGCGAGGAAAAGAGGGATGAAAAGTGTGCGAAGGGAAGAAATGATGGCAAGTTTCCTCGAAGACCAGATTAGGAGACGAGGATAAGCACAGAGTTGGCGGCCGAGGAGGTCCCCTGCACTGAACACGAGGAAGTGAATGGATGCGAAGAGGAGCGGGGCTGTGTTGGGGTTTGTCGGTTGGACGGAGATGGTTAGTGGTGGGAAGACGGACTGTTACGATATATATTCCGATATGCATTTTTGTTAGCTAACAAGTAAAGATGCATTTGTGTGAATAGTGGGAAAGACGTACGAGAGTGACGACAAAGACGTAGGCTACCGCAACCTCATAAATTGCATTTCTTTTCGCCACACTCCATATCCTCTTCCACCCTTCCTTCCTCATAATCCTCTCACCCACTACCCCACTACCATCCCTACTACTCGGGCTGAACAACGGGTTCTGCTCGGTCAGATCCGTTGACAACCTCCTCCCGTGTGCCCACCCACTCCCGAGCTCATCCACGGGAGCCACCACAGCCTTATACTCCGGCATGCGCGTCAACCATGCGTTCGCGACCGCGCATAGAAGGAGAAATACGGTGGAGAGGAAGAAGAACGTCCTGGCAGACTTTTCCTCTGCTTTACCGTCACTCTCGGCCCATGTCTGGACGCCCTCTGAAGCGGCTCTTACAGCCCTCACCAGCAAATCTACGCCACCTTCCCCGTCGCTTCCGGTTCCACCTGCAGGAGAACCAGGGATAGGATGACCTCCCGGAGGCGGCGGTGGTAGAGCATGCAAGCTTGCTCCCGCACTGAGTACTTGTACCGTGCTCACCGCCACTGCCACCGCTGCCTGCCCTCCCATGACAGCTTGCATCGTTGCTGGACCGAAAAGACTGGCGACAGCGACGATAGCAGTCTGAAGGTATGAACCTGCAGCAGCTTGGCATATCCCGTTAAGAAGAATGAAAGCGACGAAAAGTGGGGTGGGCAGGTGGGTGAATGTGCTGAGGGTGAGGAGGAGAGATAGGAAGGAGAGGGTGAGGATCGTGATGTGGGTTCGAGGGGCGGCTTTTGCCTACAAGTTTGTGAATGCAGGATTGTATGTGAGGGTTAGGGGTTTAGAGAAAGATGTAATGCGGTGGACTGACCTTGGTGGAAGTCGCAGTTGCATGGGCTAGGAAGGCAAAGTTGGAAAATGTGAATGAGGTGGAGAGGTAGGAACTGAATGTGTTCCGTATGGGCGAGCCTTCGAGGCGCGACAGGAAATAAGGTGTTGCGGTAATCATGACTGCATCACCACAAAAGTACACTCTGAGCAATGGCGCCATGCTTATTGGTCATACGCTAACGCACCGTTCCAAGGCAGCAGGACAGCACAACCCAGTATGAAATGTATCCACTGTATCCGCGGGTCGACGGGATGAGTGGGTGCAGGCTCCGTCTCGACGTCTTCTACATCTTCAACGTCGAGTTCTGTTTCTGGTATTGCGTGAGGAAGGATGTGGTCCGTCGATGAAGGTGCATCCGGTATTGAGTGGTAGGGTGCGTCGTCGGACGAGGTCGAACGACGGCGAGAGGGCATGGTACAGTCAGTAGCTTTGTTGACGAGAGTACGTTATTGATGGCAGTAATAACTATAGGGCCGTTAAATATCACGACAGATAGTTGGGGGCCAGTGTAGCAGTCGTCGAAATTGTACGGTCGATGTCGACTTCGGCGACACGATGCAGTGGGTGGGAGATACAGGAGGTGGCCACACTCTGCCTTCTTATCGTACTACGCCACCTGAACCTCCCATTTGTAGTGAGCAACCCTGAGCAACCTTGAGCAACCAATCCCGAACAAGATGTTTCAATCTCCGAAAGGCCGTACTACAACCAGTTCACTTTCGCCAGCCTTCCCTCCATCGTCCCAATTAACTTAATGCACCTACCTTCCCTCCCTCGACGGCCCCTTCGCTTCCCAGCTGCCATCAAATATCATCCCCATTCACGGTCTTCGTTTATCCCACGTAGATGTCAATCGTCATCCAGCATCAGCCGAATGGACGATTCTATAAGCACTCTCGCTGAAACCGACGACTGTGGTATTCCCCTCCGACCGACTTGGTCCGTCCACGAACTGCTATCCTCCTACCCTAAACCGAAACTCTCATCCACAACACTTTCACACCTGCACCGTCTCTCTGCACTGGCACCACCCGAAGAGGGCACCCCAGAACACACCAAACTAACCAGTGAGCTCGAGGACCTCGTTAAGCTTGTGGAGGCCGTCAAATTGGTAGATTGTAGTGAGTTGCAAACCGAACAGGAGGAAAATAAGATACCGGATGGCAGAATTCTGCCGAAGGGTGTTGGGATTGATTTGACTGGTGGTAGTGTTGAAGAGGTGAAGGACGGAAGAGAGTTGTTGAAGCATGCGGCCAGGACGGAGGACGGATTTTACGTTGTTGATGCGGATAGGAGACTGCCTAGGTGAGTGCACAGCGTGCTAGGTACGCAATATTTTAGGAACTACTGAAAACCGCCTTGAGTGCAGTCGAACGAAGGAAATTCTATCTGCGGACTGAACGAATAAACCATCTCCGTATCGACCTGTGCAGAGGTAGTACTCCGGCATTCTGTTCGCCGAACACATATTCACAAGCTTGCTTTGGACTTTTGTGGAGATCGCCCTCTCTGTCTACCTCGTGCTGCCAAGATTACTCTGTAGTCGGTTTTGACATTGGTCCATCTGTATGAACGCCAAGAAACATCAGCGTACAGCGTATCTCTCCGAGCATGCCATGATGAAAATCGGCGGTCAGCTCTTTGTTCCTGCCCACCATCCATCCCTTACATGTGGTCCTCATGATATGAAGAAGCTTCCTCTACAGCCAAGGAAAAGTCTAGGCTTATGATCCGTGCCAATCTGGGTACTTGCTCTCTTTCGCAGGCAACCTCCGTCTTGTTCACTTCTCTTCATGACATAGCTCCCAATGCTCGATGAGAAAGTAGCAGACCTGAATCCCACACGTATTTACGGTCATCTAATGCACTAAACTGTCACGAATTGCCTCTAGACATCGAAATGCTGCAGGTCTCTCGTCTCCGAACTCGGATTTTTCACAGTTGGACAACTCATGCACTAAGTCTGTAGACTTCAGGTTCCACGAGCCCTTCTCCGGAGATCTCTGTTGGATCTTGGCTTGGAAGAAGGTTGAGATCATCGTGGACCGAATATGACACACGACTACCCGTACGACGCCAAGCCTGCCGTTCACCGCTGATACAGGTTCGTTGTGCATCTTCAGCCTGTGGATCACGTTCGGTGTATGTGTGCAAGTTATCGGGGCATTCGCTATTGCAAGGTGTTGCTATCGTGCTACCCAGACGTCGTCGCTCACTTTGTTTAGAGTTGTGGTGTAGTACTAGAACAGTCTTGCAGCGTAAAGACTACACTCGACATTCTACTTGCCTACGCCTTCTGGCCGTATCTATGCATTTCACTGCTATAAGATATGGACGTTCATCGTCCATACTTCAAATCACCGCCAAGACCCATATCTACGGCCTCCTGATCATAAACCACGATGAACGCCGACCAGACACCATGCAGAATGTAATCCATTCTTTCAACTACTTTCCTAGCCTATTTACCGGAGCCGTTTGTAGGAACCACTCTTATCATCTCTTCTGACGCTCCTGGCCGCCCTCTCTTGGCTTTGCATCGTCGACCTGAAACCTCCTTCTGTGGTACAAAAAAATGGAATCATGGAGGGCGCGCTGCACATGTCCTCTCACTCGTCTTCCTGCAGCTTCATGCGCTACCACCTCTTGGCGATACCTTCCTCAAGTTTCGCTATCTCCCCTCACCCTCACCTCTCAATATAAAAGCTCACTTAAACCTACTCTGAAGCCTCAGCAGTCTCAACCCCAGACCTCGCTAGCCCAGATCTCCTTCCTTCGACACCGACAATGTTGTTCTCCGGCGCCCTCTCCCTCCTCTTCTCTGCCGTGCTCGCTTCGGCGACACCGTTCACCGCCGTCGCTCTGAACGCTACCGTCGCGGATCCTCGTGTTTGCGGGACTAGTATCTCCGAGACCAAAATGGCGGAAGTGGAGAGGAACTTCACCGCCGTGTCTGCGCTCAGGACGAACGCGGCCCTCGCTTCGACCATCAAAGTCTACTTTCACGTCATTGCGAAGGATACGACCGCGTCGGGAGGATACCTCTCGTGAGTCTCGCCATCTTCACCGCGAATACGACTGCAGACCCCGAGAGAATCTGTAACGTACTGGTGCTGATACATGGGGGTTGCTTGATTTGTTCACAGAGATGCATTGATCGCGGACCAGATCGACGTCCTGAACGCGGACTATGCCAGCAGCGGCTTGTCCTTCAGCCTCGCTGCTACCACTCGTACCGTCAACTCTGACTGGTTCAACAACGCCGGACCCGACAGGTATGTACAAAACAACACAACTGTCCTACATAACTTACTCGAATCTCACTAAATTCGCTCTTTTATTTTCATTTATGGAAATATTAGCTCTCAGCAGACAGCCATGAAGACCTCGCTCAGGACCGGCGGCTCTGCCGATCTCAACCTCTACAGCGTCGGATTCACCGCTGGCACCGGCAAAGGTCTGCTCGGATATGCGACCTTCCCGTGGGACTACTCGAGCGCGGCGAAAGATGACGGTGTCGTTTTCCTGTTCTCTTCCGTGCCGGGCGGAGGGACCGCGAATTATGATGAGGGGAGGGTGCGTGGGACCGCTTTGTTTTCTTTCTTAGAGTGGAGACTGATTTCTTTTGTCCCATTCTTTTTTTCTTTTGCTCTGTTTGGTGGTGGTGGGAGTAGACCATCACGCACGAAGTCGGACACTGGGTTGGATTATACCATACTTTCCAAGGCGGATGCTCAGGCTCCGGAGATAGTGTCAGTGATACCCCAGCAGAGTCTACCGCTGCGTATGGATGTCCTACTGGCCGTGACACCTGCTCGGCTTCTGGCGTCGACCCTATCCACAATTATATGGACTATACCTACGATTCTGTAAGTCTCCTTCTCTTTCCCTCCATCTCCGCAACTCTCTTGGCCACAGGAACAATGGCGGAAACTGACTTTTTCACGTGTTTGTGGTAGTGCATGGATGAGTTCACGGCAGGGCAGATTTCGAGGTTCACGACACAGATGAACAGTTACCGTCTGTAATAGGTCTCTGAGATTTCAAGTAGTAAGCTGTATTGCTATGATAATGATGGGCATGGCCTGTAAAAAATTTACAAGAGCGATGATTGATATATTTGAATATATGGCCCAACCACGGGTTCGCTCTTATGGTCTCTGGGAGAAGGCGACCATGTTCATAATACAAAGAAGATTAGAAAAACACCATTCATGCAGAAGGACTGATCCCGCCCCTTGGCGCGCCAGGCAACCTAGGCGCCAACTCCTGCATCTGCTTCGCCTGCTTCCTCTTCCTATGCTCTCCCAACCTCATCGCGAAAAAATCACGATGGAGACTGTACCGCTGATGCGTCGGTTTTGCGGTTGTGGCGCCAGGTGTTGACACGCCAGAGCCCGAGGATGGCGACGGCGACGCTGGACCGGGACTGCTGGGTTTCTTCTCCTTGTCACCGTCCTTATCCGTGGAGGTGTCATCAGTCGAAGTAGCGTCCTTCGATTTATCGGGTTTCGAGTCTTTCTTCAGACGTTGTTTAAGCTCCCATTCTTCTTTGATCTTGGCGATCTCTTCGGGACTGAGACCCATCTTCTTCGCGCCTGGGGCGCCGACGGGGTCAGAGCTTTCGCCTAGCTGGGTTGCGAAACCTGGATCGCTGATCGTATAAGGAAAAGAGAAATATGTCCGGTCAGAATTCGAACACAAGGACCTGAGGCAACGGGACGACGATAGATAGAGTGCGGGTATCGATGGCGCCACACTGGCAACGACATTGGGCTCTGGCCGGCGGCCACTGTATGCTATCGCCACTTCCGCCGTACGGCGAAGGAAAGGACAACCGCGACGAAGCAAACAAATTGCATACTGACCTGAGATGACTATCGCAAGTGTAGATAAAGTCAACTGTGTTGGCGGTGGCGAGACATGTCGTGGTGGGTTTGTAGCAGACGTAGCACTGTTTCGGGGTGCCGGTTGTCTAGAGAGATAGGATAGGCTGTGACAGTTGGGAGGGCGGTTCGTTTGGAAAGTGTGGTCAGTATGGGACTCACTCGTTTGTAGTACACGTTCGTGAAGGACATCGTTCGAAGAGTATTTAGCGACCGGTGAACTGAACTGAAGAGGATGATGAAGGGAGGATGAAGAGGCCGGCCCGGAAGAAGGCGCGAATAGGGGAACGACAGGGAACGACGAAGGATAGAGGTGACGTCATCCTGCTTTCTTTTCTAAATGATATCGTTCTCGCTCGTCAAAACGAAATTTATGATCCTCGAGTCGGCGATATTCGCATATCCTCGTCAAAAGACCTAATTGACCGGCTGTTCTCGTGCAGAGTAAAAGACTGTAAGCGAAGCACGGGTTCAGGCCTCAGAGCCTTGTTCGTCGAGGTCCGGGAGGGGATGGTACCCAATGAGACATGAAGTTGCGCCCGAGTGAATGTCAGAAGAGCGATAGGGGCGGCAAAACAGAGCTGGAGAACGAATGGCGAGAAAGCGAAGGGCGAATGAACGGAAGAGGACGCCCACGCGGAACAGCGCCTGACTGTTTCGCTGGGAAAGCCCCTCCCCGAGCCCCTCCACATCCACCCCGCCACTTATCGATCTCGAGCCGTATAAAGTAAGCGTCCAAGGCCGGTCTCCCTCTTTCCCTTCCCTCTCCATTGTCATCCCCCACATACCCACACAAACACACAAAACACAGCCAGCTTGATCCAAAAAAATGTCCGATACCGCTGGAAAGCCCATCAAGTGCAAGGCTGCCGTCTGCTGGGGTGCAGGCGAGCCCCTGAAGATCGAGGAGGTCGAGGTGGCGCCTCCTCAGGCGAACGAGGTCCGCATTCATATACTTCACACTGGTGCGGTTCTCCCTTCTTCTCTTCCTTCTCCCATCAATAACTCATAATCGACACGATGAACAGGCATCTGCCACACCGACGAGTACACTCGCAGTGGCAAGGACCCCGAGGTCCGTCTTTCATTTAGCCTAACGCCGATCCTCAATCATTGGCATGCTCAATTTGGATCACCGTCGTAGGGTCTTTTCCCGGTCATTCTTGGCCACGAGGGTGGTGGAATCGTACGTACTTCTCTCATTCGGCCCCTATCTTGGTTCTTACTCGGGTTCATGGATGTATAGGTCGAATCCGTCGGTGAGGGTGTTACAAGCGTGAAGGTCGGGGATCATGTCATTCCTCTCTATACCGCCGGTGAGTGTTCTTTCTGATCTTTTACCCTTTTTATTTTATTGACGATAATGTCTCTATGATCTCAGAGTGCAGAGAATGCAAGTTCTGCAAAAGTGGAAAGACAAACCTTTGCGGCAAAGGTACGCTTTACCATCCCACTTTTATCTTATGGTTACCCTGGATATTCAACGAATTGCAACCACAGTCCGTGCAACCCAAGGCCAAGGCCTTATGCCCGACAACACCAGCCGCTTCACCTGCAAGGGTCAATCCATCCACCACTTCGTGAGTTCATGTCCATCGTTAAAATAATAGGTTCTTACAAAACACCCTGTCCCTGAATATGTGTAAAACGCAAAATATAGATGGGCACCTCGACATTTTCTCAATACACCGTCGTAGCCGATGTCTCCGTCGTCGCCATCAACCCGAAGGCTCCCCTTGACAAGGTCTGCCTGCTCGGCTGTGGAATTACCACCGGCTACGGAGCTGTCGTGAAACAGCCTGGCATCAGTGCGTCCTCCTCCTCTTTCCTCTTCCCCCTTCCATCTCCATCCTCACGCCATTTCTGCGTTCACTCCAACTAGAGGGCTCCACCGTCGCCGTCTTCGGCGCTGGCTGCATCGGTCTCTCCGTCATCATGGCTGCTTCCGTGGTCGGTGCCTCCCGAATCATCGCCGTCGACACGAACCCTCGCAAAGAGTCTTGGGCGAAGAAGTTCGGCGCGACGGAGTTCGTGAACCCATCTACATTGCCTGAGGGCAAGAGGATACAGGATTATCTTGTTGAAATCACGGACGGAGGGCTTGATTTCACATTCGATGGAACGGGTAATGTAAGTTTCCTCTTTTTTGCCCTCTTGGAATATTGGTCTGGAAAGAAAAGAAGGCTAATATAGATTGCTCATTTTGTTGCCGTGATGTAGGTCCACGTTATGCGTGCAGCTCTCGAAGCATGCCACAAAGGCTGGGGCGTGTCTACCGTCATCGGCGTCGCCGCCGCAGGACAGGAGATCTCGACGAGGCCGTTCCAGCTTGTTACTGGCCGTGTGTGGCGCGGGACGGCGTTCGGTGGAGTGAAGGGACGGACTGAGTTGCCTGGACTCGTTGAGGGTATGTTTTACGGTTCTCCCTATTCCGTTTTCCTCGCCTCTCAAGCAGAGGCCGTGAGTATGACGGTGCTGATGTCTTAATGTGTGTGACTTCGTACGGCGCGCAGATTACTTGAACGGCACGATGAACGTCGATGATTTCGTCTCTCACCACCGGAAGTTCGAGGAGATCAACGAAGGCTTCGAGGATATGCACGTACGTCTCGGCACCCTCTTTCTTTCTCTCCTTCTCACCCTGTTCCAAATCATACCATCTCGTCTTTCAACACCTTCTGATCCATCGATTGTGGACATTCACTCATCACCATTAAAAAAAATACTTCTGCGTTTCTTAGGCCGGAGACTGCATCCGTTGCGTGGTCGATATGTCCTGAGCTGTTGATCTCTCTCTTCCTGCCGTTCCGTGCTGTTGCGCTGGCTGGGCGGGAGGTTGAACGTTGAACGTCGGAGGTTTGCACGAGTTATCCGTGTATGTAGCAGTGCGCAGTTTGTATTTTTTGTCGAATGATCAAAGGAAGACATTGTTGTAGCAAGTTGAGCGAGATATCCACAGGTACTTATTGCGTGAACCTGGGTGACTATGGTAAGTGTGAACTGTACAATAAAATTGTGAAATGTGGTTGGTCTGGGCTCGAACCTATGGTCATGGGACAAAATCAATCTTCCTGGTGAAGCTTGCGCTTTACCAAGTAGACCAACAATAGACAGAAGATGAAGTACTTCCATGGATATGACCTGTATGCCAAGAACTTGATGGACTGGATTTTGTGGGTCATATCATCATTGTAATAAACCAGTTTGGATTACCCTAGACATTACAAGGAAAGATAATCGAATTCTCTTTGTAAGAAACTCCAGAGATATTTTGACTGAATAAATACACAGTGCCCAAGAAATGATGCCCAAACGACGTCTCGATTCCCAACGTTTTCAACCTCCGAGCTCCAAGCAAAACACCCAACAAACCCCCCAACAAAGAACCTTCCAGTCCGTCCCCGTCCGTACAATGTGAACTTACAACGAACCATGCCCACCCGTCGAGCCAAATCCTCCCGCACCACGTAGTGTGGCGTCGAGATCCTACATGAGCATGAGTGGAAGTCAGCGTACGGATGATCATGGACACGGATATGGTACAAAAGGGTATCGATGGCCAAGGAGGAGGGGTGTACGTACGTCGACCTCGAGCACAGCAGGTGTTTCGATCTTCTCGATGATGAGTTGGGCTATCCGGTCGCCTTCTTGCACTGTTCCATCAAGTGCCACCGCCACACAAGGATGCACAAACCAGTATTGCATCAAGATCAAACCACGAGCCAAACCGTGAGTTGAGTGATCAATGGGAGCAAAAATGGGAAATAATAGGACAAGAGGTACGGACCTGTGAAGTCTTGGTCCGAAAGGTTGAAGAGCAAGACGAAGACGACGCCACGGTAATCTGCGTCTATGACGCCTGCGCCGGTGTCGATCATGAACTTCGAGGCTGTTGTAACAATACATAGGAGGCCACAGATCATGCAAAACAAAAAAAAAATGTGAGTCCAACGGTACGCTTGCCACTAGAAGACAAAGTAATACAGAGATAGGGAGGGAGTAACGACGGGGGCGAGGGAAGATATGGGGGCGTTCGGAAATGAACTAAATATACATACCGAGACCACTCCTAGGCGCAACACGCCCATACGTCCCCGCAGGGACAGCGATGGATATTTGAGTATCGACAAGAGCTTTTCCGCGCGCTGGGATGACCTTTTGTTCCGCACTGAGTACACAATTAGTACCCTACCAAGCCCAGTATATATACTAGATCACTCGACAGAGAATAGCATCGCATACCTGTATAAATCATACCCCGCCGCGAGTGCAGAGCCACGGGTAGGGAGCTTCGCTTTCTCCGAGAGACGTTTTATGAGCAAGTTCGAGGTGGGGGCGATGTCGGATTTCTCGGGAGCGGGAGACATCTTGCGTTTCTTATCGATATGCTCAACCGAAGCAGTTTCTGTGGTCATGTAGAAGCGTTTTGACCTTATTAGAGTCGAGATGTAGAGGACGGAAGCTAAGACTGAGACGCGTCGAAAGAAACAGAAAGAAACGCGTCGCGTAAATCGGACTTTCAAAGCGCGTCATCTCCGCCACGCGTTTAGTATTGTGTGATGAAAGGGTCGAGTGACTTCACCGCTTTCTTTCTCTCCCACCTCTTCCTTCGGTCGTTGGCTGTCCCTTCTGTTTGAGTCCCGATGGTTTCTGGCACGATACCTCTTGACACTTATTTTGGATCTACCTCCGCGTCCGCGTCTAAGTCTAAAGGCCCGGGGCCGCGAATCGGAAGCTCTGTCCGGAACAGCAGTACGGGCAATAGTAAATCGTCCACGTCGCCTGTGAAGAAGCGAAAGAGGATACTTCGTACTGATGATGAAGAGGACGAGGATGAAGGTAAGTCGAGGAGTGGGTCTGCGTCGAAGAAGGGAAAGAGTGCACAACTACCAGGTGGCGGCGGAGGTGCTAGCCCGCTGAAGGTGGCCAGAAATGGTATGTACTACGTACTGTACCTCTCTTTGTTCTTCAATTCAGGAAGTTTAACACTTGCCCCTACTATTCTTGGCGATAGGATCGAAACTCACACCTGTGTCCAAGTCCGCCAAAAGTACTCGGACCCCAATTCCTGGTTTAAGCATTGTGGCATCTAGCTCTAAGCAGGTTAACGCTCGCTCTCAGGTAACGTACACTCTCATATGTCCGTCGCTTCGAATTATACACTTACTCATGTTGACTTGCTGCAGAAGAATGGCTCAGAGACGGTGTACCCAACTCCCAAGAGTACCACGATCTCCCGCCACCTTCGCTCCTCGCCGTCCATCGAGTTCCCCGAGAAACTTTCGGCGACAATAACAGGACTGGCCACTCCATCGACCGCACCCCGTCCCAAACCTAAACCCAGACCTGTACCTAAACCTATGTCTCCACTCAAAGGCAAGGGGAGAGTTACGGCTGTACGCAGCCCAACTAAACCTGCTTACACTGTAAAAGCTTGGGCCCTGCCTGCACGCTCTATGATCAAGGACCCGGACGACGATATGGATGTCATCGAGCTCTCCAGCTCTGATTCAGAAAGAGACGAAGGGCGAATATCACCGCAGCCCATATCTACTTTAACCGACAATCATGACAGTACCCGTAGCGAACCGCATATTCGTCCCTCAAGTCCTCTGACTCCCGTGCCCTCCAGTCGCTCACCGAGCGAAGACCCGCAACGACCAGCCGAGGCACCCACTACCCCAGAACCCGTCACGTCGCCTACGACCTCAACAAGTGATAGCTACATTGCAACTCCGACCCATTTACGTTTTGTTCCTAGTTCGCAGCCTACGCAGGATTATGGTCGTAAACATGATGATCGCCACATTATCGAGAGTGACACCGAATCCGAATCGGATTCGGAGGACGACGAGGAGAATCCATTCGCTGCAAGACGAGGTGACAACCGTCGTGGTGGCGGCGGTGACGTTGGGTCCACAGCGAACCCGAAGGCGTATCATCTACCCAAACTCTCAAGTCCGCCACAGAGCTCTTCATCACAGGCAGCTTCAGTCTTCACACCGGCCCCTGAATCCCGTCACCACCGCCCTCCGACTTCGGCGTCCGGCACCGCCACTGTCGCTGGTCCTTCTACAAGTCCTTTCAAGGTCCCTCGCATCCCTACACACCCAGACCGCATATGGGGCTCACCATCACGCAAAGACGAAGACGAGGACCTAGAAGTCGTTCCGTCCTCTCAGTCCCAGTCCCAACCTCACTATCTGACTATTCCACGAGATCACGGCATAGCTTCCCCAGAGCGGAAGACGGCCACGGGTACCAGTAATGCTCCAATGCAAACCACGACCGAGAGTGGTAACTCCAGTCAGCATCCAATCGACTGGTACGAAGTCGTGCCGTCCTCGCAGAGTCAGGAGATCGAGATGCAGTTGCCCGAAGGGTGGTACGAACGACAGGCCCAGGCTGTGTCTGTCGCGGGTTCGTCTTCGAGCACGTCTCCACTTGAAGGGGACCCGATGGATGTCCGTCTTAGCTCACCAGATGTTTCTCCAATTCGACCATCTTCGCTCCCACAACCTTCATCATCCCAAGACTCGTACTCCTCGATCGATATACCGCATCTTCACAGCACCCCACCCCCTCCTAGTCTCAAACCCGCGTCTAAAACATACTCATACTCCGCATCTCAAGATCGTTCCCTCTCATCCAGCGCGAAGCGAAAGCTTCAGATCCGAGACATCAATCTCCATCACGCGGATCTGTCAAATTTCGCTCCTGATTCTCAACCTCAACGCAAACTCGTAGGCGAGCAACAACAGGAAGACTCGGAAACGGAGGAGGAAAGTGAGGAGGATGAAGAGGGGCAGTATCATGTGTACCCAGCGCCGCCAGAGAGAACACCTACACCTCCCAGTCCACCGCGACGTTCGATTTCTCCTGCTGAGCGTCTGCTTCAGTCCCAGGGTCCATCTGCAGCGAGAGCTTCTCCGTCTACGCTTGGAGCTACGAATACAAGATCTCCGCGTCCACCCACTCCTCCGCACTCGACAGTTGTCGAAAGCATGGCCGAAGCCGGACCTTCCAAGACTACACGTCCTCCCCGCATTCCCACCTCTCCATCTGCAGACGCAGAAGACCGTATGCGCCGTAAAGTACACAGATCTCTCGTCCGATACACCGCCAAAGCCCGAGCCCGCGCCCAATCCCAATCCCAATCCCAATACACCCAATTCACGCAATCCGAAGTCGACGGCGAGCCCAAGCCCAAGCCCAAGTTCGACCTGAAAGCAGAGATGAAGAAGCTCGGGCTGGACCTCGATAACGATCTGGATATGGAGTTCGATAGTCAGCAGGCGCTGGCCCAGGGTGGGTTTAGTATTCCGGAAGATATGGAGATGTTGGAGTTGAGTGATGACGACGATGATGAGGGAGAGAGGCTCGGTGAAGATTGGGGTATGGAGGAGTTGCCGGGTGCTGTGAAGGAGGAGAGTTGAGGTTGAGTCCGCCAGTCAGATCAATTGAAGAGTTGTGGCGAGTGTACGAGAGAGAAGAGCCTACTATTACACACGGACTGAGCTATGTTGATTGTTCCAGGATACACGTCGTATTGCTTACTCGCCGCACTCATCTCTTATGCACCATCGCTCCAATACAGTACCAAGTCTATGATCTCTCAAGACCTCATACTCAAGTACTCAAGCTCGATGTCCGACCAAGCTTGCACGCAAGGAATAAGAACCAATGTAATGTATTCCGAAAGAAAAAGCGTAGAAGTACGGTACTAGGGCAATTACAACAGTCTTCGCAAACAATACACTATTACGCGTACAATGTCCTCGCGCACATTTGAATACAGAAAGCGAAGGTACAGAATGGAGTGGAGACGAAAGGTCATGAAGAAGGTATAAGAAAGGAATACATGTAGTCATAAGCGAAACAACGACAACAACATCGATAGATCGAGTCTGCGGATAGTCGTACAAGGGGAAGCAGTGAAGGGTCATGCAAGGTCGTGACGAGCGAAGGCGAAGAAACAAAAGAACCCGAAATCATGTCCACAACTCCCCTCAAACAACGCTGAACGCCTCGCTCTTCCAGCCATCGCCCACCTGGACCGCATCCTGCCTGTCCTGCGCCCTGTTCACCCATCCAGCCGGATGACCCGTCCCCGGCAGGATCGCAGAGTCCCTCTTGCTCACGACCTTGAACTGGCTGTTCGTCTTGCTCGACGCCTTGCTCGCCACATCCGCACCCTCCTCCTTCTTCCTCTGGAACAACTCTTGCAGGGCTTGAGTGCGGTTGGTGTCTGGACGAGCGGAGGCTTCGTGCATGCGGTCGCGAACGCCGACGAGCTGTCCGTCAACGTATTCCATGCCGGTGGTGATAGCGTCTTCGACGGCCTTTTGGATCTGACGTTTGACGAGACCGGTCGCAAGGGGTTTGAGAGTTTTGTAGAGGGTGTCGTGCTTGGAGTCGCGGATGGAGAATTTGAGGGAGTCCAACTTCACGTTGACATTCTTCACCTTGAAGACGGAGCTGTGGGCGAGGAAAGAATGTTAGCATCGATTAATAGAAATATAGAACGATAAGTGAAGGCGAACGAGGAAGGAGGATATGACTTCGTAGAGTGTACGAGGGGTCTTGTGACGAAAGGAAGTTGAAGAACATAGAGCAATGTACGATGCGAGGGCGTTGACGATGTTGATGATGCAAGGATGGGAATGATGAAAGGCTCGAATATAAAAGAGAAAGGAGAAAAGGAGAAAACACCAGAAAAAATAGAACGCACCTCTTGTCTTTGTCGGCGCTGACGAGGTGGATGACAGCGGTCAAACCCTGTCCACCGAGCACAACGTCCGCAAGACCCGAGTCCGTGATCTTCGGGAACCCAGTCTTTTTGCGGAAGTAGAACGCAACATCACGCATGTCGGCCTGCACAGATAGACGAAGAGAGCGTCAGTATCAAGGAATGCAAAACACAATGAAGCAATCTGTGGACAAAAACGCAGAACACATACCTGGATGTGACCGAGCGTGAGCGTGAACTCGTGGTGGTTCTCGTCCTTGATGGTATTGTACGGTGAGAACTTCATGTAGTTGTGGGCCTCGATGGAAACGACGTTCGGGAACAGGTTGCGGCCTTGGAGAGTGAGGTTCTCAACGACGAGGTCGAGAGAGTCATCGGTGTACTCGATGCGGGGGATGGGAACGTATCCGACCTAAGACAGATCAACATTCAATTGTTAGCAATGTCCGATTCTACTCAGAAAAAATTAACGAAGAATGAAATGAGGCATACCTGATCGACCAACGTCGGTAAGATCACCTTCCTGATGTCCAACCAAAGCTCCGGCTTGAACTTCAAGCTTCCCTCACTATCGAACAAGAGGTCCTTCGTCAACCTAGCCCAGTCATCGCCGAACCTCTTGTTCAACGGATCCTCTCCCATCGCACCGAACCACTTCCCAATCGCTTCGAACAGGCCATCAAAGTGCGCCTTGTACCTATCGTCGTAGAACTTCCTGCCTGACTCCTTCAACTCCTGACCCTCCGAGTTGCAGACCGGCTCAATGACGTAGCCGGGCTCGAGAAGGACCTTGCGCACGTAGGCATCGACACTTCTGAACCAAGCGCGGAATTCTTCGTCTGAGCGAGCGTCACGAATGAGATTGTCGATAGCGCTGAAGATGACATCGAGAGATTGGCCATTGGCGAAGCGCTCAAGGAGGGTACGGATTTGTACGGTGGCGATCTTGAGGTTCGGGTCGTTGTTGAGCGATGAATGCGAGTCCTTGCCGTGTTCGGCGATGGTCTGGCCATGACCAACGTACTCCTCGACCACGGAGAGGAGCCAGCGGATGGATTCCTGGTAATCGTTGTGTTTCTGGCACTCGAGGATGACCTGACAATAATTATGTTAGCGACGAGGATATGGAAATGAGGGAGAGGGTCGTACCTTCTTGCCACGGTAGATGAACTGGTCCCGACGCTCTTCAGGGAAGTATTCCTCGGTAAGGAAGTGGCGACTACGGTCGAGCTTCTCGCGAGCGTTATCCTTGTGCTCTTGCGGAACGCGGTCGGAGAGGTTGTTCTAAGGCGGAGGATGAGTACGCAGACATGAATTCAAAGAGGGAAAAAACGGACCTTCATGTTGTTGAAACGACCCATGAAGCCCTTCTTCTTCTCTTCGGGGTCAAGAGAGTCGTCTTGTGCTTGCCTGAGATACGGTAAGACAAAGCCAGGATAGACGAGGAAAAAAACCTTACTGAGCAGCAATGTCCGCCTCCGACTGGGCGCGGTCCTTCGCCGCCTGCGCTGCCCCCAAGCCATTCACCTTCGTCCTGTCAAAGGCCTCTGAGCCATCCATTCTCTCGCCATCTCTCTCGACCTCGGTCCCCTGCTTCGGGTGATGTCTCACGGCGCCATCGACACCAGGAACGTTGACCTCAAGCACGGGAGCCTCGTTAGGGCCGGCGTTGCGTCCTCCAGTGGTCTTGAACTGGTCAGGGGGGGCAGTGTGGTCGACGCCAGCAAGGGCTTCAGGGTCAGGACGGAGGGTGTCGGCGGCTTTGGAGGCGGTGATGGCGAGCAGGTCGCGACCGATGAGGGAGAAGTCGGAGAGTAGTTTGCGAACTTCGGAGTTGGTGGCGATGAGGTTGAGGAGAGTACGGAGGTGCTGGGCGGCTAGAAGTGGAAGTGTTGGTTAAAGAACGCAAAGTAAGGTAGAAAAGTAAAGACGGACCTTGCTGCCTGTCCGCCTGAGCCTTCTCGCCGTCGACGGGCAAAACGTCGTCGGGACTCTTCTTCGCCTTGTCGAACTCGACGTTGCGAGTGTTCCACATGAAGTTTTGGAAGAGTTCATCTGTGTTTTTCTCGGCGACGATCAGGCGAGCAGTCTCGATGATGTCGCGAGTGTCCTGGACGAGCTTGCGGCCATCGGGAGAAAGCTTGGCCTCGTCGACGGGGGAGTTCTTGAGGACATACTTGAGCGTACGGTCGATTTGCTTGTTATCAGGGTAGCGGCCGTCGCGGAAGGCTTGGATAACACCGAAGAAACGAATCTAATAATGGAGGGTGGAGGTCAGAGGAACCGAAGAGGGTGGATGACGTATGACGACATACCTTGCGGTCGATATCCGCCTCCTTGTTCTCCTTGTTGACGGGTGAAGTAACCGAGTTGGCACCCGGCTTGTCGGAGGTGTTTGCGGTGGTTGGGGGAAGAGACATTACGGATACAATTTAGCAGTGGTTGAAGTACTTGTTTGAGTGGGGTATTCGAGCTGGGTATGCGTGGTCGTGGAAGAGGGGCGTGAAGGGATAAGAGATATAGTGAAGAGGCGAGAGGGAGATGGGAGGTATTTATACTGGCGCTGAAGGTGAATAGATGTTGGCGACGTCATGACGGGTGACATCATGACTGACAGCGATCTCCTCCTCCCCACCTTGCCCTCTTGCCCTGCTCCTCCCTTTCTCGCTAACAGTCCTTCTATTCTCGCCACCGCTAAGCCTGGACCAGTTCCTTGAACCTATCCAGAGGTGAGTAGTGCGGCCTGGGAGTCGTAGACGGTGCGAGGTCGCGGTGTGGCGTAGTGTCCGTTCGAGTTGGGTGGTGGTGCAGACAAATAGGGGCCACGCCACCTTCTTCATTCGTTCATCGCTCCTTCTTTCAGAGCCGTGAGAAAGCGTTGTGGCGCGCTTTGACAGCTCGGTCGCGAGCATTTCCACGTGCGCCAGACGTGCTTCTCCGCCGGCGGATCGTTCTTGGTTCACATTAATATTCCTCTCCGCTCTTTCATTTCATGTTCGACGTTTTTGGAGCATGCTAAGTACCGGCGACGTTCGCACACTGTGTTCGTCTCGTCCTTAGCTGCGGTTGAGGAGCGCCTGTCAAATATATTCCCCACTTTGGCTGGTCAAAAAGTATGTCGACGTCATTTCCTGGTTCCAGTGGCTTGTTCCCAGCTGTCAGAATCAACGCCAGTGTCATCTTGAATATCCGGCCAGACTTGCGCCTCTGGAAGATGACGAACGGCGCCACCAGGTAATACTTTCGTTCCGTGAAGATCCTAGCCAATCAGCCATGCTATACAACATTGTGATACATACATACGCAACCCCGTCTTTCCGTTCCTTTCATGTTACAGCACTAAGCGCAATCAACTGTCACTCACGCAGCCGAAGGCGAGTCGGCCTTTCCTAACAAGAAAGCAGCAGTCTGGAACGCCGCCCAGGGTACGAATTCTATCGCGAACAAAAGCAGCCGGTTAGCATCGTTCCAGTGTCACGGGTGCGATGTATCCGATAGACTTACGTGGGGTCATATGTCCACTGTAGTAGAACTCGACGTCTGGACATCCATGGCGGAATTAATGAGCTGCAGCACGGAAAGGTGAACCACAGAGTAGATGAATCATGACGTACAGGTCAAGTTCCTCTCCTGGTGCATATTCCCATACACTCCCATATCCTTCACGCTAAATGTCTCATTTTCGATCGGAGTCTGGAACCCCTGCGCTCCACCCCAAGTCATATTCCTGTCGCCGGTACCACAGTGTCAAGGTCGGAGCAGAATGAGACTTGAGGAGCCGGTCGTGATAGGACTTACTGGATAGCGATACGAGTTCCCTCCGCGAGCAGGATGAAATCCGCCAGACCGTGCAAGATGACCGTCCGCTCGCTCTTCTCGATGACGTTTGGCAGGACGCTCAGTGTCGATGGAATGCTCTGGTCACGTCCGCTTCTGCCCGTCGTGGCGTTGATGTACACCGCGCCGTTCGAGCAATCGGACCAGGTGATGTGGGGCGCGTGGATGGCGTCTTGGACCTGTAGCAGACAGTAGTAGTTTGTATTATTATGATTATGTCGTCCCGGACCTATTGCGAATGCGGGAGAGATGATGTACTTACGTCCGTCCTGTGAGAGGAGAGAGAAGTAAGAACTAAGGCGGAGAAGAGCATGATACGAGAGTGCGTACCTATTGAAGTAAATGAACTCTTGAGTCGAACGAGGGAACCCAAGAACGCTCCACGGAATAGGCCAAGCCTCCGTAACTCGATAAACGTCGAATGCCGGATTAATCCTTCCATCCAAAAAAAAATTCAGCACGTATGCATGACAGAAAAAGGTCTATGTATACACACAGCTGCACCGCGTCGATGATCATATCCCAAATACCACACGAACGCTCCAAGGACGTCGTTCCGTTGATCACACCAGCGGGGAAAGGCAACTGTCCAGCCGGCGGGTACGTCACGAAGTCGAGGTAATCCGTGAACCCGCAGGTGTCGGAGATGTTCTGCAGCTGAGCCATGAACGTGCTGTTGAATGGGAAGACGTTCGCGTTGGCCTATATATAATATATCGGTACCCTGACTCATTAACGCTGAATTGAGGCGAGAGGTGGATGTATGGATGGCACTTCACCTGAGCAAAGCGCAGAGCGGGGATGTCCTCCTGTACGAAATCGTATGAGAGCGAAGGGTCTGCGATCGATATTCCCCTCAGGTTCAAGTCGAGTTCACCTGGATGTTCGTAGATGAAGTTCGCGATATATGGAACGTCTAGCGCATTGACAGTCGTCAGCCTCCTGACCAGCTGGAGACAAGAAATCGTTCGCTTGCTTACAGAAGCCAGCATACTGAACACCATGATCATAGGCAGTAAGTATCAGAACAGACAACACAGCAAACCGAGACCACTCACGCTTTCGCCCGTCACGTAGAAATCGCTTCCCTTCAGCTCATCGAATACTTCCAGGAATTGTTGCAAAAAGCCCATAACCTCAGCTGCGAGCTCGTCGTCGTTCGAGATATCGGGAGTGCCTTGGCTGAAACCGGTCTATAAGACGATAGATATCGCTCGGATCAATGATCTTCTTTCTGGCAGACATCAAATCTAACAAAGGCTTACTCCGACCGGTTGTTCCACCCAGACCACGTTGGCCAATTGGGTCCACGAGAATGGATTACTGGTCAAACAATCTTCGGTCAGGCTTTCATTACACAAAGTTTTGGGATACGCACGGCGTAGGTTGAGCCTGACCCCAGGACCACGCTGATCAAATACAAAAGACATCAATCTCGGAACGCCACGAAGAGAACCTAGGTTTGAAACTGGCTCACAGATCGGACCGTTCTCCTGTAAGAATCCTTCGAGCGAAGAGCAGCCAGGGCCACCTTGAGGACGACGACGTGTTAGGGGTAGTTCATTGCCACAACGAAGAATACACAGCATGACGGACCATTTGTCCAGAAAACGAGGTCGTTAGCATTCGACGCGTTCGTCGTGGGCCAGAACCTGTGGCAGACGTCAGATAGTGAGGTAGGAAGTTACCATCGTGGGCGCAGCGAGATCAGTACGCACCAAAAGAATAGTTGCCTCGTTTCATTGGCATTACCGGAGATAGGCATCAATCCGCTCCAAGACGGACCAGCATCGAAGGGCACTATGTACATACATACAGGATTCAACGGTCTGTCAGCCTTGCCTGTGGTCAGAATCGAAACATCATCATTGGCACATACCGTCTGGAATCGTGGTCCCGTTCACGAAGAACTTCTGAGCGGCAGGGTTCGAGAAAGTGATAGGCGAACCATCCTGACGCTTGATCACTCCTGGCTCATGCACCACAGGGGTCATCTCGACGTCGTGCATCCGTTTGAAACGCTCTTGATGGGCTTGCTGCCTCGACCGAGCATTGCGCATACGCTCTCCCAGGTTGTCAGCCACAGCCGACCCGCACAAGAATGCAAGAGAGAGGGCTACGCTGAGCTTCATGGTGGACGGGAGATGGAAGGCTCAGGATGGCGTATGGTTATTCTTCGGACCGTGTTTTATAGAACGGATCCACAGGCGAATGGTTGAACGGAAGCAGAAGTGGCGTTGGTGCTCTTTCTTTAGCACAGCGAGCACAAGACCCGGGTTGAGAGATAGAAGCAAGTCGGCAGAGTGGAGGTCGCCCTCAGAAGAACGGCTTTGTGGTGATCTCGGGGTTTCCCATACTAGAATTCTAGCACGATGGAATGCATACTGGAATCGACGCCTAAAAGGTGATCATGTCTAGGAGACAGGTAGCCCATTAGAGCAGAGCACACTGACCTTGAAGATACACAGAATTTGAGCACGGGTGGGATAGCCGCGCAAATCTCGCCAGAACTTGAGGTCCGTTGGGGCGGTGATAGCGGTAGCAGACCAATTCGCTCAGCTGTTAAAAGAAGAAAATCAACATGTGCTTCATGGCAAGATATCGTCACGAGAGTCGGGGGTTAGAAGTCTTCCGTCATTTTGCGTATTGTGAGAGCGCCAAGGGGATTCGCGATGGGACAAACAAGACAGAATAAGAGAAGACACGATGACGAATTCGTGGCACGGTGACCACAGACGGAGTGGAATAACATGCACGGTGGTCAGTTGTAAGGCTGATGGCCTCCAGAGTTCTATTTCCAGTCCTCGAAAAACCTGCACCACATGCATACCAAGATGGTCCGGAAGATAGTGACTCGGAGTCGTTCTTGAGTGAAAATCCTGCACAGATTGGAGTTAGGTTCGTATAGAAGACTGAGCATTGAAGTATGAGCAGAAACGCGTATATCGAAATTTTGAAAGGCCATGACGGAACGGGCTCCCGACCTCCACTGTCCTGCTCTCTATTGATCTCGAAGTAAAAAGGGGCGATCTTCCTCTTTGTTGTTCGCAACTTTACCTTCAAAATTCAGGGTGCCTAAGAAGCCACGGTAGGTTTCTCCGGTACACGGGTTCTAAGTACATCACGCCTTTCTTTTAAAGCAAAGAAAATCATACTATTCCCCAATGGTTTTGAAGCCAGCTACGTCGTACCCGATCCCGCCCTAGTCATGTAAAGGGGATCAGCAGGGAAAGAACGGAGCAAACGATCAGAGCACTTTTGATCCACAACATACAGACCAACAAGACACGAGAGCGCGAGAATACAGAAGAAAAGAGAAAACGGAAGAGAAGTAACAGGTGCAACGACTCATCGGCAGTTTACCTACGACCTTTACCTCGGCCCGTTCAAGAACTTCATCCTGTCAGGGTGTACAGTAGGACCTGCTCCGCCGCCTGGGGGTGCGCCGTTGGACGGAGGACCCTGTCCGTTGGGGTTGGGCGGAAGATTGGCGAAGTTCGGGGGGCTCTGGCCTTGTGCTCCTTGGAAGTTTGGAGGGAAGGGCGGTAGGTTGGCTGCGTTCGAGGGCGGGAAGGGTGGTGCGACACCGCCTTGAGGAGGGAATGGAGGAGCTATACCAAGACAGGTACATTATTCTATGAGAGCTCAGAATAATGTACGGGAGGAATGCACGTACCTGAGAAGCCAGGCGGGGGCCCACCCATACCGGGCGGCATACCACCATTAGGAGGAAATGGAGGAGCACCAGGGGCCCCAGGCATACCCATCATGCCTGGTGGCCCACCAAACCCGCCTCCAGGAGGGAAGGGAGGACGAGAGGCTTGAAGAAGTATAATCAGTTTAACTCGTCAATCAATCCTATCCTTCTGTGTAAGGAACTCACGAAAACCAGGAGGTCCGCCAAAGCCAGCGGGTGGCATGCCATACCCTGGTGGAGGGCCAGACGAGGGGAATCCCGGGTTTTCACTGATATGCTGTGGGCCAAAACCGAATCCTCCAGGAGGTGGACCTCCACCAGACTCAAACGCCGAGGTGATTTGGTCAATGATGCTTTGGGCCTTGTCATGACCAAGGGCTTCACTCCCTTCGCGTCAGTATTATGCGTATGCATCATATAAATGTGAACTCACAAGCGTAGTAATCCCGAACGTTTGCAAGATGATTCCTGCCGCTATTGTGGGCCTTGCGAACTAAGTAAATCGCAAACTGCTTGTTGAGCGTCTCGTTAGACTCGAAGGAAGGTGAAAACTCACCTGACGCTGAGTCGTGTGTCAAGTAAACGTCGCAGTAGTCACAGTAATGTTTCTGAATATACGAGATGTTGTCAGTGTAAGCCAAGAGAATCAGAGACAAGGCGCGTACCGGCATCGTAGGAACGGGTTGGACAGTGGGAGTGTAAAGCAGACAAGCGTCTCGGCTGCCAGTGGTCAGCTTGCGTTCGCCACTTTTGCGTGGCTGCCATGTGCGGTTCTTCCGTTCGCGGTTGTGGCCCTGCCGCAAGCCTGGCGCGGGTCGCGTATCTTTCTTGAAAGCGTCGACGTCGTTCTCCACGACGTGCTCATACTTGACATGCCTCCTCGCCAGGCCACCGCAGGCGATGCAGCAGCCGGACAGCCAGAACAATCTACCTTCCGCCGCTTTTTTGGGATTGCTCAAGTATGTTCTCCGAACTGTTCTTGTATACCGGTGCTAATCCGCCCTTCAGCAAATTGTCCTCGTATATGCCGTCTCGCAGCTCGGTAAATTCTATTCTATCTCTTGATAAGCCTGATAATCTTAAATTGCCGAATTGTTCTTTATTTTCTTCAGCGACGAGATATTTTGCTCCGAAACCAGCTGCTGTGACGCCGCCCCCCGCTGTGGTCTCGCCAGGCGCTGCGCCTGCAGCACATCACGTTCCACAAGGCGAAGTGAACCCCTTCAGCCTCCCTCCTGTACAAGCTTTTCCTGCATGGCCGCAGAATATTTCCGTCACTATGCACGTTCGGCTCACGTCCGATCCGTCAATGAGCGATATCCTACCTAGGCGCACGGATGGAGATTTACCAAACTTCATGTGGGAGAATATTACATTCGGAGACTGGAAAGAGTCAAGAGTAGTGGATTATGAGGTCACAATCCCTGAGGTACGTTCACTTCGTTTTATGGCTATGACGTGTAGATGCAGTTCTGACTTGATGGGTGGCGCCACAGTCGGTCCAGAATAACGGTTCTTTGTGGCTCGACGTTGTACTAGTGAAAGATAGTGCGAGCCTGGATCCTACGAGTCACGATTTTGACGTGAACTCCTTCCGTCACGTTCGCAAGCGTGAGCAATCAGGCTCTTACCGCAATATTTGTTGACCAAACTGCAAATCTCAGTGTTGACCCGCTACTTGCCAAAGCCGAAGGCCCGCAAGGAGAAGAAATTGTTGGATAGTGGCGATGATGAAGAAGACGGTGCTGAAGTATGCACACTATTCAATATAATATCATCGCCATTACCCGCTCACAACTAACTTGTCAGGAGGAAGCCGAGGTCATCATATCCTACTGGCACCAGGCATGTTCTTTGAGCTCGTTTACTTGGCTGATCAAATACTCAGTAGTTCCAATGACAGAATCTTACATTGGCACTGGTCAGCGATGCTCCAACACTGCAATACAGCCAGCTTCCGGCCCCTGTTCACGAACGTCAGTCCTGATACAGATTTATTTTTGCGCCGTCTCTAACCGGCAGTTTAGACATCGAGCTCATCCCCGGAATGCGTGATGAGACTGGTACAAAAGGCTATTATAAGGTACGCTTACCATCTTTCGCATTCAGGATTGGTCACTCACCGTTTGGCCAATCAGCCCATCGTCTTCCCCAACGAGTTCTGGCACCTCCGGTCTCAATACATCGAAATCAATAGCACTACCCCGGTCCTTCCTCTTCAGATCGTCTTTCAGCCCATGACGTACTTTAAGTTCCAAATGTTTTCCTCCATGACTGTTGGATTCAACGAGGCGGCAAAGCAGCAAGGCGGGACTGGAGGCGAACTCGACGAGCTGAAGCGCATTCTGCTTGAGACGAACCCTTACTACTTGGGTTTGACCTTGGCGGTCAGCTTGTTGCATATGCTGTGGGTCTTTTTTCACCGATGTTTCGGCGAAGGGTCTCGAATGCTGAGGCTTGTTTGAGAATAGGTTCGAGATGTTGGCTTTCAGCTCCGATGTGTCGCATTGGAGGAAGAAGGACGAGCTCACCGGTGTTTCTGTTCGGTATGTGATCGTCATATGTTATCGCGCCTTATGCTTAATTAATTCATTCTCTGTAGCTCGGTAAGCCTGATATGACTAGCTGTATATTGTGGCCTGTGGGCTGACAACTTCCTCGCCGATAGATCGTCACGAACGTTTTCGTGCAAATTGTGGTCCTCTTATATCTGCTCGACAATCAGCAGCAAACGAGTTGGATGATTCTGATGGTGAGCGCTACTTAAAGTACCGAACTCGAGCCTGACCTGACTATAAACGCGATGAAGACGTCTGGAATGGGTGTCCTCGTTGAAGCGTGGAAGGTATGAACTCTTAGAACTCTTCATCTCTTGCCCTAAATCGACTTTACGTCTGTCACTCTCAGATTACGAAAGCCGTCGATATCAAACTCGAATCCTCTCCTGCGGGCTCTATTCTTCCGTACACCATCGTTGTCAAAGGTGGGATTATATCCACATTTTCTGTTATTACCATATTTTTGACTCCAGAGTTCCAGATAAGCACGTACTCAGCGAAGACGAGAAAAAGACCCAAGAGTGAGAAACTCCATCCTTTACGCTCTCCCCAAATACTCAGAGTTATCTCTTCTCTCAGATACGACAAACTGGCCTTCCGTTACGTCTCGTACTTCACCATCCCCAGTCTTGCGATCTACACAGGCTATTCGTTGTTGTACGAGACCCATAGGGGCTGGTACAGTTTCGTGATCTCTACCTTGACGTCCTTCGTCTACATGTTCGGATTCGTAAGTTCCTCGCTTGTTTTCCTCATCCACTACCTGCAACGCTAAATGTGAATTGCACAGGCTCAATTGATTCCACAACTCATCATCAACTACAAGCTCAAGAGCGTCGCCCACATGCCCATGAAAGCCATGGTCTACAAGTCGCTCTCTACCGTCATCGACGACCTGTTCGCGTACGTTCGCCCATTCAACTCATGCTCCTGACATGATACAGCTTTTCTCAATCCTGTCCCACCAGTTTCATCATAAAAATGCCCATCCTGCACCGCTTGGCGTGTTTCAGAGACGACGTTGTCTTCGCTGTATTCTTGTACCAGGTACATCACCTCACATCTCACCTAATCTTGTGCCCTTGTATTGTCTTCTGATCTCTTTTTTCGTTTTTGTTCAGCGCTGGATATACCGCGTCGACCCCAAGCGCGTCAACGAGTATGGACAAGTTTTGGTTCCGGAGGAGGAAGAGACGAAAGACGCCGCTGGAAAGGTTGAGAGCAAAAAGACGAAGTAGAAGCGTGAGGATCGTGCTTTGGTTTGTCGCTTGGGGAAATCTGATTCCAATTTCCAACGATTAGAGTTTGGTCAATCGTGTAGCGTTGTTCACGCTATTCAATGGATGGATGTACTGTATCTGTTTTGTTAGCCGGAATAATATCTTCTGCTCCACCTGGATTTTCCTGTGTAGCTGTGAGCGGGTTGACGATGCACGACGTCAGCATTCACGCATTGAGCGGACCAGAGTCTCTCGCTCTCTCGCTCCCATTGTAGTTGCTGAAGCCTCACTCGATCAATCCAACGAGCGACATTTGTTGTCGCTTCCAATGAAGTGAGGAGAAACGAGCGCGATGCGTTGAACGGGATCGGCGTCTAGTCGGCGACGGGATGCCCATACCAGAGTCTGCAGCAGGAATCATTCGCGTTGAATTAAGGGGTTCAGAAGTGCAAACGACTGTAAAGTAGCAGTTGCGAGGACATGCGTATGGTGAAGATACCGTACCGCTAAAAACCAAAAGGCGACGTAAGACAAAGTTACCGTAAGTCCGTTGATGAAAAGCTTCGAATTATAAATAAGGTGAAACCAAGTGGGAAACGATGGAGTGGGGATGGAGAGCAACTGCATAGCGAATATGGCTGAGAACTCGAACATCGAAGAAGCGGTGAAAAGAGAGCAACAAGCAGCAAGCCCGACGACCCTATCTACCACTCCTGCAACGTCGCATACCAGCTCTCAAGGAAACTGATCCTATCGTCCGAATCCGAGATTTCGCCAGGTCCCCACGCATCACCGAGCCACATCGTCTGCTTCGACGCGTTCGTGCTGGGAGGCCAGTACGTCAAGTTGGTGCCGCTGGTGGTGTTATCGCCGTTCGGGTTGCCGGTCCTGATGAAGTTGGCCCAGTAGTCGGACATGACGCTCTCGATGGCGTAGTCGGTGCTGTTCCAGACATCGGTCGTGTTGAAGTCGGCGTAGGGGATGTTGTTAAACGCTGATAAGACGAAATGGAAAGCGTCAACAAGGGGAAATTAAACGTCGAGGGGGTGAGTGAGGAGACGGTGAACGTACTGTACCAAAGCTCGGCACCGTGGTAGGCACCCGAGGATTCGCTCTCCTCCGGAGCGTGGGTGAAGTAGTAAGTGTAAACGTTGCTCTTCGCGCCTCCAGCAGCCCAGTCGACAGACCACAACCACGTCCCGACACGGCTCATATCGCGGAAAAGCTCATTGCTGTTGTCGGAGGCCTGAGTCTCGTTGTCGCCCGGATAGAGCTCCAAGAACTCGGTGGAGAAGTTCCCGAACATCTCAGTGTAGTCGGTAGTGTATTCGTCAGTGGTGTAATCAGTATCGGGGGACGCGCCCGACTCGTCCTTGTTGTTGCCGGTGAGGATGGGGACGTCGCCGTGGTCGCCCGTGCGGAGAGCTTCGCTGTAGGAATAGATAAGGACGTAGCCGTCGATGACGGGGCGCCAGAGAGGGGGAGCCATGAATGCGCTGGTGAGGTTCTCGAACTGTGTCCCGTCGAAAATGGTGTCGTCGCCCAGAGAATCGTACGTGAGAAGAGTGTCCATCGAGAGATTGCGCGCCTCGGCGATGGTGGACACGTTCAGCGAGTTGGCGACGAAGTCGACACCCTCGGCCTCGGCAGCCGTCCTGTTACGCCAACTCGTGGCGGCGCTGCCCGTGACGGGATCGTTGGGGCCACGAGCACCACTCTCCGCGATGACACCGGCGATCAGGTCCCTGGAGAGCGGACTCCACATTATGTCGAGCGCACTCGCCGAACCAGCAGACTGACCGCCGACGACGATCTGGTCCGGGTTACCGCCGAAGTTGGCGATGTTATCGTGAACCCATTGCAGGGCGAATTGTTGGTCGAGCAAGCCGTAGTTGCCGGAGGCGTTGTAGGCGGACTCAGCGCTGAGGTCAGGATGGGCGAGGAAACCGAAGGGGCCGAGACGGTAGTTGATCGTGACGACGATGATATCCTTCGCGGCAAGGCCGGAACCGTCGTACGTTGGAACAGAGCCTGCACCTCCGGAGAAGCGCCCACCGTAGATCCAGAAAAAGACGGGGAGGTTCTGGGAAGTGAGGTCGGTGGTATCGTTATAAGTCGGGGTCCAGATGTTCAGGTAGAGACAGTCCTCGCTGATGTTCTCGCTGCCGGACGAGAAGATGCCCGCAGCGCTGTACGATTGGGCGCAATCGGCACCGAAGGAGCTGGCGTTATAGACGTCGGTCCAAGCTTCTGGAGCAGACGGAGGCGTCCATCGGCTCGAACCAGTTGGTGGTGCAGCGTATGGGATACCCTTGTAAACTGTTATGTTGTCTCGGTAAGCTGAGGTGGTACCTGTTGGGAAATGATGTCAGGAAATCGTCCTGCCCGGTGAACTTTCGATGCGATCTACCTTGGACTGATCCGTACGTCGTGTTGATAGTAGGTGAAGTAGAATCCGCGCGAGGCAAGCTACGTGCGGCCGACAAGACAGGGCCTGCAGCGAGGCCTGCCATGGCGGCAGAAGCCAAGACTCGGAACATAGCTAGGAGCGATGTCGGAGAGTTCCAAGTATCGTTGAGGGCACCATTGGCAGAAGAAAGGAATCAGCCACCATAAAGAGAGATAATTAGATGGAATTAATGAGAACCACACAGTCGTAATATGACTTTGACAAAACTATGCACGTAGCGCAAAGAATATTGGATACACCAAAAGAAACTGGCGGTAAAGACAACAGAGACGAGAAGAAGGAATGCTCACCTAATCCTCCTCGAATGAACGCTGAAGGTGAGAAAAATGAATGGACTGATCTCACTGGCGAAGCACCAAGATTACTGGCAAGAGGGAGAGATCGTTGATGAAGCTAAACCGAAAGTCAAAAGCTGTATAAATAGGTCCTGCAGACGGCGGTATATCCTCCGGAGTGACGTATGGCGAGCAGTGTTTTCTAGGAATGTTGTACGGTTATTCCGAGGAAGTAGCTGCGGTGAGCGAGGGATGCAAGTTTCGACAGAGCTGCGGTCCGCCGTAGTCACTCCTGTCCAAATAGCCAGAGCTCTCAACCCGACCGGCGAACACGAGGATCATGAGGATCGCCTGCTTCTCGTACTTTCGGGGTTCTCGTTAGGTTCTCGTGGTACGCGCAGACGGTTGCAACAGCTATTGCAGTACCGCAATGTGGGCTGCGTCAACGAGAATAGCGAGATCGGGATATGTCGGGATTTTCGAGCTTTTGCTGTGGATGACATTGTCGAGACGTCACTATTCACTAGTTCACTGCTTAACGCGAGCGATCGTAGCCACTGACAGACGTAGCGTACCCGGCATAAGTATACGAAGACAGAGTCAATGTCAGCGTAAAACCCCTTCAAAAAGCATCTCCTATCAGCTGACGGGTAAATCTTCTTTGAATGACATCCAGATAATAGAACAATTTTACAAGAACGTCGACAATCGCGACAACTGGGAGATGCCTTCAGGGAGCAAGGGTCCTTCGACGATTGAGAGGGCAAGCGAAAACAGGAATTTTGTCATGGTCGATAGCCAAAGACCAAGGCGTGTTGTAGCGTGCAGAGGAGCGACATAACCGTTAGAGCAGGAGACAGGAGTGACTCGGTGGCCCTGGTCTTGTGCCACGGATCTCGGGCCGGAAGAAAGGGAGGTGAAGTCGATTTGAGCGCCTTTTACTTACCGTCTTCGCTTTCGCCGTCACCGCATTCGCCAGCTTGATGCCCCTCTAGCCGATGCTCGCTGGCCCATCTCATACTATCGAACAGTGCACTCGACCAGATTTAACTCAACTCCGCACCATCTTGTCTATAGCCGAATCTTTTTCGAAACCTGTCATGGCCGATCGAGCCTGTAAATGTCTGAACGTTCGAATACGGCCACAACCACATGAGCGGACAACTTCCCCGCAAGAGGACGCAGACTTTGAGCCGTTGTACGTTGGAGAAATAGGTCTCACCGTTGTCAGTTTTTTTTTCCTCCTATGAAATAAACTGTCTCGTATTAACAATAATTATGTGGCACAGGTCCACAATCATCTAACGCTTCGGACACGAAAACGAATAAAGTCCAGTCATGACTCGGATTCGTCGCCATCTTCGTCCCAAGTGCTACAGCATGTCTCCTTGACATGTCTTATCTGTCATCTACTTGTATACCGAGTTTTGCAGGCAACACCTTTGGATGTCGATAGCTCCGAAGGTCCGGTGCTACCGACAGAGGACTGGGTAGAAGAGGAGGTTTTGAGAAGCAGCTCCGGGTGGATCGACGTATCGAAACAGTGCATTGTGAGTTATCCTTTTAATACTATGATTCACTCTGTCACACCACCAGCTTTTTGAGCCACGCCTCCCGGGAGAAATTTACTGTGGCCCTTTCCTCGGTCGATGTTCCCTCAGAAAGCAAAGCTTACTCGTGCTCATTTACAGATAGGAGAGGCTATTGTTGCAGCGGAGAAGTCTCCATATTTTTCCCCCATATTCAATGTTGTACTACCAACCCCGCCACCCTCTCCTTCTGCGGATTTCACGTGGAATCATCTCCACGACACCACATCGAACGTCCAACACGAGACCTACTCACACCTCCCACCTTTGCCTCCATTATTCCCTCCCGCCCCATTTACTCCTTCCCACATCGTCTTCCGGCAACTCGACTCCCTCGCTTCTGCTCGCTCCCATGCCATCCGACAAGCCGCGGACGATTATCTAGCTCAGGTGATCCAAGCCAAAGTTGCCGAAATCCACGCCGCAGAGGACATCCTCCGCTCGCAGGTTCAGGCTCTCTGGATCGAGTTTAAGGAAGGTCTATCAACGTTTGACAAGGGCGGGAAGGAGAACGACGTATCAGGGTCATCACGGAAGGACGGCGCCGGACAGTTACCTCAGAGTGGCGCCGCTATGAATACGATCCCGTCATCGAACGGAACGGCGAAATCACCTGTTTCCATTCCTGACTTCGTGCCATCGCCAAGCGCCAGGGCACGAGTCGCATCACCTTCGCTGAGACAGTCAGCTCTATCCGCGTCCATGGCCACTTCATCGTTTCACCATCCGCGATATCAACAGGAAAACGCTGCCACAGCTTCCTCCACAAACGGTGCGCGTTCGACATCCCAGGTTTCGTCCTCTCGGTCCTCCCCGCCTCGTAATTCGTTCGAGTCGGCTAATGGCGTCAGCAACGGTAGCCTTCGGACTTCGTTCAGACGCGACATGAACGAGGACAAGGACATCGCGACGAGCTTCAAATACGTGGTCGACATAGAAGCTCAGATGAAGGAAGCGGCTCAGGCTCGTGATGCTGGGCGCTCCAAGAGTCGTACAGGAGTCGTTCAGTCCCCGACAGAAGCATCCACTGCGGCCGCGGATATCAAGAATGAGGGAACGGGAGAAGCGAAGACTGTGAACGACAAGACGCCTCCATCGTCTCCGAAACCGAAACAATCGAAACCTGAAGTGGAAACGTCTCCTCCGAAGACGAAACGGAAGGTCACATTCGACATCAAGGCGGACACGACTCCGCCGAGTAGAAACGGAACCGCCGACGCAAATCAGGATGATGAGGGTAAGTTATTCCTTTATCTTTATTTTTAGTGCTGTTGTTAGTGTCTAATGTTATCGATTCCATCTTGCAGCGATCATTTTTGACCTGGAGGACGAAACTGGAGAGAGTCACCATTCTCGCGAAGACTCCTCGTCGACAGATGTATTACCTCTAGTCGAGAACCCGCACGTCCCGCCCAACCGTCCACCAGCAGCAAAGCGTAACTCAAGCGGCGGCGGTCCAGGTCTACCCCAATCATTCTCTCTTCTCCGACCGTCATCATTGCCTGCTCCCTCTGCCCTTCGTGCTTCTCCCTCTACGTCACTATCACAAGATATCCAGCCAGGATCAGAACGGAAGGATTCAAGCTCGAGCGCAACGTCAGTATACGACGACCAACCGCTCAGTCCTAGGGAGGAGGAGATCTCGAGACTTGTGGCGGCTGGTACGCCAAGTCATAGGAGTGCATGGAGAAGGGACGGCAAAGCTTGGGAATTGTTCGGTAGTCGATCGGGTGGAAAACCGAGATTTATTGGTAGTCCGCCGGCTCAGGTTGATGAGGATGATGAGGATGATGAGGGCACCGAGGAGGGTGATTCTGTGGTTTCGGCTCGTCAACGTCCATCGAGTGGGGTCGCGATGCCACTGCCTAACTCAGAAGGTTCGCATTCATCCATATTCATTACCAAACGAATTAAAGAACCGTCATTCTGAATTCTCTTATCCTTTTAGCAACGCACTGGTCACAGACCCTAGCCAAATCCCTCCCTATGGTCATAAGTCCACTCTCCAAATCTATCTCACGAGAACCCAAGACATCCTACACAGACCGCTACGGAGTCCTCGTCCCACCCCTCCGTCCAAGCTCCTCCGTCGCACAACGTAAAGCACAATACGCAGAACGCGATCGTAGCAGGCCTATGGATCCCGGTGCCCTCGACTTCATCGAGCTGGGCGTAGGGGATGATGACGAGTTGGGCTCGTCCTTAGGGTCGGATGCGGAGATTGAGGGGATGCGGGGAGGAGCGGGGGTGTCGGTGAACACGGGGAGACAGAGGGCGTTGAAGATCTTGCAGGCGAGGAGCAGGTTACCTTCGGATGGTATGTGGCGTAGTTTGGCTGCATGATTTTCTCGGAGCGTCGGGGTCACTGGATAAGTGGGATATCTTGCTTTGCTTCGGGATTGGTTAGTGTCAGTAGCATGGCATAGCATGGTTTGACTGGAGTGAACAGTGTTTGGTGTCTATCTACGCACCACGGTACATAGCCCTCGGGGCATCTAATTATTTCTGTTGTTTTTTTGTGTCTCATCCATCTTTTGCACCCTCACGCACATATCACATCGCAGTGACTGTTGTTTTCTTTCTCTCTTGTGACTTGGCCACTCCATCTGTGTTTGTAATCGTTCATCGCGCAGTAGCAGTATTAGCACGTAGCAGCACGCACGCACCATTGAACACTTTCTGTCTGTCTGTACGATACTGTCTGGTATGACTTGACGTACGATACTTGATAGCTTTGGGAGTTAATTGTAATTGGACGGAGGCGTAGTTGAACCTTATTTATTCTGTCTCGCGCAAGAAAGAAATAGGAGGAAGCAACAATTGGGATGCTGTCATAACGAACTAACGGAGAACAAAGCTATATACGAGAGCGAGATGTGTGAGAGATGTGATGGGAGTGTGTTTGTCATTATGAGACAATATTGTAAATGCGAACGAGCCGAGCAATTTCTTACTCTGTATCTACAGCGACTGAGCGCACTATGGTGTGAGATGTTTAGTGTGCTACGAACGAGCATGCACTGTTGGAGGAACGTCGGAATAAACCATAAAATGACGCTCTCTAGGTGACCCTTCCTCTGTACTCGCCCAACCGCACCACGACGCTTAAGGGTCGGCACCACCCATCTCTTTCTCGTCCATCCTCCTCTGCGCATCATCAACCTTCGACCCATCCAGCGTCGGCCCTTCTTCCGCGGCACCCGTACCCTCCTTGACACACCTCTCACAGGGACAAGGGAACCTCCAGCCCCTCGCCAGTTCAAACCGACGACGGCGTCTAGCGTCCGCGGCGGATTCGCCTTCATGCACGGATGAGTCGACGAAGGAGACGGTGATTTCATCGCCTGCTTTGAGATCGCGGGTGGCGATGAGGTAGAGCTCGGAGTCAGCGTTCTTGAAAACAGGTATGGCGGACGGGTCACAGCTGTGGCAGATCTGGATAGCGAGGGCGAAGACGTCAACATGATGCAAAGGGCGAGAAAGAATGACAAAAAGGAGACGCACGTAGGCGGAGACGGAGTAAAGGCCAGAACCGACTTGACGTTGGGTGCCATAGGGCGTGCGCGTCTTCTCGGCATCCTCTGGTCTTTCACTCACCTCGGGCTACAAAGGAAAAGACGGTTAGTATGGGATGAAATACATGCTGGATCAAATCTACTCACCCTATCATCACGACCTCCGTTGTAGACAACACCGTACGCGTTGTAGGCCATCTTACCCTTGAGCGTCGCATGGCGTTCGTCCGTGATGAAAGCCTCCAGACCTGGAAGGGCAGTCTGGAAGACGCTACGGAGGAGTTTTGTTTCCTGTGCCGGGGCTTCTACTTCGAGGTAGCGGAGCCTCTCCAAGTGATCGTAAAGTGAATAATCCGAGTGAACCGCCTCCGACGCAGCTGAGCCTGGGACCATTTTCGCTGTCTCCTCAGAGATCTAATGTCAGCGAATAATGAGTATAACAGATACCACGCAAGGAAAAGGGGATGAACGCGCCTGACGTGCAATGAACCTAGCAACGAGCATGGGTACTGACTTGTCCTGGTCTTTGACATACTTGGCGAACTCGGTCTGTGCTTCTCTCCTAGCAGCTGTGAAATCGCCAGGCATCTCGGTAGAGAGCTCAGCTGGAAGAGCAGAGTCGGTGCCGAAGAGGAGATTCTGGGAGAGAGACTTTGATTTCGTTTGGCATTCTTTTGAGCAGTACCCGGATTTGTAGAGGTCGTTCTCGATGCGATAGACAATGTCGTCCTCGATTTTACGGAGACAGTGGGAGCAGTATGAGCCTTTGCCTTCAAGATCAGCGTCGAGAACCGCGACCACGGGTTGTTCCTATGTTTTACACTTTAATATGAAGTTCACACGTCAAAGGCCGTTTGGGCTGCTTCGGACGTTACCTTGTAAATCAAATCTCCAGCGTTGAAGTCTTTAGTCACCACCAAGATTCTTTTGCGCATTTCACCGCCCTTGCCATCCGGGACATCGACAGCTTTCACCGAGACGTTCATGTCTTTCGGAGGGAACTCGTCGTAATAACCTACCCGTCGCGACCGATAATCTTAGCTCAAGGACGGGTACGATGATGCGTAGACTTCAATGCTGCTTACCTTCTACGCGGTTCTTAACCTAATTTTTTCGGACGGGCGGACATGCAAAGAAAGCAAGAAACCGATACATGTGTATTAGAACGAGCAGAACGGAGCAGACGGCAGGAATGAATGTGGGACGACGTCGATGTGTTCTAGTAAATGCTCCATCCACCACTAATGCGAACGGCACATGAATCACGTCGTGGCAGGCGTCTGGCTCCCGGGATCAGTCAACTTATCCCATTCCTGAGATGAAGCTTCTGATGGAGGTCCGCCTCGTGTGGGGCTCGTCTCGTCCTCAGACGTGCCGTGCAGGGATGCAACATCGTCGATGTCTATCGAAGAGGGTTGACTCACGTCCATGTTGGTCATAAGCATAACAAGCTATTGATGTATTGTGAGCATAAAGCATGATAGTAGAGGTATGCTGCTCACTTTGAAGACAGGTTCCGGCATAGTCTTCTCGTAGATGACGAGGAGTTCGACAGGGGAGGGGTAGACCCGAAGAGCACGGTAAAAGCACATAGCAGCGGGAAGGCTGAATTGGGGGCCTTCACGAACAGTCAGTGATTTATACATCGTATGAGAAATAGTGAGACTTACCTTGAGTGCAGAGCTGCTCTCCCAAGTTGACCTGGGTCATGAAATACGCCTCCTTCTCTGTGGGTGATGGAGGGACAACCTCGCTCCTCACTTTCTCCAGAGCAGCACGGATGTCTGCTTCAGAGACCGCCTCTGCCTCTTGCGAGGCTGCGACATTTTGCGCTACGGTCTTGTCGACCTTCTTTTTGTCTTTCCCTGATGAACGTGTGAGTACTGATTTCGAGTATCGACGAGGATCGCCGTAAGCGTACGAAGTTTTTTGCGGAAAGCAACATCGTTCCGGCGTTTATAATCGAAATAAACGGCGTATGCGAGAACACCCCCAAGAACGGATACTCCAGCGATGGTGAGGATAGTTGATGTCCTGTTCATGCTGGGTGAGGAACACGCGGTGGACGGTAATGGCCTGAGCCAGGAGATGGAAATATGTGGCAGAGAAAGAGGGCTCGTGTTCCGGCTATCGTCCCCACGTGCGCATGACGTGCGCGCGCCGCGGACATGCCGCCACGCCACCGCCACACTAATGGGCGGCGTCAAACACGTTGAGGGCGGTGTCCTCAGGCCTTGTGAGAGCTTGGGTGTCGACCACGACCATCAAACAAACCAGTACTGTCTCGCAGTAACCACCTCCCTTTGTCGTTCTCGCTAAAATCACCACCATGGTCTTGTCTGAGCACGAGCAACGATCGCAGATGTTCCCTGAAGGAGAGTCCAAATTCGCTGAGGCTTTCGTGAAGGTCTCCTTCGAGGACGACATCGAGAAGGAGGGCGATCCTCTCTTTGGTAAATGGTCTCATCACGGAAACGGACAGCATATCTCTCCAGAAATTACTATGTCAGTTCTTTCAATCTGGAACGTACACTCCGTGCTCATACGGGGACCGTGTGCGTTGCAGGACCAGAGCACTCCAACAGCTGTATCCAAAACACACCATCGTCATGACTCAGGACTTTCGTGGAAGCCTGCTTAGCTTTCCTGCATCTGTGGTCCAACCTTTGTCTCCGAAGGAACTGGTCACCAATGCCACATTCATCCCACTTGCTAGAAAAGGTCCTATTCCCGGCGTCATCATGGACTCCGTCTGGTATGGCGCCTTTCGGATGGCGTGGCGTGTAAGCTCCTAATTTGCGTCCATCAATTATCTCATGGACGTTCTTTGACAAACACTCGATCAGGAATACGACTTCATCCTCTATATCCTCAAGGTTTGTGCTTGTCCCTCCACGTGAAACCGCAGCTCACGTTCGTTCAGTGGAGCAACGGTTTTGGTACCTACTCGGAGAATTTCATCCTGCACGAAGGTCCCGAGGCCCCCGCCAGGCTATTACTTCTTGAGGCGGGTGCATACGCGGAGAAGTTGCACAACGAGATCTGGGTCTTCAACCAAGGATTCTGGCAGAAGAATGCTCAACTCTGGCAGGATGTCCAGAGTGCGGACTGGGACGATGTTATCCTAGAGGAAGAGTTCAAGACGGCTCTGCAGAAGGATATCTACGGTTTCTTCTCTGCGGAGGGGACGTACAAAAAACTTTCTTTGCCTTGGAAGGTATCGCACGCCACACACGCACTCTGTGGCCTGAACTCAACTGATAAGGTCTCATATTAATGCGTTTAGCGCGGCATCATAATGCATGGACCTCCAGGTTTGTAACGACCACCTATCACTTTACTCCAATATTCAGTTGATACTGTGACATAGGAAATGGGAAGACCATTAGCATCAAAGCTATCATGAAGACTTGCGATGCGAAAGGCTATGCCCCGATGTACGTGAAATCGTTCAAAAGTAAGCTTCCCGATACCCTCCCTCTCTATCGTTCGATTCTTACCAGAACATGACACAGGCTACATGGGCGAAGAAGGTTCCATGCTCGCCGTCTTCAACAAGGCTCGCCAAATGTCACCGTGTGTTCTAATCCTCGAAGATCTGGACGCTCTCATCAACGACCAAAACCGTTCTTTCTTCCTGAACGAGTTGGATGGGTTGCAGGGTAACGATGGCCTGCTCGTCATTGGCACGACCAACCATTTTGACCGGTTGGATCCCGGTCTATCGACGAGGCCCAGCCGTTTCGACCGCAAATAGTGAGTATTCCAAGGTTGCTTAAATATCTGGACCTTGCTTACTTATAGATGTCGTACGGAAATTTCTAGTCTCTTCGATGATCCCGAGCTCCCCGCTCGTTTGCTCTATGCGCAATACTGGCAGGGCAAACTGAAAGATAACGAGGACATTGATTATCCCGACTCCCTCGCACAGAAGATCGCAGACAGCACAACCGAATTCAGCTTCGCATACCTTAAGGAAGCCTTGTCAGTCTACATGCAATATCCCTATCATCGGTGTTTATGTACTCACACGCTCCTACTCCGATATCTCAGCGTCTCATCCCTCGTCACCCTCCTAACCGACAAAGAAGACGGAAAAGACACCACCTTCGAAAGTGCTATCACCAGCCAAATCCGAACCCTGCGCAAACAACTCGACAAGAGCACCGAGACAGACATCCTCGCCTCCTTGCCATCCGTCCCATCTACTGTTCCGGTCGCTCCAGTGACCTACGTCAACAATGACAACGACAACAGCCAGTACAGCAACGCGTCGGACTCAGCCTTTGTCGACGCGTTGGCTGCTCAGTTCAACCATATGCATACTGCAGTGCCCGAGTCGGGGTATGGTGATTCGACAGCGCCTCCAGCCAGCGCGAATGGGTTCACGTCCGCTACGTCAGAGAGGGATATCATCTCGGTTTTGCATAACTTTGTGCAGAGAATCGGAGGAAACAGTGTAATTCCGGCTGCAGGAGGTGCGGCAGATGATGGTGGATTCGTTGGGAACGCTTCAAGCTTGCTGGGCCAAGGTGGAGAGGATGGATTCTCTATGAGACGGTGGATGTGAGAAAGACTATGTATACCAGGTTATGCTGAGGAGTGAAGAAGTTCTCGATGATTGTCTTTTAGGTCTATGTACGATGTTTCGTTTTGCTCTGGTCTGAATACGGATGTGGATGGACTCTTGGATGTACCGTGTACTCTCGATCTGAATAAAATGCGATTTCGTGCAAAGAAGGCAATGTGGCATTGAAAAGTTCGTATGGGATGTGGCAAGGATCATCACAACAGCAATAAACGGACACAGCTTGTACAATCTACGTAGCCGAGTTACGAGTCCAAGAAAGAAAAAAGTCCAATAGTACCGAAACACACACACGGGCAAGAACAGACGAATAGCACATCTACCATCTAACTCCACATACAAACAACGGAAAGGAAAACTGACGCCAGCACCATACCGCCCATTATCGAATCCGAGCCTGTCCGCCCTCCAGCAGAAGAGCTATCAGTATCACTCCCTGTCGTACTACTATTCCCGCTACTCGACGGCGAACTGCGCACAACAGCAGCAGAATAGATCACTGCCAATCCAGGGCCCGGAACAGCGATATCACACCCACTCGCACAATCCACCTCCGTGTCCGCGAACGACGACGCATCCAAACCTCCTACATTCCACGTCGCCGACACAGCAGTCCCATCCGTCACACCCGCATACGTCTGTCCACCATACGCGATGTATGTATCTTCGTTGACACTCGGTGCGACGAGGTATCGAACTGTGACCTTTGTCGACCCTCCGGACTGAGAAACGATGCTAGATGGGAGCGTGAAGTTCTCTGTAGCGCCTGAGGAGTTGGCGAAGTTGAACAACACGACACTACTGATATTCGTCGCGTTCGCATCATAGATCGCATACCCCGCCGCTGTCGCCTTCGGATCCGTAGTCGAGTTCGCAATATTAAGATCGACGACGACGGCGCTCCCCGATGCGACCGAAAGCGCGTCCGCAACGGGCAGGTAGGCGTAGAACGGTGCCCCCGTCCCCCATTCTGACGAGGTCGTGGGCTGGAAGATATTGTACGTTACTCCAGGTTCGCGAGTGTGGAGGTACGCGGCCGTGTATCCGACCGAGGCGAGCTGTAGCGAATAATCGACCGTCCAGAGTGCGACGCCGAAGGTTTCCGAGATGCCAGGCAGGCCACCGCAGGATGCGGAGTTGAATTCGTCCATGATAACGGGTTTGGGATTTGGGTTGGTCAGAGCGTATTGGATACCGTCGATTTCCCATTGACCTAGCTCGACGGCTGAAAGCGTAAGTGATGAATGAGATGTGTTAGAAGTGGTGTTGTACGGGAGTGTGAGAGGTAATTACTGCTGGAGTGTTGAAGATAGTACGCCAAGGTATATCTGCCTTTTCCGCTGCCGTCACAGTTGTTTTGAGTGTAGTGCTGCACTGTGATGTACTTCAGCTCAGAGGCGTATGTTGATAGCCAGTCTTGCTGCAAAGTAGTCGCCAGATCCTATCGCCAGAATAACTTCAGCAAGAGGGACGTAAGTAGGAACACATCCATCTCACCCAGTTGCAGCAGATTGTAGGCCCTGCAATGTTTGCTAGAGAGAGTATATTTCCGGCAGACGTATTCGTGAGGAGACTTGAGGCCGTCCCAAATTCCTGATGGTCATTCGTCAGTGTGCGCCGCAAAAAAAGATGCGAATCTAAAATGGCCCGTACCTGTACATAATCCGACACAGTGTAATTCTGGATATTAGGCCTGTCTCCATGAGCGGTATCTATATAAGGAAAAGCGCGGGGTGAGTCGCTCGTCCAGATGAAATGGGCATTTTAGTGCACGAACACAAGTCCGGCTCCTGTAAAAAAATCTCAGTAAAGCAACGGGTGAGATAAGTTCACGTGGCGCGCACATTTCCAAGAAGGAAAGCATCCAGTCTATCTCCCAACTTCTGCTGAGAGGCAGCAGCAACTATAGCATTATTCGTGTTTGTAGGATCCCGCAGACTAAGACCTAATGATGGGGTTATATGAGCTTTAGCTCCATCATGATCTACCAAGAGTCGGAAACGGCACACCTAACAAATATTGCGCGTTGAATTCCTGGCCGATCTTGTCAATTACATCGAAGAAAACCGGGCCAAAGTCGACAATTTCATCGTTCGGATTAGCATTAGGATCCGTCGAGATGAGGATGGGAGATTGAGAGGCATTGTATGTGGCACTATCCATAGAGTTGCCACCTATGCGCAGGCGCAGAGGGTAGTCTCCGCTCGTAAAATTCCTCAACGTGGTGAAGTAGTTTTGAACAGGCGCCGGAGTTGATGATGTATCATTTCCGACTTGACGCCAACAGTGGTCAGTCGATCATGTATGTCTAACAGGCATGTAGGTATAACGCACAGTACAGATTGATCGCACTCAGCTCCAGCGAGATTCCCAAGAAATTCGGGTGTACAACGTTTGAAGTGGCCGGAGACGAAGGAATAGACACGGAAACTCCTGTCGACTGAGCGCGCACAGAAGGTAAAAAAGGAGCGCAGAGTGCACCGACGAGCCAGAGTGGCCGCAACACGCAAGGAACACCCGACAGACTGAGGACCATGGCGAGAATCGTTCGACCTGGGGCAGTCGATATCGTTGCGAAGTTTTATGCTCGTCGACGTTCGTGAGTTATGAGCGCTGTTTGGTTTGTGCTATTCGAGGCTAGAAGTACGACATCATCAAGCTCGGATGCGGGAGCATGTTCGGGACGGCCATAACGGGGTCGATTGCCCTCGAGCAGTATTTCTTCCTATCTGAGTCCACCGGGATAAGCACTGCTGTATCGAGCGGAGACCGAGTCCATAGAACGCGCTTTATCTCCATTATGGGGGCATTGCTATTGAAATCGATCACAACTGGAGTGTCAAGAAATGAATGGATGGCCCCAATGGAAGATACAACATGCTTGGCACCATGGATCCATGATGTGGTTCAGTTCACAATCCGACTAGAGCAGGAAAGACAGCGAAAGCACGCGTTTTGACGAGGCCAAGCTAAAAGGACAACGTGGCCGAGGGCGAGAGGCAAGGAAAAGTGGAAGCCAGGGTTTCGGTCTGCCTCGGTAATGGCAAAGGACGTCGCCAATCTGCCGGAGGAGGGCCACCGAGGGCCACACATCTCAGACTGTCAGGCTCGACAATTCTTGCACCTCCCAATCACACCCGCTGCATGTTTCCAAATATGTTCGTCAGTTGGTATGTTCTGCCTTATAGTAACGTGGCACACTCTTCGCGAGCCTGGTATGTAGAGAAAGAATTAGGTTTTCAAGTGGGTACGACCACAATCTCCAACGTGGGTGCACTGAGATTGTGCGGAACGACGTAAGTCACGTTCCAATATAAGAACGAGCTGCGCCACCAGAAGGTAAAGTCAGCAAAAAACTTATAAATATGTCGGAAAATAAAAGCGAATACGTACTTCTGGTTGAGAGACGCATTGAAGCTGACCTCTGGCTTCACGAGACTTGCGTTCCCGCCCACGCTGATGTTGATACCGGGAAGTTGCGCAAAGCCGTCGGCCAGGAAGTCGTCACCAAAGGCCGTGATGTTCGAATAGGTCGGACCGAACATGAGGGTGAAGATAGTTGGGTCGTAGGCCGTGAGGTTTGGTGAGGGGTATGTTACAGTCAGCTTGCGCTCGTTTACGTTTCCGAGAATGTGACCCTCGGTCGGGAAAAGCTAGTGGAATGTTGAAGATAAAATCCAGCTGGCAATTAGGGCTTTGAAGGGGGGAAACACGAACCGACATATAGCCAACAACATCCTCCTCCATCCTCCAAAGCATAACCGCCGGGCTAAAGCTCGCATTGTTCAATGACGGACCCCCATAAACCAACTCGTCTACCTCCATCGCACCCAGACTCAACCCGTTCTCAGTCCACGTGCTATAATTCCGCTCTGCTCCGACTTCCAGGTAGTCAAATGGAGGGCTGTACGCCTTTCCGTGCCACGAATGCCCTTTACCCTTTGGTTCGAGGGACTTGAGAGCACTGACAACGGACGGGGGGACGAGATGGTCGTGCGATTGTGAGATGAGGGGGAGGAGGGGCATGATGGCGGCGTCGCCGTAGTGAAGGGATATGTTGGTAAGTGGGTTCGGAAGGGGGGCGAGCGTGGCGCCGACGAGGCCTTGGATATGAGCGCCGAGAATGGAGAAATAGTCATTCATGTCGAAGCCTGTCCATCAAGTCATGCCAGTTTAGATCGTGGATAATGTTGGAAGGAGTATGTTTTTGGTTGCATACCATAAGTACGATCCCATGGACCACCCAGGTTCTTCAGCGTCGGGTTGTATATTTGACCTAGTCGAGAAAGGTGTAAGCGACTTCTAGAGAGCAGAAATGTGGGCGAGTGGGCGTACCAATGCTCTTCCATATACGAGTAATGATACTCGCGGCAGATTTCTTCGCCAGGGTTCCAGGAGGGGCGTAGCGGTTCCAGAGAGTAAGCGCGTACAAAGAAACACCTTCATACGTCGGGCTATTGAACTCGCTCTGCATTTGGATGAGTTCAAACAAGTTCAGAGCGTGATATTACCAGCGCGATAAGACCAACTTACAAGGGTATCATACATGTCAAACAGTTCCACTGCCTCCCGTGTGAAGTTCTCTGCCCTGTATTCCGTGATCAAGATGAGAAGGATATGATAACGGAAAAGCAAGAATTGACAGAGGACACACCAGTACGACATGTTGGCATCTCCCATTCTGTGACCAACCCATGCTGTTTGAATGCAACGCATCAACCAAGGGTTTGAGTATACCCTATCAGAGAAAATAAGAACGCGCAACGTTATCATTCAAAGCGCAGTTATACTGCAGAAGAGAATGCTTACGGTCTCAAGTTATCTCCATCCCATCCAGCGACACGATACCCATCTCCTACGGTCGCATTGTACATACTCTCCTCGATCAAAGGGATAAGAGAGTTGGGCAACAGATGCGAGAATTCCTCGAGCATGATGATCCATGAAGTGGCGACGAAGGCACGAACGTTCGGGTCGTAATCATTGTATATCTGTACGAAGTGCCAAGTAAGTATAACATATCTTCCACAGGAGGTGTGACGAAGGAGGAGACCTCGTACCGTAGGGTTCTCGAGGGTGGCGGGGTCCGTTGTACCTGGGTCGTAGAATGTCGCATACCAGATTTTGGTGGGATCGGTATATTGGTGTTCAATTCTATAGAACCCGATAGGGAAAAAGGAATCAGCCTCCAGTACTTATCATGGGCAGATTATATTTGAGATAATGGGATAAACGCACACGCGCTTCACGATACCAGCTGCGACCGCACTGTCATTCCCCTGGATACCGAGCGAGGCGTCAGTGTGACTGAAATTTGAGATGGAGTCGCAGAGACTGAGATTGAGATAGTACTTTACCTGGTTTCGTCCCAGTAGCCCGACAGCGTACCAAGCCGAGTATCGAGTATCACCATCCCTATACACACAATCACGTGAAATCGTCAGCGGGGAGGGCTCTTACTACAAGCGTCGTAAATTGATATAGCTGTCGGCTGAGCCCTACGACAGAAGATATTATTGCAGTGCCTTGCCAGGTTTACTGTGTATGAACGCATCCTTCGCCCCAAAACGCAAGACAGGATTGCGTATTGTACGCCAAGGGTATATACAAACTGGACATTAAAGCAATTCTCTAGAAGTGAAAACGCACCAAAATCCAGTGGAAGTGTCGTAACTAGAGTCCAGAAGGTCCATCGACGAGAAGAACATTTCCTGCTCATTCTGCGACAGACTACTGACCAAGTCACGTCGTTCGTACACGGCTGCACCTCTCACGCCAACAGACAGGACTACGCAGAAAAACGAAAGCAAGGAGATGAGGCCCATGCCGCGAGAAACCATGTCGGTTGAGGTCAAGGTCGAGAGCTTGGGGGGTGAAGCTCGGGCGAGGAGAGACATCGTGATATCAACATCGTTGTGTATTTATATTGCTCAGGTCATACGTATCGTGCAATATCCTGGGGAATTTAGGCCAGGTACGTATAGATAGGTACCGTCGAATTTCAATGCGAAAGAAGAGTTGAGCGCGACTCCTGAACTTCTCCGATATGTCGCGTGCCACGGCGAGTCGAGGACGTTGAAGGAGAAGAAGGAACGAGCGTGTTGCAAATTGGCCGTTTCCGGCTTTGCAGATCGCATGGCGGCCCGGCTGCCGTGGTACGCGGAAAAAGTTTCCAACGTCTCGGCTTCAAAGTTTCACCTTCCGTTCCACTACAGCCATGGGTAAAATCAGAAAAAGTGCGTTAAAATCCTATAGTCATACGTCTGTTTTCTGACATCATAACGTAGAGACCAGCAAGCGTGGTACGACTCACGAAAAGGTGAAGCGCAAGCACCAGATCAAGGAGAGCAAGAGGAAAGTACGAAAAGCTGCGAAGAAAAGCCCTCAGTGGAAGTCCAGTGCGTCCCCGTTTAACAAATTTCCCAAACTTTTGCTTTCGAAGATCTACACACTTACATGTCATGCTCTCGATATCTTTTTTACCGCAGAGACACCAAAGGACCCTGGAATCCCTAACAATTTCCCGTATAAGGACGAGATACTTGCTGAAATTGCCGAGGAACGGAGATTAGTGCGCCCGTCTTTTTTGTTTTTTTGCCTTAATGCCAGTCGTTGACTTCATCGCTTGGATATTATTAGGCTGCCGAGTCCAAGGAGCGTAAAAAGGAAGAAAGGAAAGCCATCCGTGCCAAAGCGAAAGCTGGTCCACAATCCGACGACAGCGAATCCGAGGGCGAAGGTTCTGCCAACGAGGCTAGCACACTATCGACTCCAGCTACCGATGCTTTCAACGGTATTTTGAGTCTTTCGGGAGGTTCATCGATCACCAAGTCGAAGAAGGATAAGAGTAAAGCTGCGACAGTGGAGGACGAGGATGAAGTAGAGGATCCACCTGCTCTTGTTAACCCCGACCTTCCGAATCTGCAATCCGTTCTTGACAAAGCGGACGTCGTCATCGAGCTCCTGGACGCCCGTGACCCTATGTCTTACCGGAGCTCTCAGCTTGAGGGTCTCGTAGCTGGAAAGGGGAACAAGAAGTTACTCTTCGTTTTGAACAAAATCGGTACGCCCCATCCTCTTTACTTCGTTTTCCTCTGCTTAAACGATGCCCTTTGGATCATAGACATGTGTCCTCGCGAACCTTTGGCGGCCTGGGCTTCTTTCTTGCGCTCCTCTCATCCTACTTTACTCTTTCGTTCATCGTCCGCCTTCATCTCCGAAGCGCCTTCGATGCTAGACCCGGCTTTGGTATCCAAGTCCAAGGGTAAAGCCAAAGCACCCGCGGACGATGCCTGGGGTGAAGAGGCTGTACTCTCGCTACTGAAGCAATGGGCCGAAGAAAAGGAGAACCGGGAGGGTGCAGCCACGGAACCGCTGCAAGTCGCCGTTATCGGTGTCACGAACGTGAGTAGTTGTCTGAAAAACCGAGCTATCTGATATTCACCCTCCCTCCGATTTAGTCAGGAAAGAGTGCCTTCATCAACTCCCTTGTTCACTCATCCGCCTTCCCCACATATAGTCCCGCCACCGCCACTACATCCTCCTCGCCTACCACAACACTGTACGCTCAGGAGACTACCCTTACTCTGCCCCAGTCAGCGTCTCATGTGACTCTCATCGACACTCCCGGTGTCTCGTGGCAGCCCCGCGCGGAGCCAAAATCGGAAGAGGCGCAGAAATTCAGGGCTCACGATATCCTCGTGAGAAGTCGAGGACGGGTGGACAAGATGAAGGACCCGGTGCCTGCTGGTACGTTACTTCGCAGCTCCGAATCCAAGGAGGCCTCGACTTATCTATCCTCCCTCCTCGTTTTACCTAGTGGAACACATAGTTTCTCGGTCTGAACCCGAAGATCTCATGCTCGTGTACAATCTGCCTGCTTTCTCCAGAGGCGACACCTCGACTTTCCTCTCCGGTGTGGCCCGCAGTTCTGGCTTCCTTAAGAAGGTATATCAGTTCTTCGGTCACTGTATATCTGATACTGATTTAACTCTGTCTATCGTGGCGCTCACGAATTAGGGTGGCGTTCTCGACCTCACTGCCGCCGCTCGCATTGTACTTCGCGACTGGTCTACCGGGAAACTTCAACGCATATCAATGCCTCCAACATCTTCCAAATCTATCCCTACTGTCGACGAATTGGCAAATGCCCTCTCAGAATTGTACACCACGGCAGACTCTGCTGTCCTATCACAAGTACGGACGAAGAAGGAGATGCGGAAGGCAGACGGCCTGGTCAAAATGGCCAGTGGAACGGTGGACGAACGAGAGTTGGAGCTGGAGAAGGTCTGGGTCGGTCTCGAGCCTGATAGTGAAGAGGAGGATGAGGATGAAGACGAAGATGCCGAAGGGGAAGACGACTTGATGGACGTGGACGAGACGGAAGCTCCATCAGGAGAGGAAGACCCAATGTCTGACGACATGGGTGGAGACGAGGAGGAAGAGGAAGAGAATGAAGAACCGACACCTCCGCCTTCTCCGAAATTTTCCAAACGCAAACGTCCCTCTGCCCCAACAAAATCCTCTTCGTCCGCCGGTCCCCCATCCAAAAAGGTCGCGTTCTCGAACAAGCCACTACCGCCCTCGTCGTCCGCCTCAGCTTCCACGACACCAAAATCGCGCGCTGAGAAGCGTGGTGACCGCTCCTCTATTACTACACCTTCCGAGCAGCCAAAATCCGCGCTTAAGTCTTCGACCAAGCCCTCGAAGGTCTCTGCGAAAGGGAGCACAAAGGCAGCAGGCGTTAAGCGTGCTGTAGCGAACGCACCTTCGAAGAAAGCTGCTGGTGTAGCTGTCGCAGCCAACGCAGCTGGTTCCGGAGGCGGAGATGCGTACGATTTTGGGAAGTTCTTCTAGGCATCATGGATGTATAGTCCTCACGCTCGATTGTATGACCTCTCTGTAGCCCGATTCATAGTCACCGCGCGGCTTATCCCGCAACATTGACCGTCTGTTATTGTGTCCTCGATTGATCATAAGAGTTAATCAACGCGGCCCATTTGAATATCAATCCGACGCGTTTGGATAATGGATACAAAACGAAGCAAAACATACAGAGTACAAGTACTAGTATGGGTATAAGTAAAGTGGGTATGCATGGGTACAGTAGAAATCAAAAAGACTTCTTTGAATCTGAAGAACAAAGGCCACACGAATGAAGAGATACTTGCTCCGGCGTCGAGCGATTCACTGAGTACGCCGGAAGACCACCGTCTTCACAGGGCACTTGCTTTCAACATCTGGTTCGTCGGCCAAATGCATAGTTCAAGTAAGCAACAATAGCAGCAAAAAGTTGAGCAGATGATCTACCTCCATGCGCAGAGCCACTCCCTGCCTGCGCTCCTCCATAAATTCTATCATCATTGGGTCCTTGCACGTCAAGACCTCTTCTGCGATAACCACGAAGTCAGCGACACAATAATGTTTGTGTATATCGTCCGTCCAATGGTCGGGTTCGTAGACGTTCCGTCTTCCTGTAATAACGTCCAAGCGAAGCCACAGGTGTATTTTGTCAGACAACGGGAGGAAAGTGACGCGGCGATTTCAAGGCTTACTATAACTCCAAGGAAGGTGGGCTAAAACGTCGTCGATTATGTCGTTATAGGCAGGATAGTCGCACCATAACATGGCACGGGTTGCAAGTCTCAAATGAGGAAGCGAATCGCAGTGCTGTCAGTTTCTATGGGAGAATGACGGCAAGCAGGACACAGAAGACCTACACGTCAACGTCATCCCAGCATTCTCCACAAATCTCTACATCCCTCGATTTGTCTCTTGGCTGATCTGATTGCTCCCCACAAACCTGTAGTACCGATGTTAATGACCACGAATGATCAAAATAATACAAGAGCAAGAAAACCCACACTACAGAGTCGTCCACAACAATCTTCAAGCTTGACTACAGCAGAATTCGCACTATGGAAATGACGTGAGGTATGAAGACCATGCTTTCCGTCGATGAATTGGTTCTCGAACGTCTCCTGTGATATGAATCAATATTTCGTCAGATATCCTCGCAGTTTCAAATTACGAGACACATACCACGAGGTCAGATGGGGGCGAAGAGGAGGGCGATATAAGAATTTCATGGTCAGGTTCTGACTGCGCGTAAAAATCATGGACGTGGAAAATCTCAGTTAAGTGGGATCAAGGAATGCCGGAGGCGAGACACGCACATCACGAAAGTCTGATGCAAGAGAATCCGAAGAACCAGACGACGAAGAGGCAGAAGAGGCCGCATAGGAGGCACGACTAAGTGGTGCTGCCATGGGAAGAACAGGGAGCAAGCCACAGTTGGTCTTATAGACAGCAACGGTTCTCATACACTGTGACGGAGCTGGTGAAATCGTGAAATATACGTGAGACAGGTGACCTCCAGTGAGGTATATGTGTGCTGCCTGAAAAGTTGCGACTTACGAGACGGCTGACCGGCAGTGAAAGAGTTACTGCCTGTTGAATAAATATGATGGCAATGAGCCGGCGATTGATCGTCGCGTGCCATGTTCGAGGACTAGGGTGTTGAAGGTTGGACTGTGTCTTAAAAAGGGCGGAAAATGCAGAGGTCAGAGTTAGTACGATGGCGGCGGCGGCGGCGGGAAGGCTACCAACGCGAGGGAAGAGTGAGCTTGATCAATGCCGAGGAAGAGGGTGCGAGTAAAGAGATGTTGAAGAAGCGCTACCGAAATGCCTTACTTATATTTAGCTAGTTGGCGAACGCGATCGTCGATCAGTTGAAGTGCCTTCGGAAGTAAATGTCGACTCCCGACTCTGCTCAATCTGGTACTATTTTCGAACATACAATCGCCGTACGAAGGCACCTTCCAATACATTCAGAATCGCACGTGCCTGAAGCAAACCGATACGATGCGTATGAAGAGGGAGTATATAGAGGTTGAAGAGTGGACGCACTTACTTACATCCACAAATGAGTGGTGCAACTTGGGCGGTCGGTGCGGGTCCGTATCGCTGGAGATGGGTTTCAGCTCAAGTACGAGGGACCCAGCGCAACCGTTTGTCCGGTAAATTATAGCATCGAGCGCAGACACAAAGAGGCATTCTGAAACAAAAACACTCGAAACACACAGATGCAGTTAACTGGAGAGGGTTTGACGAAGCTCGAGTTCGGACCTGCAGGTGCCAATAGACGTCGACGTGAGTGTCAAAGGGCCAATGCACACGCTGTTGAGGAGTGCGAACAAGGACAAAGTTGTGTCAATTTGATATTTACAAGCAAGAAAACCCCAAAATTCCGGAAGAAAAGTCGAAATTGTGTATCGTCAGAAATCACACAAGACGGCGGAAAGAACCAAGCAGACGTGTGCAGCGTATTCCAGCGCCTCGTGTCACCGCCGCATTCCTGAACTTTCCCGGCGCTTTCCGTAAATCGGTCAGAATGTGAGCTACGCTGTGTTTAATATTCCAATGACTGTCGGCACAAGACATGGTGAGGGTAATACTTAATTCGAGAGACTAGATAGAGCAGGGGTTAAGGGAGCGCGAAACGAGATAGTGAGAATAGAACACATATGAAAAGCCTCAAGAAAGTTCGTCAAACCCATAGAACAGGGCACTGACACCAAGGGGGGAGCAGGCTGGACGGCGACCGCTTGAGGAGCTCTGAAAAATAGGAGCTTCGACCTCATCGACTGCAAGATAGAATGGCAGCTGAAACATCACCATCGGGTAGATACTTGTCCTAAGGAAAAGATGCCGGTCCTTCTTGACCAGAGCACGAAACCGACCTTCGGCTGCCCGCTTGAGATCAAAGACAGAACCATATGCTCTCGTGATATGGCGGTAAATCGCAGAGAATATGTCATCGCCATCCGGCAGACGAGGTGGATCAAATTGAAAAGCAGCCCATTTCATGCGCGCGAGGTGTGCGTCCATATCTCGAGGTAGGCAATCTAGGAATCTGGAGAGGGCAATGATGCGGGTGAGGTAGAGGGCATTGAAGCAGCGCTGGGCCAAGGCTCTTGCTTCGTGACTGTGAGTTGTAGTATCCATGAAAGCCCCGAGCTCTTGAGTCGCAAGGATCAGATCATGGGATAGCTTGCTCGCGCGGGCTTCTTCCGCTGTCTTGTTTGGCGAATACGAGAAATAAAAGCCCCAGCGTTTGCTGACCCTGCGAAGGAGGTTCAAAGTATGCGGTTGAAGCTCATTGACTTCAAGTTCACGGAACCTATAGTAAATTAGGGCCAAATGAGCAGGAAAAAATCGATCAATACATAAAGGTATACCACACACTTTGGCATGAACCAAGGTCCTACTTGGGCTAACGCCTCATCGATTGATGTGTCCAGATCGTTCGAGAATGCATCTAGGATTACACGATTGAGTACATAAAGGTGAAAAAACAATATCTGTACTAACGATGGTGACAGAAATCGTAAAAATTGCATTTCGGTTGTGCGGCGTCCATACCAATAATTAGATCGGGGAACTGGCCGAACACATCTTCCTCTGGGATTCCCATAGGCTTCTGGCAAGTGGATATACCCAGAGCCCGAAGATAACCGGCCCACGAGTCGCCAAAGAGCTTGGAGTGACTTCCCCAGGTGCGAGTGACCAGACGATCGTACTGAGCAGACAGTCGAATTCGTGTAACCTCTGGGAGTTGATCCCAAGGAAGATGCGTGGGCTTTGGCGATGTGTTTACAGACTTGACTGAAGTACGAGAGGGGATCTCTGTCGAGGTTTGTACTGAGATGGGAGCCCAGATGGGAGCTATTACAGGGTCAAGAACACGCATAATCTGGATAGGGACTGGGTGGCAAGTCGTCGCAGGCGTTGTCGAGGAACGAGTCTGAGGCTCCGCTAGCGGTTCTTCTGGTATATCGAAGTCCACATTGTCACGTCGACGTCTCCCTAGTGTACAGTTCTGATTAGACCGGAGTGCGTACATGGCGAGGGGATCGGATTGTGCGATCCTCAAAGGAGGTAGGTCGCGTTCAAGTCGCGGTTCAAGTCGTTCGTCGCGGTCGTGGTGAAAGGAGCGAGCACGGCCCGGTGCGCCGCGCCGCATGTTGTGTCTTGATTTTTACTCTCGCGCCTCGGCCGACGATCGGCCCGACCTCCCGACTTTCTTTCTTCCCCAAATTCGGCCTTTGCTTCGCAGCTGGATCCGCAACCACAACCCCCACCGCCCATTAATGACTGTTCACACCCAAGCATCGGTCTTGCATCGTTGATATTATTGCACTATCATTTACCTTTCATATGATTAAATGTATTATCAAGAAGACAGTCGATGTGGCCCAGCAGAGAGCCGCAGGGTCAAGTATAACGTCGACTCACATCCCGAAAACTTGATCGTCTGCCACCAAAAATGACACTAAGTACCTAAGAACCCACTACAAAGTGACGTGCACCATGATCACACCCGAGTCCCAAGCAGAAAAGAGCCATGGCGGGTCCATATAGATATGCAGTGCGAGAAAGTCCCGAGACCGTGGCCTCCAGATTCAAATTCCCAGACGAGAGTGAAAAGATCCCGGGCCAGTCCTGATCCTGATATGAGAGCTCCTAAAGCCTAAAGCGCAAGCGACCCAAACTTCTTCAGCATGCCGAGGGAGTCGATACCGCCGCCGCCACCGCTACTAGTCCCGTGAGCAAAAAGCGATGACCGCAAGACCGAGCTGAGAGAGATCATGAACCGCTGCCAGCTCTCCGCGTGTCCCTGTGCCGACTATGTAAATACATCCCGACCACAACCAAAGTCCACCAATAGAAAGAAAGGCGTGAGCATAACTCGTACCATTGAGAATTACTTACGACCAAGGGGAAGGTTGGGGGGATGGAGAGGTGGTGGAATGGTAGCGGATGAAGAGGTGGTGGAATGGTAGCGGATGAAGAAGTAGTGGAAAGGCAGTGGCAAACGCACCTGCATACGCTCATTAGCCTGCTTCCACCTCATAGCCGCCTTCCCCGCCCTCTCGAACATATCGAGCTGCGTCGCATTCTCGGGTACGGCAAGCCACTCCTTCGCGACTCTGATGATGTCGTCGGCGTAGTAGTATGACGACTCGGCGTCGACGCCGGGAGGTGGGGCCGTGGTGGTACGGATGACTTTATTCGGAGGTTAGTTGGGAGTAAAGATGAGTTGGTGCGGCTCGGATCCACGTGGGCGGAGGGTTTTTGGAAGATTTGACTTACGTTGGACAGCGGGGACTTGTGGGATTATCGCGTCGAGGTTTTCGGCGTATTGAGGGTACATAACGCCGAACATACGAGGGTTGACGAGTCTATCCACAACGCATCGCAAGTCCAATGAGCCACACTCTCAAAATTCAAGATTCAAGGTCAAAGCGAAAAAAGAAAAAGAAAACTGACCGTGTACATCGACATTCATTACACACAAACCGCATAGCCACAAAATCCGGCATAAGTCCCGACGGCTTCAGACAATACTACGCACAGCCTCACTCACTCATGAGTATTTCGTACGAACTTGAGAGGGAGGGAATGGTGAACAATATGCAAGACATACGACACACGAATCATCCCCAATGAACAGTTCCCTCCACTCCGCGCTCGAGATCCCCGCTCCCTTCGGACAAAGCGGGATTTGTGCGTATATCTGTTCGAGCTGACAATGACAACACCCTGTATCAGCCGAACGAACAGCAGTAACAACAACAGGATGGATGTCAAAAGAAACAAAAACGCACGAGAACGCGGAGGTGGTTTGCGTCAGCCTGAGGAGCCAACGGGGGTGACGGAATCCCGACGAAAGTCATCTCTGACGCAGCAGGGGAGCCTCCTCCTCCTCCTCGCCTCACGGTGGCTATGTGTGACAAAAGTTCAAGTGAAGCGGTGTTGTGTGAATGATCACAGCACGCCGACGATCAGATAGGGCGCACGCACTCCGAGTATGAGAGCCAGAGAAATAGTCGCCTGGGGACAACATGTTCTCCTTGTCGGTAGGACTAGGACTAGCGCGAGTATCGGGAGTGGGAGTAAGAGTACCAGGCGAACGCGTGGAATAGATGACAAAGTTCGATTCGGTTTCACTTTCTCTTTCTCTTGGTAGTTCGTGGCATACAGAGAGCTTAGTGCGCATAGCTATCAATGCGCCGAATACAAACGTCCATTAGTGAGTGGCCTAGGTAATGCCCTCAAGAACCAGAAAGCCAGAAAGTCAGACGTACGAGAGTAGAACGCATTTGGATTGGCGTTGCTCTTTCTCGAGAAATCTCCATTCCCGAGGCGGCGGGACATCAAGGGCGTGCGCGTAGGGTTTGACATGGGCATGGTCATAGACATTGTTCAAGTTGGCTACTCGGATAGAAGTTATGGGGAGCTGTAAAGGACAGGAATAGGATGATGATAGAATAGGATGGGTAACAGCTAGACGAAACACGGTTAGTAGACCATGTGCACTGTTATGGCTGGAGAGACATACGATAATAATGTACGGGTATCGATGCAGAACAAGAGCCTGGATAGAGGATCCACAGAAGTCGCCGCAACGAGTTGAAGTTGATCGGCGACTGGTGAGTCCGGCGTTTGCCTCGTCATTCGACTTCCGATCTGGCGCCACCGCCACTTGAAAGTCTTCAAGGTATTGCAAGAATCAAGACGCTTTCGCGAATATATAACGACTCCGAGTAACCGTGCAACATGATCATGCATTAACGAGTCGAGTCTATGAATACAGAGATCCAGAGCCTGTACTCTATAGCGCCCAAAAGTAAATTAAATTAATCAAAGCGAGAGAAAACAAGCGTGTGCAGTATGCATTATGCAAAGAGTCAAAGGTACGGAGGGAGCGTGTGGAGTCAGCTGTGATGTCGAGTGTGCATGGCGAAATCTAGATCTAAATAATTAGGATCTATGCATTGGAGCTTGAGTGCGGGGTAGTCTGGTGTGATGTGGTGGTGTGGTGGTGTGGGAGGAAGCGTGAGTCCTCGGTGTGAGGAAGAGGGGGAGGGTAGAGTCCCGTGGCTAAAATAGGGAGACTGCAGATGCTGATTGAAGATCTATAGTCTCTGCTCCGCAGGCTGCATCTTCGCAACCTTCAAGTTCTCCTCTTCCCTCGCCTGTGCCTCGAGCTACATCACATCCGACGTCAGTAAGTACATGATTGAATGGGAGGTGATAGTGAGAGCAAGGAGACGTACGATATCCTTCCACGAGTGATCCACCGGTCTATGCGCAGCCGCCTCCTTCCTCTGCGATTGTGTGAGGATACCCGCTCCGATGAGGAGACCAACTGTAAGTCCCTGTGCCCACATACGGACTTGCACGATCTTTTGCGTGGCGGTTTGGTGCCTACGAACGCAATGCAACACACACGCATTCATGAGTACAACAACACAAACATACAACAATGAGAGTTGAAAGGAGGATACATACTTATCACGAGCAATGATAGCGCCAGCAACGGCCATACTGAGTGCCCAACCACCGGCGAGAACGGAGTATTGGTTCCTGATGGTCCAATCTTTCAGTTTCTGCGAGGGCGTGAGGGTGCGCCATCGGAACTCTTCCTCTGATTTGTTGTTTTCCATCACTGCAGAGCCTGCATCCTTTCCCCTATTAACATATCATAAGAACACAAGGTTCCGCATAAGCACATCGTTCACTACAGGAATAATGAAGGCGGGAAAACGAAAACGCACCAATACCGCTCCTCATCAAACTGCACCGCCCTCCTCTCCGTCTGAATCGCATACGTCGGCCCAACAACGAGAATGACGCCGAGCGCCTTGAGCTGGATCGGCAGGCTGCGATACCACGCCGAGGTGCGTTGCAGCAGAAAAGAGCCGGGGAGGGAGATGGCGAGGCCGGCGAGGATGCCTTCGGCGGCGCCGCGGCGGGTGACCTTGTCGAGCTCGAGGAGTTCTTCTTCGGTGACGATCTTCATCTTGTTGTCTTCTTCTTTTGGTTGGGGAGACTGGAGATTAGGTTGGTTAAGATGAGTTGGATGAGAGGCTAGAACGGGTGGTCAATGTGTGGTTAAGCGAGACGGAGGGTGTTTTGGATGGATTGAAAAGTTCTGGGTGCGGTCGAGGGACCGGAGGGTAAGTGAAGAAAGGAACGGGCTGGAATCGCTCGACGGTTTTATGTATGCGACGAGCGTGAGGGGATTTGTAGATCGCGGGTCTGATCGGAGGTCTTGGGTTGTGCGAGGGAGAGCGAGTTGCTCCTCATAGTTGCGCCACACTTTGACAGCACCGACAGCGCCACAAAGGTCCCGAGTCGCGCCGGGGCGTGGTTTGCTTACGAATTGAGTGGGTTTTGGTGACCCGTGTTTCTCCGGGTGGACACGTGAGTGGCGGTCGCGGTTGCAGTTGTGTATCCGGGTTGTCGGTTCCTTGTCCCCTGTCGACTTCGCGGTCATTTCCATCCAACTTTTGTATACATTCAACCGCGAAACAGTCCTACAATGCTCGCAAGCCTCGTCACCTCCCCCACTCTCGACCTCTCCTCCCCCCTCTCCCGTCGCAAACAATCCATCATCGGCAGTCCCTCCATCTCAGCCCACGCCCGTACCTCCTCCACCTCAGCCCACGCCCGCACCTCCTCCCGCTCCGTCGACCTCGCCGCGAACCTGATCAACAACAACACCGTCGCGCGCGCGGCGGTGGCGCAGGAGTATGCGAATTTGAGGTATAGGGAGCATTGTCCGTTGGGGATGTATGTGACGCCGGCGATGGATAATTTGTTGGTTTGGGACGCGGTTTTGTTTGTCCATCGGGGTGCGTTTGCGTTCACATTCCCCTTCCCCTTTCCCTTCGTGTTATGTTTGTGCGAATGGGTGTGGGGGTGCTAAGTGAGAGGGTCGATAGGGTATTATATGGACTCGATATTGAAGTTCAGGTTGACTTTCCCGACGGATTATCCGGAACGACCGCCCATGGTGCAATTCATGACCGACGTCTTCCATCCGCTCATCTCGCAACAGGACGGGACGTTCAATCTTGCGCCTAAGTTTCGTCCGTGGAGGTGCGTTCGTCTTACGTACCTGTCCTCGCTGTGCTCTTTCGTTCTAGGAGGCTGACGGACTGGTGGGGTATCTGTCTACTGTGTAGACCGAAGGAACATCATGTTTATGATGTCTTACATGTTATCAAGGCTTCGTTCAAGAAACAAGCATTGGACGAGATCAAGGAACATGATTGTTTGAATAAAGAGGCATATAGGTATGTTCCTCCCCATACTATAGCTCTTCACTAGTCTACACTTACTCATAACCCCTTAGGCAGTAAGTTCTCTCCTCCTCTCTCCCCTCCCTCACTCAAAACTCAAAACTCAAACACAACTTACGCAGATACCACGACTCAACATCCTCCTTCTCCGGCCTCGCCACCCAATCCTCGATGCTCTCCCAGACCGCATCGGCCCTATTCGACAGCGACCATCCTTCGCTGGCGAAGAAGGGCCCGTTGCATGGGTTGCACTTCAAACAGTTGAAGGCGGATAAGTTGGATGGGTTGAGGAGACAGCTGGGGTTGAGGGATTGGAGCGCGGAGTGATTGGTGTGATGTGGGTGGACGATTCGGGTGTTGTGTTTTGGGCTTAGACGGACGCGGTTGAGATGTTAAGGTGACGAGGGATGAGTATGTACGATATTTGGGATACTACTGGACTACGGATGGACATCTCATTGGTTGTGATATATCAGTGTGTTGACGAGCATCAAACAAGACCAGACCAGCATCCAGAGTTCTATACACATCCGGTGAACTATCTCAGTTCGATGTAGCGCTTCGTAACATTTATAGAGGGACAGGTGGTGGCGGGCGTGTTCGGGTAGATGACTAGCTGAAAGCTGAAGGGGTCGGGCATTATTCGGGACGACTGGGGTTTCATAGTTTAGAGTTTAAGCCTGAACGCTTGAACGCCTAGGAATCAGGATGGAGGATTTAAACATTCAAAGCGTGGGGAGGGCAGGTGAATTGGTCCCGGCGGGGAAATTGGCGCTAGAATCCAGGGCTCCGGACAGCGGGGTAAATAAATTCGCAGGCTGCCGTCGATATCGACTCGAGATTCGAAGCTGCGTCGTTCGCCAGACTCTTTCTCTCAGACGACAACGACTCTCTCTGTGCTCGAACGTACGCTACACTGAAGCTGGGCAGGACGAGACGCTGGAAAGGACAATGGAGGCCGAACACCAACTGATCGGGGTGATGACGGAGCATGCCACCCTCGTTATTCTTAGCAGCCGCACACGGCTTGGCCTTCCCGCCACAGGCCTCTTGCTCTCTTTCTCTCATCACCTCCTTTGGGTTTCCTGCCTGCCCCACCTCCCGTCTCTCCTTCCCCCTTTTGCTAACTCTTCTTTTCAGCAGCAAGCTTTTCTCTTTCATCCTCTAACGCTTCGACAGCGTCACCCCCGACGTCGACTCCACCATGGCCGGCTATGCCCCGGTTGATCAAGACTACGGCGCCGTCGACCACAACGCCGCCGCTGCCAAACCGCCAAAGAAACCCATCAGCAACTGGATAAAATTCGGCGTACCCGTCTTTGTCCTCGTCGTCATCGCCGCCGTCCTCGGTGGCGTCCTCGGCTCGCGCGCGGCAAAACACAATAATTCGTCGACGTCGGCCAACAGCGACCAGGCGTCGAGTGCGTCCGCCAGCGCGGCGGCGAGCGCTGCTGCGAGTGCGAAAAATGAGATTGGAAGGTTCGCGACGTCGACGGAGAGTGATTACATGATGCCTGTCTATCCTTCCACCGTGCGTTCATTGCTCTCTTACTCGCATCGCATCTTTTTTTGGTACCCGGCGGGATTGGGATTAATCTTAACTTTGTTTTTGTTTTTGGGGACGCTGTTAGACGAACACCGCAGCGTTCACTACCCCTACTTTTAACCCCACCACCGACACCAAACTCGCCTGGCCCACAGATTCCTTCCAACCCTCCAACCCAAGCCCTACTTCCCTCCGCCCCGATCGTCCCCGCCTCATCGCACCCGCCTACAAATGGGCTGCTCTCCCGACCTTGATCGCGAACGACCCATACCTCAAAGGCTGGAACGACACCATCTTCGGTAATGCGACGACCTTCAACTCGCAGGATCCCGTGGCGTACTTCATGGACGGAAGCAGCGGTATTCTCGACGTCGCTCGCGATATCAAGCGAAGGATCAAGGCGTTCGCGTATGTCTACCGTATGACTAACAATACTGCATGGGTCGATCGGACGTGGACTGAGTTGCAGGTGGGTGACTGTTTTACTATTTTCGACCTTACCCTCGAATTCTTTTTATAGCACAGTTTCACCTTTCGTGTGTGGTGTATGGATTGTTATACTCACCGTGACTGCGATCTTGTATTCACGACGCTAGAACGCCGCTGGCAACGGCACGACCTCGTGGGGTCCTGACGATGATAAATGGAACTCGGCTCATTTCCTCGACACCGCGGAGTTGACCGCCTCGTTCGCCATCGCCTATGACTGGCTGTACGACGCATGGACGGACGACCAGAAGACGTCTATTCGGTTCACGATGAACCAGTACGGTCTCAGCTTCGGTGTCCTCGCCTATCAGACCGGCACGAACGGCTGGTGGTCCCAGAACGTCACCGGTAACTGGAACTGCGTCTGCAACAGCGGCCTGACCATGGGCGCGCTCGCCATCCTCGACGACGACACCACCGGTAACGCAGACACCATCCTGAGCTACACCATCGACAACGCGAAGAACAACTGTGCGCAGGCCGTTTCCGACGACGGTACCTGGGCCGAAACGGCGAACTACTGGTATTTCGGTACGACCGGACACGCCGAGATGTCTTCCTCGCTGCTGACCGCGACCGGCTCGGACTTTGACCTACTCTCCGTGAACTCGAACTTCTACAAGACCGGACTGTTCCACATGTACGTCGCCGGCGCGACCTCGCTCTTCAACTACGGCGACCACGGCCCGAACAAGTACTCCACGACGGCGAACGCGATGTTCCTCTACGCGGAACAGTTCAACCAGCCCCAGTTCTCACTCTTCCAGCGCGAGCAGTACGACGCCGCGGAGCCGAACGCGATGTTCTGGTACGATCCTACCGTCGCAGGAGCATTCTGGGACGGCACTGCGCTCGACGAGTTCTTCGATAACGGACTGGACCAGTGGGCGTCGATGCGGAGCAGCTGGACGGACGTCGACGCGCTCTATGTCGCGATGAAGGCCGGGAAACTCCAGGGCCACCAGACGCACAACGATCTCGACTGTGGAGATTTCGTGCTCGATGCGCTGGGCACGCGCTGGGCGGGCGAGCTCGGTTCGGGCGATTATTTGAGTACGGGGTATTTCTCGAGCGATGATCAGGATTCGCAGAGGTGGTTGTATTATCGGAAGAGGACGGAGGGACAGAACACGATCTTGATCGATGCGGGGAATCAGGATGTGAGTGCGGCGCCGACGGTTAAGCATGATAGCTCTGGGACGACGCAGGGGTCGAGTACGGTGTTGGACGTTGGGAGCGATTCGACGGCGTATTTCGTGGCGGATCTGACGAGTGCTTATTTCAATGTGTGAGTGAATATCTCTCTACCTCATTTTATTTTTATTTTTATTATTTTGCGAACGATTATTGATACTTTCGGTCATGGTCAACTACAGCACCTCCCTCAAACGCGGCATCCGCACCATCAACGCCCGCAAACAAGTCCTCCTCCAAGACGAAATCACCTCCTCCGCGTCCGTCATGTGGCGGATGCACACCAACGCGACGGTCTCGGTCGACAGCTCTGGGACGTCGGCGACGCTGACGATAGGCGACGAGACGCTCATCATGCAGATCTTGAACGCACCGAGCGGGGCGAAGTTCACGACGGGGGACGCGACGAGACTTTCGAGCGATCCGGCGCTGCCCGATGGGCAGGTGGATCAGCCGAATCCGGGGGTGACGGTCGTGATGATTAGTTTGGATGCGGGGACTTAGTGAGTGTTTTTTTCCTCTTGCCATTTCATTGAATTGTTGGTGCTGACGACTTGGCATGTAGTAATCTGCAGGTGCTGTTCAACCCGCAGTGGTCCGGCCTGTCTTCGAGCGATTTCGTCACGCCGCCTTCGGTCGATCTTGATTCGTGGTCTTTGACGAGCCATAACTGAGTGGATAGTCACGATGGCCACTTGGGATGTTCTCTGTATCTATAGGATTTTTTGGTGGGCGTTGTGGTTGTGACAGAGGCGCCTGTCATGTTGTAGGGTTTGAACCTACTTGATCCCGACCTCCACTCACCATTTCCCTCGACGGACTGATAACTGATACGAGATACGACGGACTAGTAGCTATGGACTTTCAGATACTCCCCCGTACCCATAATTCGTACATTGGCTTGTAATACCTACCTCCGCATCTCGCATCTTTACTTACAGGCTTAGTCCCCTTCCTGTCGTTACTCTTTACCCATGCCACGGTTTTACCTGTCACCTACCTTCTGACATTCACTTTTTACGAGTTGATACTACTTCTTTTTTGTGTTCCTTTGAATTTGTCTGTTTGTTTGTTCGACGTTTGATGTTTGTTTGGTACCTCACCCTCGTAATGTAGGATTTCCTCGATTCAGGAAGGATCTGTTTCACAGGACTGAAACTCGCTGATCTGGAGGAAACCTCAGGAAGGCACTTTTGCCACCGCCACCGCCGCTGCCCGCGTCCGCCAGAAATGAAAAGGCAGCTCACTCCGAGTCAATCTCAAAGATACTCGCCTTTTCATTTCACTTGTGAAGCTCTGCTCCACATCTTCTCCTGCCACGGCTCTAAGACGCATATACTTATGTTACATCCGTCTCAAGCAGTAGTGTTCGTGGGTAGCATACACATAGGCTGGGAAAGCTAACCACGCGTATGTCTTGTGACTTCCGCTCCCTCGCAGCTATCTCTGAGACTCTTCCCCTTTGGTGAGCGTTCTCGAAACAACTTTTCAATGTCTTCGAACACCCCTCCCTCTGGCTTTCGCAATTTTTTTGGTCGACGTCGTGGACGCGGTCCAGAACAAAACTCGATCTCTGAATCCGACCTGAGTCCTCGTCCAAACAGCTCAAGTGCTACAAGGTATGCTCTGAATAAGCACCTCGTCCGAGTCCACTCCTTCTCAACGGCCTGTTTTCAACCTAACTCATCATGTCCGTTTGACTAGCCCTGGATTGCGCGAACGATTTCTTGATACTCTCCGTGCGCAGAGCCGAAAACGATCAGCCCTTCGTACAGAGACTCGGAGTCCCACGCCTGCCAGTGAGATGGCAACGTTGACCGATGTCGATGTCGATGCCATCTTGCGTCAGTCTACGATATCCCCGGGTACGTAGAGTCTATCTGAACCAGCGATCTCTACTGATCAGCCGATCAACAGTCGATGCGGCTGATTCTATTCCTGAGGACTTTTCCTCAAAACCAACCATTGACGAGATCAAAGCAGCGCAGGCTCACTCCCGTGCCTCTCATAGAGTGGCACGCGTTTGAGAAGGCCTCGTACACCTCGCGAAAAGAATTGAACCTCTGTTGGAAGGTACACCGTTCAAGACGCCCATTGCAGTCTTCACGGCGATTGCGGATGTTGTCGAAGTACGTCTCATCATTATCCACAAAACATCTCATTGATCGAGGTCATCACCTACACAGGACATCAGGGATGTGAACGATAGTGCCGATAAAGCGTTCGAAGACCTCATACGCCGGCTTGTCGTTATAGAGCGGGCCATCGAGAAGACGGAGGATTTGGACTCTCTTTCTAGGATTGATACCTCTGTCAGGTGCCTCGATTTCTCTATGACTTCTGTGAAGCTTTCGTGTTTGACGCTGATGCACAACAGCTTTCTGATACCTAAGGCGCAAGATGTGTATGATATGCGGTACGCGGCGCTGTGGAAGAAAGCGGTCAATATCGAGCATTACAGGGAGAAAGTCAGCGAAGCAATGAAGGAGCTTGATCAAAGGTCGAAAGATCTTTTTGTACGTTATCTCTCAGCTCAGTAAGACAACCTCAAGTTTAGCATCTAACATATTGTCAGATCGATATTTCCTTGGCCATCGAACGGGACACCAAATCGATTCTAAAATCGCTTGAGGTAAGACTATCTACTTATGAGAGCTGACTCGGTACTCACTGCTATTACAGAGCATCGAACTCAAAGAGTGGCGCCGAGCGCCCGCTGCCATGTATGATTCGGACACCGCAAAGGACACGCCGAAGCGTGGGCCGTGCACAGAAGGTACACGTACAGAAGTCCTGAACCGCATCCGAGCTTGGGCTGTTGATAATTCTCCGTCAACCCCTCCCATCTTCTGGCTTAGTGGTAGGGCAGGCACGGGGAAGTCTACCGTCGCATACAGTGTTTGCCGGGCTTTTGACTCTGGCGACATTCGCCGTGGCCTGGGTGCCTCTTTCTTCTGTTCCCGCCAGGTCGACGATTTGCGACGTCTGGGGAACATCGTACCTACTCTGGCGTACCAGCTCGCGCGACATTCGTCATCGTTTGCGAGAGCTCTTCGCAGCGTTGACCACGATGCTATTCACAACTCAGATAAACATATCGGTCATCTACTAATCCATCCATGGCGCTCAACATCGAAGGATCGTCCTGACGATCTTCCTCCCACTCTCATCGTCATTGATGCTCTTGACGAGATCGACGAAGACGGCGGCCCTGAACTGCTACGATCCCTCATTAAGGCGATGGCGGATGAAGGGCCTAGCTGCATGCGTGGCCTAAAAATCCTCATAACTAGTCGTCCTCACCCTAGCATCGTCGACATGGCCCAATCGCTATCACATGACGCTATCTACCACATGGAGGACATCGAGAAGCAGAAGGGCCGAGAGGACATCATGAAGTTCCTCGTCAACAGCTTACCAGAACTTGGGACTTCATATCGAGACGCATTGGAAGGTCTTGCGGATCTCTCGAACGGCCTGTTCATTTACGCTGCCACTGTAGTTCGTTTGATATCTCGTCGTGGGCTTTCGACGATGCAAAAGGCCAAGAGGATGACTGCCATAATTCTAGAGCAAAATGCCCGTCCATTACGAGGCGAGAGCTTGCTTGTTGATAATCTATACGCAGATATCATCCGCGATTCTATCAACAGCCATGAAGACGAGACTAAGAACTTCCGACTTACTGCTCTGCATGGCATCTTATGCGCGCTTCGGCCCCTCACCATCCACGAGCTCGCAGAACTCATATCTGAAGACTCTGACGACGCCGATCCCGAGGCTGTTCGACTGCTTGTCGACGATCTCCATGCCGTCACATACATCTCCAATGACTGCATATATACATATCATAAATCGTTCTCAGACTTTTTCTTTGACGAGCGGCGCTGTGGCCAGGAGATTATCTGTGAAGCGGATGCTAGCCATCATGTCCTTGCTCGAGGGTGCTTTCGTATCATGAAACGCTCCCTCCGATTCAACATATGTAATCTCCCGTCATCGTACCTTTTCGACTCCGAGATCAAGGATCTCCATGAATCCATTACCAAAAACATAACCGGTGTAGCTGGCCTGGTATATGCATGTAGGAATTGGCCATCACACCTGATAAAAATATGTACAGCAAGTGAAGCTCTCCATTGCCTCCTGCATCAACTTCTGGCATTCAGTCAGTCAGAGAAGGTGTTGTTTTGGATCGAAGTGATGAATCTGCTTTCTGCCAAGGTAGATTGTGTCAATGGAGTGAGCGCGGTGATGGCATGGATGGCCAAATTAGTGAGTCTCTTGCTCATCACAAACGAGGTCGCTTTGCTAATCATGTCGGTACAGCAACAATGTGAAGGCAAGACTGAGCTGCAGTTGGCCCTGACGGCAGTCTCGAGGCTTATCAAGTCATTTCTACAGACTCCTGCATCGTTGTCGACACCGCATCTGTACATCTCGAGTCTAGCAGCAGAGTTTGCTTCGAATTTAGGGATACCGAGTCAGTGGAGGACATGCTTCCCTAGTCTGCCACGCCTGCGCTTCATGGGAACCAGCAACCATGGCAGTGTCCTCACACGCGTGTATGTCGGGTCTACAGTATATTCCATCGCCATCTCTGCTGATGGCCAACGCGTCGTCTCAGGCTCGTTAGACAAGTTGGTGCGTATCTGGGATGCTTTCACCGGGAAGGGGCTGCAAAAGCTGGAAGGTCACACTGACCGTGTCACCTCTGTCGTCTTCTCCATTGATGGCCGGCGCATTGTCTCGGGTTCGTACGACAATTCGGTGCGCATTTGGGATGCATCCACTGGGAGTGAGTTGAAGGAGCTGCGGGGCCATACTGGTTTTGTCACATCTGTCGCCTTCTCTCCCAACGGCCATCATGTGGCCTCAGGCTCAAATGACAAGTCAGTGCGTATCTGGGACACATTCACGGGGAAGGAGCTACATAAGCTGCAGGGCCACACTCATATTGTCAACTCAGTTGCATTTTCCACTGTCAGTGGTGGCCTGTGTGTTGTCTCAGGCTCAGATGACAGGTCAGTGCGTATCTGGGATGCATCCACTGGGGATGAGTTGCAGCAGCTGGGCCATACTGGCATTGTCACATCTGTTGCCGTCTCTGCTGATAGCCAGCATGTCGCCTCAGGCTCCGGGCCGGTGCACATCTGGGACACCTCCACCGGGAAGCTGCAGGAGATGGAGGGCCACTATGGCGGGGTTAACTCTGTCGCCTTCTCCGTTGATGGCCAGTTTGTCACCGCGGGCTCAAGTGACGCGTCGGTGCGTATCTGGGACGTGCCCACCGGGAGGGAGCTGCAGAAGATGGAGGGTCACTTTAACAAGGTCACCTCCGTCGCCTTCTCTGCAGACGGCCAGCGTATTGTCTCGGGTTCGTATGACAACTCGGTGCACATTTGGGATGCATCCAGCGGGGAGGAGGTTCAGAGGCTAGAGGGTTACGATCAACTTGTGAACACCACCACATTATCTGCTAATAGACAACGTATCGTCTTGGGCTCAACTCACCCGATGTGCCTCTATGACGTGTCAACCGGAAGTCAGCTGCATGAGCAACTAGTAGACCGCAGTGGCTGGGTCATCTCCATCGCCTTCACTGCTGACGGCCAGCGTGTGGTGTCGAGCGTGAGCGATGGTTCGGTGCGCGTCTGGGACACGTCTACCAGAATGGGCAATTATGAGACCGAGGGGGAACCAGATTTTGAAGGTTGGCTTATATTTAAAAGACCCAACCATCTTATTTGGCTTCCAGTACATCTACATCCCGGCCTTTGCAACGTAAATACACGCCTCATATCTTGTATACGTCATACCACGGTTGATTTTGCACCTGCTTGTCTGGGGTCTGACTGGACGAAGTGCTATATCGGGTCAGAGAGGTGAAGTCTAGCTACAGGGTATACATGTGTAGAGTCGTAGAGTAGAGACACCGCTAAGTGCTTACACCCCATCTACATTTCTTTTCGTGCTTATAGGATTTTCTTTCTTGTCTTTTCATACTTCGCATGCTTCCGGATACTCGAGAGGAAGTGTTTGCCGTGTAGATATATCTTTCGACCTATGCGAGAGTACAACTGTATCCTTTCAAGATACTGAGGCGATTTGTATGGGAACGGCCCAACGTAACGCGTAACGCGCCCTCCGTTCCATTGCCAGAACAGCGTTACGTAACAAGGGCTCCGTTGCTACGAAAAAGGCATTATTTAATGATTTTTTGGGGCGGCTACGGCGCCACACCACCTGGGGTGCAATCGTAACGCACCATCCAGAGGCCGTTGCTATACTCCGGACCGTAACGCTTGACCTCGTCGTTGCTCCCATACAAATTGCTTCAGTATGCAGATACTAACTTGGCCGCACTGATCCTTCTTCGCCGTTCAAAGTCCGCTCGCCACAACAGTGTCACTGTGGCATATTAGAACACCATAATTCATGAACCGCAAATGTGGCGCGTTCGTTGTACACAGTGCCGAGTGCGAACACTGAAGAGAGCGGTGTAGGCAAGTTAAAGAGCACGAAGGTTTCATATTAACATACTTCAACGTTTAATGTTCAACGCCGATCAGCCTCGTTCGATGGCAGCACGAACGAAGGACATAAACAAATGCCACGTACGAGCTCTATAGAGCAGAAAAAACAATGGTACGATCGCCAGCCTTGCTCTACGCGAGTGTGAAGAGAGTGGCTTAGGGAAGTCCACGAGCCCGGGTTATGGTTATCAAGAGCACAGACACGCCGTTAGAGCGAAAGCTAAACCAAACCGTGCTCCCGTCGCAGAGACGTCAAACTCAAAGATAGAAGCAGAAGATCCGATACGATACACAACGAGGATGATCAAACGAACGCAACAGTCATCTTCCAGCCCTTTTTCAGCGTAAACCCGTCCAGAGCCTCTTTTGCGACGGAGGCGAGCTCGGGTGTATCGAACACGACCTGGGCCATCTTGCCCTTTTGGCCCGCGGCGTTTGCTGTCGCTGTCGGTGCTGGGGCGACCTGCGTGGACTGGAATCCTTGGTATCTACGCCACCACATATAATTAACATGTCAGCTGGGTGAAGTTGTGGAAGGATTAGGATACGCACTGTTGGAATAGCACGGACAACACGCTATCCGTGACTTCGCCGGGAAGGTTCGTACACAGTAACCGCGCTGAGGATCGTCCTGCCGTTTGCGGGACTAAGAGCGCACATTGAAATCAGAACAGATCAGCCAGAGCGTAACTTATCGCAGACATGCTTATTGAGGTATAGTAATATGATACATGACGTACTAGTCGTAGCCGCCCCAGTCGCCGCCTGCTCTCCTCCTTGTTGCGCCGGCGGACCATCTTCGTCGTCGTCTATCTCCATCTCCTCATCATCGCTTTCCTCCTCCGCTGCCGCCGCTTTCTTCTGCTTCTGTGCGCGTCCGTCCTCCATGTCCTCGTCTTCGCGGGTCCGCTTTTGGACGGACGAGCCGGCGCCACCGATGGGTTTGACTTGTGAGTCTGTGAGGGGACGGCCGTGGGCTGCGGTGGGAGGAACGAAGTTGGGGTCTTCGCGACGCATGGTCGCATACGACTTTGTTTTTGCGTATTGAACGCGCTGAGAGTCATGGATGTGATACGAGGGGTGGCACGGTAGGTATTAGTCAGTCTGGGTTCGCGTACGAAATAACGAGAGCAGAAAAGTGAGACGCACGAGGGGCTTGTCGTAGAATAGCATGCCGTCCGTCGCGCGGAGGGCAGATGTGGCCGCTGCGAGGTCGGTGAAGACGAGGAAGGCCTGACCCCTCATCTTTTGCGTCTTGGTTGCGACGACATCGATGACCTTGCCGTATGTGGTGAATAGCGCGAAGAGCTGGCCACGCAGCTCTTCCTTCTGGATCTGGTCGTTGAGGTTGTTTAGGTAGAGCGTTGTGTTGGGCTGTGTGACGGTGGAGGAGGAGGCCATGGTCGTGGACGGTGAAGAGCACGTTCGTGCGGTGGTCGTAAAGTGGCCACCGTTGAATGTGGGACAATATTCCGTGTTTTGGACGGCGCGTTTACCGAGAAATCGGATGAATATTATTTGGCCTCGTTCCAACATTTCCGAATCGCACGAGCGTCGCCTCGTCGCTCATCCTTAAAACACCGTCGGCCAGTGTCTCGACACACCTGGCCATCCCCTTGCTTCTTCCCGCTCTCTGTTCATGACCTGCCTTTCGACACGTTTCCCCACAATATTTTGCTAAACGAGCTCCTCATCCCCAACCATGGACTACTTCCTCGACAAGGAGCGCATGCCCTCCTTGCTCGCTCCCTTCTTCACCCTCTCCTACCCAGTCGCTACCCCAAACGACCCAGACTGCTTCCCCAACGCGACGTTCTACGATATCGGCTACGCCGACATCTGCTTCGTCGTCTCCCTCATCGCCCTCCTCGCCGTCCTTCGCGACGGCTCGCGTCTCCTCGTGCTCGAACCCTTCGCCAACTGGAAGCTGACACGAGACTGGAGACGTCGAAACGAAAACCCGAAACCATTCGCGAACGGCAAGTCGAACGGACATGCTGCCAGCGCAAACGGTTCGGCCAAGTCCCTCGAGCAGAACGGTGTAGGTGAACGCTTGCAGCTCCGTACAGATTCACCAGAGGGACGCCATATACACCGGAGCACGCTTCGCTTTGCAGAGCAAGGCTGGCTGACTGTCTACTATTGTTTCTCCTGGTCTATGGGGCTCGTACGTGGCAGTTTTTCTTTTTCGCTTTCGTTCATGCTGTTAGACTGACGTTGAATGTTTGCAGTACGTTAACATGAACCTTCCCTCCGACTTTTGGTCCGGCTACCCCCACATACCCCTTCCAGGCCCAGTAAAACTCTACTATATGATGCAGACCGCATTTTACTTTCATTTGCTTCTCGTCATCAACGCGGAGGCTCCACGGAAAGACCACTGGCAGATGATGACCCACCACGTTATCTCCTGTGCGCTCATCATCGCCAGTTACGCGTACAACTTCACTCGCGTCGGCTGTCTGATCATGGTCCTCATGGACTGGTGCGACATCGTCCTCCCCGTAGGTCTCCGTCTCCGTCTCTTCACCTTCCTTCCCACTCCCACTCCTACGACCGTGAAACCCGCAAGCTGACCTCAATCATGATCTTATTTTTTGTTTTGAATCATATCAGCTCGCCAAAATGCTCCGATATCTCTCCCTCCAAGTCGCATGCGACATCACGTTCGGAATCTTCCTCATCTCCTGGGTGGCAACCCGCCACATCCTCTTCATCAAAGTCATCATCTCCGCCTACTCCGACGCGCCCCGTCTCATCCCCTTTGACTGGATTCCGGAACGCGGGTATTACCTCACGCACGACGTCTATGTCATCTTCGTCTCGCTGCTCGTTTCTCTCGAGGTACGTGCCACACCACACCCACGACTTACTTCGAATGTCAAATAGAAAATAGGGTCGTTTTAACTGATTGATACACCTTCGCGTCGGTCCTGCTGTTAGATCATTCAAAGTATCTGGTCCTACCGTATTTTCGCTATCGCATGGCGCGTGGTCATGGGTTATGGAGCGGACGACGATCGTTCAGACGAAGACGAGTAAGTCACTTCTTCATATATCCCTCCACCGACATGCCCGAACAACCCTCCATATGCTGCTCTCTAAGCCTCCAGTCAAGTCAACTGACAACCAAATTTTCTTTCTCAGCGTCGAAAACGTGAAAAAGGACCGATAGAGTGCCAGTGCCAGTGCATCGGTCGATGACGCTGAGAACGGAGTGCGGGGCATGTTAGTAGGGGTTGCGTGGGTGGTCGGGTGCGTGGCAGGGTCCGGGGAATTTCTTTCAACGGTCAAATTACATAGTTCTTTTCAATACTTCCGCTCGCTCAAACCGTAGCGCGTCCGCTCGTTCGTTTGTCTACGAAAACCACGAACCTACGAACACCGAACCTTCCTGCCTGTGGTCGTCATACCCCATCTTGTAGATCCACGACTCACATTTGACAGTGCCTTGCTTTGCTTCCAAAACCGAACCGAACCCCTTCGAAGTACGCTACCTAGGTCTTATTCCTCCCTCCCTCCCTCTTGCCTCCTTTCGCTCTCTTGTCATCGCCATTGTACAGCCGTCTTTTTTTTCTTAGTCTAGTTTCGGATCGATAGAGGCCAGCCAGCAGCCGTTACGCGTAATGTCGACGTTTTGGGTTGAGATGTATATACAGACATACATCGACGAGCCTCTCTTTTGGATTTTTTTTTTGCGGTTAACTGTTACAGTGCTCCCTTGAATCACGCTCGTGACACTGGCAGTAACAACGGATCCCAAGCTAGTGGATGCGATTGTTCAATCCCAAATCGCAACGATCAAAGCCGTGTAAAGTGTACTACCATCCCGGGAAAGATTGAGGAAAGAAAAGAGACCTCGACGTCGTACACTTCACTCTATCAATCGAAAGTGATCTTCTTCCCCAGACTGGGCACGATCGCCGCCTGCTCCCTCTGCGCCGCCGCCAACGCAGCCCCAGGCTTCGTACGCGGCTTTCCCTTCCTGTCTAGCCTCACGCGTTCTTCCTTGCGTTTGGGTGGGCTTTCCTCACCTCCAACACCAGCACCAACAGCGGCATCACCATCACCCGTCCCATCTTCCATAACCGAGTCTCCACCAGCATCAGCATCGGTGACTGAAGTTCTCGGTCCGCGTCGCTGGTCACGGTCACCGCGAGCGTCGTCCCTCCCATTTTCTCTGTTATACTTGCTCCGCTCAGGTCGTGGGCCCGGTCCACCGCCACGTCGTACAGCGTCCGCGGAGGCATATTCGACTTTGAGCTTTCGGCCGTCCATGTGGTGGTTCCGTGGATTGGTGAGAGCGGTGGTGGCGTGCTCTATGCTCGTGAAATCGACGAAGGCCCATCTGCGAGAGCGGCATTAAAAAGAAAAGTTAGCGCTGGATGTATCCACCAGAAGTAGGCGGAGAGCTTTAGAAAAAAGAGACTGACCCCTTGCAGAGACCACTATCCTCGAATGTCCCCATCCGTACCTTGCGTATCCACGCGTCCTTCTTCTCTTTCTCTGCACCACCTTCCACTGCCCCAGCCTCGGCAGTTCCATCCGCCCCTGTCCCTGTGCCCGTCTTTGTCCCAGTCTCCGCCTCGGGTTTAGTTTTCCTATGAGCTTCCAGGAACCCACGTAAGGACTCTTGCGTAGTCTCGAAACCCAGGTTTCCAAAGAAAAGAGTAGGAGCAGGAGGCTGCGTCTGCACGGCCAATATTTTTTGTGCTACTTTGGAATGGGAGGAGTTGTCGTTTTCGGTGGTGCTGGTTGCGGCGGGGGCGGCAGGTCGGCCGGTGAAGTCGTCGCCTACACGAGAGGATGCAGATGAGATGTCTGCGGCGAGGAGGAAAGAGGTAAAGAATGAGATGTGACGTACCGTCTTTGATGAGCAGTTTTCGACCGTCGAGATGGCCTTCGCTCATGAGGATAGCGTTCTTCTTCGCCTCCTCCGTCGTAAAATCGACATATGCGAACCTACATTCATTCGATAGCAAACATCAGTACCAATATACATCATACCACAGGCAATTTTTTTCTTGAGAAAAACCAGAAAGAGAAAACCACACACCCTCGGTTCTCCTTCATCCCAAACTTCCCCTTCTGCGGCCCCACAGCCTTCACCGGCATATGCACCCTCGTAACTTCCCCAGCGCCCCCAAAAAACCGCTTCAAGGCATCCTCAGTCGTCTTGAACGACAGATTGCCCACCCATACCGAATTTTGACGCTTTGGGGGTCCCTCCTTGTCGGCGGTTTTCTGCTTCTTTGCGGGCGTCGCGGTGGTGGTTGTGGGTTTGGAGGGGGAGGAGGGGGAGGGAGGAGCAGCGGAAGAAGGGTCAATTTTCAGCTGTTTCTTTTGTTTGCGTTTGGCAGCATGGGAGAGCACGGGCTCTTCGTCTTCATCTTCGTTTGCCTCGGCCTCATCGTCGTCGGCTTGAGATTCACCGTCAGAGTCAGAGTCGGAATCGGAGTCGGCTTCAGGGCTAGGTTTAGATCGTTTGCGTTTCAGTTGTGGTTTTGAGCTTGGGGGAGGTGGAGAGGAGGATGCGGAAGAGGAGGATGAGGACGAGGAGGCGGAGGAGGAAGAGGAAGCCATGGGTATTTCCAATTTCCCAACTTTTTGGAAAGATCGAGGATACAGTTCAGGTTAGATAAGATAAGATCTGAGATCTTATCTTATCCTTCCTTGCGAGATGACGCAAAGACCGTGATAATGATTCTGTAAGATATAGAGCTTTTTGCTTTGATTTGCTCGTATGTTCGATACATCATGCAACGATGATGAGGGAGCATGCCTCAAGATCAAATCAGCATTTGGCCTCCTCTCCGCGCTCCTACAAGCAAAAGGGTGGTAGCATATATGGGGGAGTTGTAATAGTGGTTTGGCGACAGCGATCGTCCTTTTCAAGTTTGGGCTCAAAGTCAGGTATGTACTGAACTACTAAAAGACCTTCGTCTTGAAAACAAACAATGATTTTGTGCCAGTGAGAATATGTAGGTACAAGGATGTCCTTGGGCGATGAATGGCGGACATGGTATACATACACACAGAATAACTTCTACGTTACATGACGGGTGGGAAACCCAACGTACACACGACAAGGCCAGTTGTAGACGCAAGTTAACGCAGCAGCGACGACCAAGAACTCTGCTGGATAACAGGGTCGGGTGCAGACTGACCGGACAGCCTGTGGCTCTGACCGAGGGCGACCTGCACGATAGTCAGGATGCAGTCGATCTCGTCCGGTCTTGGGAAGGGGCATTCGGGAGAGGTCAGCTTGTTTATCATGGAGAATTTCCCTTCGTGAATCAACTACATAAAATGTCAGAGACCGCTCAAGAAAGGACAACGACTATAGTGACTTACGATCTCAAGTATGGAGCGGTAGGCACTGTTGAGTGACCCGACGACCCAAGCATGATGAACGCTGGTAGCTTCACCGGCGAAGTGGAACATGCCCAGAATGGGTTGGGTGACCTGTTGGTGCATGCTGGAGAACTGGCCCGGACCGAAGAGAGCGAAGGCACCTAGATCACGCCAACATCAGCTGTTGTTGCTACACTGGGGGGTAGGAAAGAACGAACCATTGGAATATTCGTCGCCATACCAGTCGACAATCTTGTAATCGACGTGATCAAGGACGCTCAAATCCTTGATGCCATGCATGTCGGCGAGGTCGCGTTTGATGCATTCAAGGAGCGCCAGCTCGCTCGAGGTGTCATGGCCCTTGGCGTACGCGCCGATGCGAAGGGCGTCCTGTGCCCAGGTGTAGCTCACAATCATCGTCGCGTCCTCCGAGCCAATACCATACGAAGGGTATACGACCATCCGCGTCGGCCGGTCGGTCGTCGAGGCACCGCCGACCTGAGGGTGGGGGAGTTTCTCCCACCACCTTGTTTTGAATTTTACGGCGACTTTGACAGCAGAGTCGTAATGGAGCGTCCTGAGCGCCGTTTGTAGGTCCCAGGGGAATTCGAGGGCAGACGTATCGACCATGCGAAGACAGCCAAAGGGCAGCGTGGAGATGACGTGCTCGTATTGGGAATCGACCAGGCCGTTTTCGGAGGTGGTCGTGACATTGAGTGCGATTGGAGTTGTGGACTCGGGCTCGAAGACGGGAGCAACTGCGGTGACGCGGCGGCCTCGATAGACGGGTTGAGTTAGACGGTCGATGATGGAATTCACAATTACTTCTCCGCCTCCCCTGTGACTCGGGTTAGCGACTTCACAGAACAGCGTAGGAGAGAAACTTACTGAACGGTGAACCACTCGGGTGTTGGCTGGTAGTCGAAGTCCATTGCGTCCATTATCATCTCCGATAGCGCACAGTTGAAAAGGCCTGGATTGGGGATGATTATTTGAAAGTTGACCGTTTGGAAGATAACTTACCAGAGGACGAAGTGAACGTCTCGAGATAATTGATGAGCTTTTCAAAAAAGTTCGTGTCAGAAGCGCTCTGTTAGTAGTGAACATAACTGCAGTCTACATACCGGCTCTGTATATGCCTCTTGAGAATCATCTGCAGCCGAGGCGAGCCAGTCCCTCATTGACCACTGATCGACCGACATCAGCACCTCCCACCCACTTTGAAAATCCTCAGTGAGCATGTCCTTGAACGGGTTGAGCTTCTTGCCGACGAGGTTATCGACCGTGTCGGTCAGGCCGCAGACCTTAGTGCCGAACGGATCTAAGTCACCTCGAGCGTCCGCAGCCTCGAGGCGTGCGGAGAGGATGGCTGTGTTGTTGAAGTGGCAGATGTTGTTACCGCGCAAGTCCCTGAGGTAGTAAGGTATAAGCGTTTTAGGGTCGTCGAGGTTGAGATATTTGAAGAGGGCGAAGGTAGGCTTCATCCATGGAATTTTTGGGTAGCGCATCGCTCCTGCATCCTGAAGAGCGATGTTAGGGCGTTAGAGTTAACGACATTGACCACTGAGTCACTCACAAAGTAGTCATTGGGCGAGTCGCTGAATCGATGCGTGTACAGACGTCCGCCTATACGGTCTGGGTTTGCTTCTAAAATGTCGTAGGCGATCCCACTCTCAGGTCCAAGGTAGTCGATGAGAAGGGCGGCATAGAGTCCAGCAATACCCCCGCCAAGAATGCCAACACGGATTGGTTCACCGTTATTTTCGCGCAAAGGAGGAGGACGGAGAGGGGGGAGCCCTGTTTTCGACTTAGCCAGTCGAAGTTGATACTCAAGAATCACGTTCTGAGCATGCTGAGCACGTATGGAGGGCATTATGAGGATGTGGTCACACAGTGTTGGTCAAGAATGCGTGTCTTAAACGATTTCGAATAAATCCAGATTCTGATTGCGTCGCGCAAACGTACTCTCTGCATAAGTCTTGCATTAAAACAGACGCAATTCGCGTTATGAGATCCCTAGGTCCGATAGGCACCGGAGGGCAGGATGTATGTATCACTGCTAATGCAGTGTACTCACTCGTGCTTTCCTCGATTCCTTTGCGCGCAAAGCATAACTTACGAAAGTCTTGTTCTGAGCACGAATGGTGTGCAGTCATGCGAAGCAGGGGACCTTCGAAGCATTCCCAAAGCTGATAGCCGATGGTTTCCAGTGATAGACATTCGCCAGAGCATGCTAGACCGTCAGACATCCTTGATAGGATCAGTAGGAACCTCTTGGGATGCTCGTGAGCATGCGGGGTAAACCGAATGCAAGACCAGATGCCGCACCTTTAGGGCCAAGAAGGGGTTGAATATGGGCGGAAACCTTTTCACGAGGATGCGGAAAAGCATGTACAGCCTTTGAATCCAGATTGAGGGTCAAGGGGCCACAACCTGACCTCGTTCTAATGACCATATAGCGACCATTAATCTCGAGTGTGAATCATTCCATGCGGACTGAGTTTGCGTTGGGTGGGCGAACCATCTCCTGTATCTCCGAGGATCATGAGCGAAACTCTGAGTCGGATCATGAAACTGAGCGGAAAAACTTGGGAAAAACCAAGGTGTGAAATCCGAGAGTGACCGCAGCGACAAATCTTGAGGTGGTTATGCATTCTGTATGTTTTCAGTGAGAAATAACTGAGGAATGACTGAAAAGACAAAGTACTCCACGAATATGCCCATGACCCACATGAACTACTGGACACAAGACAAAAGAGCTCGGAGTCGAGCACACGCCGACGAAGGTTCGCTTGAGAAGGGTTCCTGAGGTCAGACATTCTGAAGAGAAGTTGCTGCGAGTGTTGAGGTCGTCAGGGGCTTTTGGACCAGATGCCAGTAAGGTAGGGTAAATGAAGAGCGAAAAACAAGCGCAAAATGGTCCTGGTAATATAAGGAACATCCGGGAGGAGTCTGAAGTTTGTAAGTTTAGCAAGAGCGTCTGCACGAGAGAAAAATGACCTGCACGATCCTTTGAATGGGGGATTGGCATGCAGGATTGGGCGAGCCAAGATGAGCTGTAGGGACGAATGGAGTTAGGAAGGAAGGAAGGCGCCGAACTATTATTACAACCCGCGGGATTGTCCGGGACTACGATCATTCATGTCTGAAACCCGGTTGTATACCAGCCTACTACTAGTAGTGACAGAGAGTAGTGGCGGCTAGCGCGAGGATTGTGCAAATTATATCCGTGCTGAGGCCTGAGGAATGTAGTATATCTCGAACCCACGAATTATCGAATACCAATACTATCCTTGCCAAGTGTCTTGAGCAAGTGGCATTGTAGCATGCCCGCCGGAGCCTCGATGATTTCTTGGGTTGTGTACACTCAGGTTTACACGGGATCGCACGCAATTCCTCGACGTCACACGCAATGCTGCGTGTTCCGTCGGTACATAACTTAGTACGTCCACGGGCTAACGATTATATGACGTGTTTGCAGAACAAAAATGAAATCTGTGTCTTCAAGTGTGCTCGGCTTCCGACCGTAGTGTCTGGTGCAATCCTACAATATCCCACGCAGTCCTTCGTGGCCTTTTCGGATTCTGCATGAGTATATCCACGGGCTCCTATGGTCGTGCGGGGAAGACCCACGCAGTCCCATGATATTGCAACCCTGCGCGTTCCTCTCGTTTGCCCACGCCCTCGATCTCATTTTGTTGCACAAAGAAATCATTAGACAACTCTTGTGTGAAAGCAAATGTTTCGAAGGACTCCAAAATGAGCCATTATTCTTTTATGTAAAGAGTTGTAAGTTTTCTTTGGTCATTTGGGGCTCCTTCCCTGTCTTCCTTTTCTGAGTGCCAACTTCTCAGTCCATGGAGCATACTACGCTCAGGGTCGCTTGCCGCGGAATTTCCAGCCTGCTGGCATAGGCATTCAGCTCTGCTTATGCACGACGGTGCTTGCAAAGCGGCTCTTCGCGCGAATCTTTGGACCAAAGAACATCAAGACCTGGGGGATGCAGTACTATTAGTCACAAGAGCAGACGGTGAAAACAGGTGAAAAACAAGACATGCATATGGTATAGGGATCATCACAACCGCTATGAACCCAAACAGGCTCGAAGCCCAGTGGTAGCCAAGGTGGTTGTACATCGGCGTCGTAAAGAGTGGAAAAGCGGTTCCCATGAGGTTTCCTGCGAGCATCAATCAGTACAGGGCAGATAAACAAGGTCTGTAGTCAACGCACGAAGGAGGGACTGCCCGGCGAGAGCAGATGAGGCGTAAATACCATAGCAATCCGCAAGATATGTGAAGACCTTCAGAATCGCAAGCATACCAGATCAGATGAACATATGTCCAAAAGGGGGACGAGGAGAGGAAAGCCTACGGCGAGGTACATGATGAACGTTGCCCACATGAACAGCTATGGTGCAGGTATCAGTGGCGCTTTCCCTTCATGTCAACACACGACTAGAGGTGGCTCACCGTGACACCGATGATGGGTACGATCCAGTGGATATCAACTTGCGAGCACCACGCATAGATAAACATGCCCGCGGGAAACATGGCCGCCGCGGCGCAGGCGGCATACAGTCGAGCTTCAGGGCCGCGAAAGGGGAAATACTTTCTGTTCAAAGTGAGAACCCCGAGCCATCAGACCAAGAATTCGGATGACATGGAAGAGCAGAAGTTATACCGGTAGAGAGACTCTTGGTAGAAGTTGGTCACAAAGCCGAGCAGCGCACCAACGCTAACCCCAAGTTAATCTTTCAGCTTAATGAACTATGAAGGTGAAGATAAAATGAAGATAAGTAGAGGAGAGGACTGAAAGTACGTACGTCATACCACTGAAGGTTAGGCCTACTTGGCCCTGATTGAAGCCGTACAGGCTCTGGAAGACGGGCAGGATCGACCTAGTCAAGCGTATGTGAGACTCGATGTAAATGAAAATGCCAACGAGACGACAGCGTACTCGAACATGCTGTACATGATGCCCCATGCGAAGGCAATCCAAACGCTGAAAACGATCACCGTCGGCTCCGTGGTGAGGAGGACTGTGATAACAGTAAGCGAGTGGATACATCCAAGGACCAGAGAGCACCGTAGACATACTGATTGGTCGCGTTGAGCTGACCCATAGCAGCCTTTTCATCGACCCACGCTCGACCTCGGCCTTGGCGCGATACCGCAGGTCGCCTGTCTCGGCGCGGAGCTTCTTAGCTTTGCGGGTGAGCATGATGCCTGTGCGCGTCTCTTTGCAGACGGTGAAAGTGAGGACTATGCAAAGACCCCCAGCCCTACAGCCAAGTGTATCAGTAATAATCGAAGCATGGGCGAGAGCGAGAGCAAGGGCGAGAGGTTTACATGGTATGGAACCACTGGATCCACCTCCAGCCCATCGACATCTCAATCCAACCTGCAATAATCGGGCCTGTCCCGGTTCCAGCGACGGCGAAGAGAGAGTAAATCGCCATAGGCAGCCCGCGTCTGTGATATGTTGGGTCAGCCATAGCCTTAGAAGATGAGGGGAAGGGACGCACTCTGCTGGCTGCCATATATCTGCGACGGTACCACCCACCATCGTCGCACCCGTCGAGCCAAAAGCGCCGGAGATGAAGCGTGCGGCAATCACAGTCTGGATATTTTTCGCGCTCGCCTGGACGACGTACATGGCGGTAAAGACGATGGTACAGACAACATAGAGCGGTCTGCGGCCGAACTCTTCAGAAAAGGCAGATGTGAGGAGCGGGACGAGCGCGAAGCCGAGACAGAACATGGAGATGCCGAGGGCAGCTTGCTCTTGGCTGCACCCGAGGTCGCGCATCATCGAGGGAAAGCCCATCGAGTACGCCGAGGCGGTTGCGCCTGCCGTCGGAGGATGAGTGAGTATGCGTGGTGTAGAGGTGAAGTGATGGACTTACCGGTCAGGGCGGTGAAATACGACGCGACAAAGGTAACGAGCCATTTGCGTCGGCGCGACCAGTTCGCGGGGTTGCGCATGTCGCCCGGCTCAAAGTCGACATAGATGACATTCAATGGTTTCCCTTTCTCTGCATCCAGGAGAGTCGGTGACGTGCGCCCGCTATTGGACCTAATATTCTCGCTGATTGGTAGAACAGAGAGCCAGGATGCACCGTTCTGCTCGACATCTTTGAGTGGCTTCTGAAAGTCGACGGGGCTGACTTTCCCGGTGTCCGCGAGGTCTTGTGTGCGCTGCGGAGAAGGAGAGGCTATTGATGATGTCATCGGGAACTGTGTTGGACATGAGTGAGTACGATCCCTCCCAAAAAGATTTAAACCCACTGGAGGTTGTCGAGGTTAAGCCTGAAGCTCTATCGTCGAACCGTAGTTTGGAGGCTGGGAAAAATCTGAAGTCAATCATCCAGAGCCGTGAGCCGTCCGATATTACATACATAGAAGAACTTGATCAATGGAAGAAAGGAAGGTTTACTACTATCGACAACTGCTGTTTTACGGCAGAGACTTCTCAGAGGCAGAACACACCACCAACGATACACCCAGTATGTAGTGCTCTGAGCCTTGTGAGTCCTTTTACGCTCATAGCGGCATGCTCTGGCGAATATCTTCGCAAGAACACTCGGCTATCACCCTCATAGGTGATTCGAAGGTGCCCCGTATCCCATGATGAGCGAGACTATCGTATGCTTTGCGTACAAAGGGCACGCTCGAGCACTAACACAACGATTGTCTTGTGTGAGGTCTGCTTCGAAAACTAAGAGTAGTACGGAGTGCCTGGTGACTAGCCACGTACCTAGAAATGATCCGGAAAGAACATGGGCGTTGATTTCTACTAGTAGGAACTTCGGTCAGTCTCACGATGGCACCATGTGCGAAATGAGGTGGACGAGTTCCCATGGCCGTTTAGGACGCCAGATAGATCATGTCGTACATGGTCAAGTTTGACTGATCTGCGTCGGGTCCTCCGTTCTGTTGTATGAGTCGAAAGCGGGGGTCGAATACATTTTTCCAGCCCAAAATGGTGTCCTAGACCAGATGTTTCGGACTCCGAACTTGTCCCCGCGTTCACCTACGTTCACACAGGCTCACGCACCTCTACCGCATCCATCTACCTTGTGATACGCAACGTCAATGAGTATTGTAATTTGGACTCCGCGCTAGTGTCTAGTCATCTATTACAGGAGCCTGAGCATAACCCAGATATTTCGGACTCCGAATGCATACTACTTGGCACGCCAACTCACCTCTGCCGCATCCCTGGGCTCTGCGCAACGCTGATGAATACTTCCCCAGTTTCGCACGACGGTCTATATGTTGTTGCCAAACCAGATACCTATCGGGAATGAAGCTCCACACCAGCATACGGACTCATCCCCAAATCCCGCGGGAAGCTATAAAGTAGTGATGCTCATCAGGCTGTCCTTGCCGCCCTATCTACTAGTGACTCTGGTCCACTTTACGCCCGGCTGAGTAGCATTTCACCCAACCCGGGGACAACGTTTCGAACGTGAAAACAACACTCAGTAATAGATCGATTTCTTCAGCATCGACCATTCTCTATGATCAGCGAAGCCAACGTCTCCAACCCCCTCGCCTTGTATACTGATTGGCTTGGCCTCCACTCGCCGACGACCAACTCTTCCATTCTACATGGCCTCGTCACCTACACTCAAATATACGGGCTCACCTTTGCCTTGATTACTGCTTACGGCCTGTATTCTGCCTGGCGCCGGCAGGCGATCAAGTGCCTTGTTCCCCTTCCTGGCCCCGAGCCGAAGTCGTTCATGCTCGGTGAGACCCCTCTTGGTATCCTGCACATAGCAAGCTGACCTTCTACTCTTCAGGAAACGCCGAGGACCTCTATTCAGGCCCTAACGGTCTTCACTACCACCACGAACTCTCCAAAACATATGGCAAGGCCTTCAAAGTCAACATGATTGCTGGGGTGAATCTATGAACCGTACCCTTATCCCAAAAAAACAAGCTTACCTTCTGCCCAATTCACAGGAGGAGCAAATTTACCTCTCCGACACCCGTGCGCTGCACCACGTCCTTGTCCGCGACACCCACGTCTTCGATGAGACACCTGCTATGATGTCGTATGTCCTGTCATTGATTAACTCTACCGATGCTAACCGTTCTGCCGCAGCGAATTTTACTACTGTTTCGGCCCGGGCCTCATCTCGGTACACGGGAATACACACAAAAAGTATGTCTCCTTCATCCTCATTCTGCTATAGAACATGTACGGTACTACGCCCCCCTTTAGCGGAGTGTCTTCCTCTCTCGACGACCTTCATACACCCTCCTATACGTTCTAACGAATCATCTCAACTCAGGCAGCGCAAGATGATCAACCCTCTCTTCGGTGTGTCTCACATGCGCGAGCTCACCCCCACCTTCTGGAAAATTGCCTACCAAGTGCGGGACGTCTTCCAAGCCAAGATACTCGAAGCGCAGCCCACTTTACCTTCCGACGCAGAGATGGCCTCTCAGAAAATGTCGACAATCCTCGACCTCTGGAAATGGTCCTCTCGTTCGGCCCTCGAGGGCGTTGGAGTCGGTGCGCTCGGCTATTCATTCGATGCACTGGACGACTCGACAGAGGACAACGACTACATGGTCGCTGCACGTGAGCTCCCGTACGTCTTCCCTGGTTTTGCCATGTCCTCTTTCAACTGCCACTGACAATCCCCGGTGCTCGACAGCTACACTGTCTACCCGCTCCGCAAATTCATGCCAATCTGCGTCTGGTGTATGAAGAACCTGCCTGTCTGGCTCCAACGCTTTCTCGCGCGCATCACCCCTGTTCCGCGCGTGCAGAAGGTTCGCAAGATCGTTGAGACCCTCCAGAGAAACAGCGAGGCGCTCTACGAAAAGAAAAGGCAGGCTCTGCTCAAGGGTGACGCTGAGGAGGAGGCACAGGTGGGCTCGGGAAAGGACGTCATGAGCATCCTGAGTACATCTTGTCCCTGTCTTTTTCGCTAATGTGTGGCTGACCTGTGGGTTTGATTCCATCAGTGCGTGCCAACTTATCAGCTATTGCCAATGAGAAGGATTATCTGCCCGATGAAGAGGTGATGGGTCAGATGAACACGCTCATCTCGGCCGCACACGATACGACCGCTTCTGCCATCGCTCGCATGTTACACTCCCTTGCGCAAGACCTCCCACGTCAGCGTCGTCTCCGCGAAGAGTTAAACAAGGCCCGTGCCGACAGCCACGACGAGCTTGATTACCACACCGTCACCACCCTTCGTGAGTCTCGCTGCCTCATCTCATCTTTGAACATCACTAATGTCGGGCTCGATCAAAGCCTTCCTTGACGCATGCTATCGTGAAACCCTCCGTCTCTACGCCCCCGCTTCCTTCCAGCATCGCACGTAGGTGATCCTCCTCTTCTTCCTAGTTAACATGCTGAAAATGGTATCTAGTGCCACAGAGGAGATCATTATCCCCCTCGGCGAGCCCGTCACGCTCAACAACGGCGAGGTCATCCGAGAATTGCCCGTTAACAAGAACCAGACCATCGTCGTCGGCATTGAGGCTGTTAACCGCGACCCAGATATCTGGGGCCCCGACGCTGACAAGTGGACCCCCGAGCGCTGGGTCGACGGTCTCCCACAATCGGTCAACGACGCTTCTGTACCCGGTGCCTTCTCTCACACGTACGTCTTCGTACCCTGAATCGAAAACTCACCGTCTCGCACTCACGTTCGTGCCCTCTAGACTTTCGTTCCTCGGTGGCAACCGCTCCTGCATTGGCATGAAATTCGCCGAAATTGAGCTCAGTATGTCGCTTACACCCTCCTGCCTCGCCATTTCGCCCTCTCATCCTTCATTCCTTCACAGAGACGATCCTTTTCGCTATCATCGAGAACTTTAAGCTCGCCCCCGCGCCAGGGCAAGAGGAAATTAAGTGGCGCCTCTCCCTTGTACAGACTCCCGCCCTGCCCGGGCGAGAGCACATTGACGAGCCCCAGCTCCCGCTCAAGGTCACGATGATGAAGTACACCAAACCCACCTAATCTGAGCTCCTCTCGATTACACCGCAGGGCGAGTCCCACAGAGATGAACGTCTCTGGTGAAGGTGTCATTCAGGAGACTGAGAATAGCTTCTAGATAGGCTACAATTGTAGGTGACGAAGGCCCAGGAAGTGTAATGCTACAAGTGTTCGATAGTGTAGTGTAGATGTATGGAAAGTCGATCGGAACTCACCAGGTGTAGGAAGAATGGAGCACTGTAATCCGTAGAGTAAATGAGCTCGGGTCGGAGCGTCAAGGCGATGAGGAGCGGAGCAGAAAGTGGTCAATCTCTAAAGTCTTGAGAATCTATACTTCTACTGATGTGCTTCAAGTCTGATGGATCAAGGGAAATCCTTGCTACTCTCGTTGGCCACAGGCGTGCTGAGTGCCTCAATAACCTCCGGCGCCGCCGCATCGTCATCCATCTACAAATGACATAACAACAACGCAGACAGATGAGTACATTACTTCGTATGAAGCAAAGAGGAGGCTTGAGGGTATTATCGAAAGAAAAAGGACGAACTTCGATCTGTCTACCGAAATGTTTTGACAACTTCGAGATGACAAGGCTGTACGGTAGGTGCTGTGTGAGTTTCCTGGATAGACGAAAGCACATAGGTGGATCAGTCAGTCAACGAGTCGTGCGGATCACAGGTATAACGCGAAGAATAGAGTCTGCCTCGTGCAGAAGACAGTGAGAAAAAGAGAAAGACGAGAACATACCGTCTCGGCTGCACGTTGAGTGAATGTCTTGCATCGAGCGCAGAGTCAAGGACGTTGGATGAGTGTGCGCCTTCGCTAAGCGAGAGCTTGATGGAATATTCCTTGTCGGATTTTCCGCGGCCATGGTTGCGCTCGTAGAGCTCGAACCTACATAAACGAATGTCAGCCCTGCTTCATTTAACAAAAATGGGGATGACATACGTGATATGCGACTATAGAAAATATATACACCAAGGCAACAGACCATTAGCAAGTCATGTCAGCACGCGAAAGAGGAAGAGGATGCACGCACAGCATAATCAAGCTCAGGTATCCTCCGGTTCGCGATTGGCAGACCGGATAGTAGGACGAGATTGACGAGCGTATGTATATGACTCTCCTTCGTGAAATAGCACGTCAGGGAGCTCCCGCCGTTATTCCTTGCATTCTCGAGATCGTCGACCACATTCCGCAGGAGTGGAAGCGACGTAAGCACGCCGATCTCCTCTCTTCATACGAGAAAGCGAAAGCGAACAAGGCCAATCAGTTAAGAACACACAGAGATTGTCAGAAAGAGTGGACAAAAACGCACTTCTCATCCGGATCGATCCCATACTCCTGTGGTGCCACAAGATCAAAAAGCGCTTTCGCCCTCCCATAGAGCTCATGCAGTTTCCGATCCTGCTGCTGCACATGATCCTTCGACGACTTCTCGTCGAAAATCGCGAACAGGAATGCACGGTGGTGAAGCGCGCAGTACTTGATAGTGTCATATAACTCAGAGACGCGGGATGGGTCGAATTTTTCGGGTTTGACGTCGCAGAAGTCTTCAAAGAGTTTTTCCCAGCGTTCTCGGAAAAGCCAAGGTTCGTCGCCGCAGCACCTGAAGAGGAGAGGAAGCAGAGGTCAGATTATGGTCGACGAGTGGAGAAACGGGGACGGGGAAGTCGACGGAAGCAAATATGTGACGGAAGTAAATGTGTGGTGGAAGTATATGATCGGTCCAGGACGTACCATCGTTCTTGGATCTTGTCCACGTCGAACAACTCGAAATTCTTCCGCATAGTATCCCGGAAAGAGCTCAGTAGCTCGATAACCTCCTGGATACATAATGAGCAAAAAAGCGGCACTTTCAGCAGTAAATTAGGGAACGAAAGCGCTCACCCTGACAACCTCTACAGGCTCTTTCTTCATACTCTTTGGCCACGTCAGCTCAGGCCTCTTCTCCGGCTCTCCAGGCCGCAGAAGGATCTTCAGCCGCTTCTTGACATCATCCATCAAGTCTTTGGCAGCATTCGAATCATCGAGCAGGTCCTTGCGCACAATGAGCTTCAGTGGTTCTCGTGGTGGTGTGGGAGGTTTCGAGTCGCGGTAACCATCGTTAGAGGATCTCGAACTTGGTGTCGAATTGGCGGAATAGTTCGCTGGGGGGTTGTCGAGGAGAGCGGCTGCGAATATTTCTGCGGAGGCGATCACTCTGCGCTCGGAGGAGGTGAATATCTACGAAAGAGGACAAGGATGAGCAATGGAACGTAAACGCGCGACTTGACGATGGATGATAATTTGCGCCTAATCAGGGGAGAAATCAGAGACATACCTTTACGTTGCTTAGCGCCTCCTTGTCTATCCAACCACATCGCACACACGACACACGTTCGTCAGCCCCGTGAACGACCGGGTCATATCCTGCCAAATGGGAAAAAGGAAACTCACTCATAATCGAAATATCCTTTTTCATATTCTCTCCGAGATCCCTCGACTGATATCTCGCAGAGTGCGTGAACTCGCCTCCCCACTTGAACACGAGCGTCAATTTCGTCAATTTCCTCTCCTGACCCGCCTGCTTCTTCGAGTACACCGGCTTCAACTGCGCCTTCGTACCCGGCAATTCTATCTTACTGAACAGTGCGGTATTCAACAGCGTCAGCTTCGTCAGATCCTCCCCGTCCGCACCGAGACTCTTCGCCTCCTCGACGGCGCCGGCAATCCACCTCAGTTGCTCCTGCTCTCGCAGGATGATCTCCTCTCTCTCACCATTGAGGAGACGGACGAAGGGTTGTGTCCATATCTCGCCGATGGGGAAGTTGAATTTGAGCTTTTGTTTCGGCGTGCGGTCGGCGTGTCGGAAGACGGTGACGTTCGCTTTGAGCAGCCAGGTAGACGATTCTGGAAGTGGCGATTCGGCGGCAACGAGCGACCTATCTGGCGATGCGGACACTCTACCACACAGCGTAGAGAGAATTTCTGCGGCTTTATCTGCGAGCCAGGACGGGAGGTTATATGAGGAGGATGATGAGTTGTATGAAGAAGACATTGAAGTTGGATTTTTGGAGTGGAGTGGGGTCAAAGCAGGGCAGAGAAGAGAGCAAGCAAAGAGGACGCGAATGCGGTGAGATGCAGTGACGCAAGAGGACGAGAACGTGGGACACGGGACACGCACCATAATAGGACTCGTTCCCTTTGACGAAACTCCATCCATTCACGTCGATCACCTGGCTGCGCGTCCCGTTATCGCAGCGCAACATGTCAAAGCCACACACCCTCTGACCAAACCCTTCGCATATCTTGGCGGCCCACGACTTTTCCTCGTCGCTGAGGTGAGTGATGAATCTTTCAGTGCCCTCCGAGTTTAGCTATCGTATGTTTTGGTTTTGGAGAGAGGAGTGGACGAGGAGATGTTTACGGACCGGATCTCCTTGCCCTCCGTATTGCGTCGCACGACTCCATCCACGACAGGAGACTTGCGGGTCTCCGCATGAGTGTATTCTCTGCCGACGGTATAGACCTTTATGTCTTCAGAGTTATCAACGTCGATGAACTCTTCGTAAATATACGAGCCGTCCGTTCGCGGTTCGGTCAGCGTTGGGTCTAATTCACTGCTCTTATTCCCGACCTGGACAATCGAACCGCATTCAAAGCCTAAATAAAACGCGCTACGAATGGGGATAGATCAATAACGTCATGGGCTCACCTTTCTGAACAGCCGTCTTCCCCCTCCCCCTTTGAAGTAAATGTACACGTTATGGTCCTCGCCGCTCACAGGCTTCTCCACAAATGGCTTCTCTAGGACCTTGCCATCGACGACGATCGCGTCTCCGTCTTCACGCAATACGACCTCGGGCGTCACCTGGAACGTGCCGAGGTCGATACCGAGCTTTTTCTTCATGTACTCCTTGAGCTCCTTATCAACCTTTGGGCCGCCGTCACGAGAGACTTCAAGCCGTGAGGGTGTAGGGACCTTGAGGTGATCGAGGACTTGACCGACGAGGCGACGGTCCCAGAGGAGTGCTTGGGGAATCAGGTCATTGATACAGTGTGGGTTTCGCAGCTTGACATAGGAGATAGCTTTGTCTAGCGGGAAGTCGGTAGAGAAGAACGAGATAAGGACATCACATCTTGGCCAGCTCTCAACGTCTTTTGGTATGCGTAAATCGGTTGTGAGCTTATTAGGTTTTTGTAACAAAGGAGGAAGGAGCACACCTTCGTCGAGAATGACCTTATCCCCGAAAACCTTTACTTCCACTCCGCCGCGTGCACGCTCGACGAGGCGAGTTAGAATCTCTCGCATCGCTTTTGACCTCGCTTTTATATCCATGGCACAAACTCCGAGGATTATGGGTGTCCGTATTTGTTCGGAGACATAGAGCAAGTCGGAATGTGAGCCGGTAGGAGAAGGGGTTGATGACCGCTCGGTGAGGCGTGAGCTAGAGCGAGCGGGATTTCTATCTGGGGACTGGAGAAGAGAGAAACGGGATTGTCTGCCATCGCGGTGGATGTTCGCCATGTCGAAGAGCAAAGCGAAGATAGAATGAAAGCGGACAGAGTGAAAGACGTTCCGATGGCCAGAAACCGAATGAAACACAAAGTCGAGAGTGGACTTTGCCGTGCCAAGTCCCGAAAACATGGGGTGGCCGAGGAGCCGATGCCCAACTGTTGGCGCGCACAATTGCCTCGAGATTAGATAAATATTGCTGTCTCGCAGCTTTGAAATTGCAGCTCGTTCACTGTACGGACGACGGCAGAAATGACTGGTCGAAAAGTAGTAGGCTAGAGAAAATCGAGTAAGCTACATGATATCACAGCTTGACACAAAGTACAAGAGAAAAATACACGAGAAGGGGCGAGATAACAGACATCTGTTCAATTCCGGTTGACATGATCTCCACTCCTCCCTGTCCACCTCATCCTCAAACTTCTTCAACATGTCAGGGTCGTGGTCGTGCGTGGTCAATCCAAATGGATTCGCATCCTCAGGCCAGTTGATATCGCTTGTTCATAGTCGCCGGATACCTCGCCTCTCCCTCCTTCCCGGCCCAATCGAAATCCACGACCATCGCACCTCCTAAAAGAAGGGTGGTTTCCCGAAGGATGACTCCACAAACAGGGAACATCGACTCGATAACTCCTTCCAACTCTGCCTGACGCTCGCTTTCATTCTCGTAAGATTTATATTCACAGGATATAAAGCTGTAAGCGGCCTCGACCTCTTCCTTGGTCAGCGGAGAGACATCGGACATGTCACGGGCGGACTGAGAGAAGAATCAGAGAAGATGGGATGATAGATCACGAGAGGGGTCGGAGAAATGGAGTATGGTCTTCCATCACAGAGAGTGCCGATGTTGCTAGACTTTTGCTAGCGCTGCATCTCGTGTGCATGTGCACCCGTCTAAGGAGACTTGCAGGATTTAGCCTTTGTAATCACATCTTCGCGCCCTGTGTATCCATGCACTTAGCACAAACCAAACAAACTGGTGAGTGCAGTGTATACCGGGCACTGGGCCATCCTTAGATATGATGTTGGGTGGGTGTGGCTAATGTAGCTCAGAGAAAGGTTGTGCTGGTACCAGCAAAGCTCGTGGGGGATCATGGACTAAAACGTGCGTCATTCATACCATCGGGAGAGCGCAATCGGAATGGATCGGGCGTACCAAAGACAGCACAAACCTGATGTCCAAACAACTATCCCTTCAATAGATTTGTCTTTCGCATTATTGCTCGTAGCAATCAGAAAATAATCATCCACTTCACTAAAAAAAGTGTGATGCATAGGTGTTTAAAACCGGGATTCATAAAGGTCAAGACTTCCTCCGGCTTGATGATGGGCGCACTGGGGACCCACTATGTACAAAGGCTAAACATGAAAGTCAACATATGGTCATGACGCACCGTGCGGTAGAGCTCCCAAACGCCGGGCAGTGCAACCGATTTCGAATCCCCAAAGCACTTTTACTTGGTGGAAGGAAAATGGTGAGAGTGCTTGTCGAGGCACAGGAGACCAGTTGATGTCCTATGAATCTGGTGTGCTCATGGTTAGCTTCAATAGGTGGACATTATGGCGTGCAAACTCGAGAATCGGCATCGGTGTCAACCTGTGTCACTGTCGACGTCAACGCCGCATCAGAGCGTGGGGAGCCATCTCGTTGGCGCGCACAATTGCCTCGAGATTAGATAAGAATTTAGTCAGTGATGAGTGATCGACTTGCGCGATTTGTGCTCCAACCAATGACGGGCGTTTTTGTTTCCTTTAAAAGCCGTCTCCCTGCTTCACCGTCTTTGCGTAGAACGTAAACCTGTGGCCACTTCAGCCGAACATTCATCACCGAGTACAATCCGCTTTCACGCTAATTACGGCAAGGAAACACCAGAACCAAACATGGCCGCCCCGTTTTCACTTAAAGCTCGTCGTCTCGTTTCGTCGGACTTCGTTGACTCCCTCCACACCACCATGGATACCAGCGGAAACGTCGTCACGACTCTCTTCGTCTCTAACCTTCACTGTAGCAGGTAAGAGGCACTCTATTCCACTCGATGGAATATGACTGAATCTCAGCCATCTAGCTGTGTGCATACGATCGAGGAGACCCTCTCCTCCCTTCGTCCAGCGCCTACTTCTATCCATGTCTCCGTCGTCTCTCAATCTGTCACCGTCGCCCACTCCAAGGACCTCTCGCCACGGTTGATCAAGAACGAGATTGAGGACGCGGGATTCGACATCGCCAGCACGCCTCTCGCAGGACCCTCCCGTCTTCCCGATAGTTCATTCACTTCTTCCCTCTTGTCCGGTCGGCGTCAAAAACATGTTGACCAATGTTATATGTGCCGTAACGACCTCGAGGGGAAGCACGCCCATGGTGGGTCCCAAGACTCGCTTGCCAGCTCGTCACCGGAGAAACATAGCGAACCCCAGCACATCGCCATCCCCACTAGCACCGAGGAATCCCAGCCATTTCACCTCACCCTTTCTGTCGGTGGCATGACATGCGCAGTAAGTTCCTCGGTCTTACAGACTATTTCTATTCATATAAGCTTTTACCTCAGCACCCACAAATATGCTCACTACCCTTCTATTATTTTTAGTCGTGCAGTTCTACGATCACCCAGACCTTGTCCGAACTTCCTGGCGTTTCCGATGTTTCGGTCTCTTTACTGTCTAACTCTGCGACGCTTACTCTGTCGAACCGGGACCTTTCTGGTACTGTAGTCGAAGCAGTAGAGGACATCGGCTATGAGGCCGATATCGTTGACTTGCGGCCCATCCAGCCAGAAAGTAGTGGCGAGGAGGGTGAGAACGGTCCGTACACGGTCTTACTATCCATCCAGGGTATGACCTGTGCCAGCTGTTCGTCCACTATTACACGCCTCGTCTCTGAATTGGACGACGTCGAGGATGTCAATGTCAATCTTCTGGGCAACTCTGCCTCTGTGGTGGTTCAGCACAAAAAGGTAATAGATGCAGTAGTCGAGGTCATTGAGGATGCGGGGTACGACGCCACTGTCACAAGTGTGGAGCCAGTAAAGAAGTCGTCTTCGAGAATGGGTCCCAAGACGCAGAGCTCTACTCGTATCGTCTCTCTCCAGGTCGATGGAATGTTTTGCCAGTGAGTATCACCATTTCGATCCTCCGTAGATTATCAGGCCGACCCTTGTCATTCTTTGCATCCAGTCACTGTCCGGCCAAAGTCATGGCAGCATTAGAGAAATTCGGTAACCGTGTGCGCATCGAGAAGCCAATCATAGACCACACCGATCCCATCCTCAGAATCTCATACGACCCGTCGCCACCCTCATTCACCATCCGTCATATAATCTCCGCTATCTCCTCTTGTAAAAACCTCTCCCAGCCACCCTCCGCCGTACCTGCCACCGCCACACCCTCGTCCTGCTTCACCGTCTCAATTTACAAACCTCCCTCCCTCGAGGAACGCGGCCGCGCTATGATCATTCGCGAACAGCGCCACATGCTCATCCGTCTCTTGTTCTCCGTCCTCGTCGCTATCCCCACCTTCATCATCGGCGTGGTGTTCATGAGTCTCGTACCCTCCTCCAACCCCACGAAAGCCTTTCTCATGGAACCGATGTGGACCGGCAACACGAGCAGGATCCAGTGGAGTTTATTCTTCTTGGCGACTCCGGTGATGTTTGGCAGTACGGGGACGTTTCATAGGAGGAGCTTGAAGGAGCTGAGGGCGTTGTGGCGCAGGGGAAGTAAGACACCGGTGTGGAAGAGGTTTGTTAGGTTTGGGAGTATGAACCTCTTGGTGGGTTCACTTTACCATCTTGGATATTCTTCAATAGTGCTAATTGTCTTCGAAACGGTGTGTAGGTCTCCTCCGGTGTCTCTGTGGCGTATTTCTCGTCCATCGCACTTCTGGGACTGGCAGCCTCGCAGGAAGCTTCACCGGATGGCATGGGCGACACAACGACCTACTTTGACTCGGTTGTCTTTCTGACCATGTTCCTGCTCATCGGTAAGTTCGATCATGCAAATAAGTCTCATAAAACTATCGGTATCATCTGACCAATATTTTACCATCCCAAACAGGCCGCTACCTGGAAGCTTACAGCAAAGGCCGCACCTCCGACGCCATCACAAGCCTAGGCAACCTACGCCCCTCACAAGCCTATCTTCTTGTCCCCTTATCAGAGGTCCCTGCCTCATTACCTCCCACCTCAACCTCCACAGCAAAAGACTCCCATCCCAACGACTCCGACCTCGAGAAGGGTCTCCTCCACACAAACAACTCGTCAGACTCCTCCCTCGCTCCCGTCAAGCCAGGCCTCAAAGTCATCAAAGTTCCCGTAGACTTGCTCGAAATCGGCGACGTAGTGCGGGTTCAGAACGGAGCAACGCCGCCGGCGGATGGGAGGGTCGTCGAGGGTGAGAGTACGTTCAATGAGAGCTCGTTGACGGGGGAGTCGAGGCCTATCAGGAAGGCAGTGGGCGATGAAGTATTTCTTGGCACGTTGAACGTGAATGGGGTTGTGGATGTGAGAGTCGAGGCTGTTGGTGGGGAGACTATGTAAGCCTCTCGTCCTGCGACACTAATCGAATAGTAGTCATGATATTTCTTTCGCTGATTTCGTGTTTTATACTTGGTTTTGAATAGGTTGGATCAAGTCGTCAGGGTCGTACGCGACGGACAGACGAAACGCGCTCCTATAGAAAGACTAGCGGATCACTTGACGGGATACTTCGTCCCCGTTGTCACCTTACTCGCGATCCTGACCTGGGTGATTTGGCTTGGACTTGGTCTCGGTGGGGCTCTGCCGAGCGATTACTTGGATAAACCGACGGGCGGGTGGCGTAAGTATTTCTTAGTTTTCATCTCCTCTATATTACTGATGATTGCTCGTGCCAACCGATACAGCCGTATGGTCGCTCGAATTCGCCATTGCGGTCTTCGTCGTGGCTTGCCCTTGTGGCATCGGTGAGCTTCATCATGGATCATGAACTTAGAACAACCCGCTGATAAATGAGATGATATAGGTCTCGCGGCTCCAACCGCACTGCTCGTCGGTTCAGGTCTAGCGGCCCAATTTGGTATCCTCGTCCGTGGTGGCGGTGAAGCCTTCCAAGAAGCCGCTCAGCTCGATGTGATCGTCTTTGACAAGACGGGAACTTTGACTGAGGGAGGGGAGCCTCGTGTCACGGACGTCGAGTTCATCGACGACCTATCCAATAGCTCTAACGCTCGCGTCAGAGATCTGGAGCGCAAGGTCGTCCTTGGAATTGCCGCGGAGATCGAGTCGGCGAGCACGCACCCGCTCGCGACCGCCATTCGACAGCATTGTGACGAAAATGGTGCAGTTCATGTGGCTGGGAGTAAGTTTGAGGAGAAACCTGGGAGGGGTTTAAAGGCTCGGTTCGAGGAGACGAAGTGCGTCGCTATCATCGGGAACGAGAAGTGGATGGAGGAGAATGGGGCGATGGTTTCTAGAGAGCCCAACGATGGTGATGAGGCATCTATGGTGGAACGTCTGGAGGCGTGGAAGGTAGAAGGAAAGAGCGTTGTTCTGCTAGCCATCCAGGCAGAGACAGAGGCCTCGCCATCGTTCACCATCGTTGCAATGTTTGCAATCTCTGATCCTCTCCGACCGAACGCGAAGGATGTGGTTTCTCGTCTCCAAAAGCAAGGTGTAGACACGTGGATGATCTCTGGGGACAATACTACCACCGCGCGGGCTATAGCCAAAATGGTCGGTATCCCACAGACGAATGTTATTGCCGGGGTCCTGCCTCACGAAAAGGTAGAAGTCCTTCTCCCGCCCCTTTCCGCCTGCATCGCTGACAAGCCCTCGTCAACCATTATTCATAGGCGGAGAAAATCACTTGGCTTCAGTCAGAAGGCCGAAAGAAGGCGATCAAGAAATGGAGAGGGCTGTTTGGGAAGAGGTTGAATGAGCGCTGTATCGTTGCTATGGTAGGGGACGGAATCAACGATGCACCTGTAAGTCCATTGGTCCATGTACATACCCACACCCACCACTATCCGCCATCTCCTATCATCCCATCCTCCTGTACTTGCAACTCATAACTCTTCCTACGGTGAAAGCTGACCGTTTCCTCATAGGCCCTTGCTTCCGCGGATATTGCTATCGCCATTGGTTCAGGAAGTGAGTTTTAGTTCCGATTTTGCCGTCATTCCCTTCACAACCACCTCCTGCCCCATCACCGTGAAACTTGAACCCCTGGGGACATCCTAGCAGCCAATGGATGGTTCACGATGTCCATGACATGGACTAACCCGACATTATAGAGTCATAACGAGTTACTAACAACCGCATCACATCCCTATTTTCTATTCTAGGCGACGTAGCATTGTCAAGCGCGTCCTTTATCCTCGTCTCCTCGGACTTATCAAGCCTCCTCACCCTCGTCGACCTCTCCCGCACCGTCTTCCGCCGCGTTAAGTTCAATTTTCTCTGGGCCTTGATGTACAATCTTGCCGCGCTGCCTATCGCCGCTGGAGTAATATATCCAGCTGGGCATGCGAGGCTCGATCCTGTATGGGGCTCGCTTGCTATGGCTTTGTCGTAAGTCCTCCTCTTTTTGCCGATTGAATTTGTGATCCCCCCTTCTCTTCTATCACTTTGTTCGACCCCTTACCACTGTGAGAAGTGAAGAAGTCGGGAAGAGAAGCTAACGCGAGCGGCGTTCTACGTATCTAGGTCTGTTTCTGTGATCTGCAGCTCGCTCGCGCTGCGGCTTTACAGGGCGCCCAAGTCGTCAAAGCTCTGATGCTTATGCTGCGATCCTCCGCCAATATCGATATATCGACGAAACGTGTAGATCTTTCGGAATTTACCCGTACCTGTCTCCCAGTACTGTGACTACTGTCCTTTACCCATTTGCTATTTTGTATCCATACCACTACCAGATGCATACCGTAATGACTGTGACGATCGTAATGATACATACGCACCGGTACCACGATCTTACCGCATGTAATGGTTCCATATATCTAACTATCACACCGTGGAAAGCAATCAAACACTCTCGCCTATTCGCTTTCATTCACGACTCGTCCTGGCACTCCTCATCTCATAATCCAAACCGAATAAAAATAACATCAAGGAAAAAGCAAAGAGCAAAAAGCCAAAAGGGGTCCGCGAAGAAAGCATCACGCCTTCGACGAATTATTATCCCTCTTCGACCGATAATAATCAGAAAACGACATCCTCGTACCCAAGAACCGGACGTCCAGATCCGAATGACCCGCAAGCTGATGCACGATCGTGTACATACGCTCCGAGAACGCTGCGCCGTATTCTTTGACTTGTTGCAGGCTTGCGGGGACTTGGGTCGAACTCAGACGGGCGTGGCCTGTGAAGACGCCCTGCATCAGGAGGTTGAGTGTCAGCCAGGTTGGTATGACACGGTAGGAAGGAAGGGAAGGGAAGCTTACGCGATGAGTATCGCGTTCGGTATCTCGGCGAGCGGATTCGCTGAGACAGTGGTTATAGAAGTTGTCCTGGCAGAGGTACATCATCAATTCAAGATGTTCACGGTGGGAAAATGACAGAAAAAAATTTACCGTGGCTTCGCGGAACTGCAGTATGATCGTGAACACCTCCTGTACCATATTGAGAAGAACCCCCTTAAAATAAATGACCACCCATATCGTATATACGAACATCGTTAACCTCAATGAAACTAACGTCAACGAAACAATAACGAAGGCACGTACCTCCTTACGCGACCGTGCATCGATCATCAGGATCTTCTTCACCATCCTGTCCAGGTGCTTCCGATGCGCGGCAATGAGGTCATCCAAGTCTCCTTTCTCCTTGCGGTTAATGAAATCGATGAGTTCCTGCCAGGATCGCTCGATGATTTCGAGGTGGCACTGGGCTTCAAGTGAGCGTATGAAGTGCACCATCTCTGCTACGACGATTCTGATCCGATGCCATTCTTGTTCAAGCTCTGGTGAAAATGAAACAGTCAGTCAAAGTCCGCGTATGGGATCTAGCGAGCGATAGAGGCAGATGACACTGGCGAAGAAAGCTCACCAGGTACATGTATGAATATCTTCGTTCCACTCGCCACCCTCATCCATCCTTTAGTAAGCGACAAGCCCACCCGCTTCATCTGCCACATAAACTTGAACAGCTTCGTGTAATCGATCATGGCCGGCGGGTCGAGCACAGTATCGATAGGCGCATCCACCTTATACTCTAACGTGAACACTTCCCATCCGATCTCCCCATGCGTGTATTCCAGCATACGACAATCTAATCGTCGCAACACATCTGGTGGATCGTCCTGCGCGTTTGAAGAACGTATTGCAGTCTCTAAGGTTGCTGTGAGACTGTGTCGATGAAGTGCGTTTGCTGGTCTCGACAAATTTGGCCTACACAGGGATCCAAGTGAGACCAGAAAGCCTGTAAGAGGAAGATATCGAAGCTCACCCTAAAGCCTCCATCAACTGGTCGACAAAATCGCCATGGCCAAGCAGAAGATAGTTCTTCAACGCCTTCAAATGATCCAGGAGCTTAAACTTCTCAAAGAACACGTCAAAAAGCCGATGACTCGCTATTCTATAGGCGGCATGAATGGACCGCTCCAAGCCGGAGATATCACTGTACTGGAGGGCTAATCGCACATTCCACTTAAGCATTAGCCTCAAATGTCTACGCCATACAGGGACGAAGTGGACTCACTACCGCCGGTATTGCTCAATTTCTCCCGAGTGGCGACCCAATCGCTATCATGGCAGCTATAGCGAATAAAGTTCAAGCTTTTCCCCGTGGAGAATATCTAAACCATTCAACGCCCAAATCAATCACTCTGTCAGTCAATCTATCTGCAGAACGTCTATCACTCCTGACAGCCGGGTCGGTATGCATGCAAGGAGCACAAAGCACAACCGGACGGTATAATACGCACCATCTTGCCAAACTCCTCGTCGACGAACGTCGGAAGCATTTCTTTCCGAAACTGGTGCTTCGTTTCCCACAAGGCCCGGCCAGTCTGGTTCTCCCCCAACAAGTCCTCGTTATCTCCCCCCAGACCCCCGAAGCCTCCGTCACCGGACAAAGACGTAGGTCCGCCAGGTTGGACGGACGGGTGAAGGTATTGCAAATGTGCGAGCTCGGGATCTATGGAGACAAAGAACTCGGAATAGGGATCGTAGAGCTCGCCTGAGAAAAGCCAGCGATGTAGGGTGCCAAAGAAGGGCTTGGAGACCTGAGAATGTGCGGTCAGATGATTGGTGTTTTAAAAGGGGATAGAAGGAGAGAAGCGTGCTCATTACTTCTTCGAGTAGTTGGTCTGTGAAGTGCCGAACGAAGGGGTCTCCATTCTCGGTGTAGCCGTGGATCAGGTTGACGAGTGCTCCTCCCTTGGTATCTGTATGACTTGAGTTAGACCAGGGGAACTTGGAGCACAGCAAGCGGGAGAGGCTAACCCCGAGCGGCCTCAACACAAACGCTCATCATCCTCATGCGCAGTCGCCACTCATTAACCCAGACATCTAGCCGTCTGAGCGTCAACCCACTCTCTTCTGCACGGACGTCGGAGTCCGAGGAGGTCAAGCCTCTTGAATGCTTGTCATCTGAGCTTCCTCTAGACGATAATGTCATCTGCGACTCAAGAATAGCAATGAGGCGGTAGTATTCCGTCAGCTGAGACTGTAGATGGTGGCATAGACTTTGTTCTATCATGCCGACCCCTGGCTTGCCTTCTCGATCTCGGACGAAAGTGTCTACGAGAGTATATAGATGGCCAACTTCGGAAAGTCTGTGAATAAGGGCTCGGGTAGCAGGGGGTATGATGTATCGCTAGATGGGTTGAGCATATTTTAGTGAAGAGTAGGACGTCATCGTGATAAAACGTACAGGGTCTTCGACAAAAACGAGGTTCATCTCTTGCTCGTCATTATCGGTTGGAGCAAATCGGACATGCTTTCCGGAAATGCCTTGGAGCAAGTATAATGTGTCACGGAGTAGAAGATCTTCGGATAGATGGGGTCTGCCTAGCAGGCAATATGAGAATAACGTCGGATAAAGATTGGTAGACGGAGCGCACCGGTCTTCGCGCGGTAATCTTTTAGCAGTTGGGCCTTTGACTTTCCTCGTGGTGGTCGTGAATTGGGTATTGTGTCAGCGGGTGAAGGAGCGGGAGTGGAACGTGTTGAGGTGGGTTGCGGCGGGGCGAGTGCGGGCAGGAATGAGGAGGTAAATGATGAGGTTCGCGGTGAAGAAGCGAGGGTCTGAAGGAAGAGAAGAGAAGCATGCTTGCGAGACAGTACGGGCTGTACAGGAAAGTGTACATGTGAGTGTGGCGTATATAGGAGTTAAGTGGCACGTACCTGCTCGAGCAATCTAGACAAGAGATTCGTGAACTGGAGCGAAGTAACACCATCGGGATGTGTTTGGAGGACTGATGACAATACACGCAAGATGTTTGAGTCGACATAAAGGAGATCTAGCAGTTTACTGACGCTGGCGTTTGATGAGGTCGGAAAGATGACCGATATCTGTTTCTCGACTCGTGCCGATGTGGCTGAAGCGGATGTGAGCGTGAATTTCGGATGCGATTTGTCGTGAAAGCGGACCTGTTTAGTATTTCTTCGCAATGTTTGGTCAAATCGCGCCTAAGGGCTTCATTTCTCCTTGCCTGAGGCACGAGTGTTGATACTAGACTATCGAGCGATCTGGAAGAGTGGGCCATCGTTGTGGCCGAAAGAAACGCGCGACGCGACAAAGACGCGCTTTTGCAGCGGGCGTTGTTGATCGATTCCCACGCGGGGACAACGCGGGGTGTGCGGGGTCCCTGGTACCTCTCCTTCCGCCTCGTGTTCGTTTCGGGTTGTTCTTTTGTGGAACGGCAACGCGGCGGGCCAAAATGTTCCCTGTCTCTCGCTGCAACATCTGACCGGCCTCATTTTACACTATCTTGGCCTATCTCGTATGTCTATAACCCCATCTCTGCAGTGTTTGCGGTAATGCCACCGACTAAGCCGTCTCTGCGGGATCACCAGGCGAACACTGCAACGAGTGCGATTGAGTAACTTAAATACTTATCGGCGGTGGTTCTCGTAAATAGCTTGATGCGCTTCTGTCCTTGTCCTCGGACTCCGACGATCTCCAGTAGAACCTTAGCCCTCTACATCATCGTGTGACTTTCAATGCCTTCAAACACGATCCTTTCTTCAGCCTTCCCTTCCTCTTTACACTCACCATCTCCCCTATCCGACCGCCGTCTCTCCCCTCATCAACTCCAACGTTCTTGATATGACAACCTGGGTCCCAAAGCGATCGTTCGAAGAATGTGAGTCCTTCGTCGACCTTGACCCACCGTGACCCACATATCTTATGTGCCTGCCACCGTCTGTGTAGGTTATCGGATACTATGCGGGCCTGGAGAGCTACACGAGATCGAAACAAAGCTCGTCGGTGACCAAGTCCAGCGAGTATACAAAAATATGTGGCCCTCTCTGCGCGACTTTTGGCTTTGGGCCACATCCGAATACAAGGACGCCACCTACATCGTGTTCGAGAAACACAGACGGACTTATAACGAGGCGTTCCAACGCTCCATCGTGATAGCGGCCATGCTCCGCGCTCGGTATAATATTCAGAAGGGCGACAGAATCATTATATGTTCGCGTAATTTTCCGGAATATCTGCCCACGTTTTGGGCCTCCCAGTTGATTGGAGCTGTATGTGTCTTTATGAACGCGTGAGTCCATATTCTACAATTTCTATCTATTCGTAGAGACTGTGGCTTGATGATGTGAACAGGTGGCTTCCAATAGAGCCTTCAAAACACTGCATCTCAAATACCCAAGCCAAGCTCGTCATTGCCGATCCAGAGCGTGCAGACATGCTCGAACCTTTCACAAACGAGATCGCCAAGTCAGCTGGGACGGTCGGGTTTCTAGTGTGGGAGCAGCAGGAGGGGAAAGGGAAATGGGCAGGATTCGACCTTTGGACACAGGTGGTAGAGGGACAGCCAGCGGTTGATACGCATGCCTTCTTGCACGAGCTGCCCGCTCTTGGACCGGAGGACAACGCCGCCATATGTTTTACTTCCGGAACGTGCGTTTATTATTGTTCGGTAGTCATCGTTTTTCCGGCTCGGTTGCTGACTTGTGGTTTATCAGGACTGGACTGCCCAAAGGAGTACTTAGCACCCATCGCCAGTTTTTGACCAATGTGCTTAACGTAGGTCATGCTCTATGGCGCATCTTGTCAATTTACTGTTGCTCACTAATTTAATCTGCAGGTCATGGTGTCGACACGGCTAGCATCACTACGGAAAGGCGAATCATATTCGCGAGATTTAGGTATTCCTGGTCCACAGAAGGCTATTCTCATTTCCGTCCCACTTTTCCACGTTACTGGAATGACGAGTATGTCGGTACGTCTTCTCCATAATCATCCTCGACAACTAGATACGGTCTCCGAATATTCTCCGTAGATGCTCGGGACCTTGCGAGGGCTGAAATTGGTGTTCATGCGAAGATGGGTAACGGATGAAGGTGCGCAAGTTCATCGCATTCATTGTTCCAAACATTCATTAATCTTCAGGCGTTGTCAGGGGCCAAGTAAGGATTTCACCCATATGCATCCTACTTTCCACGCTCACAACGCCTTCAGCCTCATCAAACGCGAGAATGTGGCAGTGGCCGGAGGGTAAATTGAATTCATTCATTTAGTTTTATATGTATAGCCACCAAGTGCTGATCCTTTGGTTCCCTTTCAAAGCGTTCCATCCATGGTCTCCGATCTCGCAGACAGCTCTGCCGCCGGCCATCCCCTCGACGGCCTTCTATTCGGTGGCGCTTCGGCGCCTGACTGGCTTGCCAAAAGAGCACGGGAGGCCTTCCCTGCGGCGATGTCGTACGTACAGACAGATCTCTTGCTTCCCTTGCCCAGCTATCTGTTTGAGTATTTTAGCGAGCGTTGACGTTGAATGGAACATTAGGAGCCAGGCATATGGTCTGACGGAGACGAATAGCGTGGCGGTTGGCTTTGCGGGAGAGGATTACGATTATAGACCTACAAGCGCGTGCGTGTTGATTGATTAATTCTTATTCTTGTCGATGTGCTCACAAGGCGGATGTGATGATATAGTGGGAGGGCGTCGCCTGTTAACGATATTCTGGTCGTGAAGGGCGATAAAGTTGTTCTTCCAGGCGAACTAGGTGAAGTTTGGCTGTAAGCTCGTTCCATGTCGTTCTTTCGTTTCAACACTTGCTGATCAAACTACAGCCGGGGGCCGAACGTCATGAAGTGTTACTGGAATGATCCTGGTGAGTCCGTGCAATTTTAACCTTCGGTCGAGTTGTCAGAAAGCTCACTGTCATTCTCACCAGCCGCAACGGCGAAAGCTGTCACTCGAGACGGATGGATGAGGTCCGGAGACATCGGTTACCTAGACCACGAAGGCTTCCTCTACATCCGCGACAGGAGTGAGTAGCTTTCTGCCTCGTTCATAGTTGCTCGGACTTCATTTCTGACATATTCCCTACCATCAGTCAAGGACCTTATCATTCGAGGCGGGGAGAACGTCGTAAGTGGTCGACACGTCTCCCTCCCTATAGTTTATCTTTTGGGTGCTGACAGTCTGAATTGATTGATACGACAGGATTCTGTGAGCGTCGAGAATGCGGTTTCGGCCGACGAGAGGTTACTTGAGGTAGCGGCGGTGGGCGTGCCGGATGCTAGGCTGGGTGAATTGGTGACTGTTGTGGCTTGTGTGAAACCGGCCTTCAAGGGCAAGGTCCGAGAAGAGGAGGTTATTGAGAGTGCGAGTAAGAGGTGAGGATTTTGACCTTTGATGACTCCGTCGATTATAATTCAGCCATCGCTCGGCAGGCTGGCCAAGTTTGCCGTGCCGGTTATGATCGTACTCCAGGACGAAAGATTGCGTGAGTTGTCTATTTTCCTTTTTTAAAACGGTCCTTGTCTCATTATATTGTCGACGGTTGTAGCACGGACTCCGTCTGCCAAGATCCTGAAGACCGATCTGAGACATCTGGCGAAGGCTGAGTGGGAGAGACGGCGAGGTAACGCCACGAGTCAAGTCAGGCCGAAATTGTGAATAGGTTCATCGTTCCTGATCTTGGACGTCGGAGATGGTTCTACTGCCCACATGCCTTCAGGGTGGATTTATGATCTTCTATGATATTCCTGTTATACGTTTCTGCTTTGTAGACTACACACACACATTGATATGCTGGATGCTTTACCTATATTTCGACATTGCATCATTGCCAGCTGCAACAGCTGACGGTCAGGGGGAGAACATCTAACGCGGCCCAAAAAGGAAATGTGAGACACGGGCTTCGACTCAGTCGCGCACTTGTGCTTCGAAATCCTGGACTTGCCCACGTCGTGCCTCTCTCTTCCCCTTACAACAATATTCTTTTGACACAGATCAAGGGCCCTCAATTACTTGCTCTACCGCTCGTTAGAGCATCCTATTTACGACCTTTCACGACCCTCTCACGATTCCGAACATGGACCGTCCAAACCCCCTCGCGTCCACTTCCACTTCTACCGGCTCACCCACCAGCAAAGGCTCTGGCGCACCATTCGCATATCAACAACGTCTCCTCGATAATTCTGCGCGAAATGGATCCATGTCGAGATCAGGCTCGCTGTCTAAGGTTGCTCTTCCTCCGACCGTCACGGGCAATGCGCCGACCATGGTCCGGAGGTGGACACCCTCACATCGCGTGAATAGCAGCTTGGATGCGGTTCGAGGGAAGTTTGAGGAAAGGATACGGGCGGAGGCTGCTATGAATGACAACAACACACCTCCACCGACACCTCCTCCCATGTCTAGGAATCGTACGGATTCTACTATCGGGCGAAGTTCTGCTGCTCCGTATGCTGAGAGTTCACGCTCACGAACCACGGACGATACTCCTTCTAAGACAGTCGGGGATGTGATACGGACACCGACGTTCTTGAAGCGACGTACGATGCCTGCGCCTATTATCGCATCTCCATTGTCCCCTAACCTCACAGGCGTATCCGTCGAGAACGACTCACCCACGACAGGTCCCTTCTCGCCTGCTACGCCACAACGGATCCATCTCCCTTCGACACCATTACACACACCACCGTCCAGTAGCGTTAAACAGCCCGACCCCCTGATATTTCCCTCTCGAAATCGTGCAAACACTACCGACGGCGCTGTCCTCCCAGAAGCCACCGGTTCATCGACATCGACAGCCTCAGACCGTTCTGCCTCTGGTTCTTCCCACACAACTCATGAACCGAGTACACCACCTGTTCGACGGCGGCCGCGACCTATCTCCATGTTCGGGAGTCAGTACGCTCCACCGTCCTCAGCCGACAAGCATAGTCCCAGTACACCTACAACCAATGCTTCAAACCTTCTACGAAACAGAACACTATCACCCGAGAAGACCCCTGCCTTCATGCCCCCTGCTTCTTCGCCTTCCACATCATCCGTCATGAATCCAGCACCATATCGCAGTTCATATATGGCGAGCAAGAAATCTTCGACTTATGGCGAGATCATGGGTAAGAAGCTCGGTCGACATTTACCCAGGATCGCGAGCGGAGATGCGGAGGAGGAAGTGGTCGATCACGAGAAACAGAAGGAAAAGGAACGGGCGGATTTTCTGGAGGATCGAAGGTTCGCGAGAGAACGAAGGTTGATGGAAAGGAACGGGGCTACGCCGACGAGGAGAGTCACACAGGACATGGTGGTTCCTCCTCCACCCGCAAATACAGACGACGTCGCGGGTGTGCCTGGTCGATTGCGGCTTTCGAGGGACGCGGTGCCCGTACCGGTATCGCCTTTGCCTTCGTCAAGGTTGACGAGGGGGTTGTGGGCGGACGTGCAGAGGCATTTGTTGCAGGCGTATGAGTATTTGTGTCACGTGGGAGAGGCGCAACAGTGGATCGAGGGATGTTTGGATGAGGAGCTTGGGTTCGGGGTGGTGGAGATGGAGGACGGGATGAGGAATGGAGTCGTGCTCGCGAAGTTGACGAGAGTATTTGAGGGCGAAGGTGTCGTGCGAAAGATCTACGAAGTGCGTTTCGAATATTCTCCTGTGGTTCGATGTTCTGACTTCCGGGACAGGCGAGGAAACTCGATTTTCGACACTCGGACAATATCAACGTCTTCACCACGTTCGTGCGGCATGTCGGCCTTCCGGAGGTTCGTGATACAGTTCGTTCGCATAGGTCGAGGTCACTCACATATATTTCCAGAGTTTCATCTTCGAACTGACCGATCTGTACGAGAAGAAGAACTTCCCGAAGGTCATCTATTGTATCCATGCTTTGAGGTAGCAATTCTTCTTGCCACTGCCATCGCACTCCGCTAATTCAGAATATAAAGTCATCTTCTCGCTCGCCGTGGACTCGCGGAGCGGATAGGCAACCTGCTCGGAAGACTTCAATTCTCCGATGATCAACTGCAAAAGACGCACAAGGGACTCAAGGACTCCGGCGTCTCGATGCCCAACTTCGGGAACGTAGGTCGGGAACTGGCCAAGGAGATTAACGAGGAACCGGAAGTCGAGCCAGAAACGGAGGACGAACGTAAGTTTGCAGGGTCCTCCCATGCTAGTTAAACATACCCATTGAATCAATTGAATGCGTGTGGCTATGCAGGGCGCGATCGCTTATTGCTGGAAAATGAACCTTCTATTGTCGCCACACAGTCCATCGCTCGGGCATTCCTCGTGAGGAAAGCGCAACGGACGCAACGAGCAAGATTACAACTCGCAGGGAAGTATGTCGTACGACTTCAAGCTCAGTGCAGAGGAGCGCTCGCGCGACGGCAGGTCGAAGACCAGCGGGAGGAACAAACACACCTCAAACCTTGGGTCGTTGCTCTTCAGGCCTCTTTGCGAGCTTCGCTCGCCAGACGACGTTGGTTATCGCACACACGCCAAATCAAGTCTCGAGCCCAGACATATGTCCAACTGCAGGCTCAGATTCGTGGAATCCTTGTTCGTCGTCGCTTCGCGAAACTCAAAGCCGCCATCAGGAACAGTATCTCCTCCGTCACAAAGCTTCAGACTTTGGCACGCGCACGCCTTGTTCAGCGAGCACAAAAGGAGCAATTGCGCGCGTTCACCTTTGACGGTACCATGGGTGATATCATCCGTTTCCAGGCCATCGCTCGAGGCGCCCTCCAGCGTCGTGTCATAACCCAACAACTCCAGATCCTGGATGCACTTGATCCCTCAATCGTTGGTCTTCAGGCTCAGGCCCGTGGAGTCATCGTGAGACGCCGAGTTCGGACGCAGCTGGCCAAACTGGACGACGTGAGCCACGTCGTCGTTCGAATCCAGGCAGCAGTCCGGACCTACTTGGCCAGGAAACGGCTGTTGACTCTCATTCGTGGTCTTCGAAAAGCGACCCCAGTTCTCGTGCAGCTTCAAGCCCGTGCACGCGCCAATCTAGCTCGACAGCAACATATGTCCATGAACAAGGCCCTAGCAAAGATGGAAATCGTCGCGTCCGTTGGTGGGTTCCAGGCTCTGGCTCGTGCTGCCCTTGCGCGTAACCGTCATCGCGAGCAGACGAAACAGCTCGAGTTCCGGCTGCCGGACGTCGTTGGCTTCCAGTCGCTCGCTCGTGGTGCCCTCGTCAGGCGTGAATACTACGGGTGGCGCGATCATCTCTGGAGGAGTCAAGGCATCGCTGTTTACCTCCAGGCGCTCCTTCGCGGTGTTTTGCAACGGAGGAAGTTCAAGGCGAAGATGCAATATTATCGTTCGAACCTCGATAAGGTCGTCAAGATCCAGTCGCTTTTCCGTGCCAAGGAAACTCGTGAGCAATACCGTCAGCTTACCTTGGGTACGAACGTCACCGTCGGGACTATCAAGAATTTCGTGCATTTGTTGGACGATTCGGAGACGGATTTCCAGGAGGAGGTCGATCTCGAGCGGATGCGGAAACAGGTCGTTGAGCGGATTCGGGAGAATCAGGCGTTGGAGAGCGACGTCAATGATCTCGACGTAAAGATTGCCCTCGTCGTGCAGAATGTCAAGAGTTTTGAGGAACTAATCAAGGCTCGAAGGCGATATGGTGCCGATACCGCCGCGGCTCATGCGGCGAGAGCTTCTGTCCTTGCTGCTCATGGAGATCCTTTCGCTGGTCCTAGTACTCTGGACCACGCGGCCAAACGGAAGTTGGAGTTGTACCAGCAACTGTTCTATCTACTGCAGTCTAGAGGGGAGTATCTCAGCCGTTTGTTCCGTCAGGTGTCATTGGAGCCTTCGCCAGAGAAGAATCGGAGACTGTTGGAGAGGGTTGTTTTGACTTTGTTTGGGTACGGACAAGATCGTAGGGAGGATTATCTTCTTTTGAAACTGTTCCAGGTAAGCTTCTGCCTTCGTTTGAACATGATCATACCACTCATGTTACTTCTGTCGGTCGTAGCTCGCCATTCAAGAGGAGGTTTCGACCGCCAAGTCCGTCGAGGATATCGTCCATGGTCACCCTATCTACATCAACGTTGCAGTCCACTACATTCGTCCCAAACAGGCACCTCATGTGCGAGAGGTTCTCCAACCGCTCATTCGCGAGGTCATCGAATCGGAAGACTTGGACCTGGAAGTGGATCCTACACTCGTTAGTATCACAACATTATATATGATGTGATGTACAATTCTGAACTTGTCCTCACAGATTTATCGCGCGAGGATTAATTTGGAAGAGATGAGGGCTGGGGTAGCGACTTCGAAGCCCAAGAACATCACTTTCAGAGAAGCCTTGCACGACCCTGAGACACGTCCTGAGTACATTCGCCGTAGGTAACACAACCATTATGTTCAGCCTCTATTCTCAAACCCTATTTTGTAGACCTACAAGTTCTCCAGTGGTGGGCAGATGCCTTCGTCAAACAGATCACGGAGTCAACGCGTAAGATGCCTTACGGTATTCGGTATCTTGCGCGAGAGACGCTGCTTGCGTTGAAAGTCAGTCCTTACTGGACTCAACTGGGAGACTTATCTGACAGCGTTTTAGGCCAAATATCCTGATGCTTCTGAGGAAGTCTACGCGTCGTGTATAAGCCGACTTGTCTACTATCGCTACATTAACCCTGCGATCATGTAAGTGCTTTGTTACGGATGACTTAGATTTATCTGACAAGGGTCCTTCTAGCACCCCGGAGACCTTCGACATTGTCTCGAACACCGTCGATATTGGCGCTCGCAAGAATCTCGCTCAGGTCTCGAAGGTGCTTACCCAGATCACGGGAGGTCGCGACTTTGGAGACGACATGCCGGCGTACATCCCCATCAACGACTTTGTCCGCAAGTCTGTGCAGCAGGTCTTTGCGTGGCTCCTAGACGGTTTGCATCAGCTCCCGGTTTTCTTCCGTGACATGTAGTCTGACTTGGTGGAATCAGTCGCCGATGTACCCGATGCCGAGTCTCAATATCACGCACACGAGTTCCTCGACGCCACCGTACAGCCGAAGCCCATCTATATCTCGCCCAATGAAGTGTATGCCATGCATGCGCTTCTCGCACAGCACTTAGAACAACTGGTCAGCCCTGACCCTTGTCGATTGTACAAAGAGTCACTAAATTTTTTATACATTAGGCTCCTAGTCGAGATGACGTCCTGCGTGTGATCCTGACCGAGCTCGATGGTGTACCACATCTGGGCAACGACGAGCTGAAGGACGCGAGGGACCGAGCGATTACCCTCGATCTCACCAACCGCTTCGCGCACGTTCGTGGTGAGTATATCTACCTGCACTTCGACCCGGGTTCACCTAACCCTTGCTCTCCCTACAGACCCCCGCGCAGATGAAAAGACTTTGTGGATCCAGGCTAAGCGGACAGTCCTCGCGATTTTGCGCGTGCAGCCTGGCAAGGACCTGGTCGAATCTCTGATGCAACCTGTGACTGAGGAGGATGAGGTGACTTGGGAGGAGGTTCTCGAAACGGAGATGGCGTCGGACCATAAATTGCGACACCCTGCCCGTATGCCATCAAGCGCTGCTCAAGAGTCAGCCTATCGACTCGAGGATATTCGATCGTACGCATGTTTTTCTCACATAGATGAGCTCGAACTCAATGATGTTGATGTTTCTTAGGCTATCCTTCCGCGAGGTCAAGGCGCATGCTATCTTCTTCTTGCTCGAACTGGAGAAGATAGGGAAGATCACGCGTGACGATGGATATCAAGGCATTCTCAACGCTATTGCTGGTGATGTTCGTTCCAAGCATCGGACGCGACTCCAACGTCAACAGGAAATCAATACCATGTCCGAGGCCTTGACTCATCTGAACCAGCGCAAGAAGGAGTTCGAGGAACAGATCAACAGCTATAACAACTATGTTGAGACTGCTATGGCCACCATGCAGCGAGGCAAAGGGTAGGTCTATTTGTTACGTTCAGACCCGTCCTTTGCAAACTTAGACGTTCGTTCGCCGCAGGAAAAAGCGTTTCGTCATGCCCTTCACGAAGCAGTACTTCCACCTCCGAGACCTACAGCGCTCAGGCAAGACCCCGCAGTTCGGGTCCTTCAAATACAGCGCACACGACCTCTACGAGAAGGGAATCCTTCTCTCCATCGACCAATACTCACCCCGCCAGTTCGACAAGATCGACCTGGTGTTGTCTTCGAACGAGGTCGGCGTATTCAGCGTCGAAGCTTTCAACCATGCACTCGGGATCACCAATCGCTTGTTCACCGAGGATATCCGGATGGAAGATCTCTTACAGGCTCAGTTCCAGGACAAGGCCTCCCTCTCCTTATTTAATGGGCACGCGAAATTCAATCTCAATTTGTTGCTGTATCAGATTAACAAGAAGTGAGTTCTTCGTTCGTGACAAGTGGCTAACGAGTCACTGACTCTTCGCGTTTCTGTCCCTGTCCCCAGATTCTATGTATGAACACAACTTTGCATCTCTTACCTTGCTGTTTGCACTCTGTTACGTCGTAGCTATATTGATGACCATCTCATGTTTTCTCTCTCTCTCCCTCTCTCTCAATTTTTGTTATCGCTGAGTTCTGCATATTCATGGCCGTCCAGACTGCTTCGCTCATGATCAGCCCTTCCTAGCTTGTCTCACCATCAGATTTTTTTTCTCCAAACCCCTATATTCAATCCACTGCTTTCGTCCAAAACTGACCATTATCCTCGCTTGAGGTTGATTACCTGTCTCCACTAATATTAGTGACTTCCACGCACTGGTCGAAGTCATCGCCTCCTTTAAGGCTGAATGAAGACACGATTATGATCCATCATTTAAGCCTTCTAAAATTGTCGGCTTCATATGTACTGGCCATGAGCAGACAGATGACCACCACATCGTGGGTGGGATTCATGATACCTAGACATTGGACAGTCTACGTCGAACCTCCTAGATTTTGATGACTGCTTGTGGTACTTGCATCCCACCACTGACTCCCGTACTACAGGAGGCACGAAGTCATTGCACAAGGTAAGTTTGTCTTGGTTTGTACACTCGCTGTTTCTACCGCGCTCAACTAGTCGGCCGCACAGAACAGTTTACACTCTCGAAGCTCTCAAAAACTCGTGCCCGACTACAATTGACATCATATTTGGTCACTATGCCACTAACTCGTTAAACCCTCCCCATCTCTAGACCACTCTCGTATTGTTAGAAAACGGTCTGACCATCTGCGTACTCCCACACGAAGTAAGTAATGTTTCTAGAAAGATGTGATTCTGCTCTTTCTCACTCACCAGGGATTACATCTTGGGCGACAAATCCGTCGAATACGTCTGTGTCTTCCTGGGTCTGGTTGGTGCCTGCAGGAGGGTCGTACGGCGTCTCTGGGTCGTGATGATTGCATAGGTAGAGGTCAAGAGCGACACGACCGCTACACCTATAATTTATACGCAATCGATTGAGCATATGATCAGAACCGAGTAATCTCAGCGAATGGGCGTACCATAACGCGGCGGTTCCACAAGTGACCCCTAGGTATGCCTTCGAGTTAGATGGGTTGCGTGAGGCGAGGATACATGTCGTTCCCAACACTCCGCATAGGCTTCCAGGGTCTCTTCCGCACCTACCGAGTCTGCCTGTAGTGGGGCATAGGGGAGAACTCGTTGTTGTCGAGTTGTCTGTGTATGCAGGGAGGGCGAGGGCTTGGAGCAAGCCGGTCGAGAGAATTGCGAGGCTGCATGTCCAGTGCAATTTCATGGTGGTGATGGCGAGCTCGGAAGGGGGTACGTGAGCACGGTAAGTTATCAGGTCTTTGAACCGTCCTCATTTGTCCCCACTTCATAGCCTCTTATTCACTGTTCACATATATCGTGACAAGCGCCTTCAATCATCCCGGAGTGGAGCATCATGGATCGACTAATGTAAATCCCCGGTGAGCGTAGATCCTTCCCCTATATCTGCTACATGTCACAGTATGGGTCTGATAATGCAAAACAATTCGGCAGGGTTTTCTGTCGCACAGCTGATCAGCCTGACGGCCTAAGTTGTCGGTGGGTATGCGTCGAAACAAAGACAATTGAATGTACTGGTGAGCATGGGAGCTGCACAATTCGATCGAGATGACTCGGAACACCGACATTTAATTTGGTGATCGAGCTATCACTCTGTATAGCCCGAGGCTTTGTGTCCAGTAAAGGCATGGAGTCAACAACGAAACCCGAGTGGGTATCAAGGTGGTGCTCAATACATCATCATCCCCTGTAATCCATTTTTTTAACCCAACTTGTAGTCTTGGGGGCGGATTCGCCTCCATGCAAGATGCTCGCAAAGATGACTCGATCGCTCTTAGACAGCCTCTTTCAGCCTCTTTCAGCCTCTTTCAACCTCTGACAAGCCTAAATGTTATCGTATCACCTGATGGGCAAGAACGGCCCTCACGATCTCCGGGTGCCAAGAACGTTTCGGGCATCTTCTAGCTATTTTCCAAAACGCAAATCTTATGCCTGCGTTGTAGTGCTATGCATGCGTCATATGGCATCTCAGCGTCTTTGCTGGTTTCTCAATGAACGGAAATATTCGCGACCTCGGATTATTGGGCTATAAAATGCCCATTTCCCAAGTCCCAGTCCCCGCATCCTCACAATCAAAAACCCAGTAATCAGTATTCATCCTGCGCATCCGAGTCAACCATGCAGCTCCAAGCCCTCCTCACCTTTTCCATCCTCGCTGCCTGCATGGCCGTGACCGCGCTGCCCAGCAGCGACACCGTGAAATACGGATCGGGCTCATCCTTCGTCGAGCGTGCCCCCGCCGCCTTTGGAAACTGTAACATTGACCCTGGAGCCATCTGCGGTACCCTCGCCACCGCTTGTGCCGGTGCTCTCACCGATTCGGACGCGAGTGTCGTTTGGCAGACTATCACCTGTGTCTGTGCGGGTCTTTGGTGCGTTGGACCATCTTGCTCTCGGACGCAACTTGTCCGTTATGCTTATACATTTGCTCCTGCGACTTTTATCCCTTTGGGATGGTTGTCTATAGGTGTGGGGCATCGATCCTTCTTGACCTGCTATGCTGCGTGGGCAAGTTGAACACGGCGAGCTGCCAGTCGAGCGGAGGCAGCCAGACTTACACAGGCGATAAAGACGTCGATGCGACCCAACGCATCATCACCGATATCTCCTCAGACGGAGGCCCAACGTTCGACTACAGTGGGTCCCTCTTTCCCTCTTTCCCTCTTCCCCGAGTCGATACATACATCTGGCATGCTGACTACCGTTCCCAACTTAAAAACCGCACACTGGTAGGCGAGCTCTTTTCGGCCATTGAAGTCTACGGCGGCGTCACACTCGAGGGTAACACGCAGTACGAACAGATCGTGATGGATATAATGGCTGGTATGACCGGTTCGGTACGTTTCGACATACATACATAGCCTACGGCCGGTCTGTCTGAGAGAGGCTGATGCTCTACTCTCGATTTCTAGTCTAGCGGAAACGCGGACGTCAACGCTCTTAATAACTATCTCACTCAGAATGGCCAGAATGAAGGGTTCGGCGTGTGAGGGGTTATACTAAGCAGTGTGGACGGTGAAGGGAAGGGTGGGCGGTCGGGCAAGCTTCGTATACAGTGTCGTTGATTTATGGCTGTTTCTCGTCTAAATTCTCGTTTCTCACCCGAACTCCTCGCTTTCCTCGACTCAGATCCGACTCATGGTTCTGTGAAAAAAAACAGGTGAGAAATGTGTATATATCCGCGGGAAAGCAGTCGTATCAAAGTCGTATACAAAGCATCGGGAAATATCATCTTGCCCGACGCACTTTTTCCTGTCGACCTGTATAGAAAGGGTGTTCTTTCGTGATGTCGTTTCGTATCGCTGCAGCGCTGAATACGCATTCACGGTACGGAGTGCTATTCAGGAATAAGAGAAAGATCTCTGCTCTGGAGTCAAAAACCTGCGTCGCCTTTTCGGCTTGTTTAATGTGAATCACAGCCACATGGATTTGTTTCTGTTGCAGGAAACCCAACGTTCTCGCCGCGTCTTGAAGTGGCCAACGGCTGGTTCGATCTCATGACCTCTCGGAAGAGGAGTTATTGTTGAGGAATACCAACCACTAGACCACTGCGGCATTGATAGACTTGGGCGTACTAGTCATATATACGACTCTTTCGCTCTGATATATCGCGTTCTTCAGCTGCAATCTTCGTCTATCCTTGATGATCTATTTATTGTAAAGTAAAGTAATTGGTTTCACGAAGAATACAGCTGAGGAACATGATATATCGGAGTAAAAGAGTCGTATATATGACTAGTACGCCCAAGTCTATCAATGCCGCAGTGGTCTAGTGGTTGGTATTCCTCAACAATAACTCCTCTTCCGAGAGGTCATGAGATCGAACCAGCCGCTGGCCACTTCAAGACGCGGCGAGAACGTTGGGTTTCCTGTAACAGAAACAAATCCATGTGGCTGTGATTCACATTAAACAAGCCAAAAAGGCGACGCAGGTTTTTGACTCCAGAGCAGAGATCTTTTTCTTTATTTCGCGTATATGTAAAGTAGTTCGTATTGTGTGGTCAGCGTGGGCGTGAATACTTCGTGGAGACAGTAATCAGAGGTGGCGCAGGTGCTCAGATGTGGCGTTCAATCTCGGAGTCATCGTTCTGTTCGTCTGTTTTATTATCCCTAGTTGTTCTTAGTATATATGCAGAGAGCCAATAAGTAGATGGGAAGGGCAACAAATGAGAGCAGACGAGGATGTAACACTAGTTGGGCATTGGCAAACGTCGCCTTGGCCCTGTCCGTGGCTTGTCAGTAGACTCCTTCACCTCAATCACCGTCCTCTCAACCTCTGCTCCCCTCGCAAGCCCTTCTGAATCTGTAGAAACACCTTTCCTCGCCGACGCCAACAACCCACCAACCTTCGCCAAAAACCCTTGCGCCGCCGTCCTGACCACCTGCGCCGCCTCCTTCCCCGCCTTCGAGCTATCCGCCTTGACCACCATCGCAGCCAACCTCTGATGCTCACTCAACCCCGCCTTAAACGTCGTCCTAATCCCCTGCAAATCTAACTCCCCTCTCGTAGCCCCAACCTCCTTCCAACTCTTGACCACATCCTCCCCAAACGCCTCCAACATCTCCACACACAGCCCCGTGTCCTCCGCCGCCGCTTCCCCCGAAGCCATCGCAGCCCTAAACACCGACAACCACTCGCTCACGCTCAGCTCGCCTCCCTTATTGACCATCCAGCTCTGCTTATACTTCGCCCCTTCGTCCACCGCGTAGCCCGTCGCCATATAAAACACCCTCTTCGCGGCGGCAAAGTCGCCACAGGTCGCACAGATCCTCCACGCGAGAGTGTACACTTTCCTCGGAGGCTGACAACTCGGCCTCGAGCCTTCGCGCTGGAAAACCCAACTGAGCATCTTTGCTGCTTTCGTAGCCTGTGTTTTATCCCCCGCGAGGGCTAATGCGTTATGCGCGTATAAGGTTTCCATAGCGTGGGGGTAGACAAAGAGCTGAATACCGCCCCGTTTCGCGTTCGCCATGATCTGTTCGGCGTAATGGATGCAATGTTCTGGTCTGCGGACCGTGTTGGCGTATTGGAGGATGGTGAGGAGGGAGTGGTGCTCGAGCGGGACCGTCTGGGTGTGTGCGGATTTCTGTTTTCGAGTCTTCGGGAGCGCGTCGTCCGGACCTATGAGTCCGAAATGGTCGCGGATGATGTCGAAGGCGAAGTCGGGGTCGCCTGAAGGCGCGGGACCGGCGTGAGAGAATATTTTGATGAGGGAGGAAAGGATGCGTTCGTTCATGACGAAGGACGGGTCTTTCTCCATCGAACGGAGCATCCGTCGCCAGACGTACTTCGCCTCCAGAGCCATGGCTTTTCGTGATTCTGAGTCCGAGTCGTTCGTGTCTAGGTGTGATCGTCGTCTAGATAAAGCGTCAAGGAGAGAGCCGTAGATGAGTGCGCCGGCAGCGTGGGGACCTTCGGTAGGGAGTTCGTGGAAGACGTCGAAAGCTTTTTGGAAGAGCCCTGCGCGGCCGAGGACGGTGATGTAGAGGGCTACGGGGAATAGGACTTCGGTGGCATCGTCATCGGCGTGGATGCCCTTGCCGGTCAGGTAGGGAGAGTATTGCTCGTAGAGGAGGTGTACATGATCTAGCTGTTTTGAGTATTGGGACCAGTCTTCGATGCGACAGTAGCCTGACATCATGGAGGAGTATGTCCTCAGGTTGGGCACAAAGCCGCGTCGTTTACACTGTACAAAAAGTACTTCAGGATAAGTATGAGTATGAAATTGTGAAGAGTAGAGAACAGCGCACGTCTACGAACAGTTCCCAAGCAAGCTTGTACCGGCGAGCCTTGAAGGCCGAAGTGATCATGGCATTCCAGACTTTGATGTTCTGCGCATCGAGAGGTGCGTTCTTGAGCATGTCGACGGCCTCGTCCATGGCGCCCTTATCGCATAATCCCCTCAAACGTCCCGCAAGGGTATATGGACTCAAGAGCCATTTGGTGTCCGCAGGATTAGTATCGGTGGATGGGACATCTCGCCGATTCTTCGTCTGGGTAAGGACGGCCTTGACTGTGGTAGGGACTGGTTGGGGAGTATATTCCGAACGTTTGAGGTCCTTCTTCTTGAGGTTTCCACGGAACTGCCAGTGCGCGGTGGATGAAGATGCGAGGAGGGGTGTCGAGGAGGAAAAGGAACGAGAGCAGACTTTGTTGTGAGCGACGGAACGAAGCATGTCTGCCGCCTTCACGCGACTCGCGATGTTTTGCTCGCGCCTTGCCGCCACACGCCACACCACCTCTCTTTCACCCGAACCTCATCCTCGGTTTCTCCTCTTCCATGACCTTCTCTATGACCTTGTATTGTCGGACGTGCTCATCTGATGCTCTTTTGCTTCTGCAAAGCCCGAGGTTGTGTCTGGATACACAACAAACGGTCGCCATATGGGATATTGATCCCCATTGCATCGCCATCTCTTAGTCGCATGGACCATCATCTCGGATTTGTTCGTGCTGCATGACCTCCAACGCACCCTTCGGTCTACAAATCATATCCGATCAACGGACTGGCATGGCCATTCTTTGCCAGCTCGAATGGATCTTAGTATTACACGCCTCTATTCCGTCCACGTCAGCGTTTCAATTCCTCCGACAGTTGCTATATAACCTCCCATGTGCCCGCTCTGGTTCTGCTTCCCCTCTGAGCTTTCCGTCTACGACACTTGAGATCTTGTACTAAGGAGACTTCAGAAAGAGATGCTATCAGCCACTTTCTCCGCATTTTTCTTCTTTGCCTGCGCGGCATGTGTTCTCGCCATACCTACATGGGAGAACTTCAGCTCTCGGAACTCGATGGGGGACTTCGTCCCAGGCGCGTCTGTCATCGAAGCCAAAGGAGGACCCTACGGTCGGACATTAGCGTTCTACCTATCCAACACATCTCCACGAGGTGAGTTGATTTCCATCAACCACCACTCATCTCTCGAGTACTCAAAACGCACATATATCTCGTATTGTATCTAGGTACACCCGGTAACGCCACCCTCGAACAAACCTCCCTCCAAACCGCCCCAAAACTCTTCATCGACAAATCTAAACTATACATGTACACCAACGACACCTTCATCCAGCCCGTCAACGTCCTCAATGTCACCTCCTCAACATCATCATCATCACAGTCAAACTCATACGACCCACTGGGCTACAAGCTCACCATCGGGGACGTCGACAAACCCGAGGGTCTGCCCTCTGCGTGGTCCTGGACGGGGACGGTCTTGAACTACGAGAGCGGGCTGTGGAGGAATCGGGGGATTTATTATTATTGTGTGGATAGGGGAATTTATTTGTGAGTTTCTTCTTCTTCTTTGAGGGTTTACTTGTTTGCTTGTTCTTGTATAAGGATGTGAGCTGATTTGGAGTGGTGTTTGTCTCTCGTAGGAGCTTCACACGACCTTCGCTTCATACGTGAGTTGTCGTCCTTCACAACCGACTGAGTTACAGTACTCAACGGTTTCTCCTAAACCTCCCTATAAAACAGCGACGCCGCACCAGAAGGTATATATATTTCTCACTCCTCCCACCCGCCCTCGCACTCACGATCACGCACTCACCCAAACGCACACACGATCACGCACTCACCCAAACGCACATAAATTACAGGCTGCTACGTCATCACCCTGCACAGCTACTCGCACCTCGCGCTCCTACAAGAGAAGGAAGAAGCCCAAGCACGGTTAGGCAACAATGGGAATGGGAATGGGGAATCCCAGTCGTCTTGGTGGTAGCAGGAGTAGCCGTTGTTGTATGATTTGAGTTTCCTCGACGTTTTTTCTACTATTTATCAGGGTTCATGGCATTGGGATAGCGGCAGTCCTGTACTATACACACACTTCATTATCATACTCAACTCAGACTCAGCCTCAGACTCACGACATCCCGTAGTCTTAGAGCACATCACATCATAAATTAAATTATCAACTTCAGATGCTCGGTTCCAGGTTCCAGGTTTTAGGTTTTAGGTTTTAGACCCCACGAATTCTCGTTCTACGAAATACATGGTCTGTCCACCACATCCGCATCCCCGTCCCCATCCAGCACTGTACCACCATCCCTACTATCCATCGCTGCTCCATTCCCTTCTACGGTTTCGTCAACCTCAAATCGACCCTCTTTACCGCCAAGCCGATAGCGAACAGACCAAGGAAAGCGGTCAGGACCGCTTTCGGTTTTTGGAGGTGTGCGGAGAGGGGGACTTTGTACGTTGCCTGTAATAATAATAACCAACAACATAGACATAGACACGGCGCGAACAAGTTAGGGTTAAGCATTTAATTTTAGAGGTGAGCATTTGGCAAAAATGTGAGTTTGTGTGTGGAAGTGGAATGAGGATGGCGAGGATGTATGAGGAGAATGAGGATGGTGAAACGCACGTAGATCGTCCCGGTGTGTCTGTCCGTTAGGTTTTGGTAGTGGAACGTGACGGCAGGTCGGCCGATCGTGTCGAGGTAAGTGACGTGTGTTGACATCGACTGCGAGAGGGCGGGGAAGGGAGGGAAGACCTCGATATCGCTACACAAGCACATTCAGATTCAGCACCTTCTACTCCTCCGACCGCTCACATCAAGAAAAAGAGAGAGAACTCACGTAGCCCCCTCCGGAAAGATAATCTTCACCTCCGCCTCATCCACCACCGCCCCAGGCAGCAACGTCTGCACCGGAACACCCACGACATACTTCCCCGTCGTCCTATCATACCCCGCCGAATCCCTCAACGGCGAGTCCCACCCGAGCGTGAAATTGTAGTTCCACCCGCCCATAATCGGATAGCGCGGCTTCAGTTCCAGAATGCTGTATTGGTTCGAAGAGGCGCCCTTGGGGACGGAGGGCACGGTGCGCAGGCGCGAGGTGGAGACGTTACCGTTCAGGTCGAGGAAGTAGGCGGAGTGGATGCCGGGGGGGAGGTGTAGTGTCATGGAGGGGAGGATGTGGGCGGGGAGTTGGCCCATGAAGGCTTGGGCTTGGTAGTCCATGCGGGAGAACTGACCTTTCAGCCTTTTCAATCACAAATCCGCATCATGAGTATCAATCACGAAAGGAGCGAAGGGGAGGGGAGGGGAAACGTACTTCGGCCCAGCGTTATGCAGGTCGATATTGTTGTGGATGTTCAGGTTCGCGCCCCAATGACTGATCTCGGCCATACGCTCCAGTTTCTTAATCTCCAACACGGTGAAATCATAGCGATAATGAACGGTTAGAGGTTTCTGGTTCGCCTGGATGAACTCTGTGCTGATTGACTCTGGGATGTTGCTGAACGGTCCGTAAGTGACGGTCGCGCCGGACTTGGTCGCGATACTGTCGGTCGCGAAGCTGTCGACGCCTTCGGGGGTGGTGTACGAAAGAATGTTGGGGCTCGGTGACCTATGTGCATGTCCAGGAGTAAATAAATAGAGACGCGGAAGTAGAGAGAGATAGACAGACCGAATCTTCGTTCGTTGGGTGGAGGTCTTGTACGGGCTAAGAACGAACAGTTCGGTGTCGTACTTAAAGTTCTGCTCGTCCTTCTGCGAAGCTTGTTGCGGCCAGGGATACGTCGCATGCGTCTGCACCGTCTCGACGACCAAATTGATCGTCCCATTCACGCTCAGAGCTTTCGGGAGATCAACGGTATACAGATGCGGGTGACTGCAACATGTCACCACAATTCCAGACGTTAGTTCACCTATGCGCGTCATATATGTATAATGTGTACGGGAACTCACCCGGTAGGATGTAAAGGCCTGGCATGCAAGCCCAACGGCTCGCTCTGTCCCTTAATCTTCGCCTCCATAAAGCTCGTCACAGCAGCCTCCTTCTCTCCCAACGCGATCGCATACTTCTGCGCGCCGTTCTCGAGAGCCTTGATGGCGTAGGTGGTCGTGACGTGGACGGAGGAGCCACCGAGGTCGACGGTGCGGACGATGGCCGCGTTTTCAAAGGAGTGCTCTGCGAGTGCTGATTGAGAAGAGAAGACGAAGAAGGAGGCGAAGAGAACGAGGAGGGGTGTTCGCCAGCGGACGGTCATGGTTAGGATTAGGAGAAGGATGCGCAGTGCTTGAACTTGGACGAGACACGTATTGGCCGTTCTATTTCTGTACCCACGCGTCGCGTCTTGCCAACTCAACGCTGTGGCACTATCCAATGTGGCCCAGCATATCCACACGATATTTTCAGAGAGGAAAAGAAAAGAGCAGGGATTGTGGGTGTATATATCTACTACCAGGCCCACGTCGCGCTCGGGTTCCTCAGAGGGACGTCCTCACGAACGATCCCAGCAGACACGATCCTCTTCAACTTCCGTTTCCTCTCCTCCTCCATCAGCTCCCTCCTCGTCTTGCCCTCCCTCAACACGACACTCATCTTCGAGTCCGGATGTTGTCGGATACCGTGACGTCCACGTCCCTTGGGCTCCAGTCTCTTCAGCTGTTTCGGGCCTTTGGTCACCCACGACTCCGCTGAATGATTCCGTCGCGTGAGTTAGAACGGCAAGCATAAAACATAGGAAGGGAAATGGGACGCACAGACGATCATCTTCTGCGGGTCGATGCCCTTCTTCGCCGCGTGCTGCTTCGCGAGCACCAACATGCTCTTTATCCGCTTGCTCGCCCGCTTCTCGCTGAACGTCATCTGCAGGATGGCATAATCAATCGGCTTCCCTGCGATCTGTCGTCCGAGCTTGTTCAATTTCCTGTGTGAGATCTTGAAGTTCGCGGTCGACATTTTGTGCTATAGCCCCAACACCGACAACAGCAGGAATGATAAAACCAATATGCGAACCAAAACAGAAACAGAACAACGTCAGAATAAAGCCGTCAGCAATCACGTATCACGTAGACGAAACCGCAACACCTCAAACCAACACCGAAGACAAGAAAAAGACTCACATGATCCGCAATCCGTCCGACCTTCATCTGCTCAACAACAGCCGCCTCCGGAACCGCCTGAGCCTGCGTAATATCAAAAATACTCCCCGTCCCCGCCTTCGCCGTCTCTTTCTCCTTGTCCCCGTCCTTCGCCTTCGGTTTCTCGCTCTTCATCTGCTTGCGCGGTTTAGGAGCCAAGAAGTCGCGGAGCATGTCGAAGGGGGACATGGTTGCGCTGGATGGGTAGTTGGAGTTGGAGTTGGATTTGTGTTAGTGGTAGTGTTGGTTATTGCGAGACGAGATGTGGTTTGTGTGGTATGGCACGGTATGGTACAGGAAAGGAAATGGGTGGAAAGGCATACGCACTGTCGTCGACCGCCATCCCAAGTCAAAACGCGCGATGAGGACGCGACTGGGTAGGGCTTCAGAGAACGACTGAGCTGTGCCACTGTTCGCGGTTCAAACAAATAAACAAACGGAAATCATCAGCTCGACTGTGCTGTCTGTAAAGTAAAATACGAGAACATGAACGTACCATGACGCACACTCCGTGTCGCCAGAGGAAACATCTTGCTGAGAGAGTTATCGTCGAACGGTGATGGTGGCTAAAAGTAAAAGTCCGCTCAGTTCCAAATTTAGCACGGCCCAACACGTCGACTTGGACGCGCGCGTCGTGTCCTCACTCACAGCTTCTCCTCCATCCTCTTCCATCCTTAATATCTGGCGTAGTGTAGGCCACCCACAGACCGCCAATCATGCCAAGTTTCGGCGGGATCCTCTATGTCGTTCTTCTCTTCATCAACTCCATGGCCGTCCTCAGCGAGGACCGTTTCCTTGCACGAAGTACGTCCTTTCCCTCCCTCCCTCCCTCCCTCCCTCTCCATCTTTCACCCACTCCTCATCCCACTCATCCTCTTCTCTTTCTCTTTCTTTTCCTTTTCGTTTCACACAAAAGTCGGCTGGTCCACCGTCCCAACGCCAAACAACCCAACCGTCGGCTTCCAACAGCCATACGACCAATACGGCGGCAGCGCCGGCGGCGTACAGGATATCGGAGTGAAGGGACGACTTATTAATCTTATTGGAGCGGTGCGGACGCTTATGCGAAGTATGTACAATTCCTATCGTATATTATTCGTACACAAGAAAAAAAGGGCTAACGGAACGCTAAATACGAACTCTGTGTGTATGTGAATCCACTCCCCTCCCCTGCGCCTCGCCACTCCGCCACATGTGCTACGTCAACTCGCGCTCGAATATGTTACAATTTGACATGGGATGGGACGAAAAATAGTACCACTCATAGCGTTCAATCTCGTTGTAATCGGCTACGAACTCATCCTCGGGTGAAGATGCGACGACGGAAATGATCATATCATCATACTGCCTCTGCCCTCTGCCTCGCTTCTTCCTTCCACTTCCACCGTCCCACTTCCACTTCCGGTTCCACCGTCCCACCGCAGTCCGTCAAGCACAAGCACTTTCCGCGGGGTCATGTTGTATGATTCGTGAGAATGTGGATGATGAACGCATATCAAGGATCAAGATGAAGGATCAAGAGATGAAGGAAAGGAGAAGGAGGTATAAAAAGGAGTCATAGCAAGAAGAAGGAGAGAGAAGGGGTGTTATTCGTGGTCGTGGTTGCGGTCGTGGGCGTGCTGGACTGGGTTATGGGTTAGGGATGCGGACGACCCATTCCTTAGATGAGGTCATCGAGAGTGAGAGCTTCCTCGTCGACGAGCGCCAGGCCGTTGAGCTTCTGGTATTCGTTGTTAATCTGACGGATGAAATCTCGAGCGGCGTGACCGTTCTGCATGAGACGGTCAATTGTATCATCGGACTGAATATATGAAGAGAGAGAGAGATCCGCAACGTACCTCGCATTTCTGCCACGTCCCGTCATGAATGCAAACCTGCTCCCCATTAATAATCACCGTACAACTTTTCCTACACCCATCCAATCGCATAAGCACACTCCCTTTCAATAAAATCCACTCGCGAAATAAAAATGAAAGAAACACATACGTAACCCCCAACGCCCTCGTCCTAACCACACTCTCCCTCAACATCCCCACCCCCTCCTCCGCCCTCCCACTCCCATCCAACCCCGCACACCTCCCCACCCCGCTCGTCTCCCAATCGATTCCGGACGCCCGTGCGCACTTCAACGCGACGTCCGCGTTGCCGATCCGGTCCCGCGACTGGTAGTTCTGGCACATCACGAACTCCCACCAGGTCTCGAGCGGCGTGTATTTTTGCGCGCAGAGCTGTTGGACGTTTCCGGCGCATTCGGAGGGACCGTGCATGCAGGTTACGCCGAAGTCGGGTTCGGAGGCGTTGACGCTAAGGGCAATGGTAATAGTGATGAAATGACGAGTTACGGGTTGAGAACATGAGAGAAGGAGAGAAGGAGAGAAGGAGAGAACGGCTACGTACGCCCCGACAAAAGTCAACGAAAATTCAACCTTATCCCTCACTTTCTTCAACACCTGATCAAAGACAGCCTCACAAAGCTGAGCATCTAATCAATCCTCCCACAAACGGGTAACGTCAAAGCACAAGTGTCAACTTCATCCATGGATCCTATGAACAGATGGTTGAGGGCCAACAACTGACCTGGGCAGCGGGACATGACCCCCAGCGTGACCGGGACTTTCACATCGTCAAATGGACTTGGCGTAGTAGGATTAGTCGTGAAAGGTTCTTGAGCTCCAAGTGGGTTCAACATCAACATAGCAGACGACGCCGCGAGAATGGGAAGAGAGGAAACTAAAGCGAACAGGAAAGTAGAACTGAACATTCTGCTTATTTTTTTGAGAGTGCGTCGGGGTGGACGATGAGCAAAGAGGCTCTGAGCAAGCAAAGGCGAGGTGGAGGACCCGGCCAGTCCTCTTTGTATGGAAGGTAGATAAGATTAGCTCATGGCGTCATCGTCCACCATTGCGCGCCACGATCGCATTCACGGCCCGCTGCTTTGGCGCATTTCTCGCTGTGTCGAGGGCTTTGTGAGGTGTCAGAGACTGAGTATTTCAGGTTTTGAAAAGTGTAACGTATATACTTTTTTTTTTATAACGAGATGGAAATGAAATGGTGCTAAGGTTACATCCGATGCTGTGAGACGACGACGAAGACAACCGCAACTGCGACGATACTCGGGCGCAGAACAATTTTCGAGCCTGAGCCTATGATCGTTCTTGGGCAGCCTCCCACCATTTCCGAGCCTCCACCTCCGTCGGCGGTGGTGAGAAATACCGGCAACGCGATGTAAACGCTAGACAAGGTACGTACCCGAATCAGTCATCCAAATCAAGGGAGTGGGGAGCGAGGCGAACGGCAAACGTGAAAGTCAATCCACAGGACAGGAAAAGGGCTTACCATCAAGGGATCGGCGGCGAACGATCTTCTCGACGGCGAGCTCGTTATGCACTTGATTTCGCTGATATCATGATTTTGATTCGAATGGAAGGGCGAACGAGCGAATGGACAGCAAAGCAAGTGGATAGACGACGGGCAAATGGGCGAACGGGGAACAGGATGTAGCGTATCATTGTTGGTGTTGGACTGCAATGGAACGCACCTTGACCTCCTCGGCAAACAACGCACCCTGGATCTTCCTCTGTCCTGCCGGATCGTCTTCCTTCTCCTGGATGACCGTCCGTTTTTGCTCCATTGATTGATCCACGACGCCCACGCAATAGTCGATAATCTCGGTCCGTCTTCGCCAGTTCTCTGCACAGCAAAGAACCAAACCAACAACGGGAGAAGCAATGCAGAGAAGGCAAAGGCGGTCCCGGCAGAACAAGAAGACAAGGCTATTTAGGCTCAGACCGAAACACGACGAGGAGACCGGGCTCACCGACGAGTTCTTTCCATACATACAAACATGCTTGGTCTTGGACGGTCTGACTCATCTTCCCACCGGAAGAGGAGGGCGCCAGGCGATCCTTGTCACGAAACTGTGCGTTCGTCCGATTCAGACGCATGGTGATTGAGTCATCCAGTCGGCGATACTCTTTCATCAGCTCTGGGTATCAAGGACATGATTCATCATTCCATCAGTCCATACCATCCGTGTACAGCCAAAGTAGACAAAAGACCCGAGTTCAAGGACAAAAGGCAAGGCAGCAGCTCGGGGTGGACGGACGGACGGACGGACCTTTGAATACGGAGAGATTATGACATGTCGACGGGGAGACGTGGACGACCTGAGGTGTGAGCGAGGGTGCTTGAACGGCAAGACTTCCCAATTCTGGCGAGCCTCGAGACATACAAAGCTAGAGCCGAAGATTGAACAAGACAAGACAAGTACAGGCTATATGGGTGTAACTCAGCGTGGAAATCCAACGCAAAGTTGAGTGGCGGCCTTCGAACCGGCGGCGAGACAGGGCCTCCACTGACGATCGCGCCACGCGACTTCCATTTCCGTGATCGTCTGGCTCAGCGCAAAGCGCCATCTCAACTGGGCGCACCGGCATCCCGGCAACTGGGTGGCGTGTCAATCTCTGGCGCCGGTTTAGTCTCCCCATCCTTGTTCCCGGGGTCCCAGTCCTCTCTCCAGTCTTCTCTTCCCTTGCCCCTTGCTCCCAACTCGCTCCGTCAGCCTTTCTTTTTTCCGCGCTAAACTTGCGCAACGCATCCGCATCTCTTCTCTGCCTCGCTCTTCTTCTGATGCTGTTAGACTATGCTGCGCTCATGAGAAAATATGTCCACGGAACGAGAATCTCATGACAGGAGCGTTGTAAACACCGGAGACGGGCGTCTCTCGATGGTTCATTGCCCTGGGCTTCTCGCGAACTCGAGACGCTGGCCGCGCACAATACAATGGGAGTGAGCATGTGGGCGGCATCCTATCACTCCTATCATCTTCTCCCTCCTGGCTCATCATCTCTTGTCGCCAAATATGGCCGTGCATCTGGACGCGAGCAGCCCGTCCTCTGGGCTTCGAACCTCGGTGCTCCAACGCGTCCGACTCCCAGGAGGCACGCCACTCGCACTGATTTAGATCAGAAGGAAGTTGAACGACACAAAAAGAAGGGCAGTGCCAGCCTGTACTTGGCTGCCTGCCTGCGTGTCCGAGTCTGCCACGATTCAGAAGGCCTTTGCACAGCGAATAGCGAATAGATAAGTTATCGATTACAAACTCAAAACCCAAACGAAACCATGCCTGCTATGTACATGGGTGGCGAAGACAATTACATGGTGCTGAACATACAGTCCGAACGAAACGCGAGGCTCGCTGAAAGGGAGAACTGCATCAGATAACGAAAACAAATAGACTAGCTAGTACTCGGTCTGATCAACATCACCATCGACACGAGGAAGAACAAAGGGAAGAAAGACTTTTCGTTTGAGTGGCAGGACAGGAACGTACGACAACAGCGCAGAGCAATACGAAAAAGATACGAAAACAGGTCAAAGCACGAGGACGAACAAGATAACACGACGCAAACACGACGGACGAACAAAGGAAAGATACACGGTAAGCAAGCGGAGTGGCACAAAAAAAGACAACACGAGGTCCGATCTACTTTATTAAGGCTACGATCAAAGCCGAGGGGAGTGGCGCGATGGCGGGTCTAGCCTATTCATGTTCAACGGAGGTGACGGAGGGACTACTGGAACTCGATATGCTGAATGCGACCGACTCATGTGGAGCGAGGTGGCCATTGTCGGCTTTGAACTTCTTATGGCTCTTTGAAGGGCGATAGGCATGATGCCTCGTCATGTGTTTATGCCTCTTGGAAGGATCTTTGAACCTCTCGCCACAAAAATTGCAGGCGTGAGGCTCCTCGCCTGTGTGAGTGTTCAAGTGGCAGCCTTCAAAAGATTATGAAGTGTGAGGACTTTGTCGAGCGCGAAAAAGACAAAGGCACAACGCACCTGCGACATTGCTGCGCTGGGTGAAAGTCTTCCCGCACCAGGTGCACATGAAGCGCTTGATCTTCCTACAGTGCCACGAAAAACCGACATCAGCGCGGGAACCAAAGAAATCGGAAGAAAGGTGACTTACAGATGGGTGGCCTCGATATGGCGCTTGACGAGATGCTTCTTCGAGGAGTATTCGCAGATAGCGGTCTCCCCATTCTTCCTCGTCTCCCAGGTACAACACCACGGGGCACTCGAGCCCTCCCTCGTCTTCTCCACATGCTTCAACCATTCCTTCGCATCGTAAGGAATAGGCAGCTCGACAACCTCGAGCTTGACTCCGTCTTCATTGTAGAAGAAGCCATCATCGTCCGAATTCAAGTTGCCGTCACTGCCGACGGTGGAGGGAGGTCTAGTGGTGGTTTTAGCAGCGACGGCGGCGCGCACATCAGAAGCCGAAGCTTCGGCGGGACGAGAAGCCTTGCAATTGGTGGCCTTCGCCGCCGAAGGACGACGCGCGTCCCGGGCGGACTTCGACGTGGCCTCCGTCACCATGGTGTCCGGCGTCGACCGTTCTCCGCTGTCGCGGGAAACAAAGCATCATCTGAATTAGTATACGTACTCGGGCGTGACGAAAGGGCAAAGACGCGCGAGGCCCAAGCGAAGGGATCATTGAAACTGACCTGGACTCTTCCGAATCTGGGCGATATTCGTCGCTGTCACCATCAGAAGACCCGTCTTTGTCCCTGAAAATAACATTGACCAATGAATGAGTTGTCGAGAACAAAGGAGCGGATCATTTATAATTCAGGTACTCACTCGAAGTCCGCAGGGAGCTTGCGCTTTACGGGAATCTCAGAGCGGCGCACTTCTGTGCGACTGTCAGGACGGACTGGGTTAGCATGCCCGCCGATCTCAATAAATAACTAAAGAAGACGTACGTGGTATAGCGGGAGTTACGCTCCTCGCGATCGTGCACAGGCCTAGAAGGTGCGCTATAAGGTCGGGACGTCACAGAAGGTGGCGGGGGAGGAGGGTATGAATAGGAGAACGGCTGCGAGGTCGGAGGATAGTATTGAGGCGAAGGTGGGGAATGATAGCGGGAATGCCTCTCCTCTTCGTGAGAGGTGTGGCGCTCCGACGGGGCTCGACAGCTCTCGTAAGGGCAGCAACTAATTCATACATGTCAGACAAAGGAAGGTATATACTGTGATCATAAACTACCAACCTATCAGTGCACTCGGCACACGGAACGGCTTCAGGAGCACGTCGCGATGAGTGGCTAGAGTGCCTGTCTTGGTACCCATACCTGGTCGGGTCAAGGTAGCTGGAAGGCCGTCTATGTACCACGGGTGGCGTCAACATGAGGTTCAAGGTAAGTATCACTGCCAATGATATCACTCACTGATAGTGCGCATCTCTGAGAACCCTTCGAAGTGCGTCTTGTCTGGCATCGGCGTGCTCTGGGCTCACGTCGGAAGCGTAACGAGATGATGAGATTGCGGTCGAGTCGGATGGGTGGCGTGGGTTGATTCCCTCGTTCCTCAAGTGCTCGCGAAGAGGTGGAAGTGATCTATCACTATGTTGCGAGTCACCTCGCTTGCAAATGCTCGGGAGGGGTCTAAGGAACAAAGGATTTTGTTAGTTCACGGGTGGCGCAGGGGGTGTGGTCATAGAAGCATCGAGTGAAGTATATATCGTTGATGAAGGGCATCGAGAGGTGCAACCCCTTTGTCGTTGACGATGAGAATACAGGTGAGTACTCACGAGTATGAATAGCTAGTGTCTTCAGACGACATTGAGACGACGCTCGGTGAAGGGGATGGGCGGTTCATAGGACGAAATTCGCGCTCCGGGTACAGGGACATGGCGAAGGAGGGAAAAGATGTTAAAGAAGCGAGGAGGATCCTCGCGCGCTCTTAAAGGGCTGAGTGACACCATCGAGCGCCTCCGGGGGGCGGCCTCGCACGAGTGTGACTCCGGGAAACAAGAAGGTAAGGGAGCAGGCCTCAGGCCTGAGATTCGAACGCTCGCCTTCGAACTTCCTTTTCCGTCACAATGATGGGCATCACGCCGGGTGAACGTCCGTTGTGTTCGAGAGCCTAAACAATTATTCGGGAGATCTGAGCCGAAGGCCCAAGTAACGAGAGGGAAGGGACCCCGTCGACCGAGCTAAGCGAACTACAAGGGACACCATATACAGAGCGCCCCGTGGCCGTTCGATCGATGCGATGGGTCTTTGCCCAGCTGGAAAGTAGACGCCTACATCTCAATTTCCTCCTCGGTATTAGAGGTCCCAGCTCGGAACTCCTTGCTGCTTCCAGGCTCTTATTTACGTGTCGCACGCCTGTGGCACAAGGCCAGGAACCAGGGATCGCATGACTATTTCTTCGGGCTTCGAACGCGCCGTCCCCAGCCGAACATACGATAGGCAGCAGCGCAGGCTGGCTCGCAAGTCCTCGGATACGAGAAATATGTTACGAAAGACAGTAAGCCGGCGCCAACCACTCATCATCACCAGATGCAAAAGATGATCGAAGGTGGGAGGGGCAAACTCATGGGCGAAGATGGCGATAGATAACCTGCCGTTTGGCAAGTAGAAGAGGCAGTATACAATTGGGAAGCGTTCTGGGTGGAACAGGACAGATAATCGAGCCTAATCCCTAACCAGTGATGGCGACGGATTCGACGTGAGAAGTTAGATACCATAAGAGGGGAGCGCCACTCACCCGCGATACACAAGGACCCATCGCGACGAGTTGTTCGACGCGAGTTTTGCGTTTGAGTTGTGAGATCCAAATACAACACACCAAATACATTGGAAATAGAAAAAGAGAGAAAGCGGAGGGAGAGATCTGCTTCTTCACGACTGATCGTCAGCTGTACCTGTTACAGCCCCAGGGAAATTCGCCGTACTCCAGTCTTCTTCGGCATTGACTTCTGGAATGGGACTGGAGTCTCTCGTGCCGTCTCTCGGGGCAGTGGTGCCGAAAAGACCAGCAGGCATAGAGCGAGTCTGCCTGAAAGACTCCGAGGCTGTCCGTGGGAGTTGCTTCGTTGGTCGGGGTAAAGCAAAGGACTCGCCGGCGACGCCATTCGTCCCAACTTTCTCCTCGCCAACACCATCACCAATCTGCGCATCAACTCCTCCATCACGACCTGTTTCATCTTCAACCTCTTCTGCTATGGGGCGCTTGAGGACAGATGAGGATGACGCAGCTCCAGGCCTTCCCTGCGACTGAGCATAAACCTGTTCGAGAGTATCGTTCGCGGAGCAGAATATGGAGGGGCGCCCTCCATATAGTACGTGAGGGCTCGATGCCGTGCGAGAGAACGTTCGCGGGGAAGATGCGGAAAGCCTCGAGCGATCTGTGGCGTATCCTTCGTTCACGCCTGTAAGTAACGAGGAATTTGAATCAGCTATGCCACTGGCAGCTTGTTGAGACGCGTATTTACGCGTCTTTTTGCAAAACGAAGTAAACTCACTCCTCCTGACGCGTGATCCTACGTTTTGGAGTCCCAGCAACAGGTCGGCGGGAAGGCTGTTGTAATTGTGCAGACGCGTCGAACAATTAGAAGACCAACACATCGGACCGAATATTACGGATATACTCACCGATCATGAGCAGAGCTAGTAAAAGAAGTCGTCCTGGACGCCTGTCCTTCCTCTGTAAAAACGCGCTTAGCAGGATTACTGTCCATTGTGGCTGACAGCGTAAGAGCGGAAGTCGTGCAGTGGGATTCGTCGAATAGGCGCGCGTCGAATACGTGAGCCCAAGCGACTGCGAGTTGAAATTGGCCGGATTGGGTGGCGTGATCTCACGCGCCTTCCGGGCGGCAAGCCGATGGAAATGGCGCCACACTTTGATAGACGCCGAGGTCCAGGAGACGGGTGGAGCCTCTCTGGTTCCCGAGACACCCACAAACCACCTACGACTTGTTGATCATCCACGGCGGGTCAAACTCGAGGATACCGAAGTGATTTGATGCTTTCAATGATTTGCAAAAAAAAATGGCTAATACATTACTATTGGTGAGTGCGGAAGTATTATACAGTCAGTGCGTCTTCTAAGCACTGGGTGGCGCTCGAGAAGATACAAATGATGCCGTATAGCTACAGGGTCGTTCAATACAGGAAGTGCAGAGGATGCCCAGCCAGTCCGAATGTCTCAAAAGAACAACCAATCAGCCCACATGGTCACAACTACTCGATCCAAAACACTACCAATTGTCGCTTCTATGCCTGATGCCTGATTCCTGGTCGCCCATCTGATGACCCACCGCACAGAACCCCGAAATCCCAATCATTCTTCCCATTCCTCTGTCCCTCCCTCCACTTCCTGAAACCCTCCTTGCTCGAAACTCGCGCCATCATCACCGCCGTCGTTGTGGACCCCCTGAGGCACTGCGCGAACATGTTCTATCCCAGCTGCCAGAGCCATGGAAAGTCGCTGAAACGCGGCATCATCTTCTCGGTCATCGTCGTCGTCGTATCCATAATTATCCAGAAAGAAAGAGAGATCAGATGGTAGAGGTATCGCTTGTTGTGGTGGTCGATCCGTGGCTGAATCTGCGAGTCGTGATTGTTGATCACCGTTCGGCTCTTGCACTGGGGCCACTGTGATTGAGCTTGACTCAGCTTCATGCTCTCGAGCGATATCGGGTGAATACAAATGTGTAAAGGTCGCGACGTAAGGGTCCACAAGCGCGGTCGTATGAGAGGGTACGACTGTGGTTGGTTGAGATGGTTGAGCAGCGGTCGGATATTGATGTGACGTCGAGGCCGTGACGGGCGGGTCGACTTGAAGGGGTTGCATGGGGACGTAGCCACCATATTGTCCGTGGTCTGCGAAGGTATGTAGAATGGAGTCTATTGAGATAGGAGGGGCAGGCCCTTGGTCGGGATCGAGTAGGAAGTTATCGGGATTCAAAGCGTGCGATGGACACGGAACGTTAGGCGGGAACCAGAGAGGCCCTCCATGGAGTGGATACGGATTTGTGGTGTGGTATGACTGGTGTGGATGGGCAGCTTGGTACGATGCTGGAGCCGCGGTGTGATGAGTAGGTGGACTACCTTGCGAGTATGAAGGTCCTGCGACGGCAAACCCTGACGGTTGGACATTATTGTGACGAGGATGAGGTGGCTGGAAGCCCGAACTGAATGCGGAGGTATAGTCGTAGGGGGTTGAATTTGTTGAAATATACGAATTTACAGGATTAGGTACGGATCCTTCTGGATGGACAGGCGGATATGTAGACGGATATGCTGACCAGGTATTGTGAGGGTGGCGGAGGGACGGAGAATTCGAAGAGCCTAGGTTATACCGTGACTGCATACGGAGCTCGGCGGCCTGTTGATTATCTGGATATGCGACGGAACGCTGCGGCTGGGCTATTTGAATGCTTGAATGCGGTGGATTGTAAGTGTGCGAACCCTGAGGTGCCGTCCGTGTAGTGTAACGCCCGTCAGAGGATGCATTCGAGGAGTACGTGCGAGGGGGCAAGTGGAGATCCACATGTGACGACGGTGTGATTTGTGGCGGTGGCTCCTGAATGGAAGTATGGGAAGACGGTAGGTGAAGGGGGGCTCGATGTTGATTATGATGTACAGTCGTCGGGGTCGATGCATGATATACTCTATCAGTGTGGGATACGGAGCCAGGGTGTTTGTCGTGTTTAGAGCGTTTGGCGTTCTTCGCGGGCCCTTCGTCGTCGTTGTGAATGCGCTTGGAACTCCGAGAAGACTGGGGAGATTGCGAGCCTCGAGGTTTGGGATAAGATACGGGCTTCTTCTGGAGCGTGGAGGATTCGCGAGCGCGCTGCTTGGACTTGGGACGTGATTTCTTCGCCTCAGTCTCCAACGCATGCTGAGCGTATAGATTATTCGATTAGTAAGATATATTGAACTGAGAGTCATAAAGAAGCACACCTTTGCTTTCTTCTCCTTCTTCTGCGGTCTGTACTTGTAGCCTGGCCAAACCTTCGCGTGCTTAATCTTCATCCACCGTTGGAGGCTCTTCCAGAATTCCCTTTCAGTCTCATCCTGAGGGATGTGTTTCAGATTACCAACGGCCATGTTGCGAAGGAAAAAGCTGTTGCAAGCTCGCGGAGGGTGGCCTCCTCTCTCTCGTCTTAAGTCACCAGAGTCGTATGCCTTCATCTTGTTACATCCACGGACGTAGAGCCGAGCGTACACACGAGGATTACATTTTCGCCCCTTCATCTTCAGGATCTCCAGAAACATTGGGTAGTCAAAGTCGTAGGGCTTGGGCTTGGGCTTGGGCTTGGGCATAGCTTCGGGCCAGATGAAAATTGGGACTTGAAAGCCTTGACCGTAAGTGAGCTAAATACATGGGGATATTCGACATTGCAAGAGCTCAAAGGGGGAGAGACAATAGTCGACGAGGCGGTATGAATATCCCGAGACAAGACAGAAAGCCATGGACTATCGACTAGAAATAAGCAGGAGTCGTTTCGGGAACAGGGATGGCTTGAGGGGATCAGCGGAGTTACATAGGAACAGAACAACTGCAAACATGAACCAGCGTCAGATTGGCTGATCGGGGCCAGAGGAACGCATCAATGGATCATGTTTGCAGCCGCATTCGACGAACTCCGTAGAGAAAGCGCTGGACGTGTTTGTTCTGAGGACAAAAGAGGGGTGAGTGGCGAGAAGGAAGGAGCAAAGGGCGTTCCCAGGAAGGTCGCGGAGTGGCGCCGGCAGCTCGGCATGGGCATGGAAGGCCGGAGGGATGGCGGGAATCGGTTGTGGGCGTGTCTAAGTGCTCGCCAGCTCGATTGACTGCTGGGCACCTTCCCCCACGTCCACGACGGCCACCACCAGGCCAGGCTGCGGCCTGTACTTACCTATAGCCACACTAGTTCAAGTTCAGATAGCGATGACCGCGACGTTCCCTGCTTCTCATTCGATATTTGCCATTGTCTTTGCTTCATACCTCCTCCGCGGTTTTGCACAGTCGATCTCATCCGATACTCCAGTTCCCCCCTTGCAGTGGATAAACCTCACAGGTCTCGTATCTGGATCTTCTCCCCCCGCCCTCAAAGACGCTTCAATTGGATATGATGAATCGGCCCGTACCTTAATCATATTCGGAGGAGAGTCTCAAGCCGGAATACCTCAGAGTGGTACTCATCTGTGCGTCACTTCCGTTTCATCCCACGGTGCATCATAATAAACTCTTGAAACACAAAGTCTCAACCTGGATACACTGACCTGGTCAAATCCTACTCCACCGAACGGCTTGGATGATTCCCCACCTGCAAGAAGTGCTGCCATCAGCGGAGGTGACTTCGCGGCTAGCTTGTTCGTCTTTCTACTCTATCAATCTTTACTTTTTCTGACCATCTGTATCAGCCGAAGTGCTCATATTGTCATCGGAGGAATGGGGACCAGCGGTCCGCTGAACGATGTCTGGGTTCGTATATTGTTTATCGTTGTGGCACTGTGGCGCTCATAACCTCCGCCACACACAGGCCTTTGACTACATCAACCAATTCTGGCATCAAGTAAATACCGAGGGCGGTCCTTCCAGATCCCACGCAGTGGGTGGGAAGGATCTTCGCGTTTCATTTAACAATACCGCATCTCCCGTCAACACCTTCTATCTTGCCGGTGGCATCGATAGTTCTGGCCCGGTCTCCCTCTCTGACACCTGGCAACTGCAGCTCTCAGGGACACTATCCTCGAACCTGCCTGACTCTCTCGACGGTTCATGGTCTCAGACGACCTTGGACAGCTCTTCGATTGAGGCACTCTCTGGTCTAGGAGGAACTGTTGTCCAACAAGAAGTAGTTGCAATTGGCGGGTGCACAGGAACTAGCAATGCCACGGCATCCTGCGCCTCACAAGTCTCATATGTCATTAACCTCTCGAACGATGGCATTACAAACCCTGCCACCTGCGTAGCCCCACGAATAGGAGCAGCTGTCGCTGCGAATCAGAACAGCGTCTTGTCAAACTTCGGCTCCCAGGTTTTCGTCGTCTCAGGACTGTTTGACATGTCGCTTTGGGACGACGGTGGAGGATCTGAAAAAGGCGAAGTGGTAAGTATAGCTCTACTAACCATCAAACGACGAAGCTAACTTCTACTTAAAGGATGTTCTGGACATCAGCGCCGGCTCATGGTCCCGAATCCTACCCTCAGGCGATCCTGGAGACAGTAACAATCCCGCTTTTCCTTCAGCCCGCGAAGGAGCTTCCACTCTATCTTTCACTTCTGGGCTTGTCGGTACATCGCGTTCTTCGTCTTCCGATACGATCATGTATGGAGGCCGAGATGCGTCCGGCAACTATCTCTCGGAACTGTGGCTCCTCAGGGCCTACAACGGTTCTATTACGCAGTCGAACCAGAAATGGTCCGGGTTCGGTTCAGGGACGTTACAGACAGGAGTCGACGCTGACGGCGAAGGTGTCACAATCCAATATTTGACAAACTGCGTTAGCGCCATCGCGCCGTCATCCACCACTGCGTCTCACCAGTCCTCGGCTTCAGCCACCGGTACAGCGTCTACGGCGCCACCGACTTCGTCCTCTGGTCCATCGACAAGCGCCGTCACATTTAACACCTCGCTCCTTCACAAGCTCCTATCGCCCGCCTCTATTGTCCTTTTACTTCCATCCACCCTACTCTACCGATTGGGCCTGCCATCTACCACAGCTGCACAGCCGTCTCCTCGGCTAGTGACGCTGAAATACCTCGCTATCTTGATTGGAGTGGCAGCCTATGGGATTGGCATAGCAGGCCTCGCTACATCTTTCACTTCTGTATCACAATCGTCCGGGGGCACATCCATCAGCAGACGCTCCTTCTCCGCGACAGGAAATGTCCTCAAGACAGCCCACGGCAGGGCCGGCCTTGCGCTTTGCGTCGCGCTTTACGGTCTGATCCCCATTCTGAACTTCTTGTATTACGGGTGGCGACGGATGTACGGCCGTCCGAGAGTAACGATCGAAGAAGAGAAACATAGTCCAGAGAGATCGAATAGGAACTCCACCGACACCGCCGAAAAACTCAACTCTACTGCTCTGATGGGATCGAGCGGAAACGGCCATACGACTCCACAGCCAGACCCTGGCTCTTCCTCAGAAAACCGTCCGCAGCGGAGAAGGCTTCATTCCTGGGGAGGTGGCGGACTGCTCCCCGGGCGCTACAGTAACGAGTTACCTGCGTCAGAGGATAGCGTCACGGCCCCAGAGTCCACAGAGGCGTCCGGGGGACATCGTGCATTTGAGGTTGTCAATCGTCCACAGCGGTCTCGTCACCAAAGTGCTAGCGCCATAAGCACCATGGCGGACCATCGTTCGCGTACACCGGTTACACCGCGCAGCCTCGGAGACGTAAGTTGGCTTCAACGGCGCAGGAGTTTGCATGCGGCAGTGAGTCTAACCCAACCTGTAGACTTTGAACTTTGAATATCATTCAGACTAATGCCGTTCTGAACTAGGGCGAGCTAGACTATGTCTTATCTCAGATGAACCGCCAGCAGCCGCTAACTCCTGGAACGGCTGAAGTCCTGAGCACCAGCACGAGGGGCCTAATGAACGAAATCCCCTCACCGCCTCCACGGCCTATAATGCCACCCAAGCTCGAGACCGCCTTACACCTCCTGTTCCATGCCTTGGTCCTGGCCCTGTGCGTCCTCTCCCTTCAGGCTCTGTGGACGCGGGCACCCAGAGCCACGTTCGCCGTATTCCTGATATGGACACTCGCCTTTTACGTCGCCCTCGTTGCGCTCGCATGGTTCGGCCATCCACGTAACTCGTCTCTCTCCGTGCTTCTCAGCCGCTTCGGGGGTGGTCATCAATATGCCGCTCCCCCAGCCAACGCATCGACCCCTACCCCTTCACGCCCGTTATCCATAGCTGGCACCGACCAATATCCTTTCCCCACACAAGCACAGACACAGAGCCAGGGACCGTACCTCCATCAGCCTATGGTCAGACCTGCGCACGACGATGAGTTCTCAGCTTCGCACGGTGGACATCCTGATGATATCGAGGAGGATTCGGACGACGATGAGGTGACGAGGCAGCAGAGGATTGAGGACGAGATGGGGAGGAGGGACGTTTCGATTGTTACGGTTCCGAAGCGAAAGCTTTGGATCACCAATCCTTCATGATCATGTATACAGTGTTTATCTCGTGATTTTTTCTTCTTTTTATGTGTGTTTTCCCTACCCCTGCATCTGCATCTGTCTCGGTCTCTTCGTGTTCTCTATCCGTTGTTTATCTGCTATCACGTACTCCCTTGAATTATATGCCCACTCTTACTCTTACTCCTCTCCCTCGATCCTTTCGCCACCGCTTGTCTACTTCGCGACTGTGTTGAGCCCCCCTCCCGCCATTTCTTACCTACGTATGAATACCTACCGCCGCCCCTATAGCTCACGCCCCGAACTTCAATCTCTTTAAGTTTCTTGTCACATTCTCCTCACTCATTCTGTGCTTGTATTTACGCTAGCTATACCCGCCCACCTGTCCTCGATGCCTGTCCCTCTTTCCGCACGATCTCCGTTTCCCTCCCGATGCCAGTGACATAGACATTAACATACCTACATACCTACGGTCGCCTGCTCTTGCACCGACTTGATCGAGTCCCGATTCCTCGTTGTCGTTGCCTTCCTTCCCCTCGCCCCTTGCATAGTAGTATCCGAACGGACTGATCTATCTATGCAGTTGTACTCATATTTCCTTGATGATTGCAATTATATTGTCCCGGCTGCGTTGTACGGTAACCAAAATTGAAGGATGAGTCCGAGTCGAGGATGTCCGATAGGTAAGTAACATGGTATGATGGATATGGATAGGCGAGTTGGAGGGGGGGCGTGTCCGTAATTGAGTCCTCAGACCAGATAGATGACCGACGAGAGGGGTGGGTATAGAAGAAAATGTTCGAGTTATGAAGAGAGGGAAGAACCGATATAAGAAGAAACGAGCTAGGTCCATAGAACAAAAGCAAAAACGAAAACGAAAACGAAAAACAAGATCAAAGAAAAAGAGAATAGACCAACCGATACCTATCCAACTTCATGTCTCCACTTATCGACCCGACCATACTTCTGATTGTCTTGCATCGGCGGGGGACTAACAGGCACAGGCATAGGCCCCATAGGGTTCATCATGGGCATGGGTGCACCCATTGGAGCCGCAACAGGAGGACCAAAGAACCCAGAGCCCATCATCGACGGATTCCCAAAGATCATGCTCTGGTGCATTTGAGCCTGCATCTGCGCCTGCATCATCTGCTGTTGTGCGATCTGCTGTTGCTGCGCGACCTGCTGTTGTTGCTGGTAATACATAAGCTGCTGGTACTGCGTTCGGCGCTGCTGTTCCGGATGGAGACCTAGCGGCTTGTCGTCTTCGTCGTCCCCACCCCCTGCCCCTGATACCGGTGAACCAATGGAGCCAGGGAGCATGCGAGAGGCACGAATCCCGAGAGGCTCGTTGTCTTCGTCCTCGTCATCGCCGTTCCGTGCGACCTGCTTCCCTTTATCACGGCTAGTTGACGGTTGAGCGATGTTATCGAAATCAATGGAAGGAATATTGAGCTTCGCCTTGTCAAGGAAAACGGAAAGAGGTTTCTCTTCGTCCGACTCGTCCGCAGCAGGCCGTAAGTTCGAGTTCTTCGTAGTGGAGCGGTGCAAGACACGGTCCACGGTGGCTGACAATGGAACGTCGGAATCGCTGCTATCATCTCCGTCGCCAGCAGCCCCCGGACGCCCTCGAGCTCGATTCGGATATCGTGGCCCAACACCAGTCGTTCGCACCGGTCCAACTTGCTTCGGCTTCTTCTCGTCATCGGAAGAACCAGCGTGCCAGTCTGGATCACCACCATCGCCGCCAGCGCCACCCTGCACCAGCCGCACCCCCGGCGCCTCGCTCTCGTCACTCGCGCTCTCCGAATCCTCGTCAAATTCGTTTCGTGGCGGCGGAGGACCTCGAGTGATATTTCTAGGAATAGCGGGCAGAACGGGTGGCTCGACGGATGCACGGGGGATGTCCTCGGTGCTAAGTGCAGGTGCTTCGGGCAGAAGAGTATTATCCTGTGGCTGGACCGTCTCCTCCTCTCTCCCTTTATCCTTCTTCTTCTTCTTGCCTTTACCTTTCTTCTTCTCCTGACGTGCGGCCTCAACTAACTCTGCAGCCCTCCGAGCCTCTTCTTCAGCAGCCTCCTGAGCCTCGATCTCTCGCAACTTCGCCATCTCGCGTTCCCAAAGCGTGTCTACGCCAAACACGGACTTCGTCCCTGTCATGGCTGGCCTTTGGTGTTGTAGTCCCGGACCGTTGGCTGGCGCGACATCGCCAAAATCGAGAAGCGGCTTGGCTCCGGTGGATGCTCTTCGTCCGAGGGGTGGTCTGGCACCTGCGGCACCTGGAGGGAGTTGGGACGCTCGTCGGTTCAGGGATTCAGGGTCGATGAATGTGCTGGATCGTATAGCGGTGCTGGACCGGGTTTGTTGACGAGCCATCATTGAAGGACGATCGTCACCCGTAAATACCCTATTCGATCCCCAGTCAATAAATAGGTTCTAATTGGAGAAGTATTAATAAATATAAACGATCGGACGAACCTTTGTCTGCTCCGCATGTTGGCCTTCCGCGATTCGATAGCGTCGATAAGACTAACGCCGTAGAGTTTCCCAGCCGGGCGACGAAATTCGTCCTCATCATTCACAACGACAGTCAGCGGTCGCACAGGCTCTTCCTCCACCGGGGCGACGATCTGTTGTCCTTCTTCCGTCGCCCGTTGCAGCCCTGCGTCCAAATCTGAATAAGCGACGTCCCTCTGACCACCCACCATCAACTGGTTCCGGAAAGTGAGCTGCGACAGTGTCATGCTGGAACGAGGGTTGGGCGTGAATCCGTTGGAAGCGACAGGAGGTGGTGGTGAGATTCCTTCGAGAAGGTTGATGGAAGATGCACGACGGGAAGCACCTCGAGCTTCGAGTGGAACAGGAGGACCATCGGCGGACCACTGGAATCCTTCGCGGGGCTGTGGGCCTGGAGCTGGTTGTGCAGCCACCGTGCCCTGCAGAGGACTGGGCATGACGAGGACCTTGGGCCTCATGAGCTCCAGTGTAGAATACGGCCTGCGCTCCATTTGTGGTCGTGGTGCACGCTGTTGTTGGCCGGTCATAACAGAGGCTGCATCGTTGGTTTCGGGGTTATCGAGAGGTATGCGAGATCCCAAGGAAAGGTTGGACATCGTGCGTGCGTGTGCGGCTGCCTTTGGATCGAAACGGGAGGTCCGTGCAGGTGAAGGCGGTCGAAGGGCAAAAGGATTGTCTTCGGCGAGGAGAGCTCGAGAACCAAGTGAACCGACCGTTCCCATAGATGTGGTCCGTGCCCTTCTTTCATCAGGCTGGACTGATAGAGCGGCAGATGATCGTCTCATAGTCATGAGCTCTTCTTCCGCATCCGCGAGGAGGCCTTTAGAACCGATGCTGGCCGTGGAGTATGTCCGTCCTTTGCCCTTGCTTCTTGGGTCAAACGAGGAGCCTACATCAAGAACAGACGGGGACCTCGAGCGAGAATCGTCTGCGGGGAACGGGATCGAATGTAGAGGAGGCGTGGTCGGAATTGCTTCAATAATACCATGAGCCGAGACGGTGCGTTGACCAAGAACTGGTCGATTGGGACCACTCGCAAGATCAAGAGTAGAGCTCATAGATCGTTTATGATTGTGACGATCCGTTGGCGGCGGTGTGGCGGACGGTGATTCGAGGAAAGCGCCGCCAGCACCGAAGGCCTCTGAGGTCCCAACACTCATGGAACGAATACGACGTTTGTCTGCGGGTTGGTCGTAAGGGTTGGGGAGCACGTCCATCTTCTCTTTCTTCTTCCCGCCTTTCGCTGGTTTCTCCTTCGGCATGAACGAATCCAACCCCCAAGACGCAAGATCGACCTCCACCGCATGCTCATCCTCCTCGGCCTCTTCTTCGTCGGCTCCACTTCCGGTGGCGAACGGATTGACCAACGACGCGACAGAATTTCGACCTTTGAAGTGGCTTAGAGCAGACTCGCGCCCACCGAGGCTGCCCTGGTCACTTGGTAATTTGATGCTGAGATAGTCGGCGGCAGGCTTCTTCACCGGAGGAAGACGAGGCATCTGGCGTAAGTGGGCGAAGATAGCACTATCATGAGCGGATCGAGGAGGTTCAACGCCGTCTTCATTGTCGTTGTCATACTCTACACACCAAAAGTGTTCGCTATCGGTGTGATGACAGTATACAGGTGAGCTCGGGGTGACGCACCGATGAGGGCTGCAGCGAGTTGCAATCTAGAGAAGTTAGGGTTCCCGGTCTGCGCACGCAGCATCGTGGCCGTTTCCGACGCCATTCTTGCTAGTCGGTGTCAGCAGTCGAGCAAGAACAGGTGAGAGTGCTAGCAGATGTGATTGAGCTCGGTGTGAGCGAAGGGCATGAAGGACAGTGAGCCGGGCTCGACTTGCCACCTCGTCCTGGCTGGAAGCAATACCCATGGTATCCCCCGGCACTCTCCGCCTTGGCACGCTGAAACTACGTTCAACCTATTGGGCCACAACACCGCGTATATGTCCCCACGTCGACAATTCTTTATTCTCATCACACGATTAGGGACGTGGAAGCTCCCTATAGGCAACTTGTCCAGACCTCAATTCCAGATACATTGACGATTCATATAAGACCCTAAGAATAAATACAAGCACTCATCCACCCTTCCCCCTGTCACCCTGTGCTGGCAACACCTTACAGCTCATCGTGCGCCTTTTTCGGCTCCACGACATTCCCCTCCTCGTCAATCTCCTCCATCTCAATCGACACCTGATCCTTCAAATGGTCAGGCAGCACAATCCCAGGCGAATCAAACACCGGGTCCGAGAAATCGATCGCAGGCTCGTAGAAGCTCTCGTCCTTCAGCTCTGGGTCGATGGGCGGCGCAGGCTTGACGGTCTTATCTGTCGGTGCTGTCTCAGAGACACCGAGCGATCGTCGGAGGACACGGTCGACGCGAATCATGAATCTGTGGATATTATTCAGCTCAAGCCACGATGATAGGGATATGGAAGGAATCGAATATAGAAATCAAACGTACTCGTCCGAATCGGCCACCTCGAACCCAGAACGCACGAGCGCACCATCAATAAGAATCGAAGTAACCTCCTTCAGCTCATCCTCCGCCTCGATATCCCTCTCCTCGTCTTCCTCAGGGAGCTGTTCCACACGACGCAGCAAACCCTCGATCAAAGGCGACTTTGGGTTGATCTCGAGCACCTTCTGCCTCTTCGCGTTTTCGTACATCGGGTTCTGAGTCTGGCGGTTGTTGGACGCGCTCATCATGCGTTGGACGTTGGCGGTGAAACCGCTGGCGTCGGCGACGATGGCGCAGGGGCTTGTTACGAGTCTGTCGGAGATGACGACTGGATTTGGATGGAGATGGTGAGTATACAAACGGTCTTCGTGAAGCAGGGAAATGAGTAGGCTTACCGGAACGGACAACGTCCTTGACCTGAGCCTTCAAGTAGTCCAAGAGAGGCTTGAACTTGTGCTTTTGAATCTCCAAGCGAGCCTTCTCCTCGGCCTCAGTCTCCTCTGGATGTGAGGTAGAACATCAGTGATTGTCTCCGAGGATAGTTGTAGTAAAGCTAGACATACCTTCGTCACCGAACTTGAGACCAGCCTTAGCAACATCCTGGAATGGAACGCCCCTGAGAACAAAGCTGTGTTAGGTGGTGCCTCTCATAAACAAGGTCTTTGCCAAAAATTTACTCACTTCCATTTCCTGAGGTTCTGGAAGAGAATCTCATCCAGTGGGTCGGTCAGGAGGAAGACCTCGTAGCCACGGGCGTGGAGCTTCTCAATGAAGACACTGTTCATCAGACCATCGGCGGTCTTGCCCATATCGGCAACGTAGAAGATCTGAGAGAAAAGTAACCTTTCGTCAACATCTCTTTCCCCAAGTCGCGCGTAGAGCACACGTCACATACCTGCTTCTGGCCCTCCTTCTTGTTCTCCAAGTACTACAAAAAGAAAAATACACCTCATCAGCACACACCCCAACACATAACAAAGTACATCCTTGTAGAACGGGGGAGAGCAGGGGGGACATACCTGATCCAAAGACGTATCATTCCTGAAGTTCGTCGTAAACCTACACAACGGCGCCAACTTATCCCTATTCTTCGTATCCTCCACAGCACCCATTTTGAGCACATTCCCATACACCTTCTGCACTTCCGCCCACTTCGCCGGCTCCTCCTCCGATATCTTCGTGAAGAGCCCGATGATGCGCTTGACGATGATATTCTTGATCTGTTTCATGAACTTGTTGTTCTGCAGGGTTTCGCGGGAGACATTCAGGGGGAGGTCCTCAGCTGTTCGCGGGTGGAAGGAAAATAAAACCGCATGAGCGCACGAGATATCAAAGAATTCAGGTCAGAGGTGTGAGGGAAAGAAACTTACCGTCAACGATGGCACGAACCCAACTAGCCCACTTCGGCATGCCTTCCTCACCAAGGTCCGAGGTAATAAAGACACGCTTCACCATCAAACGGATATCTCTCGAGACTGCCTGAAGTGGCTGCGTCCAGAACGAGTCCTCCCTAAAACGCACGAAAACGGAGCCATTCAGTTAAACAAAACGGATACGACCGGCCAGGAATACTCACAGCTTGCCAGGGACATAGATGATAGACTTGAAAGACACTCCGCTCCCCGAATCGCCCGTGAAATGCTGGTACGCAAGCGGCTTAGCGCCGAAATCGCGCCAGGTGGCTTGGTAGAACAGTTCGTATTCGATGCTCGTGATGTTGTCCTTGGGATCCCTGCAAGCCACGAATCAATAATGTTAAGCCGCAGATAGACGTAACTGAGGACGAACCTAGTCCACAGGGGAGGTGCAGCGTTGATGTGGCGCCATTCCTCAACAGTGACGGTCTTCATCTTCTTCTCTTTCTCCTCAGCAACCTCGGCTTCGTCCTCCTCCTTTTCTTCCTCGACGACAGCCTCATCCTCGTCGGTCTCCGTTGCGGGTTTCTCGTCGTCATCGGTGGCGGCGGGGGTAGATTCGGCAGGAGGGACGACTTCCTCTTCATCTTCAACGGGAACTTCCTTCTCCTCCGTGTGGTAGATATAGATAGGGAAGTTCGAAGCGAACGACGAGTGCTTGTTACTATCATTTTAGATAGATACGATCAGCGTGAATCCTTTCACAATGGGCAAGCAAAAAAGAAGATACGTACACCAGCTGGATGAGAGCGAGATTCTCAAGGTACTCAGTCGCATCCTCCTTCAAAATCAGCGTGATCTCCGTTCCCCGATCAAGAGTCTTGCCTCTCGGATCAGGATACACCGCGAACTCGTTCTCGTCTGCTGAAGATGCGAAGACGTATTGTTTTGGGTTCGGGTTGGACGCCGAAGGTGGAGGGACGGAGGCGACGAGGACTTTGTCTGCGACGAGGAAGCTGTGATATGTCGAGGTGAGGAATGTAGATTGTAGGCGGTGAGTCTACAGGTGAGCAATGCGTGAAGTATGACGACGAACCTGCTGTAGAAACCGAGACCGAATGCGCCGATGAGGTTACCGCTACCACTCGTATCCGTGCTGTCCTCCGCCTTTTGCAAGAATTCGGTCGTACCGGATTTCGCGAGTGTACCCTGAATGAGTGTCATCACAAGACCGGGTCAGAAAAGGCGCTTTGAAATAAGCGAAACCGGAAGAACTTACAAGATTGTTTCGTAACTCGTCCGGCGTCATACCAATACCAGTGTCTGTGTACGCACATAGAAACACCGGTCAGCCCCTTGTGGGCCACACGACTGGGAGCCACAGTCAGGATAAAGGAAATGGAACGCACCAGAGATGATAATCCTTCCGCCGGTCCCCTCTTCGTCCTTGAGCGCCTTAATTGTGATATTAAGAGGGCTAACTCCGTCCCAGACCTCTTTGTTCGTGAGCGCGGTCAACCGGAGCTTCTCGATAGCATCGTTCGCGTTTGAGATGAGTTCACGAAGGAAGACTTCTCTGTATGGAACATGGACATGATCATAGTCATAGTCAGCACCTGCTCAACGACGAGGGTGCATGTAACATACCGGTGTGAGTAAAGGCTGTTGATCACGATCTTCCGCAGGCGCGCGACATCACTCTAAAGCACCAAGCCAACACTTCCATTAGCACTCGACATTCAAGACCCCACCCACGTCTACCTGAATACAGTCGCATGATAAAAGTTGACATACCTGATACCCCTGTTTCGAGTCGTTCAGCGCATCCGCATCTACCTCCTGCGCTGCAACATACGAAGACAACAACGACAGACCAAGCACGAACGGGCGCAACAGACGCATCGTTCACTGCCAAGCTACTCTCTTACCAGACAATAGTCACAGTGGCTTTTGCAACGAGAGGGACGAGAGCCTAGAGACCCGAGTGCGTAGAACCCAAGAGGGAGGGCAAGTGAGGTTAAAGAACGTGGAGACGTGTGCCCGTCAACTTGAAGCAAGCTGACGTGGTTATATACCCAGTCAGAAGCCCGGGCTTTTCGTGATGGAAACGGTATGGACGAGGTCAATAGCTTGCTGGCACGGTAGGCACCGTATGTGCGTACAGAGATGCTGACGTGGCACCTGCTAATAGTTCGCAGCGCGCGCTTCGCTCGCACGCGACTCGTTCTCGAACTCGGCGTCTCGTGATCGCGGCCACCATCGTGTTCTCAGCTCTGTCGCTTCATGCAACTTGTAAGACAAATCTACCCTCATAGTTTGAGTGGTAAGAAACAGGTACGGACCATTCATTTCAGCTGAGGTAGCCCACAACTTCCTGGAAATCTCGCAAAGAGCATCTAGCCGAACGCGGAGTTCGAAGTACGGCTATTTCCGAGCCATTAATTATTACGGGGAACTTCATACGCTTTAGGTTCTTCCTTGTTACTCAATGGCCGACAACGAAGTAGAAGTCTGGTACCGCCTCTATGACTTCCCTAACCGACCGGCTCAAAAAATTATCCTCAGAGGGGATGTCAGGGTGCTTCGTCTCCTAAAGTAATTGTTCTCCCTTTGAAAGACCCGCTTTACCCGGATAAAAAGTTGCATCCTGACAACATCGAGCTGTGGCAGGTATGTATTTCTGCACCCTTAAACTTGTTTTTATCTGTGTACTTATATTTACTGCTCAGCTGGAGTGTCCCCACGTACATCGTGTTGAAGATGACCAGAAGTGGATGAAGCTTCAAAACCGAATGATCACAGATATCACCGTTTCCCAAAGAGAAGGAGAGGAATACGTGGGCCTAGTCACTGTCCGTGTTACCTACTCACCACTGAGCGACACATCGGCTGATTTGCTCAAATCAATGAATGTTTACCCTCGACGTATGTTTCAAGTGTACTTCATACGTGATGTGTACGGCTGTTCTCACCTCCCTATGTGCAGGATACCGTAAGCTAGTAAGCAACCAAAAATCCTCGAGCTACCAAACTCCGTCAGCAGCAGCCACCTCGTCTATCTTCAGAGAGACACAGGGAGAGCAGCGCCCCATCTACGATGGCCTTCGGAACCTCAGTGCTACTTATGAACTCGGGAACTATCGCTATGCCCGCTTCGCTTTATAATCCTGTCTTTCAGCTATGGCGCACCTGGCGATGTCCCTCGGGCCCGAACGTGCTGATAGGTCGCAAAGGCCACAACGTTAAACTGATTGACTTCGACTGGGTTGGAGAAGAGGCTGGCGAGGAGGATGTCGATGTCAGTGTCGGTGTCCGTTATCCAAGACACATGTCGGAGGCACCCATTTGGACCTCTGGAAGAAGTGTGTTCAGAAGAGTCATGATCTTGCGATGCACAGGAAATGGGTTTCTCATGATTCATCCCCTGCGTGATTGCGGTTGATCTCGCCTCTGTATCCTTATGTAGTCTCGTGATCAGCAGTGTAGCAAGGACATTGCATATTTCTTGCAGGTCGTTTCTTATCCTTCTCTGCCAGTAGATACCTGTTACCTGTCTCTGACGGCCCATCGGTAAAGGACTTTCGCTTTCCAGCAAGACGGCTCATCGCGTGTGGCACCTAGAGTTCACTAGTGTCACACCAACACTCACATGAGAATGATCAAGCATGACTTAGAGCCACAAAAAGCCGCAGACTGCACATTACACGCATAAATCTACTCGCCCAGATGAACCGAGAGCTTCGGTGGCGGCAGGTTAGAGAGATACTCCTATATGAACAAAAACCAACTAGTCAGCCAAAAACACACTACAAAAACGACTTTCAGAAAGGGCGTACCCTCAACCACCGTTCCCTCTGCTCTGGAACGTGATCGAACACGATATACCTCTTGTCATTCTACCGCAACCATAATCAGCATCCGTACACAAACCGCTTACCCAAACCCACGCAAGCAAGCAAATAAAGAAAGATAGAAAAAAAAAGCACACCTTCAACACCTTCTCAATCTCCCTAATATCCACACTCTTCGCCAACGCCTTCATATCCACATTCCCTCCCCCAGCCTCCCCCTCATCCTCCCCCACCCCCGTCTCATCCCTCTTCACACCTCCCTCCACGCCCTCACCCCCCATCTTGCCCAAGCCCGCCCAAAACTGCACAAACGAGTTCTCCCTCAACATCTCCCCAAACTGCACCCTCGCCTCCCTCGTCCTCTCCCTCTGCCACCCCTCAAACTCGTCCTCCAATCCCCTTTCCCCCCTTCCTCCCCGCTCCGAGTCAGAGTCGAACCCGAGCTTCTGCGCGGGCAGGGAGGAAGCGATGGAGCTGAGTGTGGACGGGGGGAGGGAGGAGAAGGATGTGGCGAGGGAGGGGGCGTGCGAGGTGAAGAGGGCGTGTAGGTTCGAGATGTGTTTTTGGCGGAGGGCGGAGATGTGAGTTGTGAAGAGGTGGATTTGGTGGTTGATGGGTAGAGGCGAGTTCGTGAACCGCGGGTCCGTTTTGAGTTGGGAAAGTGAGGAGTCCCATGTTGCCTACGAACAAAACAATGCGGGAAGAGGAAGGAACCATAACGGTTGGTTGTCAGTGTCGGTTAATGGATGAGGAGTAGCCTTACCAGTGGGTCACGAATCGCATCTGTCAGCATCGTTCTACAAAAAGTGAGAAAAGAAAAGTGAGGAGGACAGAAGCCTGAGTGAGCGCGACGAAGTATCTGCAGTCGACGAATATCATTTGGTATGCCCGCGCACCTGAATTCCAGCTCGCCTTCCTCCTTGTTCAGTCCCATCCTGGACTTATTGATATCGGCCTCGACGCGTCTCTGTTCAGCTTTGATTTTTTCCTCGCGTTCCTTCACAGCGCGCTCTTTCTTTTCTCTCTTCTTCTTCTCCTTCTCTTGTTCTGCCTCGTGATCGTCTGCCTTGCTCGAGTTCGGAGTGGCTTTTGATTCTGCTGGTGGGGTCGTGTTGGCCGATTGGGCTTTTAGGAAAGTGCTGAAGAGCTCTTCTCGGAGGGATGACGAGCCCACGGCATCATAACGAGGGTCATCTTGCACCTTGCGTTTGACCTGCAGGATCCCACTTAAGAATTGGCATCAAAGAATCAAAGGGAGAGTTGGACCCACGTCTTTCCACACGGACCCTGCTTGAGCGATTCCACTCTCCTTCAGCAACGCAAAGAAGTCCGCCTCGGCTTTCTGAGCAGCAGCACGTTTTTCTGAACGAAGATATAGTCAGTATATGGGCACGCATCCGCGACGTGTGCTGACAAGACGTACTTTCTCCAAGTTCCTTAAGGAACTCCCTGAACCGCTTCTCCCGCTCGCGCTCGTCCCTGCCCCAGCCATAGAACCTACGGTCTTTCTTCCACGTTCTGCGGAAATCACTCCAGCTCGTGCGTGTGCTCTTGACTTCTTCGCGGAGAAGACGCTCGAACTCTTCCTTCGGGTCTTCCTTCTCCTGCTTAACTTTGGATTGTCGTAGTTCGCGTGCACGATCACGGCAGTATTCGTCGAAAGCCTCTCGACGAGCTGAAACGGAGGGGAGTAGGACATATCGCGGGTCTGAGATGAAGAGTGGTAAAGAAGTATCCCATGGGTGGAGAGGATTTATGTTCTTCTCCCGGAGAAGGGTCTGTGTGGCGTGATGACGAGTTAGATATTGAACACTGGGAATAAATCGATGTAGACAAACCTTGAAAAGAGCCTTTCCCTCCTCTATCGACAGGTCGACACGTTGAGGCATGTTGAACTGTGGGACGCTCTCCTTCGCCTTCTGCTCTTCCTCAGCTATCCTCTTCTCCTCTTCCTCGCGCAACCGCTTCTCTTCCTCAGCCTCAGCGGCCAGCTGTGCAGCCGCCTCCCTCTGCCATTCCTCCTCCTCGCTTTCGTCTTCGTCCTCGTCTTCTTCTTCATCCTCCTCATCCTCAACTTTCGCCTTCTTCGAGACCACGACCTCATCCACCGGCACATCATCCACCGCCTTCCTCTTCACAACATCCTGCACTTCCCGCTTAATCCTCTCAATCTCCTCCTCCCTCTCCCTCTGCGCTTTCGTCCTCTCCTCCTCCTCCCTCTGCTGCTCCTCCTTCTCAAGCGCCTCCACAGCCTCTTTAATATCCTCAGGCACACTCCACACACTCCTCTTCTCCGCCTTATGCGTATAAAACAAATTCCCCTGCGTCGTCTTCACGCGAATCCATTCAGTGCCTGGTATAGGCGTCTTCACGAGCGGCTTGTCCTTTTTCTGCTGCTGCTGTGCCCGGGGTTGTGATGCCGGAGGTAGGACGCCCGGGAAGATGGGGAGAGGACGGACATAGGTGGACTCTTGGGTGTTGGCGTTGAAGTAGTAGACTCTGCCTCCGGGACCTAGGGGATATCGATGCGGGATGTCAGTTTCCTGTTCGCAGTACCAATGCAATGATGGAGCTGAGTGGGGGGATGTACGTGCCCATGTGTTCGGACCATGCTGGAGGCAGCGGTGGTGGAAGCGTTGGAAGAAATGGAGGTGCGGACATTGTCGTGTCGGAATACCGTCGAAACGCGATACAGTAGGTGTTGAATGAAGAGACTGGTGAAGGAGGTTGAATGGAACGCGGCGGCGCGGCTGGCCCCGAATTTGCAAAAGTGCCCGATGTAGGAGCAATGTTCGCAAGAGGCATTTTGGTTTCCACTTGTTCGTTCCTTGGGGCTTGACAGGGCTTGATCTGCAGCATCATGGCCTCGTTGCAATTAGAGCACCCACTCAGAGGGCATGCATTTATCATGCACGACTGGGCAATGCCTCACTACAATCGCTAGGCCGCCTCATATATCTTGGCTTGGTCCAATAAAAAGTCGGGCGTTCCGTCTCGCTTCCTGTCTGCCGCGACGTCCATTCAGATCATTGCACTGACACGACACCGTTTCCAATACGTTCCGCAACTTTATCATCTCCCTCTGCCCAATATATTTCAGCTTCCGACCGGGTCTCATTCTAGTCTACTTATAAAAGACATCGACCGCACTTTCTAGTCTTTGATCTCACCCGCCATCCCCCGTTCCCATGTCTTCCTCTGCACCCAGTTCTTCCCGTCAATTCGTCCCCGCCACGCAGGAGGACAGTCGCAGTCCTTGCCCTGCTCTCAATGTTGGTTACTCATCCCAGTCTCGCGTGACCTGACGCGTCCGTATTCATTCTCACTTCTAACCTCTACTCTTGTCTGCAGGCTCTAGCGAACCATGGCTACCTAGCGCACGACGGCCGCAACCTCACCGCAACACAGCTCATACACGCCATCCGCGAGGTCTACCACATCTCTCTCCCCATGGCCTCCGTACTCAGCGTCGTGGGCACTCTCGTCTGCGGAAGCGGCTGGAAACTCGACCTCGAAGATCTCGCGAAACACAATAAAATCGAACACGACGGTTCCCTCGCGCACGCCGATGCCCTCCCCGGCGCGAAATACGCTCCTTCCTACGTTGACAAGGACCGGCTCCAGCAACTGCTCGATGCGTCGTCTGACGGTCAGACACTCACATTCAATGACCTCGTCAGTCAACGCGCAGCCCGCGACGCCGCACTCTCCAAGCCCCTTGATGCGATCCATCAGGTCATCACCAGGGGAGAGGTCGCGTTGACATGTGAAGTTCTGGGCGATGGAGGAAGGGTGCCGAAGGAGTATATCAGGCAATGGTTTGGCGAGGAAAGGTTGCCGGATGGTTGGAAGAAACCCGAGGGTCCCGTGGGTTTGATTGGGACGACGAAGGTATCGAACAAGGTCGCGACTGTGGCGAAGATCCTGTCCAAGAGCGAGACCTAGCTTGGCATGGCTGTCTTTCGCGGATCTCATTCTCAGACTCCCATGGAGGGTCTCTCATGACGGTATGCCTGCTTGATTCGATGTTTGGACGAGATGGTCACTCCTATTTTACTGCACGCACCCATATGGTTCTTCGTCTTTCTTATTCACCGCGCCTTGTTATCCCCTCTATGCATGATTCTCCCAGCATCATTGTACATGAACTCTGTCTGGACAGCCTTTCTTGTCTCGACGCAGCTTTGTTCCTCATTTGCTTCATAGGACTTCGCGATTCCTGATCCTGTTCTGATGTCTATATGTATAGTAGTAGCCACCGCCGCGCCCGTCCTTTGGGCACCATTCACAGCATGCATGGAGCTGTGCATTCATTCATCCATCTTCACCATTCTGCACCTGTACAAGTCACCACACTCCAGCTCGCAGCGTGCGATCGGCACGACTGTCACTCCTATATCGACATGGTGCTGCCTACATCAGTGCATACGCGTATGTCTCTGACTCGGGATCATGGTATGGACCGTGTGTGCAGATTGCAGCATTCTAGGATTAGTAGACGCGGCTCCTCGACAAAAATATCTCTTTCGACTCTGCATGGATATCTGTACTAAGCACGAGCTTGGGAGCCTCCCCATGTCGTGGGTTTTCCAGGTACGCAACTCATTATAATTTAGTACCGTGAACGTTTATAGCCTCTTTCTGCTCATTATTCTGTTCAGGCTAATTTCGGAGAAAACTCGTTACTCGTACAGGGTCACTGCTTTTATTTTTGGTTGGAGTCGTGGAACTGGGACTGGAAGCGCGTCGACGGCGTCTTGAAAATACGGTAAGATAGGGGCTTCTTTTCTTGCGCTGTAGCGGTACCGCCCAAGTATCGCCTCTCGCAAATGTTCTCGTCCGTACGAAACGCCGGCATTGCTAGAGTTACTGCTTTCAGTGTTCTGCAATCCGTGTAAGCCCTTCTACACATATCCAGTCAAAGCGCAATGCATCTACCATTCCCATTCCATCACGCATCAATTCACAGCTGCCAAAAGGACCTCTGCGGCCAACGCGATTACTTATCTAGGTCATGCACCATGCTTATCCCCTTCTATCCTTCCTGATGTTCTCTCTCTATTCTTCTTACAGCAGTGTATACCTCACGGGACCCCCACACGACCCATCGAGTCCGGCGGTAATTTGTCCTTGTGCGTTCAGCTGATCTGCTCTGTGTAGCTGTTGACTTTGTTGGCGGCAGGTGTCGGCACGGATTGACGATCTGTGGTTTTTACCAATGGTTGGTTCAGGATTGGCATCGGTTCGCCAGAGATTCTCCAGATGTTCGAGTTATTTGTGGATGAGGATGGCTGGTTCTCTGGGTCCTCGTAAATGGTAAATGAACGACGGTGGGCGGCATGTCTACGGCAACGGCAAAGTGTTCTCTCTTGGCTCGAACTCAGACTCGGTCAAAGTGCTGGTGCTTCTCCATCCATCCGCGGGCTGGTGCACGATCTGGATCTCCCAAAAAGCTATCGGCATGTCCGAACCTCTCCCGCTGACCTGTCTTTCGAAATCTCCCCGGATCGGAACCCCAGGTTAACGTACGTGCGCATTCTACAGACTCATTCTCTATACTGGCAGTACTTACCGCTTACATGCCATTGGGCGTCTGTGTCACGCATCGTGCCATGCCAGCGGGGCAGGGGTGCGAACCTCGCTTCTTCCAGAGGTAACTTAATGCGTATCAAACGCAACCACCCGGCCTATCATATATCGTCAGCTGGTCATCGGTCATAAATTCAGTATATTAGTATTGCGTTTGGTTGGGGGTATATATGACATAGGGAGGTAGGTAGGTGCTTCAATCCCCCTCCGTGGCTTCCGAGTCCCTCTTCGCCCGCTGTGAGGATTACAGATTACGCGCACTGCTCGGTGTACACATTGCCCATCCTCGAGGAGCTGCCAGTGTATCTTTGTCGCCTCTGGATACTTGTACGGCTAAATCGGCAACTTCTGACTGGTCCTTTGAAACGAGTTCGAACACTACTCTTGCTGCTACTACCACTACCACAAACAATCACTAAACGCCATCATGTCTCAGAAGATATCGTCCACGCGCTCCGGTGATGATACTTTCGAGGGTCTTTCGGTCGAGGAGAGGAAGAGGATGACGAAGCGGGTGTTGTGGAAGTTCGATTGTTATATTTTGCCTCCGCTCGCTTTGGTACGTTTCTTTGTTGGTGGTATTTGATGTTATGAGTCGGAAGATCGATGCTGATTTGGCCGACATTGTTCGGATGCATAGCTGTGGTTGGCGAATTTTATTGATCGGACTAATGTGGGGAATGCGAGGTACGTCGAAGTCTTGAAGACTCAGATGTCGTTGACGTATGATGCTGACTATTCGTTGGGGTCGCAGAATCGCGGGATTACAAACAGATACACACCTCGTCGGAAACCAATTCAATATCGCACTTGCAGGTCAGTCCAACTCGTACCCTCCCCTTCACTCAGTGTTTATTATATCATATAATCGTAATCATATTGAATCTGGACTATAGTCTTCTACATCCTGTACATCCTCTCCGAGCTCCCTTCGAACTGGGTGCTCAAAAGGATGGGCGCCAACCGCTGGCTACCGTTCCTCATCTGCATTTGGGGCACGGTGACGACACTTTCTGGTCTGGTGCAGAATTTCGCGGGGTTGACGGCGGTGAGGATGATCCTGGGGATGTGCGAGGGTGGGTTGTTGCCTGGAATGGTGCGTTCAGTCGCCTCTTGAAGTTGTCGTGAGTCGGTGAAAGGGCTGATTTGGCTGGAAACAGATATTGTATCTGAGCACGATTTATAGGAGACATGAGCTTCAACTTAGGTTAGTGACCTCTTGCTGTGTCGTATGACACCTTTATACCAGGGCCTGATAGATTTGTCTTAATTGTCTTCTTTTGTAGAGTCGGGATTTTCTATGCCTCAGGTCCGTTCAGTTTACACTTAAGTATGAGTACACGATCCTCAATTATTCTGACCCCAGCTTCCCTATCCGGTGCATTCGGAGGTATATTATCAGATTTTCCATCGTCGATCGTTGTCATGTTGAACTGATTATATCTGCCAACTCCTCGCTCGACAGGACTTCTCGCTTCTGCCATCATCCGTATGGATGGCATCGGCGGCCTAGCAGGTCAGCCAATCAGTTATTCCGAACGGCAAGCACAGTACTTCATACGTCTCTTTTCGATGTTGTTTTTGTATAGGCTGGAGGTGGATCTTCATCCTCGAAGGCATCGTCACCGTTCTTTTCGGTGTCATGGCGGCTTTCGTCATGCCCGCCAGCATCCAATCCGCCAATTTCCTTACCCCAGAGGAAAAGCGGTTCGCTCGTACGTTTGCCCCATTCATCTTCCCCCCTACGATTTGAACTCTGAGCCTCGACCTTCTAACCCCCGAATATTACAACTCGGAATATACACAGTACATCGCTTCCGGATGTCAGAGCGAACGGCAAACAGCGCTCCGCTCTCAGAACCGTCGCAGCGGATCACGACGACGGAAAAAGAAGAGAAAGACTTGGAAGAAGTTCGGGCGGAGGTGTATGATCCTAATGCGAGTAATGACCGTGAGGAGCCTGTCGTGCACCAGGAGGAAGAGCAGTTTGAATGGCGAGAGGTTGTTCGAGGTATGGCCGACTCTTTTCCCCTCATAATATGTCTTTTGATATGGGATGTTTCATGGCACAGGCTGAGCTGACGTGTATTTGGGTATTTATAGGGTTGGTGGATGTTCAAGCCTGGCTGACGGGGATCGCATATTTTGGCATTATCGTCAGCATCTACTCATACTCACTATTCCTGTGAGCTCCTTTTATTCTACAGCTAATATGGGGTCCGGGAAATACCAACACTGCGACGGCATTCTTCTAGACCTACAATCATCAGCGAGCTCGGATTTTCCGGTGGTGAGGCCCAGCTTCGTACCGGTGAGTGTCATGCGCCCCATGTCAGTTCGCAAACTCCTCAATGACAGACGTACTTTTCGTCTGCAGTGCCGCCGTACGTTCCTGCAGCGGTCTTGACGGGTAAGTTCTGCAACACTGCATTAGAGCTGCACATGTAACTTACGGTCCGACGAATGGGACATAGTCGTAGTGGCCTATTTATCTGACCGCTTCAAACTTCGTGGACCAATGATCCTGATCTGTCTGCCATTGACCATTGCCGGTAAGTCCCTCACCGCACTATACTTGTGGACTGACACTGATTTTACACATTACCCGCGCTTGCAGGTTATATTGTGGCCATCTGTGCCACCAGCAACCAAGTACGCTACGCGGCTGTCTTTATGATGGCTACTGGGATGTGAGTGATTATTCTGGATGTAGAAATGGGAGCACCAGCCTCAATGTCGTGTGTTGTCTAGATATCCGACCGGACCATGCATCCTTTCTATCCTCCCCAACAACAGTAGTGGGCATTACAAGAAGGCAACCACTATCGCACTTCAGCTTGCCTTCGCGAATACTGGGTAAGGATTTTCACGTCCTGTATTGTTTACTCGACTGCAGTGATACTGAGTTTCTTGTTCTGACATTCTTTAGGGGATTTGTTGCCACTTTCTCGTACACACAAGGTGGATCACTGTCGTTTTTTTTTGCAAGTGACATTATGGCACTGGCTGACCTGCATTAACAGATCAAGCTCCCGCATACATCAGAGGCCATTCCATAACCCTCGCTTTCGTCGTCCTGGCCTGGATATTCGTCGCACTCAACGTGTACGTCAAACACATGCTAAGGCCGCTCTCCGTCATCCTTTTCCTCCCTTTCTTTCCCTCCCTTCGCCGTCCGGAAATACCATCCCCTATCTCATTACCGTCTCTTATCTCGTTCTGCCATTCTAATCATATCCTTCAACAAAACACAGTACATATTGTGCCTGGGAGAACAAAGCTCGCGCGGATGGTCGCCGTCAGGATAACATCCTGAAATATCAAGAGGTGAGTCAATCCTTCCCTATATATATTCCTCCACCGAGCTTTCTGGCTTCTCTATTCCCCGTTCTCCGTTATTCTCCCATATAAATCCTGCGGTAGCGGAGTCTTTTATGCTCTCCGATGCGAAAAGATCTATTTCTGACGCCGTGGCCCTTGGTTCTTGAAATAGCTGTGGGACTCTGGCAAGACGAGAGCTCCCATCGGGGACCGTCATCCAGATTTTCGGTTTACTCTGTGAACGGTGTGTCTACTAATAGCAGAGGAGGGTTATGGTTCGCGAGGGCTTTGTCTGATATAAATATGCGATTGTACGATAATAGTTGAATCGGACCGACTTTCAAAAATGGCTGTCGGAAGTACCACTTATGCACTGACACGGTACCGGAAGTGCCATTACATTATTGTAAAATGGTTAAAAGACATGAGAGTGCGCACAATTATCTCAGTCCCATAACAAGACAAGCCTGAGCTTCTGTGCGCCAATATAAGACGTGTGGCCTGGTGGTTCCTCCGAAGGTGCTCTCGCCACAGTGGCGAGTTGTACTCAAGTTCGATCTCCGACCCAGGTTCCTCAGACGCGGAGTGAGCAAGTTCCCCGTCATTTCTTCTACCACAGTTGACCGGTTGACCTCTGGGACTACCTTCATCTTCGTATTGGCTCTTCGGACGCACGTACTTGTTAGTCGGCTTATACCTGATCCGTAAGAGTATCGGTCACTAGTACTGTACCCGATGCATCAGCGAATTCGGGAAAAAGTGGCCGGACGTTGGCCGGGTTATGATCCCGCTCGGGAAGGGAAGTCGATCGTAGTGCATTATCATTTCAACATGATCGGGAAGGCACAATTGTAACGTGTTCCAGCCCAAAGTCAGGCCCCATGTGGCATTGTAACGACTTACAATCTGCGACAACTCGGGTGAACGATCACAATCCGTTACAATGCAAGGTCACTTCTGAGGAGCTAGGACAAAAACTCGAACCGTGCATTAGGTGGGGGACGGCTTTCGGCCTCTCTGTCTCTGCCTGTGCACACAACACAATTTGATGGGACAAATCACCTCTCACGGATATTGCTGTTCAACCAGCTTTACTCGGACTACTAGCAAGACACTCTTTTGCCCTCACATTGCGTGCAACAAATGTGATGCAGATGCAGAAGACGGTGTCTCAGCTCGGTGAGAAAGGCTCTATAGCACGACTGCCACGCGAACAGAAAAAGGCTCGATAGTGTAATAGTAGTGTACCATGTAATTAGATAGCTTGAATGAAATGAAAATTGTTTGCCCTTGAGTTCGAGCCCCCCCGTGTGCGAGTGATTCCGAAAGCAATAATCCTGGACAAGCCTGACGTGGAAAGTGACAGCGATAAGGAAACCGGCACAGAAGCAATTACCGGGCCAGGGGCGAGAGGCACAGGAGCCTCCGCCCCCGGCCGTTTTGCATTTGGCCGGGTGCCTATCGGGATTATTGTAACGGATGGACAAATTGATGGCAAGGGTTTAATCCGCTTCCACCTGTTACAATCCGACGAACAACGTTGTCGTGCATTGGCCGGGATTGCCACGGATTGCAACGGGTTACAACGCATGGCGTATGATTGTAACCCGTTGTAGTATTTTCCCAAATTCGCTGATGATGTCGAACCTCCCCGACGCAGCTCTCGCGACTCTTCTATCCTCGATCCCGTTCACACCAACCGGACATAAAGTACGGGTCCTGGGAAAGTGCGTCTGCATATTTCACATAATTTCTCTACCCGCTTGGTATAGATGTTTAGTAAGAGAACTGACACTTGCGTACGGTGGGCAATAGAATCCTCGTATACGATCTCGACACAAGCACCATGCTCCTAATGAACGATGAAGATGCTATTCTTGTCGATATATCACTCTGTACAGGCCACGCAGAGTCCAAGGACTGGCTGACTGAAAAACGAACCATAGTGAGCGTGATAGGGTATGTGGAACGAGAACCTATCCGGGTGCGTCAAGGTCGTCACGGACATGTTTTCTATTAGCTGAACGAGTTTTGTCATGTTCCACAGAACTCGAGCAGCTCGCTGGAGGTCCCGAAACTGTTCCTAGACTCGGTAACACTGATACAAGACATCCAACTTCAGGCTTTGATGGTGATACCTTCTGGCGACGTGGATATACGTGTATGGAACGAAACGGTTTCACGTATGGAGGAGCATCGGCGACGTACTCCAGCGCCCTCGAGGTCTTGACATCAATCTTAGCCTTGTTAGAAGCTCGGCCAAATGACAAAGCGGTAGTAAGTACCATATCCCTGTTTATTAGATTTTTGTACGATTTTTGACCAGCGATTGAATTCGCAGATGAACCCGAGCACGAGGTTATGGTTTGCATAACGTCATGCCGCGTCTTGCGTCGCGCATCAACTTCAACTTGCACACGACTTGCCTGTCTGCAATGATGTCGGTCATCCATCATGGATCTCTATCCTCACAAAAGTTGTATCCCATTCTGCCTCGCGTCATCCTGAACAGGCGTCTTCCTCACATTCGACGTCAATCGACTTCGCCTGTACCCCAACGAACTGGATCGTACGTCCATTGGGCTCCCCTACCAGTCCTTTCCGACCCCTCCCTTTCCACCTTCCTCGATCAGGCCCTTGATCCACACCTTCCGCATATCCTTCCTCGGGGCCTCTTTGCGAATTATCCTGCCATCAAAGAATGGTTCATCCCCGTTGCGCCTTCAGCTAATCCAGGCAACGCATCGCCATCTTCGTCCTCGCATCCTCCAATCCCTCAGCCGATCCTACACCTCAACACCGACTACCTCTCGCGTTACTCGGATACCACCGTCTCTCTCGAACTGACAACAACTAGGGTCTCGGATGGCACAATCGAGGACTTCGAGCGCGTTGATGCCCCACTCTCACTCTTCCTACAATATATCGAGCTTGCAGGTAGAAATATGGACACCGGGACGCACAGATACAGTATCTACCTTGCGCAATCATCTTTATCCTCGCTTCCCCCTGAATTACTCGCGTCACTACCTAAGCCCGAATTCGTCATCTCCAGCTACACCTCACCGCCATCTTCCACAACTCTCACTAGTAGTCCTCGATTGAGTGGGAACCCTGGAGATAATATCTATGGCTCGTCTCTATGGCTTGGACTGGCACTGACCGAAACGCCACTCCATCGAGATCCAAATCATGGCCTCCTTATGATGTTGGCCGGTCGAAAACGAATCAGGGTCGTTTCACCAAGAGTCGGCAAAGACATCTTCGATACTGTCAAAGCCAGGACCATCACGCGCTCCAGTATGGATGGTCATGACGGCGGAAGGGGAAGGGTGAGAGGTAAAGAGATGATGATTGGGGATGAGAGGGAAGGTCTGGATGAGATTGTTTGGGGCCCACAGGATGGTCGCAGCGGTAAAAGCTGGGAAGGGTTCGATGGTGTACTTGACGTTGGTGATGCGGTATTTCTACCCATGGGATGGTGGCATAGCTTGAAGGGCGTAGGGGAGGGGATGGTAGGATCGGTGAGTGAATCAGTGCTCGTCTTCAATCTTGCTGACATGTATGGTATTGACGATGACGATTACCATTCCCGTGATCTAGGTCAACTGGTGGTTCAGATAAATAAATAAAACATGATAAACAATGCCAATAGTTCACCGTCACTGTACGCGAGTTGCATGTGGGATGCCAGCTCATCATCAATAACAGTAACATTGATCGGAGACAATCGACAGCAAAAGTTGCGCTGTGTTCAAAGCTCAACCCCAAGATTACTGCTTCCCGCTACTTACTTTTGTAGATGGGGGATGGCATAGCCTGTGCGTCTCACTAGGCTCGAGTCGCGAGCCCTGACTCAACCCCCAAATCCTCCAAGACCTGACCCATAGATACTAGAAGAATAATTCCAACTCCCAAACTACATAAGTCAAGCGATGATCTACCGTCCGATTTTCCGAAAACATGCAGGTCCACACAAAACAACAACCACCTCCAGGCTCCCCGATACCTTCAAATTTCAATCCTCGGTACCATGCTCATCTCTCAGCCCTCACCCTCACCCTCACCCTCACCTCCTCCTCCCCTCATCCTCCTCATCACTATCCCCCACATCGAATATCCTCTCCTGCTCCCCCTCCATCTCCTCATCCTCATCCTCCTTCCCCATCCCCATCCCCATCCCCCTTCCCTCACCTACAGCCCTCTCTTTCCCCTTTCCCTTCCTATTCCCATTCTCCAACCCCTTATACTCCCCTCCAAACTCCTCCGACCTCGTCAGCGGAATACTCTCCTCGACCTCGTTCCTGGACAGTGGAAGGCCGACGCTCCCGCCCATACCAAGTCCGCGACGACGGCGACGGATGCGGAACCAGTAGAAGGCTGCGATGATGGCTGCGAAGATGACGAGGACGATAGCAGCCGAGCCTGCGTTATAATACGCTATAAAACAAGACCACAACAACCGCACAAAAAGTAAAAAGAGGATCAAGACTCAAAACCAAAACCAAGACAAAACGCACCTTCCCACATCGCCTTATCCTGTTCCGGCGTCTTTCCCCCCGCCCCCACCGTCCCCCCCGACCCCGCCCCCGTCCCATCCTCCGCCCCCGCCACCGCATCCTCTCCCAGCCCAACCCACACCGGCTTACTCACATCGCCGATGCTACTCGGGATCCTAGCCGAGCCGTCCGCGATGGCCGAGAAATTGACGCCCATGAAGCGGAGGATCATGTCGTGCGCGACGTGTGGGAGGTCGAAACCTACCATGTGTGAGGCGTTGAAGATCTGTGTTCGTTCATATTCGCATTCACATTCGCGCGTAAGTCAGTCAGTCGGTATATTAATATGAGCGAAACAACAGAAAAGGAAGGGGGGCAACGAAAAATACAACGCACCTTCGCATAAGTCAACCCCCGACTCTCAACCCACGTCCCCGCCCGTCTCCCCCCCACACTCCAATTCATCGTCTCCACCTCCCCAAGACCCTTCGCGCCCGCCCACTCCAAATTCTGAATCATCGCCTCCAATCCCACATAATTACATATGAAATCCTTGTCGCCCGCGAAGATCATGACCGGGATCTGCTCGATGATGCGCGGGAGGAAGGTGATGGAGGACGGAGAGTTTTTGAGTGTTAGTTGGGAGCCGATGCGGGATTGACATTCGGTCCAGGATTCGGGTTTGGCGGTGGCGTGGATGGCGGATTTGACGTCGCCGCGCTGGATAGAGGGAGAGTGGGGACCCATGGGGGTGGGTGATTTCAGTCGGTGAGGTTGAAGAAAGAGGAGGAAGGTGAAGGGAAGGGAGGACGTACGTCGAGATAAGTCGTCACATTATGCAGATCCGGAGGCCAAGTCATCCCACAGGCAGGATATTCATCGTCCAGCCGTACATCATACACATTCATACACACTTGTTGCCCGTCTACACTTCAGCATCACAAAACAGACCGCCAAAAAAGTCAAAAGCAGATACACGAAGAACAGCGCGGTGAGCAATGCTGGGGACTGAGAAGACAAGGAGAGCTAAGCTACGTACGTGCGATCACGGCCCTCAGCCACGGTCCCCAAGATACGCTCACAAAGTCCAATATGAATAGGCTCTATCTCTGCCTCATCGAGCAACTTCATGCATCGGTCGACGAGGTCTTTGCTCTTGTCGTACGTCTGAGCGTGTGGAATCAGTATACGTCACCTCCGTACCCTGGAGAAGCTAAAAAGTAAGGGCCCAACGAACCTCAGAGCCCTCTGTAAGAATACCATGCTTGAGGCCATAGTCGAGGAAAGCGGGGTACTGCCTCCTTGCGTCCATCCACCCGTTACCGATCGCGGCGCCCTTTAGGGGGACATCCAGAGTAGAGTTGAGCAGCGCATCACCTTTTGGACAGCCGGATGAGACAGGGTCGGTTTACGTCGTGTCATCAGTGTGAAGAGGTGTACGCACAGAAGTAAGGGATGTACTGTCCGGCGAAGCTCTCTCCAGCGATATAAGTCTGCGATGAAGAAAGGATGACACGGAAATGAGAATCATGGAGGTTGGGAAGAACGTATGGGAAGAACGTACGTCCATGTGCTTGTATTCTGGGAACGTCTTGTAGAAGTTCTTCAAGAATTCTAGAAATTGGTCCGATGCCTGTACAAGCCCCGGTCGGAGGTCAACACCCTACCGCAAACCAAGCAATGACTGAAAGTGGGAAAAGACAAACATCTGAGAGTTCATGCACGAAGCTGTCCGTGCTTGTGTACGAGTATCCTGTCCCAGCAGGTTGATCCACTGATAGACAGGGGGTTGCAGGTGTGGCGTATCAGCCTGACCAGAAACGCAAGAAAGACGAAAAGGAGAAGACGGACCGTATACGATATTCGTGTACTCTTCCCAGCCACCCTCTGCAACGTCCAGCCCTCCATGGTCATTCATCCTCCACGGCCCAATCTCCATCATAAGTCCGTCAAAAGACGAGCATCCTGGGCCACCCTATATCATCACGCACGAGACAAAAGAATTCAAGCTCCAGCTCATCCCAGTACGGGGATCGAAGAGACGACAAACGCACATTAAACCAAAACAGTATCCGCTCCTTGTCTGCCGTCCTCCGCGCCTTTGTGAGAACGAAGTAGAGATGGGAAGTGACGGCGGTAGCGGGTGCAGACGCCGCATTCGGGTCGGCAGAGATATGACCGGCGAATATGTGCAAGGGATGTGTATTATCTTGGTTGAGGTCGGGGAGATTGGAGACGTAGAACGAAGCGGCGGAGGGGACTGTGAGAGTAAAGCCGTGCCACGTAGAGATGTCAATAAAAAGGCGCTGGGAGACGGGAAAGATATGAAAATGAAGAGCGATGAGTGCGACTGACTGTCCGTTGGTGCGGCTGTTGATTGAGGTAAGTATTGGAGGAAAAGAAGGAGTGTGGCGGGCAGGAGGTTGGAGAGGAACATGGTCTGAATTTGGGAGTCTGGCAGCAGTAGCCCCTCCGGAAGGTATTTGTGGTACCGCTTTGGGCTTTTGGGTACTGGGAGGCCCTGCAAGTATAATAATATTCGAGAGATAGAGAAGATATATGGAAGGAAGGAAGATGGTCGTAGCCTGAGTCTGTCGCCGTCGGCGCGTCCGATGAGGAACAAGTCGAGGTGATGTCCGCAGTAGTCGCGGACTGCAGCGCCACACTGATGAGGGCCACCCCCGCACGCAGTTTCCGGGGTCCCTCACACGATGGGTCCATTTCCAATCCATTGTGCCTTTGCGGAAACAAATCCAACGCGATGATTTCAGGTCGCAGCCTGTCCGACAAGATAACGCCAGTGTCCTCCTCTCTTTCCACCACCACTCACTCACCCCCCTTCAGAGAACTATGCGGCTCTCCACGGCTGTCCTCGCCAGCGTGCTCTCGCTCCTTCCGCTCGCGAACGCGCAATACTTCTCGGAAGGATGGGCCCCTGGCATGCCCGTGCCCACGATGCCTGCCGCTCCTCCTCCCTCTTTACATCAATCTACAGGAGGAGCTAGCGGTGGAGTACCCGAACCCGTATCAGCGAAGTCTACACTCCCATCTCTGTCGGAACTGTCAGAACGCTTCAGCCTGCAGAATATCCTGTCTTCTGCACCGGTATCGGCTCTGTTCGACAAGGCCGGGATCAATATCACCGAACGGCTCGCGAATGCGCAGATTAATAACTTCTGGGATTCGCGGATACCGCTCATCACTGATGAGAATTGGGAGGATATTCTCGTCAATGAGGAGTTGACGGAAGAAGAAGAGAAGGACAGGGTTTGGTTCATTCTCATGTATGTTCTCTCTTACCACCCAATTGTGGCCCAAAGTGCTTTGCTTACTTGACTTGATTCAACCAGCACCGTGACGGCCGCGACACCAAATGGTGTCTCTAAATATGCAGACGAGATGTTTGACCAAGCCTATAACCTCACACAAATCGCAGGTGACCTCCCCGACGTCCGGTGGGGAAGGATCGACTACATCAACGTCACTTCTATCACCACCAAGTGGGGTGTCTGGCAGTGCGTCTATCTATCTACACTTCAACTCACACTCACATATTTACAAGAACTGACTGACTGAGTTTATTTGCGCATTAGAGCACCCATGATCGTCGTCGCGAAAGACAGAGCGCAAACCCTCCGCTTCTTCCGCGCCACACAGATCTCTCTCAAACCAGAAGCCCTCCGGGAGTTCCTCCGGATTAAGTTCTGGGAACAGCGCGCTCCGTGGAAGTCTTCGTTTGCGCCTGGTGGGGACTAGTGAGTCTCCCACTCTCCTCTTCTTTATTCCATCGGTTTGAACTGCTAGGAACTGCTGCCAACTAATGCATCTTCTCAACAGTGAATATATAACAGACTACCTCGCCATAGGCATGAAAGAGACATACAGAGTGACGAACCGTCTACCCCGCTGGGCACTCTACCTCATTACCGGCGCCATAGGCAGTTTCATGCTACAGTTCTTCCATCGGGGAGAGACGAAGAAGGCGGAGGAGAGGGAGAGGAAGAAGCAGGAGTTGTTGGCGGAGAAGGAGAGGCTGGAGAAGGAGAAGGCGGAGAAGGAGGCTTTGAAGGAGAAGGAGGAGAGCGAGAAGGAGGGAGGGAAGGAGAAGGAGAAGAAGAGTGGAAACGGAGGAGGGAGTAAGGGAGGCAAGGGGAAGAAGGGAGGGAAGAAGTGAGGGTGATCGTTAGGCAGGGGGAGGTATATATATGGGCATTTACTGTGGGTACTGTGGGGCATTGTTGTATGACGAAGTCGAACTGGTCGTGATACCGCAAAGCCTGTCCGCTTTTTCAATGAAGTGTGGCAACTGTGTGGCGTACGTACTTGCGATATGCACACTACTGGGGTTAGGGTTATCGCCCATAGCTCGTCGCGTCGCGTCGATTTTGTTTCCTGCACTCCTATTGCTCCCTCCGCCTTCTTGCTCTCAGATTCAGAATCTCTTGCGTAAATTATCCTTGCATCATAATCTGAGCGCTCTATCGCCCAGAAGACTCTCAAGCGCGCACAATGTCCCACCATCTCGAGGTAATTCATAGGTTCATTTACATCTATACTATTACACGCCCATGTGACTGACTCTCGCGACGCGCCCCAGTACGCGAAGTCGAGCAGAGCTAAATGTCATGGACCTCCACCGTGCAAAGGCTCTCTCATCGGCCTTGGCGACTTGAGATATGGAAAATCCTATATGAATCAGCATCATACCGAGTCCATCGAATGGAGACACTGGTGCGCCCTACTTAGCTTTCGACGTGACTGAATCTGAATCCATCCACTAACTTCCCAAACAAATATGGGCGTGTGGTATGGTAGGGGCTGCGTGACCCCTCAAATTCTCGCAAGCTTATCCGTCCAAGGCGTCAACCACATCTCCGGTTTCTCCAATCTTCGTGCCGAGGACCAGAAGAAAGTCCGTATGGCACTCGTCACCCGTCGCATCGACCCCGCAGACATCCCCGACTCTGCTCGGCCTGGACCTGGACCTGCACCTCCGACTCTCAACAACATCACACCATCGTCCTCGCAAAACATGCCTGCGTCTTCTCAGGTGACGGCACCTCCGTCTTCACAGCCTTCCGCCTCTCAGGGGCAGGGCCCAGGTCCGAGCCAGAGGAAGAGAAAGGCCGCATTCGAGGCTGCTATGGCTGCGGGTCAGGGCTCTGCGCATTCGCAGGCTGGACCCTCACAGCAGCAGCAGCCTGTGAGACATGTGCAAGGGCCGGGAAATACGACGTGGGAAGAAGGAGCGATGGACGATGCGCCTGAGGAAGAGCCTGTGGATGAGTTGTATTGCACGATGACTTCGAGTGTCGTTGGTATACAGTATTATAAAGGTATGTTTTGATCTTTCGGGCTTCTTCTTGTGGGCTTATGATGTGTAATGTGGTGTTAAGGTCTTGTGGACGTCGGAGAGCAAGTTCTGCTTGTTCGGGAGCCTCATAACCCGTATGACCGGTACGAAAAGCGTTTTCTGTGACGCATACATTCGGCTTATTCCAGTGATGTGTGCAGCAATGCCATTCAGGTCAAGAACATCGGTCGAGTGCAAGTGGGCCACATTCCACGCAATATCGCCTCGAAACTCGCTTCATTGCTCGACAGAAAGCTCGTAACCGTCGAGGGCACTATGAACGAAGGCAACCGTAAGTCAAACCTCTTCTACATAAGTTAGCATCGGCAGGCCCGCTGAAATAGGTCAATACCAGTGCATAGCCACCAATACTCGCTCTCTCTGTGAGTTCCCACACACTTCCCTCTCCTTAGACATATAACTGAAAGGACTGGCTTTATTTATCTACATAGTACGCTCAAGATCTACGGCCCCTCGAATAAACGTGACCAATTGGAGCCTGTTCTTATATGGGCCACACCCGGCCAACGAGGTTTCCCAAAAAAGAACACCGCACCCCCAGCCAGCCAAGGTGCTCGAACCGCCCGCGCAGGCGCCTCAGCGTCGTCCGCCTCTGTTGCTGGCGGTCCCTCCGCTGCCCAAATCGTCGGCGGGTCTTCATATGCGTCCACCAGTTCGGCATCGGCGTACGCGTCCGGGTCCGGGGCACACTTGACGCCACAGCAGAAAGCGATCCAAGAGGCCCAGCTCCGGAAGCAACAGGCAGAGTTCGCGAAAGCGGCGGAGTTGAGGCAGATCTTGAATAGTCTGGAGAAGGTGGACGATGAGGCGAGGAGGGGGTCGTTGCTTGATACGCTGTGCTCGGCGGAGGACGTGATGGTCCTTCCGTTGCATCCGAGTCCGCCGGGGATTGAGAGTGGGGAGTTGACGGTGAATTTGCTGAAGCATCAGGTACGCATAATGTGTTCTGGTTTTTCATTTCGGTGGGAATTGATGGGGTTATGATTTTTTTTTGAGTAGAGTCAAGCCTTACAGTGGTGCATCGACAAGGAATATCCGAAGTTACCAGCGAAGGAGGACGATAAGGCTGTCCAGTTTTGGCAGTGCAGGAAGCAGAATGGGAAGGTCAGTGCACGCGGTGTTTTTTTCTTGAGGATCATGTACGCTTACAATCTACTCGCAGGTTTTCTATTACAACCGTAAGTCAAGAATCTGCTTCTCGTCTTTTCAGTTCACTGACGGTAGCTCCCAGTCGCCACGAATAGTCCTCAGCAGACGCCGCCTGTCCTGGGTCGCGGTGGTACGTATTTCGAGCAGAGTTGACCTGTGTAAACACGGCAGATATTGACAGAGAGACACCCCAGGTCTGAATTCGGACGACATGGGCCTCGGAAAGACCTTGACCATGATCGCTCTTATTCTCGCCACGAAGAACGACGTGTCCAATGACTACAGCAAGAGCACCCTCGTTGGTACGCGAATTCGACTTTGTTTGTCCGCTTCGTTTGGGCAGTGACTCACGTGAATTACGCTCAGTTGTACCCTTGTCCATCATGTCCAACTGGGAGAAGCAACTTAAAGATCATTGCACTCCCGGCTCCATCTCCTCCTGTGTTTATTACGGTGCAGGGCGATCAATGACTGCTGCAGACCTCCAGCGCCACGATGTCGTGATTACGACGTACCAGACGGTCGCTAATGAGGTAGAGAGTGCGAGCACGAATGCTGGTGTTGGGGCGTCGCAGAAGGTGAAGAGGAAGAAGGTGGAGAGTAGTTTGTTCGACGTACGCTGGAAGGTTAGTGTTACATCCAAATTAGCTTGAATTGTCGTCTGATGTGGCGTGGTTTTGGAATCCAGCGAGTTGTTCTAGATGAAGGCCATAATATCCGGAATCCGAGGACGAAGATGGCACAGGCCGTTTGTAAATTAGAAGCCCAGCGTCGCTGGGTGCTCACTGGAACGCCGATCGTACGTCCTACTATTCGCAAATTGAATTCTTAGCCCGTACCCTGACCGTTGTGCTGTTTTCGCAGATCAACTCTCCTCAGGTACGAACATGCACCAGTAGAGGAATCAAGCTCCCATATCTTATATAATGTCATCATTTCAGGATCTTGGCTCTATCGTCACATTCTTGAGGATCTGCAAGCCTCTCGACGAGGCTGAGATGTACAAGAGGCTTGTTCTGAGGCCCCTCAAGGACGGTGATCCCCGTGGTGCTGGTGTATTACGAGTAAGTATCACACCACATTTGTTTTCTTCTTGGGCCGGTCTTGATACCATTCCTTGCAGAGCATCATGAGCCAGATTTGCATCAGGCGTACTAAAGAGGTACGAGAATGGCGAAGTCGCATGGAATTGGCGTCTAACAAGTCAACAGATGCAAGACAAGGATGGGAATTACCTTGTGCCTCTACCACCTGTAAGACGAATTCACCCTCGAGCTCGGAGGCACCAGAACTAATCGAATTATATGTTCCCAGGTCGAGATGACACTTGTTCCCGTGGAACTCAGCCCTGAGGCGAGGGTAAGTTCGCTGTCGTTTCCGGATAGGCTGGTTCGCACTCAGACCCTCCGTTGCAGGAGTACTACGACACCGTGGAGCAGATTTCGCGCGATCGTTTGGAGGGTGCACTCAGCCGCGAGCGTGAAGGGCTGAACTCTGTCTCCGTGCGTCTCCTTCTCCTCGCCTCTCCTCTAATATGTTACTCAATATGCAGAACAGATCTCGACTCACGCGCTCAGCATGCTCACTCGTCTGCGGCAACTCGCTCTCCACCCTGGTCTCGTCCCAGCGGATTATCTAGACCAGCTCCGTCGCGAAGACGACGAAAATCCAGCAGCGGCCACCCAAATCTCGCCTGAGGAGAAGATTAGACTGCAGAGTGTGCTTGCGCAAGCAATAGAGGACAACGAGGAGTGCCCCATATGCTTTGGGATCCTGGATGACCCTCGTATCACGAGTTGTGCTCATAGATTCTGTCTGCCTTGGTACGTCTTTTTCGTGAGGTTGAGGTAAAGTCCTGCGTTGATCACTGGGTTATAGTATCACGGAAGTCATTTCGCGCGATCCGAAGTGTCCTATGGTATGTCCCATACCCTCACCGGATACTGCTTCTTGAATACTAATCTCGTTCTCCATCTCAACAGGACCGTCGCCCGATCACTTTGGGTGACCTTATTGAGCCACCACCACCGACCGAACTCACGCAGGTGGCCCCGAAGGGAGACGACGACGACGACGAAGACTTTAGCGCTCTTCGGACTGGGTCTTCCGCAAAGATAGACCAGCTCGTTCATCTGTTGAAGCTGACACCACCGACGGAGAAGTCACTCGTTTTCAGCCAGTTCACTACGTTCCTGGACAAGGTATGGTCGTCTTCATTCGATGAGATACGTACACCCTGATCTTATATTCTCGTTGTAGATTGCGGAAACTTTAGAAGAGAACGGGTAAGCCATTGACCTCACTTTCGCTTATATCTTTCAAGTTATCACTTTTACTCCAGTATTGAACGCTAACGTATATATTTGTGCGTCGTAGCATTCCATATGCTCGGTTCGACGGGCAGATGTCCGCGAGAAGGAGACAGGAGACCCTTGAGCGATTCAGTGTCCCCATCGAAGAAGGCAGCGAAGACGCCGAGCTTCCAACCCCGAACGCATCTCAATCCCGCTCCCAATCTCAAGCCAAATCGACAACCGGTCGCTCCACACGACGCCGCGGAGGAGGCCCAGCGCCCTTCCCGATGGAAGAAGGAAATGGAATGAACGACGGCGATGATGACTTTGTTCCCGACGACGGGGCTGACGATGACGATGACGACTTTGTGGTATCCGACGACGACACGCCTTGGGGCCAGTCGAAGCCGAAGAAGGGTAAGGGCAAAGGCAAGGCCAACGGGAAGGCGAAGACGAAGGGAAAGAGCAAGGCGAGATTTTCGGGCGAGGATAGTGTTGTGACTTATAAATCTACGGCGGCCGCTTTTGGTGCGAATCCGAAAGTTATGCTCATTTCGCTGAAGGCGGGAGCGTTGGGCTTGAACTTGACCGTGGCGAACAATGTGTACCTCATGGACCCGTAAGTCTGTTAGTCGCTAGAATGATTTCGGTTATAGAAACTGACGAGCACTCGCAGTTGGTGGCAGGAGGGGATTGAGAGTCAGGCTATCGACCGCTGCAATCGGTGAGTGTGGTGTTGGGTTGAGTTCCAAAATGCCTTCTGATGTTCTTGTCACAGTATTGGCCAGAAGAAGCCGGTGCATGTATACCAGCTCATCGCAGAGAACACTGTCGAGTCGAAGGTCCTCGACATTCAAGAGAAGAAAAAGCAACTGATCAAAGAGGTGTGTATCACTTACCTTTCCTTGTTCGTTCAACCACTCACTCACTCTTCTTGCAGGCTTTCTCTGGAATGAAGAACAAGGAGACGCAGCGCCAGAAGAAGCAGGCTAGGTTGCAAGGTGCGTATCTCAGCGAATCTTCGGCGAATGATTTTGCTTACTTCGGACAACAGACCTTGTACAAATCTTCGGTATTCGAAACCCAGGAGCTGCCGCCACGCAAGGCAATTGACACATTTTGGGTATTGTATGAGACTTTCTTGCTGCCGACTTTCTTGACGCCTTGCAAAGGCGCTGTGTGTATGTATGTGAACCATCCCCGTAGGCTATATCCTGAATGCTTTAATGTACATATGTGAACCTATATCGTAAAATCCACACTGCAAAGTTTTCTCTGCGGAAATCTTACTCGAAACTATCGCAATCGAAGAGGGACAGTATCATTGGCTCACCGCTCATGTGAAGTGCCCACTGGTACACACAGCTTGCACACAGCATACATGTATTTTCTTCAGTGTTATCCTTCCATATACGTGTATGTCGCAGTCATTCACATTGTTGTATCGTGACCAGTAGGCCTGTCGTTGTCGCGCTGAACTATATCACTCCACATCTGTTCACCTGGGCCACCACTGATTTCTGTACACGAAATAAGAAAAAAGGACTCTGGTCTGGAGTCAAAAACCTGCGTCGCCTTTTCGGCTTTACTTTAATGTGAATCACAGCCACATGGATTTGTTTTTGATGCAGGAAACCCAACGTTCTCGCCGCGTCTTGAAGTGGCCAACGGCTGGCTCGATCTCACGACCTCTCGGTGGAGGGATTGTTATTGAGGAATACCAACCGTTAGACCACTGCGGCATTGATAGACTTGGGCGTACTAGTCATATATACGACTCTTCCGGACCAGTATATACACATTTCTCGCCTGCTGTCGTCACCAAACTAATCACTTTACTTCATAATAAATCGGTCATCGAGGAAAGACGCAAAATACCACTGAAGAACGCTATACAACGGAATAAAAGAGTCGTATATATTACTAGTACGCCCAAGTCTATCAATGCCGCAGTGGTCTAACGGTTGGTATTCCTCAATAACAATTCCTCCTCCGAGAGGTCGTGAGATCGAACCAGCCGTTGGCCACTTCAAGACGCGGCGAGAACGTTGGGTTACCTGCAACAAAAACAAATCCATGTGGCTGTGATTCACATTAAATAAGCCGAAAAGGTGACGCAGGTTTTTGACTCCAGGCCAGAGCCCTTTTTCTTTACCTCACGTACTTACGAGAACCAGAAGTGGGCTAGGTGCACATGTGTGAAGCAACCACAATTCAGCGATATGAAACAACGTCACCGAGAACATCCCTTCTGTACGGTTCGACCGAAAGAAGTACGTGGGACAAAATGATGCTTCCCGATACTTTTGCCTGTCATCTTAACGCTCATGTTGGTCTCTGGGCAGTGGCGGTCATGATAAGTTATGTCACGAACGAAGCCTTACACTTTCCCATCATAGGAACAGCTTATGAACGCTTGAAGACGTCCTACGACAATCGCGTGAAATGGGATGATGAGATTATAAGCGTCCGACGAGCTGAGCTGCATGCGCCGTAAGTGTATATGATACAGCAAGGTCGTCCAAACGAGTGGATCTAGATGTACACCAAAACGAGTCTGTCCCGACTCCTCAACGTATCGCCAGGATCACTACTCCTGGAAAGGATACGAGAACTTCGGCTGGTCCTTTCTCCGCCACATCTTGCGCCTAGTTATACATGCATACTAATCAGTAACGCATTCCGACCATAGATCGTCCCACAGATGTGGCCCAGATGATGGTGGAAGTGAAAGTGGCATGGGATGTGGAGTGTGAACGCACTTTTTCTTCGTGGGCAAATGCTCCGCAAACACCTCCACACAATACTTCGCCTTAAACTCCCTTATGAACCTTGGGTCCCAAAGCTCGCTTGCGACACCCAAATCTTTACAACACCGCATGAGCGCATTGGATTTGCATGCTTCTGTCGCTGTTGGGATGCCGGATGGGTCGAAGTATTCTTGCTCACCACGGGCGATGGCGACGAGACTGTATCGACCATGAGTGTGAGGTAAATTGTTAGAGAGCAATACAAAAGGGCAAGTAGAAAGGCTACGTACCGGCCAAGACAGACTAGAGCGTATTCTCTACTGACGATTTTAGGGCCTACGTTCGTTTCGCTACGAGGCGCGAGGCCCCATCCACCAGGCCCGAACGCTTTGTTCAACACCCTACGGTACTTGATCTCGGGCAGGTAAATCATCCCATCTAACCAGCAACCAGACCCAACCCTCCATCAGCATTTCACACTCAATCCCCACGTAGAGAAAGGGAAAGTAACGCACCAGGCTTCATCTCAACGTCCAGGGGATCCACAGGCGCAAGCAATACGTCTGCCACCTTCTCCTCAAACGGCTGCACCGAAAGTCCATGATAACTCCTCGACCAGTCGGTCGGCTGTCCACTAGACTCGCTACCCCCACCCAACTCCATAAAACCTGCAGAATCTAACCCAGCAGGAGTAGCACTCGAGCCATTTTTTCCGTTCACGTTCACGTTTCCGTTTCCTGCCTTGGTGGGTTCGGCAGCAATAGCAGCCTGTGCCAAGACCTCATCCTCGATCTCTCGTGCTGTGGTGGGCATCTTGTTGATGGTCTCTGGGTTTCCTTGCACACCGTTCGCGTGCCGTGGTGCGGTAGTTGATGCATTATGACGCTGTGGGGAGATAGAAGACGTGGATGGAGTTACGGCAGGGTTGCGAGGAGCGTAAGGGCGACTTGGGCCGAGGGAGACATAGGTTCGAGAGATGGTGTTGAGGCATGGTTTGTGGGAGACCACGGACCTGAGGAGGGAGAGTGAACGCGACGACATCGTTCTGCACGTCGCGGTCGTAGTGTGGAAGGAAGTTCTCCGCCAGGTGCGGGGGTCGGTGCCACAGACGCGTTTCGGCAGATGCCGGGACACTCAACGCGTTCTCGAGACGAGTGGCGAGCCGTGCACGAACTTGAACTTGACCGCTTCTCAGTCTTTCCCCTATAGCTAACTAGACCTCAGTGCTGTCTAGCTTCTTGCCAAACCAAGACTACTGATATCCCGTTAAAATGTCTCAAGGACAAAGAATGTCTCGTATGTCTGTTCGTTCAAGAGGTCGAGAATCCATCTTCGCGAGCAGTGCGGACTACTATCGTGGCGACGCAGCGGCCATCTGTAGTCCCAATCTGCGAGAATGCGTATTAGCCATGGAGGACTGTGCCGAAGAGGTCGCTTTGCCCTTCTCTGATCATCTTATGTTCCTTGGCCTTAATTACTTATATGATCTTGCAGGCACACGAAGCCCAACAACTCCTACGAAACGGAACCTTTGATCTGCCTCGGATGAGCAAAGTCCTGGAGAACCAGCGGGTATAGTACTCTTGCTCCTCTCGTATATAATTCCTCGTTAACTTTTTTATTTACTACAGGTCTTCCTCTTGATAGACGAGAGCACTGTAAAGAGGTACAAAGCCGATCTACGAGACGAGATCGAGCCACAGGTCACCGAGCTCATCTCACGGGCCGAAAAAGGCCTCAAAACGCTGCTCAAGAAGGAGAGTACTCTGCAGACAAAAGTAAGAGCTTACGCGGGAGCTCTGGTCTCTTTCGTCCTGACAATCGTACGCTTGCTTGCTTTTTCTCTTTCAGGTCGAGGTGGCCCAATCGCAACCTGCCTCACGACCAACTGCAGGCGTGGTCGCGTCCAACAAGGTCGAAGGGCGGAAGCTGCAAATGTTGGTCCGACAGAGAGAGCAGCTCGAGCAGGAGCTGAGAGAGTTGGAGTCAGAAGTCCTGACTCTGGTAGGTCGCCTTATTCTTCTGTTACAAATTCTTGGGGCCCTCAACACCATATTGACTGTGAACAGGAGGCGAAGACGAAGCGATGACGCGTCAGGAAGAAATACCGCTATTTGTATACCTAGGTTCATGTATCAACATCTATACCCAGACGATGCCGACGAGCAAGAAAATCATAGAAAAATATTGCTTTCAGCTCATTTATCAGTACACTTCCAAGATGATTACACTACTCGATACATTGGGGCACAAATCAAGCCACTCTACAAACTTGCAATGAACTACGAACCAGGTGGTGTAGCAATATGTACTTCCCCAATCAAAAACGCATCCGCCGTCCCACCTGCATCGATCTGCTCCGGCCCTCCTTCGACCTTCGCCGGCAGGATCACCAACCCATTCGCGCCACACAAGCTGGCGACACGACTCGACCGTTGCCCTCCAGTACTGTATGCAGTGATACCATCCTTTTCGGCGCGTAGGATGGCGCGGTGGAGCTCGAGACGAGGATCGAGTTTCATGGCTTCGTTAATCTACACAAATTGCACATCTCCTGTCAACACTGTGTATATTCGTTGCCAAATGGCTTTTCTATGGGAGATCTCACGTACCCTGACTTGTACGCGCGGCAGTTGACACGCGGTTACGGGCCAGCCAGCCAATCTCCTCAAAGCAGGAAGCACAAAGATATGGAACATGACCAGAGCCGACGCCGGATTTCCCGGGAGTGCGAAGAGAGGCTTCTTCAGTTCCGGATTGTCCTCCATCGGGATCGTGGCGAACGTCGTAGGTTTGCCAGGCTTGACCTTGACGCGGCCGAAGTGGATGGTGCCGTTCAAAGTACGTTCGATGACGGGTTTTAAAAGGTCGCTTGCGCCCATGGAAGTGCCGCCTGTGGTGATGATCACGTCGGCGTGGTTCAGGCCTTGCTTGATGATCTCGACGTGGGCTTCGATTCTGTCAGTTTGGATGGTGACGGTAAGTTGACGTGTACGAGGATAGAATGAAGATGAGGACGAGACGAACGTATCAGCTGCTATGCCCAAGTCGAGCACCTCATATCCAGACGCTTCCAGTGCTGCGTGCAATGAAGGTCTATTGGTATCCCATATTCCTCCCCAGCCGTCGGCCTTCGTCAAAGATACTGGATTTTGAATGTCCAGAAGTTCGTTGCCTGTACTGAGGATGGCCACGATGGGTTTACGATAAACCTCTACCTATTGGCAGAACGTGAGTGTGGTTCTTCGTTCATAATAATATGAGCACGCACCTCTTTCCGGCCGACGAACACGAGGGTTCCAATCTCTCCGCCCGTGCCATGAATGATTTGACCCTTCTGCAATGCAAGATCTCCTTTCCGCACGTCGGACCCAGGAGCACGCACGTTCTCCCCAACAGGAATTTCAACCAAAGTCTCGACCTCTGCTTCCTCGAGGTCCTCGCCATCCTCGTCCTTCATTGACGAAACGAGACGGGTATCTTCAACCATGATCACGGTGTCGGTGCCAGCTGGGAGGGGTCCGCCTGTGTTAATGCGATAGATGGTACCCTCAGGTAAAACGTCGGACAACTTGTGCGTCGACGACGTGACCACCTTGTAGATGCCAGGCTTATCGGATGCTAGAAATTATCAATGTCAGCAAGGAAACCACGCAGGCGTAGATTGCCAAGGGCCACCTACAGCGAATAGCATATCCGTCTGCGCTGGTCGTATGCATGAACGGAATATCCTGTGGTGCATATACGTCCTCTGCTAAGACATGACCCTTCAACGCTGGCGTTACCTGAATCATATCAGTTTTCGTGCCCAACCCTCGAGCCTCAGCACAAACTGACCTGTTTCTTCTCAGTCGACAAAGTACGAATTTCGCGGAAAATAGTCCCAACGGCTTCATTCGGAGAAAACAATGGGTAGGGAGATACACGATGACGTGCAGGAGCTATTGCGGTTCCAATCAATGGCGGTTTCGGAGTCTCTTTTAGCAGTGCCAATGAAAGTTGAACGGTGAACACTCACGAGGAAGCGAAGGATCATGAGACAGAATATATCGCGGTTTGGGGACATCGTGTCCACTACTGTGATGATGATGATCATGGTGGTGATGGAGGTGGTTATGGGAGTGTGAATGTGACGAGGATATGGTATGTTCGCTGCCTTGGAGCGCGTTGTGTGTAGATCCTCCCGAGCCGCCTCGAATCAACTCGACAGCATGGGCCAACACCCCTCCAGCGAGCAACGCCTCCATGTTCTCGTTAACGGCCTTTACGCTCCCTGGTAATGTGAGGATGAGCGTGTTGTTGATGGTGCCGGCGATCGGCCTCGACAAGGCAGCGAGTGCAGTATGTTTGAGTGATGCATCGAGGACGAGATGAACAAGACCAGGTGCTTGACGTTGAAGAAGTGGCCCTATGGCCTGGTTTGCATGGTCAACGATCCTCCAGTTTGGTAGGAGAATATCAAGGTGCAAGACGATACCTCCGGCGTTCTATCCCTCACACCAAATCCCGTACCTCCCGTCGTCAATATCAAGTCCACGCCGTTTCCTGGTGCAGTCCATTCCAAGACGACTTTCCGGATGGTCTCCTCGTCATCTGGCACGATACCATGAAACTTGACCTCGTAGCCGTTCGTAGTCAGTATATCGCGAACAGAGGGTCCACTCCGGTCAGCTGAGGCGTCTTTCGAGGCCGTATCGCTCACTGCCAATCAACAGCCAAAAGGAAACATGAGCACGGAGGAAGACCGCGATTTCATTACAGTTGAGGGGCGCACCAGTCAGGACAGCGGCCTGTAGTTTGGACATCGTTCAATTCGCGGACCTGCGGCGCTTTCGATTTCGGCAAGCACAAGCGTGTGGACGAATTTTAACCTACGGGGATGCGAACCTTCGGGCGGTCATGAAGCCAGGGAGCGCAGCCGCATTTATAGATGTTCAGCGCAGGCAATGGGCACTACCGTACTGGTAAAGGATGTAGACGACGTCCGATACCCGCTCTAAATCCCATCGTCTGCTGATACCAATGGACCAGGGTAATCGTGGGTGAGAGAGGCGGTAAATATTCTAGTTCCCTTGAGCGCTGCGTTATCGTTGAAGCAGACTGCCCAACTTTGAGCCGGGTTCCCTGCGTCCATCGCTGCGTCCGACCTTGACGGAGATATTCAGGATCTAGTGCAGGCCTCGTTGCGCGCAGACTCGTCGCGTATATTACAGCAGACATGTCAGTATGCTCCGGGAGTGGGTGTTGAGATAGAGTTAGTCTCGCAAAGGCAGGGTATACAGAATTTCAACGAGCGAGCGTCGAGCGATGAGGTGGCGGAAGCCAATCTAAATCTGAGCACGGTTGTCCTACCCTTATCCCGACTGACCTTTGCGCCTCCCAGGATCCCACTCCCTGAAAGGACTAGACATCTCCACACGGCTCAAGCACAAGCATCTGAACCAGGAGCACACTCCATACTATGGGAGACACGAAACCGAAGCCACACTCAAAGTACAAGCTCCTCGACCTGATACAACCCAATAGCCAGCCCCGCCTGCTCATGCTGCATCTTCCTCCTCCTCCTCCAATCACCCTGCTGTGCGCTATCCTTCTTCACGCCACCCTGTGCCGCCTCTGCAACGGCCTTCGTCTGGGCTTTAGCGAACGGCTCCAGAGGACCCCGAAGCTGCTCAGCTTGGTCGATGAGCGCAAGTTCGGGTTCGAGGTGCGATGATATTCGTTTTAGGAGTGTGTGGGAGGAGGAGAGCTGGAGGAGGGAGAGGAAGGAGGCGTCGAGGATCGTTCTCAAGAACGCTAGGATCTGAATCGGATTCGCTCGAATCAGCTGTGCGTTGAAAATGAGAGTGAGAGAGACAGACCTTGTCGAGTGGTGGGATGCCGATCGAGCTCGGATTTACTACTGCTTCTAACACCCCTTGCGCGTTCTTCGAAACATCTGTCGGTAAGAGTGAGGCATCCTTCGAACTCCAGGTCACCAGCCATTCGTCGAGCACCTCCAGTACACAACAGATATCCTCTGCGTCGGACAAGTGGGAGTGAATTGCTGCGCGCAAAGCAGCGGGGGACGATGGACACCGAACGCAAGAGGCGAGAACAGTGGAAAGCAACGGCACTTCTCCCTCTGATGAATCAACCTGCATGGCATCTCCAGATCCCCGTTGTCGATGCGAAGTCACGGCGAGCTTGACCACAGAAATCAGATCTGCCTCAGGGATATCAATGACGTTGTCGATAGCCAACATCACAGATTTCTGCAAACAAAGCGTTCAGAAGACAGCGAGCCACAAAGAAGGCAAGAAACTCACCCAATCCTTCCGTGACAGCAGCGCAGGTATCAGACCGCCTTCGACCATATTCGCGGAGACGACCCGGTGCTCCAATAGGTGATGGACCACCTTCGGGGAGTACGCCGTCACATTTGGTTTTGAGGGTTGAATAACGACGTCCAGCAATTGTCGAACAAATTCATGCCCCAGCGACACAGTCGTCGTTCCTCTCTGAAGTTCCCGCGAAGGATAAGATGTCTACCAATCAGTCATCTCGCACCACCAATAACAAAAAAAAAAGGCACTTCCTGCTTACCTGTGCTTTCTGCTCCTTCTCCGACCATTCAAAGAATGCGACGTCTGCTGCCTCCGGTCGATTTTGTTCCACAGCAGCCCGCATCGTCTTTACGACATTAGCCCTCGCAGCATCCATCCCTACATGGACGGGCTTCGTACCAGACGCAACTCCCGTCGCCTTCGCGAGCCACTTCTTAGCACTCTCCGCTCGTCCCATAGCATTAGCTATCGTCGACACAGAAGGCGCAGTATACGGCACGACGAGCACCGTCGACTTCGGTTTCAGCGCCGAAGAATTCGACGTCATCTTCGCCGTTTTCGGACAAAGCGCCAGTAACGCCTGCGTCGAGGTCGCATACACGAGTTCGACGGAGATGCCCTCTTTGGGATTGAAAGACACGCTCGAAGGAATAGCGAACGAGTGCGATGCGAGGAGGACGGAGTAGGCGAGGTCCCAAATGAGGAGACAGATTTCCGAGGTGTGGGAGGGGATGCTGGCGAGGAGGACGTGCGAGGAGCCGAGGGAGAGGAGGGAGAGTTCGTTGGAGGAGCGGTCGGTTAGAGGTTGGGGCGCGGGGGTTATGGGGCGGAGGCTGGTGAGGTGGAGGGTCGATGGTGTGGATTGAAGGTTTGTGGATCCTGATTCCAACTCTATCCGGAAGGTGGACCAGAGACCACGGCGATCTATGTTACGCAGCAACGATTTCAGTGATGCACAAAGATATCTAAATTGAGAGAAGGCGTACCGAGCACGCTGATATACCCCGACGAACTACATGAGATGTCCGTGATGCTCTAACCAACTATGAGCTAAACATTACAAGAATCAGGATGTATGGTATGGACTCACAAGTTCTTCCAGTGGCAAAGTCTCTTCCAAAACTTTGTCTGCGCCATCGACACCAACATCATACACCGACAACCGTATAGACTTCCCCGAACGCAAAAAGAGGACCAGCGCGGAATGTGTGGACGAATGCCCGGGGATGAAGTCACACGACTCGTGTACAAACGCAAAGCTCTTCACGACGACGGCGTCTGGTGCAGTTGCAGGCCGAGTATACCGAACGTTCAGTTCCCCATCTACGACCGTCAAGTCTCCCTGCGGCGAAACCAACAATAAAGACACATCTGGATCGTCGAGCGGATAAATCCGTGCTACTTCATGGGATAGCTAAAAAGCCAAAATTAACAGGTATTCGGTCAAGGTGAAAAGTAAACCAAACGCACCACGACCACTTTTTTCTCCTGCGAGCGAGAGCGAGAGCTAGAGCTCGACTCTCCCGACGCATTTTCAGTCCACATCCAGATCGCCTTCCCACTCTCATGAGGCTCCAATTCCGGCGACGATTTGACGGCCGCATAAGTTTTTCGTAGCTTGACGCCACCTTCGGTAAGGGTGCGAGTGATCGCGGGGCACGCGAAGGTCGTGGATGGTCCTAATGTATGTGAGCATACGAGATGCAGATTAGACACCTATACGAATAAACATAAAGTTCGTCAGCCAGTCTGAGTCGCAGCAGGATTCTTTTTCGCAAAGCGAATAAATCGAGTGTGGCGTACGTCAAGGACATGGATTCCATCCCGCTGAGCAGTAACAGCAACGTATCCCTCTCCCTCTCGGCCACCCACTACACTCTGATGCGTCACGAAGACATGCGAGGGGCCCTCCGATTGCGCGAAGCGGTCGGAGAGGTCGTATGTGGATAGCACGAAAGGATCGCTGATAGAGGCACTCATTCCTTTCGTTCGGCCGTCCGAGTTGGCCGTTTTTTGACGAAGTCGAGAAGAAGGAGGGACTGAATCTGGGGTTAGGTCTTCGAAACACGGTAAATTCACCGTCGCCGGCAAGTTGGCGCGCGTTCCTCCTTTCGAGCTCACCGCGATGATGATGCGCCTGCCAACCGTCACTCACTCATGGTACTCAGAACAGTCAACGGCTTATCCAACACTCAGGATTTGTGGTGATCCAGCATGCATGCAATGTATAGTCATAAGTAATCAGAAAAGAGGGATCAAGCGAGGAGATGAGATGATACACATGGTGAAGTAAAATGATAAGTAAAGACGAAGGATGGCCTGCAAGGAAGATCGAAAAAGTGTGAAAGTGTCGAGAGAGAAAGCGTGAAAGATCGAAAAAGTGCGAAATTCAGTCAGAGAACTCGATAGATGAAAAAACGGAGAGAGTGTGAGGGCGAGTAGAAATAAATCAGATCGATATATAAGCGGCTCATGGATGATGGCCACGAATAAAAAAACAGGGAGGAACCAGGGGGGCAGAGAAGGAAGGTGAGCAGTCAGATCCATATGTGCTGAGACGATAGACTGATAAATGAGTAGATTGAGAACGAGAGACATGACGAGGAGCCAAAAGCAAGCAAGCAAGCACAGGGAATGAAAGGGAAAACGATCGTAAATGGACATGGACAGTTTCATAATAACAATACCACGCAACAACTAGAGACCTGACGAACGTCTGTTCAACATCATCGCCACGGATGAATGGGGGGGAGACACCTCGACACACCTCACTTAGACTTAAACAGCCCAATCCTCCATCCCACCCCCAAACCTCGTACTCCCGCCCCAATTCCTCGCCATCCTCGCCTCCGACCTCTCCTCCGCCAAAACGCCCCTACTCGCCCCCGCACCGCCCACATTTCCGCCACCGCCACTACTCGCACCCCCCATCCCCCCACCAACCAACTCAACCACCACGCCCCCTCATCTTCCTCCTCCCCCGCCCCCCTCCCTCCCTTCGTATCCGGCCCCCTCTTCTTCCTCTTCCCCTTCCCCTTCGCTTTCCTATCGAATCCGCGTCCACTACCCCCTCCCGCATACGATTGCGGTAACTCCGCGAACGATATCCGTTTCGGCGTCGATCGTCCACTCGACGCCGCGCTGCTCTCTGTCCCAGGCCCGCTATGTCTCTGTCCATTCCCATTCCTATGTCCGACCAAACCTCCCAACGTCAACGTCCCAAGCATCCCTCCGAGCCCTCCGAGCCCTCCACCACCTCCACTACCACTCCCACCACCACTCCCACTACCGCCCGCACCATTACTCCCACTGGCACCAACCCCCGTAGGCGTAACCGGGCTCACCGGCGTCCTAGGCTCTCTCGGCGTCCCACTCGCCCCCGCCCCACCCTTCAACGCACTCTGCCTCGGCGGACTCCTCGCCCTCGTCGAAGTCGTATGCGTCCCCTTCGTAAACAACCTCGAAATACTCGCCGTCGCATTCGAACTCCCAATCGCCGGACCCGGCGCCGGCGTTTTCGGCATGAACTGTTTCTTCGGCTGTTGTTGTTGCTGCTGTGGAGGAGGAGCGGGAAGGGGAGGAGGAGGGGGAGGAGGTTGATCGTTGAGGATCTTGCGCAGGGCTTGGAGGGCGAGGATGGGGTCTGTTGAAGAGGAGTTGGAGTTGGAGCCGGATAGGGAGGGCGAGGTGGACGAGGCGGAGAGTTCTTCGATGGGGGGTGTCATTGCTCGTTTTGACGGTTGGGAAGGTGAGAGTGGGGGTGTCGAGATCCGGAGCAGAGGAGGCGGAGACCTCGAATGCGATTGTAATCGTCTCGTGAGTCGATCGGGCGAGAGATGAGGTTCTGCGGTCGTCGTCGTGGAGGTGATAGTACTACTATTACTCCCCCGTCTCGTCGATGATGATCTCGAGGGCGAAGCACGGGTGCGGCCACGATTCGGATATTGCGTCTGCGAAGACCCGTTGGATGATTTGCGCGAGAGGACGGAGGAGAGGAGGGAATAGGCTGGGGTGCTCGGTTCGGCTGGTTTATCAACCAGTACCGGGGTCGAAGCCGACGCAAGTGGGTTTATAGGATGTGTGAAGGATCTCGATGATGAGGCTGACGATAACGAGGTACTATGACTATGGCTGAGCGTATGATTGATTGTGCGTGCGGGTGCGGAGGGTGGAGGCTGAGAGGACGAAGACGAGGAAAGGTCGGCGAAATGAGAAGAGGAAGCACGGAGGCCGAGGGTCGAGGGTAAGTGCAAGAATGCGTCCGCGTCTGTGGACTCGATGTATTGCGTCAGGGCGCGGGGCGGCGGGGAAACGAGACGGTCGCGATCCCATTGGGAGAGTCGAAGGTGGCCGGTGTCGGAGAGGTCGACTTGGGAGTGTGAGTGCGAATGGGAATGGGATACGGTGCGGAGACCAGAGTTGTTGGAGGAGGAAGAGGAACGATGGGGTGCGTGGCGACGGAGGATAGAATCGTTATGTGTAGGGAGAGACTGGCTGATCGAGCTGGGGCCCGCTTCAGGGGGAAAGAGACCCTCCACGCCCTTCGTGATCTCATCTAGGTCGTCCATCCATGACTCGTGGTAATTCCTCTCCGAGCGCATACGGGACGAAAGCAACCGCGCACGATTGTCAAGACTGCGATCGATGCCCTGGTCAGAGTTCAGAAAGGCGAGCGAGGACTGGGTGGACATGGACGACTGCAGAAGCGTATTCGACATCTCCAGCGCGTGCACGCTGCGCTCGAGCAGAGAATCGAGATAGGGGTCCGACGCAGAGGCGACCGGCTGCCGTCTTCGAACCTGGGAGGGATAGCGATGTGGAGAGCGACGGGGGGAGTGTGGGTGTGGGGATATATTTATCGGGATGGGCAGCTCAGAGACGGACTCGTCTGTCTCAGCGTCGGCCTCGTCCGCGCTCTCTGGGTAGTCTGGCGGTCTGTCCGAGGGCAGGTCGTCGGCTGCCTGCTGTGGTGATTGTTGTTGTTGTTGTTGGGAGCGCAGCCAGGCAGGCTGGGACGAGTACTCTGGAAGGGTGGCGGTGGTGTCTGAGGAGAGTCTGGAGAGGGAGATGCGCTTGCGGGAGTGCCTGCGCGGGCCCTGGCTAGAATGTGAGGAGTGCATCGGGGGAGACGCGGCGGGATAAAACCCCCTCGACGAGTCAGTCGGCGAGCGCTCCCGAAAGATATCGCAAGTTGGGTCGAAGAGGAAGCTCGCCGTCCTCTGCGCGAAAACATACGCGCATGACCCTCCAAAGCGTCGCTTGTTTGGCAACTCGGTCCGCCACCTGCCCTAACAGGCGCACCCAGCGCATGCCTCCCCTCTCACGTCCTTCATTTCTCCTATCGCGCACACACACACCTAATAGGTTGTCAAGGAATATGCATTGTGCGACACAGCGCAATCTAGTAGGTGGGTCTAATACGGTACGACGGAACGGTAGCGAGGACGAGGGGATATAAAGAAGATGTGGCGGCAGTCTAATACTAGCTACTGGCGGACGAAAACAGTGTTCGAGGATGGGCTCCCGACAGACAACACACGGTGCAACCTTATGCATCACGCCAACGCCCTCACAACAGGCGTCGACTCCACCTCAGCCGCGTCGAACGACCCGCCCTCCCTCTCCAGCTCGGCCTTGTCCAGCCTGTTCAGAATGAACTGCACCGCTGTGTAGAACTTCGGCGTCGTCCACAGGAACGCTCGAGCGTGCTGCGACGCTACCTTCTCAAAGTCGGCTGTAAGGGTACAAGCAGTAAGTATCATGATGCGACAAGTCCACTACAACACTTACTCTGCAGCTCCTCGCGCAACGCCAACCACATCTTCGTGCGGTCCGTCAACACAGCGTTCACACGCCACCTCGCACACTGTAAGCAAACGCCCGACGTCAGAACGAACCCCCTGTCGCGATAGCTTAATAGAGCGCCACTGACCTCCATCATCTGCGCGCGCTCGTTCACCGTCCATACCATCAAGTGCTTATTCCCCGCTTTACACTCCCTAATGAACCTCTGCCCGTCCACCGTCGCCAGCCCCGCGAACCACATCGAGAACGCACCACAGTGCTCCCAGAAGTACTTGCGCGCGATATAGGGGCTGCCCCCGATATACGACCTCGTGCAATACGGCATATGTTCCTTCGCGTGCTTGATGAACCGCGGATGCCACAAGCCGAGGATGATTCGCGGCGCGAGCGCCGTCTCCCAGTTCTCGTGCGCCGACACGATCTTGTGCATGAGCGAGAACAGTCTCGGGGGGTCATTATAGACTTTACAATCGACGTTGAACTTGACGTGATTGTTCTCCGGCTGGCGTCAGAAGTCAAAAAGCGGAGTCAGTTGACGAGACCGGTTGACACGTCACGGAGTGGAGGAAGGAAGAGGACGAAAGGAAAGGTAAGGAGCGCACCTTCATCAGCAAGCTCACGGTCTCGGCAAACGTAGGAATCGCCTGCTTGGGCTCCTTTGTGGTCCGAACTTGCTCCATACCGTCTGGACCGTACCACTTCTTGTTCCTGATCAGACCTATTACGTCCCATAAACGAAACGCAGCCGTTAATACCAAGCCGCGCTAGGAGGTCACACCACGTCGAAACGTACCATCACTGTCCGTTGTCCTCTCCAAACCTAAACGAAACAAGGGTGGTGATTCCAGTCAATAGAGAGCATGCGACGGCGCGGGTGAAGGATAGGGCGGTGAGGGAGGGATAGGGATAGGGAATGGGAGGGACTGAACGGGGAGTGAAGAAGAGAGAGAGAAGGGTAAAACTGACTGGGGTCATGGAACATGACGACGACATCGTCGAGGGAGACGTGGACGTCTGGGACATTCGATGGGATCACGGGTCACGGGCGACGAACGCCAATAAATCGGGGTCTTTGGAGGGAATTTAAATACCGCTCTCGATGCCCTCTGCGCCGTCGCGCATGGCAGCCTCAAAGCTGGCGAGCGTGTTCTCCGGGTATGCGGCCGATGCCTGTTCGTACGACGTGGACGGACCGGAAGGGGGGGTGAGCACGCGTCAGCGGTCTGCTTCCTAAGGCTCTGCGGCCGTCCGAACGCGTAGGAGTGGATAAACAACTCACACCGCGGTGTCCCCAGCACTCTGCGGACGACGATGGAGCGTATGCGTCAGCGAAAGGCGGGTATCGCGTGAATGAGAGATAAGGACGACCGGGGGAAGTTGTACATACCAGGTAAAGCGTCCATCGAAATAGTCTGCGACATGACTGACAAGGTACTAACGAAGAAGTAAAGAAAAGAAAGAAAGACGAAGAGTTGGGGGAGGGGAGTGGGGGGTGGTGGACGAGACGCGGTGACGATCAAACGAGGAGGGTGGGACTTTATATGACGGGGACGAGAAGGACGGTCATTCGAAGTTGGCGGTTCGAAATTTCGACGAGACGCGGTCGCCCCTGTTCAATTACGTACCGGCGAACGTGGTGGCGCCTATAATACCCACGCCAGACACGTGGGTCGCGTGGCGCACTTTCGTTCAGACCTCCTCCAATCACCGCACACACATGAGCAGAGCCTGAGCACCGTTGCACGACCGACGAGCATGCTCATCCGTCGTTTCCCCTTTTGTAGATGCCCTGTTGAAAACCGTCACCTCGCTCACAGAAACTCTCGCTGTTCTTCTTTTTCGTCAATTGTTTTTTTTTTGTTTCAACTCTAATCGGGCCACACACTCCACATCCCCCCATTTAGGCACTCCTCTTCCTCCCCGCTCGCCCTCGCGTTTATGCAACACAATTTTATCCTGAATAGCCTCGTATCCATCCGCTGTGATATCATCCCCACTAATAGATTCATTGCACCGAACGTGCGCGACATGTACAGACTCGCGACGAACGCCGTCTCTGTCTCCACTTCCGTCCCATCTCGCTCAATCTCTCGTTCTCCGTTCCGAGGACGGGAACTCCCTGCAGGCTACCAGCGCAGAGCCGCCGAGTTGCCGAAGCGAATTTTAAGCTCACAAACCTAATTTTTAAGCCTTTTGAGTTGCGTGTGAATCGCAATCCGGCTTTCGGCGAGGTGTATGTGCCAGTGTACATGTGTGAGATAAGTTCAAGTGGGTCGTACATGCTGGCAGATGGGAAGTTTTGTCGACATACAGAACATGCTTTTCGCCGAACGGATAGGCAGATAGTTTTAGGCCTTACTTATGAGTAGGAATGCAGTCCTGCCAAGCTTGAGCTTGAGCTTGAACGATAGTTGACGATAGCTATAGTATCTTTGTCGGGCGGGATAGCGGGACGGGCACAACTCCAACCCAGAATAAAAGATAAATCCAAAGATGAACACCAGCCCATTCTTGTCACATTTTCGTGATATCCAAACAAACAAACAAACGGCAAACGAAAACGAAAACGAAAATAATTACCTTCAACACCCCCCACACATCCCATGCCCACACCCCCAACAACTCGCCGCGCCCACGCCCGCCGTCCTCAACACCAAACTCACAATACTAATCACGCCCTCCCCGAGCACGAATCCACTCGCGATCACGATCAACCTGATACTTTCCCCTCCCTCTCCATGCTGATTCCCCGCTCCTCCCTCCCCATACTTCCTCGCCAACCTCCTCCGATACAGATACTCCACCACCCCACCTAGCAGCCTCGCGATCGAAAACGACGGCGTGTTCAAGAAGCCAATAGCGAACGCCACACCCGAAGGCAACCACTTCGCCATCCCCCTCACTTTCGCACTATGATGCCTCACCGCCCACGTCTTCAGCCCCGCCACCCCCGCAAAAAAGATCGCGAACACGAGCATGAAGATGCCTGAATTTGGGGGCAAGGACCCGTCACGGAGGAGACGCGCGAGCGAGAGCCAGACGTAGGCTGTCGGCGCGGGGAAGGAGGGCCCGGGGATGGTGTAGGCGCGGTTGTAGAGGCTGTAGGCCGTCACGGTCACGAAGATGGAGAGGGTGGAGCCGATGAGTTGGCCGTAGAATTGGGCGCGGGGGGAGGCTTGGATGAGGTGTCCCGTTTTGAGGTCTTGCATGAGATCTCCGGCTCTGGTTCATCGGTTATCGGTCGTCGTTGTGGTGGTCAGTAGGATGAGATGACAGTGAGAAGAGAGGACGAGAGCGAACTTACTGTTGCGCACCGGCTTCTGCGACTCCGCCGGCGATGATGTTGGCTACGACGTTTCCTGGCTGGATCACCGCGAAGAGCAACTGACTGATCTTCCCGAGCCCGCTCACGGGGTTCAAGTCTGTCTCGCCAAGTGCCCTCACGCTATCCCACACATGAACGGTCAATTCAGCTCTAATCCAAACCTAACTGATGAATACGCCACCTACCCGAGGATACTCAAAATCCCACCCATAACGAACCCGACAACAGTAGCCCACGGCTTAATCCCCTCCGCCCCAAACAAGCCCCAAACGATGATAGTCCCAACGACAACACTGACCCCCAGTCCCCAGACCACAATATTATTCGAAACGAGCCTATCCTCCGTCTCGACCTCATTATCGTCTTCCGGCACCGCTTTCTTCCCGCTCACGAGCTTCAGGACGGAGGTGTACATGACGGGGACGAGGGAGATGACGGAGTCGGAACACATGATGGCGAGGGAGGTCCAGAGGATCCAGCCGCGAGCACCGTCGGACATGCTGCCTACGGGTCCTGGAGCCCAGCCTGCGTTGTGGGAGATGGGGGAGAGGATGCCCCAGCCGACTAGCATGCCCTGGGTGGAAGTGTCAGTATATGAGACGGTGAGACGAGGGATGGAGGTGGGTTTACTAGGTTCATGCTGAGTGTGGTGGGAAAGCCCATGATGATACCTGGAAGACGTGAGCCGGTTGGAACGATAGACGATTATAAAGCGTACCTTGACCGACATAGGATAAACTCGGTGTGAACGTCCACAACCACTGACTAGCCAAGTACGTTCCAAACAACGGAACAGCAAATATCACGGGGAAGAAATACGCTGCAAGCTTAAAGAAATACACCGTATCAACACCACCACCACCACCGATCATGTTAACATTTCTCCAAACGCATTGGACATACCGTCAAAACAGCAGACGCCGCAAAGCTCCAAGAGAGCGCCGACCACCCCTCACTAGTGACCGTCTCGCGCACCCTCACCTCCTCGCGTTCGGCTTCCATCGGTGTCTCTGGAGGTGGAGGGACGTCGATGCCGTCTTCTTCGGATCCAATGGCGGTGTATCCTGAACGTTGACGGAGGGTGCTTGGGGCTGGTGAAGGGATTTTGTGCAGGACTGAGATGAGCTGGGCGGTGGCTGTTCCGGAAGGAAATGCGAGTTGTTCTTCAATCACCTTTTATACGAAAACGAAGAAACATGAAGACAGAAGTAGTGATTTGAGTTGAGTGTGCGTATACAAAGAATTGTGATCAAGGGCCGTACCACTTGTTTACGAAGCGGGGGAGACATGAAGACCCTTTGAAGCGAATATAAGCCTGGATGCACCATGACGGTAATAGCAGTATAGAAAACCGAACCCGAAGTAGGCCACCGCGCAGGACCACAGGACAGCAGCTATCCAAGACAGTTGAATGGGTGATGATCCATCTTTATCCTCTTCCAACAATCCAAGTGCCGGTATGATGCCTACGAATCCGGCAGCAAGTGGCATCTAGACGGTCAAGGTAAGCAATATGAGCGAACGAGCTCCGATAGGGGGATGGCCTCAGAACTAGTAAATACGCACTGTGCCAGTCGCGACAGCCGTCGTCTGAATCACGACGTTCTCTTGAGGAGACATCGGGGTAGGCAACAGTTTCGACACGAGGAAACCGATAAGAGCAGATTGGAGAGACATCCTTCAACAATGAACAAACGAGTGGCGTCAGAATGTGGCGCAGACAAAGTCCTGGACCGGCGAAGACGAGATGAGAAGGGACAAACATGCTGATCCATCCTGTTTGAAGTCCAAAATACAGGTTCGTAAAGCATAGCAAACAGCCGATGAGCAGCCCTAGCAGAACCGCACGAAGCTAGCATTCACGAGTACAGAGACTGTAAGCGTAAGGACGATGATAAGTAGGACTGGACTGACGGTGAGCTCAGGGTTTGCTTCCTCGCTCGCTCTCGAGCGGTATTTCCTAGATGAACGTAAGTATCAAGGCCCCCATAAAATCGAACAGCGTACCCAGCGATGGAACGTATTCTGTCCATGATAGTGGCTGGATGTCAAGTTGGACTCGCCACGAAACTCGCTGAACAAGCAACACTGCGGCACCGCCGCCACGCCGCGGCATGCATGTCCGTGGCTTCGAGTTGTGGCCCACTTGTTGCGAGCAATCTCAAATCATCTTCACATGTATACGTATTGTTTTCCCGCAGTGAGAGTTGGTTCGGGACGGAAACTTGAAGAAGAGCTGTACTGCTCATGGTAGTGGAGAAAAGTCCACGAGTTCACTCGACACGATATACAGTACACACATACATGAGGTACGGGAAGATGCAGAGATACAGTAAGCCTCAGACCTCAGGAATCCTCCTTGTGCATCCTTCGTCTCTTCATCGCCGGCTTTGTATCGGATTCGATCTCACTAAACCTCTTCATCACCGCTTTCGGAGCCTCCGGCGGCTGCGCTACCGGATGGTCCACTGCTCCGTCCTTCATTGCAGACCACTCGTCGTTTTTGCACGCATCCTCCATAGTATCCTCCATCCAATCATGTGTTGCCCAGCGCTCCACGGCCTCCTTCTCTTCGCGATGCCACGCGAGCCGGAAATCCGCCGTCAACCTTTCTAATAGGTCTGCGAAGAATGATGTGGTAAGTAGGAGTCCTTCACGCTTGCTGGTCACCAGTTCTCCACCGGCGAGTGTCCACAAGGACTTGGCCCTTGCTGGGGTCTTCGTCTTGCTAAAATCAAAGTAGGACAACATTGCGAGGCGGTCATCGGCTGTGAGGCCGTTGGGCGCATGTCGGATCGCGATCCACAACATCACCCACAAGAACGATTCGATGTCATCGCTGGTCTCGTGGCGTTTGCTAGGATTTTTGAGAAGGGCTAGTGAAAAAAACTGATACGTCCCCTGCACGGCCGTCAGATATCGTCGATGAAGAAGAGAAAGCGTGATTGTGTGACATACTGTGCGTTCGCTAGCCCTCATTGGCGTGTCGCCTACACTGGCGAGCTCCCAATCGATAAGATAACCTCGACCTTCAACAATGACGATGTTGCCGACGAATATGTCCCGGTGAAGGATTCCCGCCTGCGACGCCTCTCGATGTGCTGAAGCAAGGTCGTAAGCGAATAAGCATCTGCGTCAAAAATTATGGAGGGAGACGAACCTCGCAATGCGTCCCGGATCACAGTTATAAACTGATGAGTCGAGTCGAACTCGGTGAGAGATTTCCCGACCTCGTCTAAGACGATCCGATAGTGAATAAGCTCTCGGAGCCCACCATCACGACCGCAAGTCTGAAGAGGGCCCTCGACGTCTCCCCAAGCAACGACCCGAAGAACGTTCGAAACGCCCGAGTCACGGAGCTTTTCGTAGATTTCGTGCTCCGGAGGGTACTCTGCATATCTCCAAGTGTCTTTCAGAAGGACGCGTTTCCCATTCACGGGGTTGTATGCTTCGTAACATCGAGTACCGCGACCGACTGGATATCCATGGGTGGTAGTGAATGGACTTGAGATGTAGAACACGTGAGAGCCAACGGAGACCTTGAAGACTGGATCATCGACCTTGAGAAAAAGATGTGTGCGAGCGGAGGAGACATGAGGGTCATCGTCAGGAGCGCGCTCGAAGGTGGTGTCTAGCCCACGCTCAGCGGACAAAGCCCGAGTGTACCGCCAAAAGAATTCATGGACCTCGTTGCTCTTGGTCATGTCGATCAAGGGCGTCACTTCAGTGCCGCTACGAGAATGGCAAAGAAGGCGAGCGAAGTTTTTGCGATAGTAAAAGGAATAGACGCGTGTGCGCTGCTGAGCTGCCTGTATGGCGTTATGATACACAGTGAGCTGTCCTCGCGTCTGGTGAGCAGCCTCCGTTTTGCGCTCCAGGAGCTCAGAGCTGGCTTCAAGTGGCAGACGGAAAGGCTCGCTCGTCTCGAGTATTTTGGCTTCGCCAAACAGCGCTGCCGTTTTTGACCGACAGGGCCGAGCGTCATCGTACATGTTGGGAGCGTAGAGCGCAAGATCGGGTTTTACGTCACTGTTGCCCAAGGGTGTTTTCGAGTCTGGATCTGCGTGATTGTGGGTGTCCTTCAATTCCCAGCCCTTAGCCAGGTAGGGTTGCATCGCCTTGATCTATGGAACAATCAGCACGAACAGGACAGCAAATGGACACGAACCACGCACAAACAAATCATAAGATTGGTTTTCCAGTGTAACGTCTTTGAGTTTCTTCAGCGGCCGAAGGTCAAATTGCGCGGTTAACATCCCTGGGCCATCACGAATTGGAAGTCGATCGAGCAGTTCACGGGTCGGTATCTCCACGAGCTTTCCTTTCAATTCTTCTGCCGCGCGCATGTATGCTGGATCGATGAACAAGTGGTTAGAAGTAAATGGCTGAGTCGCCGTGTGGCCCTTCCGAATCGGTATCGATGTGGTAGGTACCCCAGAAAGGCTATGAGTGTCAGGATCATCCTCGCGGAGAGGAGTCGACTGGTGCTGATGCGACGACGGACTGGAGGGGTGCGGAGTGGACGGTAACGGCTCGCTCGGACGTTTGCTTGATTGTGAGGGGAGCCCCGGCGAGGACTCGTTTGACGTGCCGCCAGAACGGTGTGAGGACGCAGGCTCGAGATCGTTTGACCCAGAGCTAGATGGTGATGCGGGCTCCGACATGGGCTCCTGCGTGAACTCCTGCGTAGGCCCCGACGTGGGCTCTGGCGTAGACGTCGAGTCGTTCGACGGGGCGCTGGGCGATGCTCTACGGATACCGCGAGCCTCTCTCGAGCGAGTGCTGCCGATGGTGTCTCAGGTTCCGTAGAATCTCGTGGGGGTGATACTAGATAGCGGAGTGTCTGTTCGACATGCTGGAGTCAGAGAGAAAGCTTGAGCAATGAGCTCAAGCCCCTCACGCTGTCACGCTGACGCTGAGGCCTTCGAAGTTCGCGCGTTTCACGTGCACGTGCGACATAACCACGTGACTGCCGATAGTCAAGAATTTACAGCGCTTTCAGAAATTATGCGGAATCGCAACTTTCGCGCGCGAGACGAGCCACAGGCTTCGGAACTGGCCCATCCATCATCATCCTCTCGTCAGTACCGCTACCCCTACTGCTGATACTGACATGGGGCCCACCAGACGACCGAAATATAATCACCAGTACTTGGCCAGGCATCGAAGAAAGAAATGGCCCCGCTCTGCATGGTGCACACTGACAAAATGAACTGTCAGGCAACGACAGAGACGCTGTATTGGACCCTCATGTGTGCGAGTTATGTAGACTGAGTAGGCGTCTCATATTATCATTATGATAAGCATTTAGTCAGGTATCCCGGGTACATGAGCAGTAAAAAAATCCATATTACCTCCTTTACAGATAAATCGTCTGACCCTCGACGCTCACCGCGCCATCACTTCTCTCACCAATCAGACCAGTCCTCCGAACTATGACGGCCTCCCAACCAAGACCATCCCCTCATCCTCCTCTGTCTCCGTCCCATTCTCACTGCTCTCCCTCCTCCTCGACATCTCCGCCTCCTCCGCCTCTGAACTCGGACGCGAAGAAGTCTCTGAAGGACTCGGTTCCAGAACTTCCTTCTCGCTTGGCCTCTCCGTGGCCTGTACAGCAGCAGCAGCAGCTTCAGTGGCCTCTGGTTCCAAGATAGCTGAAGTAGCTTCAGCGGGGGATTGTGAAGGCGGGGCACGTGAGTCGACTTTCAGGTCTGCTTCTGTCTGGGGTGCTGGTGTGGGTGACGGGGATGCGGATTTAGACGTTGAAGGTGCAGAAGTGGGAGGTGGAGGTGGGGCGTTGGGGTCTGAGATTTCTCGGAGGGCAGCGATCATTTGTTCGCGGACACGTATCGTTAGGTCGGCCACGTCTGCGACAGTGAGACCAGCTGTTGGGATGGGTGGCAATACTATAGCGATACGGGCGTTTGAGCGCAGCACAGCAAACAAAATCAAAATTAGAACACGTCCAAAAGCTCAGTCAGCCCAAGGAGCCAAGGATGCCAATACAAGGATGATAGAGCACGAGAAACGCACCTCTGAGCTTCAACGTCCCGCTCTCAAACACATTCTTCCTATACAGCCTCCAGTAGTTCTCACATACAACGGGTACGATCGGTACACCGGCCTGCACTGCGAGATGGAAGGCGCCCTTCTTGAATGGCAACATGTCATGGTACGGGCGCATTGAGCGAGTGCCCTCGGGGAAGAGCCAAAGTGAAGTAGTGCGTGCGTGCATGGATTCGCCGGCTGCAGCGAGTGAGCGAACGGCTTTGGCGTTGTTTCCGCGGTCGACGAAGACGGCGCCTGATGCGGTGAGGTATTGACCAAGAAGAGGCATCCATTGAAGCTCTTTCTTGGCCATGATGGAGGCTCGGAGGGGGAATATCCTGCAGAGGGATCAAAGGACCGGGAACAGAAAGGTAGAAGGAGTAGTATAAGACTTATATTAGGATACGGACATTTGTGAGGGGGAAAGATAGGAACTGACCTTCCAAGATAAAGGATATCCAGCATACTTTGATGATTACCCACAAGCACTGCTGGTCTCGTATCGAGATGTTCCTCTCCCTCTACCGATATCTTGATGTCCATCACCCGACTCGCAACGGCATAGAATGTCCGTGCAATGACCCAATTCACATTGAATCTTTGGCCAGCGAGGGCCATTGCGAAGGATACAACGGCGCCCCATGCAGAGCACAGACCGATGGTAGAGAGGTAGAGTGTGAGGCGGACATAATATCGGGCGACTGGAGAGGATCGGGATGCAGTGTGTAGGAGGAAGACAGGTAAACCGAGATATGCTAGCGGTTTGAGGATTAGAGAGAGCACGGACATCGAACGCAAGGCTCTCGGTAGGATTTGTCGAGCTATGGTGGATAGTGGATAGTGGATGGTTGCAGAGAGGAAGAAAGATAGAAATCCGATGAGAATTCGGTTTTGCGCGCGAGCCTTGCGAATCTGTCGCGTTCAGTCGCCGAACGGCCGCTTGACCACGCGAGCCGGTCCGGATCGAGCGTCTTTCCTCCGATGCGCCACAAATAAGTACAGGCCTCTAGATTCAACAAGAGCACCTCAGGCGATACAACGGAGGCAAAGTCCAGCGAATGTGATGAATATTCTCCACGGCAGTATGTCAAAACAAGTAGTATGTGGCCTTGAGTCTATCCTGAGATTTTTGTTCAGACAAATTCCTCCACCGCTCAAAACGTCTCCCAAAACACATCAGGCAAAATCTGGCGCATCACTGAGGTCCGAGTCTAATCAGCTTCTTGCTCGGGTTTCCAACAAGGAAAAAAGTCCGCCAGACTCACCCTTCCAATGATCCAAAGCTCCCGAGTGCTGCCAAAGCGCAAGCCGATTATTCTCGTCCTTCAGTACCCACTTCTCTCCGTCCTCCCCTTTCATGTCTCCTCGGATGAGTTTAGCGTCGATCTCGCTTTTAGGAAGGTTGCCCAGGATGTTGGAGCGGAGGTTGGAGTTTAGGAAGTCTTCTTCTCTCAATGTGCGGAACGTCATTGGTTTGGTCGACGGCGTGCAGAAGAAGACCTAGACGCCTACCATGAGCACAGTTTTTTTTTATCTTCAAAAAGGAGAGACGTACCATGTTCATAAAGCCAGCAAGCAACTCTTCGTCCGTCATGACTTTCTGTGAATCATGGAAAGCGCGACATTGACCAAAGCTTTTCTTTAAAGTGAGTAACACCGCCCTCGATGAGTCCGTGCCTAGCAATCCAGCGAAATTCTGCGGAAATAGCTTTCGTTAGCCTTGGTACAATTGCATAGAGAAGAACATTTTGTGCTTACCACAGCAACCACCCCTTCAGGATGCATAATCGCCTTCAACTCCTCCCAAAACTGTGATGTGAACAGATGGGCAGGCACACCACCGCCAGAGAACAAATCGTGAATAACGTAGGTAAACTTAGGGTCCTTCGAGCCCTGCTCCAATTGCGTCTTCTTCTTCCTCACATAGGTACGGGCGTCCTCAAGGAATACATGATCGTCTCCGACGTCCGGTAGTCCAAAGAACTGACGCGAAACATTGTAGACTGCTGGGTCGATTTCAACGACGGTCGTTGGGACGCCGTGCTTGATCAGAGCAGTGGCTGCGTTTCCGGTGCCAAGGCCGCTGCAAGGCTGATATTAGACACAGGTAGTAAATAGAAGAATGGTGCAACTCACATGAGCAGAGCGTGCTCCCCTTCATCGAAAGACCGTCCCTCGATCTCGAACAACCGCACGGCCTCTTGAACCACGAATGCACTATAAATGGTATCTCCCAGAGGTGTACCAGCCTCGTCCTTGAAGAGCACTGTCGTCGGATCTCGAGCGAAGACTTTGGGGCTAACCCAGTTGCCTCCCAGCAGCGAATGAGACGCTCTGAGATAGCGCATGGAAGAGGGATACGACTCGTTTGCGTCGGGTTTCCAGTCCGGATTGGGAAGAGTTTCGCCGACGAGAATATGGCCCGTGCGTGAGCGTTCAGAGTAGAGGATACGCATGGAGGCAGTAGCGTCAACGAAGGGCTCTATAAGTGGACGTGTGAGAGTCGGTGGCTCAAGTTTTGGAAGGAGCAATGGGAGCAGGGGGAGCACGATGACGGGTACGATGGTTTGCCACGGGAGTGAAAATCCTGAAGACGATTTTGCTGATGCAGGAGCACGTAGTGGTAGAGAGACAGCAAAAATGGTGATGCATAAACCACCACAGAGTTGTAACTATGAGGGCGAATTAAGGAGGATGATCAGCGCTTCATTCCGACATGAAAGTTGGTGAAAAATCATACTGTTTGACTCGGTGTGAGGCCATGGGACTCCATTTGGCCCCATAAAGACGAAAGACCCGTGATACTTGATCCGCAAGCCGGAAGGATCGTATACCGTAACATAGTCGTTTGGCTTGACTGGCTCTCAATGATGCGCTGAAACGATAATTCAGGAATTGAGCATCTAAGCCGAAGAGACGAATGTATGGCATATTGTTCCGAGGGGCGCCCATCCTCAAATTCATTATATAAATTTGACGTACCACAATCTTGCTCACAGTCGCGATACCCGCGTAGACAACCGGAATCAACACAAGTGCATGAGTGACCAGAGGTCCAATGAGAGGGTCTCCCCATCTAGCAGTAAGAGCAGCAACCCAATACGAAGATAGAGGCAACGCCGAGAGCAGTACTCCAAACAGACCCAAAGAGCTCCATAGTGAGGGTGATGGGGCGTATGCACCGAGAAGACAGGGGAGCCAGATAAGTTTGTCCATGTAGTTGTTCGTAGGGACTGAACCATACAATGGTTCCAAGAACCTTTGGTAGAAAAAGAAAGCCAGGGATAGTGTTGCGATTATCGTTAATATTGGGAAGAGAAATAGCATGACAAGAGGTGATGTTTTCTCTTCATCTGGACCAGTGACAGCTGGCTCGCCACGAGTCGGCTGTCGAGGAGGTGTGCTGGGCGATGGCGCAGTTGCCTTCGGAGCAGAGCGAGGAGTCGCAGGAGCCTGCTTTTTGCGCTGTTTGGGAGGCATTGTTCAGATACCAAGTGATGGTGGTGGTATGAGACAGAAGTGCCTGCGCGAAAGCAGGACGGAAGGTCGCCATCGGAGCTCTCGAGCACTTGATGAAGCCAAGGGCAATCATTTCAAAACGTTATGTCCGAGGTACCTCCATCAAGGCCACGTGGCCCGACGGCTTGAGAGCGACGACCTTCGCAGTCTCCGTCGTGATCTCCAGTTGTGGACCATCGTCACCCTTGCTTTCGACTTCGACACTCTCCTTCAGCTTCATCTATCAGCTTCAATTACTGTTCGAACGGCTGGTCCTTCGTATTATTTCACCTCATCTATATCCCCAAATTACCTATTCAAAGATGGAGGCACCAGCATACACCGCGGGTCAGGTCTACGACAGCTTCGACATAGACCTTGTCATCAAAGTCATGAACAACACTTTGCTCAGTCAGTCTTATTGCATCTTCGAGTATTGCGGAATCAGGCTGACATTTATTAGGCCCGTTCTTTTGTTTCCTCATCCCCGTTTTCTTCATGTTCCAGGGATATACCACGAGTGACTTACCAGTGCTCGTACCTTTTGGCTGGGTGGGTGCCTTGGCCGCGTTCTGTGTGTATTCACCTTCCTCCTCACCAGAAAAAAGATTACTTACGCGGCACCTAGGGGGATTGAAATGGTATTCTCGACTATACCGTAACCAGGGCAGTCTTTTGTTCGGTCCTGCAGCTTTGGACTGGGGTGAACAGATCGTGGTTGTCACTGGTGGTAAGTCTCACAACTCTGCTGCTCCATACATACCAAGTCTTACATTCTGACATGATACTTCAGGTTCCTCTGGCATCGGAGAGTTGATCGCGAACACTCTCGCCGTTCGTAATGTCACAGTCGTCGTACTCGATGTCAACCCAATCGTTACCGAAAACTGTAAGCTAGCTCTATATCTTTCTACTCTGTTCAAGAGCTCACGTTGTGTATGTGTAGATAACATTGTCTACTACAAGTGTGACGTGTCAAAATGGGAGGAGGTCGAGGCTGTGTCCAAAAAGATTGTTGAGGAGGTAGCTGAACTGATCCCATCATCCCTCCTCTTTCGAACTAACACGACTCCTTGATTTCAGCTTGGGCATCCCACTGTGCTCATAAACAATGCGGGTGTCGTGCAAGGCAAACTTCTCATTGACTTGTCTCCGGAAGACGTTCAACAGTAAGCAAGGTTGAGCACTGTCAATGATGGTGACTCACCTCTCACGTAGGACCATTGGCGTCAATACCCTTGCCCACTTCTGGACTCTCAAGGCCTTCTTACCGGAGATGATCAAGAACAAAGCTGGTCACATCGTGAGTGAATGTCTATAAAAAGCTACTTTTTCCATTAAATTGTCATTGTAATAGATCACCGTCAGCTCGGTGGCAGGGTTGGTAGGAATGGCGCAAATGAGTAAGTGCATACCACAAATCACCCGGATGGAGATTCTCATCTCATTCTCTCCAGCCGATTACAATGCTTCTAAAGCTGCTACCATATCGTTACACGAGTCGTTACGTTACGAACTAGACAAGCGGTAGGCTCTCTCCAGAGCAAGGTTTGCAACAGACGGCTGAATTCTACCCGCTTAGCTACCTCGCCCCTGAAGTCCGGACGACGCTCCTCGTTCCGGGGCACATCCAGACTCCTCTCTTCTCGACCACCCATTTCCCTCAGAACTTCCTGTTCAAGTTCTTCGTACCTTCCTTACAACCCATCACCATCGCCAAAGCAGTGATCGCTGCATTGGACGAGCAACATTCACGAACGATCTACCTTCCGTTCTACGTGAATTTTGTTCCCGTGCTGAGATTGCTCCCGAGCTTCTTAAGGGATTTCGCGCAATGGGTGCGTCTCGATCGCGATTCTGCACTATTTTTTTCTAATGTTTTTTTTTTACCAATCTGTCGGGTTACAGTTGTCATACGCAGACTACGCCATGGATGGTTTTGTCAAGGTATCGGGGAGACGACAGGACGAAGGTCCTCTGGTCAAGCAAGAGAAGCAGACCTCGAAGGCGGAGTAGATGTTCAAACGTTCAATAGCTGTGATCCATTTACATGTACGTGCTTGTTCGGGATATTGGGAGGCTATGACACCATCGCTGGCGAGGATGCCATAGTGGTTGCTTCTCCTATGATGCAGTGCAGAGCTATTCCAAAATTCAAAGCTGCGATCGAGGATAACCGAAATGTAAGCTATCCCCGTAAGCAAGCCAAGCTCGACGTCGACGCCTAACGAAATCGAGTCGAGAACTCCGTATGGCCACTACGACGTCGAGGAGGGCACGGTTTCACTGTTCCAGGGAAGATCAACAGCCGAGAGTCACGATGGCGATATCGCAGCGCGAGGCGAGGCAAGTGATTTTAGAAAACAAAGGACGGTCTCAAAGCGACGGCACAGGGTGGCGCGTTCACGTCCTCGGACCAAAGCGCTGGTCACAGCCAGGCGCCATTGATAAACGATCCCGCTCGGCCCCAGCTCTCACCCCATCCCTCACCTTGACCACCACCTAGCCTGCAATCGCGACTGTACCCTTTCCCGCTACAAACTTTCTGCTATCTCGAACGTTTGCCGCGACGAGCCCTCTGCTATCTCTGACACCGCCGCCACAATCTCGCGCCACCCGGTCTAGAATCTCCCGATCCTGTGCGGTGCCGCTGCGACAGGCGCGCTCTCCTGTCCTCGACTTCCATTTTCTCCTTCCTATATAACACCCTCTCTCCTAGCACCCGTCCGCATTCCCCCAAACGCCATCGCTTTTCGACCCTTCAACCTCGTACAATATGTTTTTGCACAAATCCGCACAACACCAGCGTGTCACGAGCGCGTCGCGTGCCCAAACCGAGAAACCCGCGCCACAACGCGTCAACGACGCGTCCCACGACCTCGAGAGTCGTGCCGACCATCATTCAAAGCGCGCCACCCGCTCATACGACTTCGACGAGCGCGTCATTATCCAGATAGCTGACAATGACGACGAGAAGAGCGAGCTTGAACATATGGTGCGTCTGAGCATAGACTGTTTATGGCCTCCTGGTCGTGTCGCGTGCTCAGATATGGCTGTTTTGAAGATCGAGTCGGACGTGTCTTACTGCAGCTGTAACGAGGGCAACCCTCATTGTCAACGATGCAGCGATCTATTCAGTGATTCGGATGTCTCGGAGGCTGTCGAAAGAGAAGCAGAGGCTGACTATGGCGTGCGTCTCCCTTTTATCGTCCCCCTCCCCATCATACAACTCGTCACTGAACCTTTGGCTCGAATGTGTCAGTCTGTTTATGACTACTCTCCCATCCAGTACATTTCGTATGAAACATACACTCCTCCCGCAACAAACGAAGTGAGCCACCCACCCTCGTGTCTCACGCGTTGGACAAGTCTGACTTTGTGGCGTTTACAGGACCTCTTCCGCACACTTTCAATGGATCGTCGTAACCTTGTCTTAGATTCTATTGATCCAGAAGTCGCACCCCACATCGTAATCACTCCTCCACCTTTTGACTGGAACGATTGTTTCACCGCCTATAACATGCATCCATGCCCTCAAAACCCGGGCTTCTTGATGGTGCCACAATCCGGCGGATGGGAGATGAAGGCGGCTACGCCTGAGCCCGTGGAGTATGTCGAGCCAGCACAGATCGAGCAAGAGATTGATTACGCAGAGATGAGCTGCGGAGAGATAGGGGAGATCCCTGATAATGAGCCTTTGAAGGTCTTCTCGCGCTCAAAGTTCGAGCGTCAGGTCTGTCATCACCTTTCGCCTCGAACTATCGCATTTCCCTGACACTTCCATTAGATTTCAGCCAGCCTGGACACTCTCGAACACATGACCTCTATACACCGACAGCGATGCAAGCAGATCGTGCGTATATATTCACTGCTGGCGTTATAATGATTCCAGAAGGCTAATGTACATACATGGTTGCAGGCTGAGCTCGCAGCCCGTCGTGCCCCGCAAGTCCTTGAGACACTCAGCCCCTCCCTCCAAACCCTTCTCGACGATAACGCCTTCACATGGACCGATCCAGCTGAGGCCCTGCTCGCCGATATGGTACGCTACTGCGGTACCACTGTCCTCCCCTCAGAAAATCCCTTCACCGCCCCTCATATTGTCATCAACGAGCCGCCTCCCATGGGACCTGAACAGGTTGCGACTCGTGAGAGGAACAGCACCCCGTACCAGTGCGCGACAGGGTATAATCTCTGTGTACCAAACTGGTATTATGGGTTCAGTGCAGAGTACTACTACGAGTATATGGCACTGGCGCAACTACAGCCTCACTGGACCGATACACATGCGGCGACGTCGTGGCCTGAGGACCAAGCACCAGTGGAGGCGGAGGTTGACGCGGGGGAGAGCCACCATGTCGAGCATTGGGAAGTGTTCGATGACTATACGATGGATCCTGGCCAGATGCAGGACGAGGCGTTGGCGGTTTCGAGACCGGAAACGCCGATGCCTTCTACGCCTACGGACGATGGAGTTGGACGATTCAACTTTATGCCATCGATCGCTCTGGAGTCCGTCGACGACTTGCTCCACGGGGACGTTGACTCCCCGGTCACGGTCTCGACGTCTTCTGCGCAGAGTCTCTGTGGCTTGATGGCCAAGGGCTCGGGCTCAGGGCTTCCTACCTATGTCTTTGGCGATTTCTCGGACTCGTGCGTCTCTGATGATCGGGAGGAAGATACTTGCACGCCCGCCTCAGACGTTGTTGACATCGAAGCACCCGAGGACTGCTTTGCCCAACCTTGCGAGTCGACACCGTGCAGTGACACCGCTGCCTATTACGACGACGAAGACGAAGATGGGCCTCCTCCATTCGATGATTGGTACACCAGCTGGACGCCCCAGGTCTCCGCCACCGCCTGAATCAGGATTCAGAACTTCCTCCCCACATAACTCCTCGCTGCGTTTTACTATCATTTCCCCTGTGACCGCGTTGTAAATACTGTTGTGAATACTGTACCATACCCACCACGGACTTGTTGTCATTGTCGCTGTATCTCCACATCGAGCAATGAACGATGGACCTGACACAATCTATCGTCGTTTCTCTTTTCTCCCTCTTCTGCACTGTCTACCCTAGTTACTGTGTAGCCGTAGCGCCTGTAAGCACTGCTGCACGCTGGTATTCTAGCATATGCCCTCTCCTCTACGTGTACATACTCGTCACTCGTCTAAGCACCCCACAGTCGCATTGCCGTCTCGTTCTCGCTTTTCTTTCTCTCCTGTTGTTTGTACACTATTCAGCCTACCCCGGTTAGCATTCTTCATACTACACCCTCGAATGACTCGACACTCGACTTGAAATTCCGACCGTTCGTTGAGCACAACAATGGCCCGCCCGCTTTGTGGTTCTCCAGGTTCGCCGTCGTTCTTCTCCAAGTAAAAAAAAAACACGCCTGCCAGTGCATGAGCTCGGCCCAGGATCGAACTGGGATCTCCCACATACAACGTACAGGTACACAAGGCACATGTGACGCGGGCGTGCTCTACCACCTGCACCACCGAGCTCGTTCTTATGGATGGCAACTCGAGCTTTCAGTGCAGTTTCGGAAACGAGGTGGGTAGATTCAGAAAGGTGCGGCCAGGTGCGCGTAGGCATTGGATGAATGGAACAGACTCGCGTTAGGTAGGACAGTGAACCCATTCACAGCTGAATCTTTTATTAACAAGGTTATAGTAGTACTTCGCCGCGGCTGCGTGTATAAGGCGCATGCCAACGTTCGTCATGTTACATTGTTAGACATACCGTATGCGTGAAGGACCATCATACTATGCAACGCACAGATGACCACCCGGCCACACCCGACCTCGAAGTTCGATCGTTCGAATCTTGTCTTTCCCCTCGTTCTGAATCCATCGTAGGCCACTGATCGAACACACAAAGTTAGCTCGTGCTTATTGCCATCAAGCCATGCCATGACGAGGCTCGATCATGTCATAGCTGAGATGAATGCCGCGAGCTTGTGTTGAATGGTGTCCCTGGACCTCGAAGGCCTCGATGAGCATTGACCAGTATACGCCGCAGCCGGCGGAGGTCCCAATGGGCATCGGTGTCTTCGGTGTCTCAACGGCGCACCTAAGCTTGATAGTGGGAGACCGCCGAGCGCGGAGGAATACTTACTGAGTCTGAGTCACATGGAGGACGCAGAGCGCAAAGATTATAAGTATTGGTGCCGCATCCTACATGATCTACATAGGTTTGTCAGTGAAGGAAGTAAAGTGAACGTCAGCCGAGCAAGTCGTGTTCAAGTGCTTGCAAATTGCGAAACTTTACTATACCTGAGGCTCGAGCAGCAGCCAGGTCTTGGTCACAAGCGTGCTGTCGAGAGTTATGGAAGCGTGATTGGTGTGGCAAGGGATCATGAGATGATTTCTTTCGCCTGCGGGCTGGTGGGCGTTCACAAGCCGTGTAAGCATTGTATGGCGTGAGGTGGCGCAAGGAAGCATCGGGGTTCGAACGTGCAAAACTATGGATAGACAGACGCGGGCGGGTCCAGCCTGGTGACATGAGTATACGCCGTGTAGCCCTCGCCACTATTATTGTGGTCGCGCTTCGTGATACGTTTGTGGGACGCTTAGATGCGTACGGAATAGAGTGTTCTGCATCAGGTCCGTCGATGGAAGTCGATGAAGAGGGGAAAGGCACGGAGGAGCGGGTCAAGAGTGGAGTTGGCAAAATCAGGCGTTCAAAGCACTTTACGGGGTTGAAGATCAAGGTGATGGGAACTCGCGAAGTGTTCCCGGTTCCCCATGAAGCAAGAAGCTCGTGCTGCGAGATGGTAAGTCGACGTCAGAGGAAGCTAAGAAGGTACTCATTTGAAAGGGGGGTCGGAAGAGCTAGGTTAGATACGGCATGCTACCGGCATGTAAACGATGATGGAGCGTCTGAGGATATCGTCGGTTCAGCCTAGACAAGCTAAGTAAAGACCGGAAACGAGAGTAGATTGTGACAAAGTCGCGTTCTATTGAAAGCTTAGAATGAAGATCGCAGAGAAATGACTGTCGCATTTCATTTTCGGAAGAACAGAGTCTGAAGGAAGCGTGCAGACCGAAGGTATGAATCCACTGGAGTGATAGCCGGATACAACTTGTGCAGGAAAAGAGACGAGCTGGGCAAGAAAACGAAAGTGCAGGAAGTTATCACCTTTGTTGGAAGGGCTGAAAGTGGACCCCCGCGAACAGAAGATTCCTAGAGGAACGTTGAGGTCGCTTCGCGGCGATAACCCGAATGGTTAAGAAAAGGTCGACGGTTGATAGTCAGATGAGGGGGACAATCCCATGGGAATTGTCAGCGAGAGAGGTTAGCGCAGTGATGGGGGGCGATAGAGCTGTTTCCACGATATGGTGACGATGACTGAGAGACATCGCACCTTGGAGGAGAAGATGCAGTGGTAATGTACGTCCATACCCGTGCTCACAAAACGGGAAGGAGGGTAAAGTTACCAGGCTGCAACCAGGCTGGAGGGAGGAGCTGGTGGACTGGAGAGGAACAGGAACGGACGGATTCGGAGACGGTGGACCCACAGGCAGGCCGGACCGACGATGCGGGCCTGTAAATCACGAAAAGTGAATGCACTTCAAATTGGCGCGGACGGATGGGCGCTTTGCCCGACGCTACTTTAGCAGCCCCGCTCGGCCTTTCGACCGTCATGGCTGCTCCCTCTTCCCCCTCAACCTCTATGCAAGTCACCGTCTCCCTCCTTCCAGTTTCTCTTTCACTGGTGCATATTCCAAGGTGTCGCCTGCTTGAGCTCTCTCATCCCATCATCCGTCAAATCCTTCTCCCCAACCCTTCGTTTCTAAATCTCACTTGCAATCAAGTCGAGCTTTCAATCTTTGCGTACGGTACTCCGACTTTTTGTATCCACATACGCTCTTACGCTGGTATTTTAGTGAACACCATGTGCTCCGAGACTTTGAACCCATCGCAAGGAAAGACAGGCAACGTATCAGGTCACGGTCAGGATCCTCTGGCAGAAGTCGAGCGGACTCTTGGCCGGAAGAGGACTTGGTTGAGGTATCCGTCGATACATGGAGAGTGCTACAGATAGACTCTCACTCTAGTGGTCTAGGTGTGTCTCCTGGTTTCTTGGCTCCTACTTTATTAATCAAAACCCTACAGGTAATGCCGGTGCACGGGTGCACGAGCTCTCCGCACCTCTGGCGGCAGCAGGCATCTCTATTCTATATCAATCCTCTTACATGAGTGACTTCATCTTCGTAGGTCGTTTCATTTTCCACGGAATCCAACATGTTCTCAGTGGGTTGTAGGTCAAACAAGTTCGCCTTCAGGAGGTTATCCCTATCCTGGCATCTGCAGGATATGACCTTTACTGCTCCGACCCAGATCACCTCACTGCTCAAATGTCCCCTCTTCACTCCCCTACGCTCCGTGGCTCGGACGATGGTCCACCACTAGACTTGTCTTCAGGTGCTGTTCTCACGCGCACGAGGAGTAACACAGACGAGTCACTTCATGGTCGAGCGGCTATGCTGATGTCTCTACCACCACCTGCCCTCTCGGAAGAACCTGGCACAACTCCACCTAGACCCACTGCTGTTCGCACAAAATCTCTATCCCCGTCGTCATCTGACGTTCAGCTCCTTCCCACCGATCTCACCTGCGTGGGTCTCGCCGACGACGCGGCAGACGTATGGGCGCTCAAAATCGTGAAGTTGGTTGCTTATCCAGAGCTGATTGTCCCTAAAACGGTCGACGTCGAGTCGATACCTGTGTTAAAACCCGTTCAGAGCGAGGTTTCGTACTCAGATACCCCAGAAGACGCACCCTCACGAACACCAAGTCCGTCGACTTCATTATCGTCCGAAGGAGAGGATGGCTATTTCTCCGCCTCTCCCCCAAATCAGTCTTCGACTTCTCTCGTTTCTTCTGCGGCCTCTCGATCAGCTGAGAGTCTGCCAACGACTGGGACACAACTAGAGACACGCAAAGTCGCTGATAGGCCTTCTCATCTGCACCGTATCAACCCATCTACGCCTCAGCCTCTCACGCCTGTGCACGTTCGCGATATACCATCCCACTATGCGATTTTTCCTTTGTCGCCCACACCTTCATCACGTCACCGCCGTCGTATCACGCCGGATTACGCTGTCCCCTTCTTTTCTCTCACCCGGACACAAGAAGGTTCCTCACTAACTGCTCCGACGGCCGTGCTTACCTCGCTCTTCCCTCCTTCCGAGAGGCACATGGTCATCTGCAGCGACGAGCTGGATGCCCTAGACTCGCCTGCGCATCCGGTTGCAGAAGCCGAGGAGATGGATGATGAAGGACATGAGATGGGTGACAAGAACGGACCTATGCGGTGTTTGCAAATCGATCTTAGACAATTTGGGCTCGGTAAGAACCCTCTCTTTGCGTATTTATGGTCTATATGGGCATTGCGCTTAATATTCTGTGCTTTTCTCCCTCGCAGACAAACACGGTTTAGTCAACCGCTATTCCCGCGTCCTGGGAGAGAACGGGATCAATCATATGTATAGTTCGACGTTTAAAACTGCGAACCTATTGGTGAGAATTTCTGTCTCTCTTCTACGCGTATACAGTACTGTTTCAAGCCTGGGATACTCATGATTTATCCATTCTCCCCGCACATGATGTAGGTCGATACCCCACATGCTGCTCGCGCCCAGGCTCTTCTCCGTGCATGTTAAGTTTCATGCGTTTAAGATGGCCGTTCACCATTTCAGTAACCCAACGCGCGCCCCAAAACTCTGATGCTATCGTGGACAACTCACATTACGTCTCTTACGAACGGGATACTCATGTCATCATTGTCACCCACGACCGTCCACCCTCATCAATCTAAATGTATTTCAACGGAATTCGTCCTTCTCGTCAGGGTTCCTGTCCTTTTCTCCGTTATGTGATCCTTTGCTTCCGAGTCGGAATCTGTTCGTCCCAATCAAGCGTCATTTTCTACGTTCTGATACCCTCACAGTCGCACTTCCTGCCGTGTGCCGTGACAATGAACAACTCCTGTTGTACCTTGGTCTGCATGTACTATACCTACCGCATATCACCGCTCACCTTCTGCCATCCCGGATCCCCTTTTCAATCGCTCCATCTCATCCATCAGCCTCTTTTAACACGATCACAGATATTTGCTTGTTTGCTTGCTTGTTCGTGTCTTTTTATTGCCTTCGTGCTTCGGGTATATAACTTGGTTTCAACATCTTCTTCTTCATCTCACACTCCATCTTCAGGCTTCGCACTGCTCCGCTTCTGGCTCCTCTCATCCTCATCCTCAACCTACTTTGTATCATCTATGCTACTTACCAGTGTTCCTCATTTTCAGTGCTTCATCCCGGTCTTTCCAGTCGCGTCTTAGGTTGTTGTTGCTATATTGTTTGTATAGGTGCAATTCCAGCACAGTGATTGATGTTCTAAGTACAAGGGCTTCGGCATCGTGTTACATCAGAAGAGTATGGGAAAAAAGCAAAGCAAAAACTCGTTGCATCAATTCAGCATCACCCACGGCAAGACTCGAACTTGCAACCTCCAGATTAGAAGTCTGACGTCATGACCATTAGACAACGAGGGCGGCTTCAAGGGACGATTGTTCAAAACCGCACAAATTCGCAATGGGCCTCGGGTAAGTCCGGACTCCGCTGGTAAATCGCATCCAGTGATGTAGCGCCACACCGCGTTCATCCCTTACCGCATCTCTCTGTCACCGTCAACAGGTTGCCAGGACTCACTCTACGTTTTCTTGCTTCGTCTGACAGGTCGTACTCTGGCCTCTAGGCTTTCTTTGATGCACCGTTAGGTAATAATATTGCACCATCAAAGCTGAAACGTACAACACATAGTCGTCCTCAAGGTGCCACAATGGCACGCACGCAAGTCTTCCTAGGGTTTCTGTCCCTGGGTCTTCTTCTGGTGCTTTACAAAGCGGCGTCTCAGGTCCCCAGTACGCTCTCACCACAGGGATGCCGCATGTCATACATGTCTCCATCATACCTTTTGCAATCTTCATTCAACCGAACATGGACCCACCTTGCGGACCGATATTCTCTATGGTTATATCGAGAGGTCGGCTGGGAAGATCAGACGGTAAAATGAACCTAATGTTATTCTAGTATCGTCAATTGGTGCTCAAAGTACACTAGCTGGGCGGTGTCCCGGTCCTGTTCATCCCAGGTAATGCGGGCTCGTCCCGGCAGGCTAGGTCCATAGCATCGTCCGCCACAAGGCAATATTACGAGTCCCCACATAAAGTGGCCTCAGAGTTTGCCGATAAACAATCTTACAGGCCTCTGGATTTATATACGCGTACGTGTAACTGACTTTACCTTAGATGCTGTCCTGTTCGTAGGCTGAACTTGGCCTCTTTGTAGTCGAATTCAACGAAGACCTATCCGCTTTCCATGGTCCTACCCTCGAATCCGAAGCTGCATATACAGAAAAGGCCATAACCTTCATCCTCTCCCAATACCCACCGAATACTTCGATCGTCATCATGGCACATTCCATGGGCGGCGTAGTTGCCACCTCGCTCCTCCCAAATCCCAACATCGCAGCTATCATCACCATGTCGACGCCACACACTCTACCTCCAGCTCGTTTCGATCGCCGTATTGCTAAAATCTACGAATCAAGCCTCGTGTCTGTCGCTGAGGACATGACACCGATCTTGTCTCTCTGTGGTGGTGCTACGGATATGATGATCCCTTCTGAATCCTGCGTAATTCCAGATGGGGAGGGATATAGGAAGACAGTGTTCACGACTGCATTGGAGGGTTGTTGGACGGGTGTCGGCCATCAAGTCATGGTGTGGTGCCATCAGGTCAGATGGCGTGTGGCACGGGCAGCGTTAGAACTGGGCGCTGTTTCTACGCCTTCTCAGCGGATCGCTGTGCTTGATCGTTGGTTGAACGATGGCCATTCCTTTTCTCATCATTCGTCCGACGACGTAGGATGGACACCATCGGCACCAGTATCTTTAACACTGGATGAAAAGTTGACTTTGAAGAATCCCAGGGAGCAACACACCTACTTTCTTCCGATCGGAGGCTCGCCGACAAGCAAGTTCATCTTGTATCTCTCGCAAGGATCCATTATGTCTGTATCTCCGCCATATCCCCTACCTCTCTCCGCTTCTGTGCGTCTATGCCGAGGGTCGCCGTCAACTGGTATCTGTGAGATCCTCATGCCGACTACCGTTCGACTGCTGCCCACTCTAGGCCCCGATCGTCCGGCACCTCCTCCTTTAGAGGGCATTGACGAATCGGAAGGAGTCGTCTATTTTGCTGCAGATATACCGGAGGCTGAAGAAATACAGGAAGAGAGATGGGTTGCTGTTGATGTGCGGGGTACGGATGGTCGTGGTTGGCTCCAGGGTGGCTTTATCCACGATAACCGTGGTCGCACAACCCACAATCTTACTGTCCATGGTCAGTCATCACCCAATTTTGCTCTACGGAAACACCGGGCTGAAATTCATCAGGCGTTTTACACAGGGACGTAACAGTATCAGTGCAGGGGTCATCCCTTAGACAGATCCTTGAGTTCCCGAAGCTTTCATCGGATGCACTTCTCGCCTACCGCTTGACTCCTAAGTTTTCTGTCTCGCGCTCATGCGATGGTAGGCATTCGTCTCTTCCTCTTTGTTCTGAGTATCCGTCCAAGTATTCACATATCACTTCGATCGTATTACAGAAACGTTGCTACCCCCTCTACTCCAACTTGCTGCCGGCCCAGAATCTCATTTCTATTCTCTCGCCGCCTCCGAAACACATCCTCAAACGACTCTCGTTATTCATGCACATAACTCCGGGCCTTTCATTCATAATTCCCCTTCACATGGCAACGGGATGAACCTCTCTATTTACTCAACGCTCGATGATGGGTGTGCAATTGAGTCCATCGCTTTACGAGTGGACTACTGGGGTACCCTGGGGAATGTCGCGGCTCGCTACTGGGTCGCATGTGCAGGTTGGACGGTAGGCGTAGTGCTTTGGGTGCTGTTCGATGCATGGGCTGTTCATGAACAAGGAGGTAGAGTATCAAGACATAATTTACTCGATTTCGTTCTGCGATGCTGATCTCATGTATGTCTAGGCTCTATGCCCACTGTTGGCCAGTCACTCGAATCGTTCGTGAAAAGGAGACTACCTCTGCTGACAGTGACAGCATTCTTCGTTTCTCTCATCCCCATGCCCGTCAATATCCTACTTGGAAACAGTGGCCAAGCCATATTTTCCCCTATCGCTCCCGTGCTCCTGATCCTCGTAACTGGCATGGTATGTATAAGTTGGTGGCTGTTAAGTCTCTTCATGTGGCCATTCAACAGACTTCAACGCTTGTTTGCGAGGTAGACGCTTCGACCACAAGTCACCAAAGACAGCACTAATCCCTCTTGTAGACGAACAGAAGACACAAGAGTCCACCGACGAACCGCATTCTCAATGCTGTTCATCTTCGCCCTCATCTTCGTCTTCGTGCCCTGGCAAATCGCCTTCCTGGGTTGCTACATCTTCCACTTCTTCACCTGCGCCACCGACACGACCAACACCCGACAAACCACTGCCGCTTCTAGAACTCCACCACCAAGATCGCCATCTCCCGCGCGCCTCAGTTCCTCGCTTGATATCCACCAACAAAACACCCATATCCTCCTCCTGATGACATGGCTTTTACCGCTCGTCGCACCTGTACTGGCTGTATGGGTCAGAACGCTTGCGACGGCTGGTTTGACGACACCGTTTGATGGTGACCACAATGTATGGGCTGTAGCCCCCTGGCTCATCCTAGTAGACTATGCATCCTGGACTCAGAGTTCGCTTCTTTCTCGTGAGAAGTAAGTTGCCGTGTCTATCGCATCCTCTCCGCAGGCCCAATGCTCAGCTTTCATTCGCTATAGAATCGAGCCTATTTCGCTGCGATGGCTTTTCCTTGGAGCTTCAGGCGTCGCATTCATGGTCGGCGCCGGAAGGACCTACCGTGTTTTTGATGGAGTGTGGTTAGCCATTAGCCTGGCTGTGATGATACGCATAGGACCAAGATACTGGGGAGGACAATCATGGCCGCAGATTTTACGGAGAGGGAAATGATACATTGTTTGCGTTGAGCAGCAGACAAAACATGAGCCTGAAATGACCAGATCGCAAGACCGTGAAGCAGAACGGTTTCCGAAAACAGGATCGAGCCAGAGGGAGAACGGAGCATTTTGTTCACAATTCCCAGCAGACATGGAAGAATCAAGCATCAGTTGCGGGGGGCGCTGACTCTGGAATGCATGTCATAGGGCGGCATATGAGGTTGGTCAAGGCGTACGGCATACACAAAACACAGCGAATGATAAAGAAAGAACTCCAACAACGAGCTCACCCCCAACTCGTCTCATCAAGACCCGGAAAGCAGAAGCGGAGAGCTCATGCCTTGACGGCGAACTTCCTGAGAGGGAAGTGGATGTTCTTCTTGTGCTGCTTAACAGTGATCTTCGACTTCTCGTTCTATAGATCATGGATAATTCAGCTGACTTGAAGGGGGAAAACGACTTGGGTGGGACGCACAGCAGTCAATCGCCGCCTGATAGCACGAGTCTTCTTCGTCCGGAGGTCAAGGGGGAGGTACTTCTTGTTCTTGTAGAACTCGCGGAGGTTTTGGCGTTGCTTAGCGTTGATAACGGTAAGGACGCGGGCAATCGACTTGCGGACGGTGGAGCTGATCGCCAAAGTACGAGGTCAGCGGGGAAAATGAAGGAAGAGCTGAAGTGAGACGCACATCTTAGTCAACTTCGACGCAGATCCACCTGCAATCTTTTGCACCCGGAGGTTGAGGAGCTCGGTCTTCTGCTCCGCGAGCTGTTTTGTCAAGTCATTCTTCGACCTATAACGAACATCGAGGTTCAACAGCAGAGCAGAGGTCAGTCGCCAGGTCTAGTAAGATTCAAAGAGCCGACAGTTTGCGCACTTGGACTGGAGTTCGTAGGCCTTGACTTTTCCGGGCATGATGATTAGAGTCTACGGAGGGAGTATGAGAACAGTTGACGACAGCGGAGACGGTGAGGGCGACCAATTACCTTGAGGGAATGTTGTCGCCGATGTCGTACTCACAGTCTCTGCGACAATTCCAGGCGTGTGGGAAACCACCTGTACAGTTCGGCCGCCACCATTCTCACGCTTCAACTTGAGCTGCGCCACTGCCGCCACACTTCTACCTTGTGGCGACTGCGACCACTGCGATATCGCTCGTTCCGTATCCTCTATATACTTGGTTATGAGATACACGATACAGTAGAAATACATGGCGCTCTGAGCTGCTGTATGATCCCAAATACTGTCATATTTCAATTTATTATCTCTCGCCTGCGTTCCTCGCCACAAGATCGTCAAACTTTACCAACGTTCCTCCGAAAATATCGAGCGCACTGAATTCACATGAGCACGCTGAGATGGATCACATATAATTCTAGAGGGATATACCTTCCATATGTCAGGTCGACTTTCCCATCTGACAGTCGCTCGACGAGATCTAAGTCCGAAATATCTGTGGTCGTATAGAAATCAGTTCCTTCCATTGAACCTCTAAGCCGTAACATACCCTTGGCACCACCAGCATACGTGGTCGGTATTCGTACCCACTGTCCCAGTTCTAATTAAAGATGAAATTATAGCATCAAATGATGGGGGATATTTGGTGGACGCACTGGCTACAAGTTCTTCGTCGATGCCCTGACAAAGCCCCTCCACGTCCGCTGCATGGATTAGAAATTCGCTACAGAGATGTCAGCAATAGTTTCAGTCAAATGTATCCATTGTCCAAATATTTACCTGCAGTGTTCCGACAGCAAGTTCAATGTTTCTAAGACGCGTGTGGCGTTCAGTAACCCGACACCATAGACCACTATCATGACCATGGGTTTACCTTGCCGAACTTCCATGTCCGTGATGTCCTGCCACTTGTTCATGGCAACCATCCACCTGTCTCCTCTCCGCCGACAACTTGTCGCCGCATAATATCAGAACAAAGTTGTGCCACACGAAACAGCCCGTTACGGATGGCATCCTACCTGACATCAACGACCAGTCTCTCCTTCCCAACAAGCGTGGAAAGTAACCGCAGTCGTTCAAGAGAAAACTTCATCTCAGGGAACAAATAGGATGTCACAATAACCTAACAAGTGCACATTTTTTGCGATGCTCTGTTTAGTATATGATTCAGGCTCTTGGGCTCTGTAAGGACTTACTTTGCTCGCGCCAAGCTCAAGCCAGCTCAAAGCGTTCTTATCGGTGATTCCGCCACCAATCTGCAGACCACCTAACAAGATTGTATTAGCGATCTCGAAATTGTTCAACAGGAAGGTCACAATTTATGAGCTAGGTAAGTGCGTACGAACCTGGCCACGTTTCGAGTGCTTGACGCGCAGCCTCATCATTCCCGGGCCCAAGCTTGATGAGATGTCCACCTTCGAGGCCCTTTTCTTTATAAAGCCTCGCAAAGTCACCAGGAGATTGACTGTTCGATACCAAGAGTATATATAGAAAGAGAGACGTTCAAATGAACTTCGGTCCCAGGAAGTTCGAATGAACCCACCTCGCCACAAAATTTGTCTTCAGCGTCGCAGGATCGCTATCAGAAAGCGTGCCACCAACTATCTGCTTCACTTTACCGTCGTGAAGATCTATACATGGTCGGAAGAGACTGCGACGTGTTGTTGAGGACATGACGGAAGGCGGTATCTCGGTAAGGGCCTAAGGGTGCATTCGGCAACCGAGAGCGGTTTGATTTCCGGCGGATTCTCCTGCCAAAACGAAAGAATCTGGATTCTCGGATTTCGTGGCTTCTTCGGCAGCCGTGGTGCCTGCCGAACCCTGCCGCGCACATATTGCGTGACTGATGTGACTCCGGAGTGCTTTGCCACTTCATTCTTCAGTGGCACCTTTGCGCGAGTTCGTCGTCTTGTCGTCGTCGTTTGGCTAGACCACCAATCGTAGCATCTCGTTCAGAGATAAATGCATATTTACGATGTGACCACTCGAAGACAGATCTATCAAGGCACAGTTGTTAATTTTGCAGTATGATTTCGAGTCTATGGGACCACAAACATCAACAGTGACAAAATGTAGAGGAAGAGGCAAGCAAGACATCTGAGGCACTGTCGACATCTCTCTTGAGCTGCCTCTTACGACTATATTATGACTTATTGCTATTATTACACGACCTTTT